AGTATTAGCTCTGGTCTCTTTACTAGCTTTAATAGTCCTTTGTCTTTGTACAAAGTGTTCCTAGCTAGCTATGTAGTAAGTAAGTATTAATATTTTCCTTTTATCTCTTCAGGTTTTCTCCTAGTCTTTTCCTTTATACTTCTTACTCTGGACACTATACTCTTTCCAGATCCCCTCTCCATACAAGCATTCTAAATGACTTGTCTTTAGTTAAGGTTATCAAGTAATGCTGTGCTAGAGTATGTGTTTAACCTTAGAGAGATAAAGACCTTGTCCTCAGGTTTTGTTACCTTTTCCTAACTGACTTAGTACCTACTCCTTCCTGTCCCCTCTCTCTACTAATAGATTGATCACCCATTAGTAATGATTAGAGGTTAATAATACTAAGCTAGAGTTCTTACTAAGCAGGACAACAAAGGTAGCCTAGTTGATCTGGCCAATCTCTAGACTTGTGACTAATAGGGTTTTGTATATAAACTACTCAGTCCTAAGTCTTGAGTTAAGCTTTTCCAAACTTAGTTACTGTATTTTACAATTCCTAACAATAATAAAGTAAGGAAGGGTAGTAGTAAGAGTCAGTACACATATAGTCTATAGACAGTACTCCTGAGAGACAGAAGTCCTGAGTTCTGGTACAGAAGAGTGTAGAACCCTTAGAACTGAAGGTATGAGAGTAGAGAATTGTAACAGTTTGTCCAACTACAGATAACTATTTAGGATTATAAGGAAAGTATTAAGTTTAGAGTCACTAACCTTAGAAAGACAGACATCTTTATTAGATTTGAATGGCTTAAGACTTACAACCCTACTATTGACTAGTTAGAGTAGACACTTGTGTTTGATCAGTGTCCTGAGTCTTACAGTTATCTTACACTACTGTCCTAAGTGGATACAAACACTTTTAATGTTACTAACAGTTCTAATGAATGTGACCAGTTGTTCTTCTTTAACTAGGATAGATATGTGAACACATATTCTAGTTAAGACAGAACAGAGTCAATCTAAAGGATGTTTGAGATGGAACCAGTCTGAAACCCTCTTAGAACAACTCTACTCTAGAACACATGTAGACTCAGCCTACTGGATTTTGTCTGAGAGTTTCCCAAAGTCTTTAGTGAAGAGAAATTTGACTAGCTTCCTAAACATTACTCTTAGGACTATACAATTGAATTGACTGAGGGTTTTTAACCTAAGGATTGTAAGGTCTACCTACTCAACAGAGACAAACAGGAGACACTCAATGAGTTCCTTCAGGAAAATCTTTAGAACAGTTGGATCCAACCCTTAAAGTCCTCTATGGCCTCCCCTTTCTTCTTTGTCAAAAAGAAAGATGGGAAGCTCTGCCCAGTCCAGGATTATTGTTGCCTTAATAAAGGTACTGTCAAAAACAAGTACCTGCTCCCCCTGATTCAGGAGCTCATTAATAATGAGTAAGTTCCATGTCTACAGAATATGTAAGGTCACATCTGCATTTCTGTCTTTTACACCTTATACAGCCTACCAACCTCATTGAATGATTGAGGAGAGGACCCTATAGTAGAAATAGATTGTGTTGAAGTTAATAAATCCAAGTAGGGATTAATATACTGACTCTACATATGAGATTCTTGTAAAGAACATGAAGGCCCTGAGAGACTGTTAGGATGTCTGACTGCAATTATAGTATGTCATCAGGGCTCTTTCTCCTCCTGTGATTCCTATTGCAATATGTCACTAAGCATTAAGTGATAATTTTCATAGTGCAGACTGCTGTTGGATCGCTTCATTTCAATACCCTCAACTCCATATAGATTCTGGGACCTGAGACCAGCAGGAGGCTTGATTAACCTAATTTGTAGTCAAGAAACGTCAGTGGCGATGTGGCAACACAACTTATTCTCGTCAAGCGAAAGAAAACAGGAGATAACCTGACGGAAAGGGTTAGACTTGTCCTGTCGTAACTACCCAATACCAGTCGGAGATATTCTGTACAAAGAATGTCCTTTATACAGACATACCGAGGATTTAACACATTTTCCAGCCAAGCTTGGAGATGTGCTAACTCGCCGGATCCATAGTCGAACTTACTGAAATTGGTATCGTTATTCGTTGCTGAGTTGAAAGAAAGATGGTAGTGAATAGACGCCGCTCAACACATTGCGACGGTTAAACAGAAACGTCGAAAATTCCATTGACGCGCAAAGCATCTGGTGTGCCTAAAACCTTGCTATCACACCAGTTCAAAAAATAGCGAGCGTTCGTTCAGTTGATTAAAATGTAAGACATACTCGTAAGTAAGAGTCTTGGACGCCACTAGTTTTGAGATATTTGTCATTGTTTTTTTTTTTTTGATTGAAACATTTGTTGACCAGATTCCCCACGCCACAGATATAACCACAATATCAATTGCACATGCAAAGTTACAATGACAAGTTGTATCACTCTTAGGTGTGGAAAATTGCCCGGAAATATTGTGACCTAAAGCGTAGCCGCATTCTTGCATGTGGATGGATCTCTACATTCCTCGCATTGTCATCAGCATCTTCTGTCCCATGGCAGCTTTCTCTTACTTAGGCGCGGCAAGTGCCTGGCGCCCACTAGGACAAATTGTGTGCATCCGACATTGTTCAATGCAAACCGACCGTCATACAAGGAAAAATTAATTGAAGACCTCAGAAGCAGCTACTTTGCAAATCAGGCAAATATGGTATGAAATAGTTGTGAAAGTGGCACGCATGATGGAAATATTGATGTAATGATACATTGAACAACTACTTTGCTCCTTCTTGTTGAGGACGTTCCGGAAGACCCAACACATAAATACTATCAGCTATACCAGCTTGGAAGCATCAATCCAAATCACAGGAAGTCAGTCCGTGCCAGCAGGCTCTACAAAATTACGGAAAATATTCCTTGATGTCATCACAATCCACAGGACACTGCATCAGCACTAGTGACATTACAGGGATGCAGATTATCAAGAGGCCAGCATCAACCACGAGAAACGACGCAATAGGTCTCAAGATTATAATCGAAAACTATCTCCGCGCAGTTAATTCGTCTAAGCACGATGAAAAAGCATGGCAATCAGTGGAGGCCGAGCTCAAACAAATCGATAATAATGACTATTATGCAATGCGCGACCTCAATATACGCGCAACCGAACTTTTCATTGCTGAGTTAAAGAAGATCTCGGAAGACAATAAAACAAGTCCGAATGCCAAGCAGCTGAGAGCAAATTATGACTTCATGAAAGGCTGTCGAGGGAAACCAGTATTTCCAGTAGAGCCGCAAAACTGTGATTCCGATGAAGTAGATTGATCAATCCGTTTTCCACACTACCAATGACCTGCACTGGACCCCCTTGCTGTATTCATGAGCCGTTACGCATGCTTTTGTAATGATATACTTGTACTGTATTTGACCGTTGGATGGGTGTGTGTAATTTTCTGCAGTGCTCTCATTAAGGATCGTCGACTTGAGTGTGTGTTCGAGTCCACCGACTACGCGTGCCTCCAATAAAGTGATGCCAATCCTGGGCCGTGTCATTGGCTGTGCAACTAGGAGTACATTCGCTCGGATGATAACACATTGCAAAGCAAAAACAACATGGGATTGTAAATCGTCAATTCGTCAATTCATAAGTGCAAAGTAAGAGCAGGGGTATTCTCCATGTAACCTACACAATTGTGGTGACGATAGCAAGTAGCTGAGATGAAACAAGGTCCTAAGTTAAAATGCGCCCAGAGTTGATAATTTCACAAGAGAAATCGAAGGAGATCCCCCGTTCCTTTGCCACCGCACGTGCCATCGGATACGTATTGTCGATGTTGTTGAGGTCAACGTAACTGAGCATATGGGACGATATGTGCTTTAGCCTGCGCGGGGCACGATTGACGAAGAAGTATGTCAGTCGCTCATCCCAGAGCTCCCAGTCCGGTTTCTCGAACGAGGAGTTGATGGTCATCGTCTCAAGGCTATTCGGTAGCTCCATAGCCATACTATTATCGAATGTGTGCCGAACAATGAGCGTCAAGGTCCTTAATCCACGACATGTCTGCAAAATCCGCGCAAGAAGACCCTCGCTGAGTCCCGAACCATTTATCACGAGCTCTTGGAGCGTAGTGAAGCACGGCGCGAGTGCATTGAAGCAACTATTTTCATTATAATAGCAAGATGATAGGTCGAGCGCCAGTGACTTCAATCGAAAACCGTTTTCGCCGTCCCGCGGTCGAGTTAACCAGGTAATGTAAGCCAACGAGAGTTCACTCGCGGTGCCTATCTTCAATGTCACCTTTTCGAGTGATAATGGTGGCGACTCTCCTTCCAATTCTGACGGGGGTACGAAATTCGTATAGGCTGAGCCGACGCCGGAGTATTGAAGGTACAAATGCTTTAACACTTTCATATTTTTTATCTTCTTGCACACGGCACCGAGTAATTGTGCGATGTCACCCGCTTGTACGAGCCGAATCTCCTGTAGCGGCGAGTATTCTAAACCTTCTGCGAAATACCGCAAAGGCATCTCAAACCAGTCTACACATAGAGAAATTGTCTGAAGGTTCGGAATACGAGTAACGAAACGAGCGATGAGACTCCAAACTTCGTTGGCCGAGATGAGTAGCTCCCTACGACTACGTTCGTCGAGTTCCCGGTTATGTCGGAATACGACAGCTTCACGAGTCCAGGCACCAAACAAGGGAGAATTAAGAGCATTCATGACGTGTACACTGCGGACGTCTAATATCAATGAGTCAAACATATGTGAACGCTGAGGGCACTGAATATCACACCTTGAAGAGCAATAATCTTTCCGAGAGCCTTTTGTGCTGGTCGAGTCCAGTCCTTGCAGACCAAACTCATATTTCGGAGGTCTCGGTCTGTCTATCAAGGCGAAATGAGTAAAAAGCGAAGAAATTTTTTTGAGTGCCTACCTTTTCAAACTCGATGCGTCCCATGTAAGGACCGTCTGTATCTCTTTGTACGTGCAACTGGACCTTTCTCTCCTCCGCTAATATATCAACGACTTCATTGAGGATGACTCGGGGGAATGTAAAAGGAAAGCATGGATCCTCGTGAGTACGCTTTGCAGCAGTATGCTCTGCCACACGCGCCCAAACATCCTCTGGCTTGGACAGGGTGATTTCGGCAGGATTGAAATTGGGATGACGAACGAGAGCGAGAACAACCGCAAGAATGGGCGAGGCGAGACGATATGCAAGCGTGAGACTCGCAAGCATGGCGTCAGTCTCTGTGCGGAATGGAATGTACTCTTGAGTGTTACGATTGAACGCCAGGGAGCCCATGAAGGGTAGCCGAGTGTCTGGCATCAAGCATACTGCTGGCGACTTTGAACTCATTAGAACAGCTTCAGGGCAAACAGACTAATAGCGTGGATAGTAAAATGAGCGCGTGCCAGGACGAAGACAAAAAGCAAGCTGCAGCTGTTGTGGTTGTTGTCTGCGGAGGGATGCGCATGACCAAATGTCGGCGTCCGTCAGAGTGGAGGATACGAAACTATATACAGCTCAGCGGTACTTGTTGGCCCGAAGGCAGCTAAACATCATCATCATTTAGTCATTCAACCGTCGATCGTCCCTTCCATTTATGGCCACCACGTTCTGCCTCCGTCTCGTCTCTTTTGACTAACTTTAGTCATAACCAGTTCGTGGTATTCTTGCCTGCCTGAAGACAGAAACACCAGGCCATCGACAATATTCCATTGACTCTCATGCTCTGAACACTGCTGCCACAGGAATGGACGACGTCTGGACTAATGCTTGGTCGCAACCAGAAGAAGATGTTGCCCACAACGTACCCACGAAGCCGAAACTTCACGGTGTGCCTCCATGGTCATTTCCGTCCTCAGCGGCGGGTAAGGAGGAAGAGGCAGATGTCGGGATGCCTTCCTGGAGCACTGGAGAACTAAACTGGACGGAGCCTACAGGCCAGGCGTCCCTATGGTCCAGTACATCTGTCGTGGACGACATTGCGTTGAGTATGGATGGATGGCGTACGTCCTCGGATATGAAGCCGGAATCAGCTCGCAATGACGAGCATACAGAAACGGTTGGATCGGCAGATAGTGTAGGAAATGAGGAGAGCAGCAATGCTACTCCCAGCGCCGAAGAACAAGAATTACGCTCCGAAACGCCTGATTCGTTAGAAACTGCTACTCTACCAGTACACTCGGAACCCAGCCCGTCCGTAACGGAGAAGTCCCCAATTGTTCCGCAAAGTGATCTACCTGTATCCGAAGTGCTTGATAACTCGGATAATTTTGGCTCATTTGTAGACGGTCTCGCGTCAGTCTCGACCAGCTTTGACGAGAGTAATGTGACATGGGGTTCGCCTGCACCTACGTTTAATGATCCAGATGCTACGCATGACGCTTGGGGCTCGGCATGGAACACTCCTGATCTAGGAGACACACAGGAAGAAGAGCCGAAGGATGAATGGGCTATTGCTAGTGAGCAGAAAGCTAAGCGAGATCGAACCGTAGTAAGTATATACATTCAATGATTATATCTATTGGTGAGTACATTACTGATGAACTAGCTAGCCTCCGGAGCTACTTGCTACCATTATGGACCAACTAAATGAATTGTCCGAGGTCTTATGGCATGAAAATGAAAGACCGAACTTTGCCGTCGACTTCGGGAATTGGAGGGATGGCATTAGCAACGTGGATGGACTGCAAGTATCTATATTTCTGTCGTAAACTTCGTAAAGTAATGATTTTTATTTTAGTGGCGAACTTCTACTCAGAACTCTGCCCGATGCACGAATCCAGCCGCCCATTCAGGTTTCCGGGTCCCACACCACAAAGTCAATGGCTAAGAGCCTCAAGTTATCAAAGAACCTACCGGTCGTGCGTAGCAGCCCTATGTCCCATTTGTTTACCACGAAAAGCCTTGCTGCTTGGGAGTTATCCGTTAAAAGCAAGGTGGAGGTGCCGAAGGATGATATACCCGCGGGGTGGAGGATAGTTGCAATAGAGGAGGACCAGGACTTGAAACCTACACAGGTGGAAAAGAAATCAGCGGGCATTTTGTCTTTCTTCAGTAGAAAGGCGTCTACTGCACAAGCACAGACCCCTACTACGAATGGTATAGACTCGAAAAGATCGTCGTTATCCCGTGAAGTATCCTCTGAGACCGCCTCTGGACCTGCCGCTTCAAGGAATAGTAGCGACACAAACTCTTTGTCCAGCAGAATGCAGCACTCGTCTTCGGTATCCAGCTTACCTTCTGTTGCCTCGACGACTCTCCCTTCGTCTCCAGGGGGTTCCTCATCAATGCCACCACCCTCCTCACCTGCTCCTAGCTCCAGCCAACCCCCGGAATCTCCTACTGAACCCGTGGCTTCTCCCGCGCCCTCCGTCGTTTCCAGGTTTTTCAATAGGTTTTCGAGAACAAAAACGAATTCAGGCTCTACCAGCCCGCGAAGCTCTCTTGCTCTTTCGACCGATGACCTCGAGTTCCTATCTGATATCGTGCCGGGTCATACAGACGGCGCTGATGAGGACCGTCAATTAAGTGCTTTAAGTGCTTTTGTGTCTGCTCCAGCTCTGCCATCAAAGCTCCCTCCGCCTCTTGCACCTCCACCGACCTCCTCTGCAAGCCAGTCAGGTACACCACCGCCGTCATTACCGCCTCAAAAACCCCTGCTCTCGGCGGCCAGGCCAAATGTCTTCGGTGATCTTGAAAGTTTGGTGCCTCAGCTGCCTCCGAAGGGTAGTGGACGTGATTCTCCCGCGAATGCTGAAAGCAATGCACGTGCGCTGCCTCCCCCTCTCTTTCCACCTTTGTCTCCCTCAACCGCCACATCATTCTCAAAGCCCCCAACTCCCTCCCCATTATCTGGTGTTGTTCGTAGCACGCCGTCCAGAGCTTCCAGTGTCTCAACTCCATCTCGGATCACTTCTCCCGTACATCTAGACCCTCCTATCAAAGCTCTAAGTGCCCATAATACTGGGAGTGGGCCAAGAAGTTTCTCACCCTTAAGCACTGGCATAATCGGCTCAGGAAGCTCGTTTGTCGGGACGGCAGGGGGTTTACCATATTCACAGAGCCATTATCAACCAACATCGTCTGTACAATCCCCCATCCCTCCTCCACCTATCGAGAAGTCTCCCAATCGATCCTTTGCGCTCTCTGATGCCCATTCCGTTGTTGATGACGACGATTTCTCGGATTTTCAGAGTCATACAGCTTCCTCTATGCGTCTTGCGCAGCCGTCTCGGTCTGAGCCGTTATCGTTCGAAATGAGCTTTGACTCTCCTTCAGACCAGTCAATGTTACCAGAACAAGAAGCACCTGACGATGACGACTCGTTCGGTGACTTCAGCGACTTCGTCCACTCTTCGGCGCCAACATCAATGCCGCGTCCCTTATCAAAGCCTGAACCACCGTCGCCCCTATCTCCACCTGTGGAACCGATAGGTGTATGCCCTCCGCTTCCGAAGAAGCAAGTTCCTGCTAACTTGAACACGCAACATTTACGGAAGCCGTCAGCAGCGGATCATGAAGCAGCGTCTCGGCTCGTCGAGCGTGCAGCTGCTCGCCCTGGACGATGGCCAGCACCTCCCTCGCCGATTCCAGAGCCTCTGTCTCCACCTCCGTCTGGGGGAACGGTTTCTCGATCATCAACTTCTAGTCATTCGCTTCTCGACCTTGACAACGACCGTGTCAAACCGAAACCCCCGGTTACCCAAGCGCGCTCAATCACCCTAAAACCAATAGCACAAATCACCTCTCTCACCAAGTCTGGACGAGAAGGGGGGGCAAGCCCGCCCCTTCTGCCTCCGCCGCGATCGATTTCGAACGGAAAGTCAGTTGCTGAGGCCTCGCTGTTGGACCTAGGAGATTCTCCGAAGCCTGTGAAATCCCATACACCCTCCGCGCAAGGTGCTCGTCCGTCTTCATTTCTGGAGGAGAAACCGAAAGCTCTGTCAACCAGGCCCGGACAAGGTGGCTTATCCGCGCAGGATTTATCTTTCTTTGAAGGACTATAGCAATTCTTTACATTGTTTACTACATCATTGCGTCCTTTTTTAATGCAATATTACGGAGTGGGTTTTGTATTTTGGTGGAGCTTGGTTTGCCTGTAATGTATCACATAGTGCCCTCTTTGTATAGGTCTCTTTTTTTTCACATACTAGTTACCCGGCCTGATGATGTTCCAGGCGGACTGATGATTATCAGGTACTGTAGTCAGGAGGATCGGAGGCATTGTCCGGCCAATGCCGGTTTCGATAATTCTGCAATAAATCGAATATTTGCATTGCTCCGCTTCCAACTACGCGCGCTGCTGCGTGCTCTCTGCTTCCATCCACCACCACCATGGCCACGGATATGCGGGCAAACATGCTTGAGTGGGATGAGCACGACGTCCATCTCTGGTTGGCGAAGCTAGGTTATCCGCAGTACGAGCCGCAGATACGCGGTGCGTCGCATGCAATGCGTCGATTGGCCTTCATGTAGCACCCGCTGACTTCGGTAATGTGTAGAACACCATATCACGGGCGATATTCTTTCGCAACTCGATGCAGAGACACTCAAGGAGATTGGAATATCAACGATTGGGCAACGGCTGGCGATTCTCAAAGCCGTCTATCAACTTAAGCTCTCACAGGGTATTGAGATAGAGCCCGGGCAGTACGTGCCTCCTTGTGAGTTGCAAGCTTCGGGCCGCACATACTCTGCTTATTGATATTTCCCTGAAGCTGAGCTAGAAGATACTGAGGAGCCGTTGACCCTCCCTCGGTTGCATGATATGGTGAAGGAACAAGGTGCGTCATAGTCATCGGCTAGTGCGCACTCCAACAATGCTTTTGCTTACGCCTGCTCGCTTGCGAAACTGAACATGCAGGGGAGCGTTTAAGAGCTGTTGAGGACGAAAACCGACGACTGAATGAAAATTTGAACCAATGTATGGAAGAACTCTTACGAATATCGGGTCAAGGTCGTTCGGGGCCGGTGAGTTTCCGTGCGAATCTACGGCTACCCTGCTGGCAGCCCTGTTCTAGTATCGAATTTATGAACTGATTCCGGGTTCATGCAGAGTGATGATCGTTCGTTGCGGAAGCAACCTTCCTTCAAGTGGGCACAGTTCAGGAGCGCCCGCTCGCCTACCAAACAAGAGTCGAGCGCAGGGCACTCGGAGTCGCCTCATCCCTCACCTCAGAAGTCCGAGTACGATATGTCTAATGGTCGAACTACTCAGCCATCGTCATATCATACATCCTATGATCGATCTGCTCCTTCACGCCAAGGCACATACGGCGCAGTAACCTCATCTCCGGACACTGCTGGGACACTTTCAAGCCAGACAAGCAGGCAATTGACAGCGCGTCCAGATCCTCCCAGTAACAATCCTCCTACGAGCATTAGCACTTCCTCGGATAATCTCAAGAGTTTCAAAGTCAGCTTGGAAGATCCGGCTTGGAAAGTACTTCCGGCAGCTCTCAAGAAATACAAGATTAATAATGACGACTGGCAAAACTACGCAATGTTTATTTGTTATGGGCAAACTGGTATAAAATCACGTTCACTTATCGATACTTATTCTGACTGTTTGTTTCAGAGCGCTGCTTAAGCTACGATGAGAAGCCGCTCCTCCTTTTCCAGAAACTCAAAGACGCGAAGAAGAACCCCGTCTTCATGCTCAAACATATAAAGGATATTCGATCACCCATTGCCGTGGCACAACAGAAACACGCAGCGCGAAAAGCTTCAGAGTCTTCTCCAAATACCAGGCCTTCACAATCACATGCTCGTTCCATGTCAAGACCTAGCAAGCTTAACACAACTACACCTCCCAATGCCACGTCTAATGGGCAATCGTCGTGGCCTGAACTCATGTCGCCTGCAACAGAGCAAAAGGACAAACTCGACGAATTTGGCGCGGATGCAAACAAGTATCGTACTGGCGCTGGTGGAGCCTCGGGATCCGGTACCGGCTCTGGTGGAGGAAATGAAAATGACAATGCAGAAGCATTGGCGAGTGCGAATCGCCAAGAAACAATATCAGGTATTTCGTACGCGGTAGCCATATACCCGTATATGGCCGAGCAAGAAGACGAATTTGACGTCGTCGTGTGAGTGGTTCATATTCTTACGATTTTTCGCGGATCTTGAACTGCTTACCAGTGGAGACACGTTTATCATTCTCTCACGGGCCCGAGGGTGGTGGGTTGTCCAACGAGACCCATCAGGAAATGGGATCCTCGATACCGATACGAGTAAGCAGGGATGGGTACCTGCTGGATGTCTTCTTGAGACAAACGTACCTGTCGCATCTGCCATTGCGGAGGCCAACGCTGTGCGCGCGTCTGCAAATGGTTCACCCCCTTCATCACCTGCGTCCAAAACACCCATTCTTCCACTCAGTATCCTCTCAACTAGTTTCCCTGGCATAGCCCTCATGGATTATAGAAAGAAGGGCGATGAGGAACTAGACTTGGTGAAGGACGACCTGCTTCGAGTTTTCAAACGATATAACCATTGGTCCTATGTAAGTTTTATGCATTTCCCGCTATAAATAGTTGCTAATCTACATATTATTCAGGCCGTTAAGGAAGACGGCGGAGATCGTGGTTGGGTTCCGGTGAGTGACTTCGTGATTCATCATCATTGATAACCTGTCTAATTAGTTTCCTTTAGTCATGGTTCATTGGGAAAGTCACCAGTGCGGGACAGGTTCCCTCCACACCATCGACTTCGGTACCGGCGAATGGCTCTTTGTCGACACAAGTCGCACTTGATTCGGATTTCCGTTACGCAGGACCGGACGGCAACGCACCTGGCAACCAAGTTTCGCCAATGTCATCAGCATTCCCTCCACCATCTCAGGCCCATCAGCGAACTGCAGTAGTATGATGTTCGGTATCCAGCGCCCAAGATATCAATAGATTCAAGGCGCTTCGCTATCATTACTGCTGATATCACTTACGTTCTCTGGGATTTTCACCGCTGTTACGCTCTTCTGTCTCCCCTGCTTTAGGTATCAACATATCAACAGGTCTGTTCTGGTACGGCTGGGCGGCCTGCTTGAGCTGTATCATTATTATATGCCACCACGGCTCTTTCACATTCCTCTAACGATTTTTGATGGTCTCCTTCCAGTTGCTTTCTCGCAGATCTTATTCGTCTTTTTCTTCTCTTTCTTAATGGATCGGCTATTTGCCAATTTTGTGTAATATATAGTTATGCCTTGTTCTGGCTCTCTCTACCCTCTCTTTTCATATTTCGTTTTACGGCTTAGTGTTTACTTTCATCTTTGTCCATACATCTCGTTCGTTCATGCTCTCGTATACCTGCATGTGTCAACCTGTATTTGCAATCATCAGATGTTATGATCTTTGAGCTACTCTTTACGTTTCGGAGGGGATTGTGTAAATGACGCTAGTCAGCAGTTTCTCATGGCAACCACAGGGAGAGAACAGATTCTTGTTTCAGTTTCTCTGCGTGGAGTTGACTGGCATGTGGGTGGCAAATAAAAGAGGGTAGAAATAGATACCAATTATACGAAAGACATGCATCAAGGATTCATCACAGATTTCCTTTATTATAAGCTTTCTGGAGCAACTCAAATCCAGATGACTACACACGCAGTTGTATCCATCCCACATACTTACATATTACATTGAGGGGACTTTACCTTATCACCATAATAGGAAACTCTGAAACAACGTGATCAACTCGTGTTTAGCCTCTTCCCTCATCATGTCTTCCCCCACCAATTCTCCTCCGAGAACCTACTTTCCCCTACTACGCTTCAGTTCTTTACTAGGAGTTCATACCCTCCTTCTCTTGTTCACAGCCCTCTTCTTGCCCCGCTCAACCTTCTTGCTCTCGGCAATACCACCTCAAGCTTCTTCTAGGGATAAACCTCAGCATCCTTTTCTGAGTGCACTTACAGCAGACCCTGCCGTAACTCTCGTATGGCTTTGCCTCGGTGTAGGCTTCGTTCAAGGATCTTGGGCGTCATGGGTTAAACTCGAGTCGGACAATGCACGCATGGCCCTCTTCGGAGAGGATGAAGAAGCGCGATTAAAGCGTGCAATGAACAGAGGAGACGATAAACTCCAGGTGAGCCAATCAATCATTGTTATTGAGATTCAAACCTCATTAGGCGTGTTAGTCCATGAAAGATGCGATAGTCTCGACTCTCGCATGCTCAATTTTTATTCACGTGGTTTTAATTCTCTTCGGGGCACCAATTACAGAGCACGTAGAATTGTTGATTCTACGAATGATTCCTTCATGCTAAACTCGCAACATAACAGGCACTTCTTGAAGACCTTCCTTCTCGCGACGATACTTTCCCTGCTGTTGGTATTCCCTAGCGTTTATACTCTCAGGTCTCCGTCACTAGGACCGAGCTCGCTTGTGCACCGCATGATGTGGATACGACTATTTGCTGAACTTTCGTGAGTAGCATCACTGTCTTCTTAAATATCGTTTTTCCGATATACCTTTCTGCAGACCAAAGACAGCACATGAACGCCTGCTTGTTTATCCTACTGTCGGTGCTGCACTTGGTGCGTGGCTCGGTGTCTTCCCTATTGCCCTTGACTGGGATAGACCTTGGCAGGTAAGGATTTCCCCTATTAAGAAATCTTCGGAATATTCAATAATAGACTGTGACAGGCCTGGCCGCTAACACCTGCATACGGAGCAATCACAGGACATATCGTCGGCTCATGGGTTTCGCTGATTTATAGTGCTATCCTTTCCCTCGCTGAGGTGGATAGGAGTATAGGAGAAGGAAAGATGGATGCACGACAGCACAAACGGATGAAACGAGGAAAAACAGCTACGAAGAAAACTAAACCCGGGGGGGGGGTAGTTGAACAAAACTAGGTTATTTACTTTTTAGTATCGATTTTAGAGTTCGGCGAGAAAGCCCTACATGCCCAATAATGCATCAGAAGGCAATTGCTTCAGATGCTCATGGGCAATGCACGGGATGACCACTGATATTACGAGAATATTAATGCCTCTACTTGGACTGCCTCAACGGCCGCATTATTCTCTTATCTCTTGGTAAAACAGTACTCAGAGGCTTGTACCCTACTGGGACAGTATCAAGCACAAGCATAAAAAATATACGCTACCCCATCTTAACAGTACAGTGCGGAGCTATTTACACGCAGCGTGCAAGACCTCTCCAATGTAAGTATGTGCAATAGATAGCACCAACTCGCTATTGGCCCATAGCACGTCATTAATCTTGTCTTCTTTGCAGCAAACGCTGATAGGTTAAACCCTGGTGCAATGTGAGCTTGAGTGGCAAAGTCAGAGCCCAAATAGGTGCACTAGCCTCTAGGCATCCACAGGCAGTCACAGTAAGGCCACTAGTCTCTTAGCTTTATTGCACGTTTTGCACCATATTATGAGTATAAATTCACTGTATCCAGTATAGCTCTCTTCACTTACTTCTTCCTTTAATTGCTGCATAAGTACTTGTTTTTACCTGTCCATTTTCCATAGTATCCATCTGACTAGTACGCTATCTAGTACTAATATGACTGACAAGACTGACAAAACTGTCGTTATTGACATACCGGATGAATATGAAGGAACAGATGGCAATTTAAGGACTGGTACATATTTTTTGCATTCATTCACAAGGTAGTTACTCATACATGGACATCTTGTGAACAGCTGTAGCCTGGAAAAAACGTAAAGTATTACATTTTTACACTGACATAATTACTTACTACTAGGCTGTCTCATCGATCCCAAATAGAGTGGGCCATAGTTGACATTAATCTGCTCAGCTATGCCAAATCAAAAGATGGTTTTAAATTTGACAGTGAGTGTTCTCTGTTGTTATTTTATAGTACAACACTGTTTACAATCATAACTTTATTAAAACAGTACAGGTACATCCAGAGAGGGTGCCTGAAGGAGGAAAAATTGTTATAAATATTCAGGTTGAAATTAAACGCGAGAGTCTGAGGGAAACAAGGTCGACAAGAACCTTTAATCAGCTTTCTCAAACAATCTTTACAACACTTATATCTTATAGAAAACAGGGTTATTCATTCAATCCAGGGTTAGAAGCGATGTTCAATCTTTAACTAGATAATTCCTGCTGCTCTGAAGGATAAATGTATTGGTATCCGTGTTATTTGAGGATACTCATAGAATGCAAATGCAGTACAACTTGCCCTAGAGATTTAATCATTAATATTATTATTAAAAAAGCACCAGAGTATTTACTCTGTGATTGATACGCCTTTGGTGTGGGCAAATCGCTTCTGTTAATCCAAAGATCTCTTTAAGCCAGAACATCGCTGTTCCTTCATAAGGTTATGTTCGTTAATCAGCAGAAGCATTGGCAATGGTTTCAATATGGCTAGCCGAGCAGACACTAAACCTACGTAATTGAGTAACAATCGAATATCAAAGAAACTGATGCTTTAGTGGTTAAAGAATAAGATGAATCTCACTTGACATTGTTGTATCAAAGGGGGGTGTTCCCAAAATGTGACTTAGCTGCTCATAGAGTGAGGCCACCTGTGCTGTCCAGCGATGTTGCATTTGCGTATCTTTTGTACCGTTATTTCTTCAGAATGACTGCTTTCGATGATGTCGGCAGCTACGAAATGACGGAGCACAGATCGTAGCTGTTAGCTAACCATCGAGAATGACGACCCCGTACAACTAGTCGACGTCATCGAGACGAATTTAATTGTACAGAATCATTGCATTGCACTAAAGCCCCTAGACATTGTCAAAATTGGATTATAATACACGGACATAAGAAGCAGGGAACAAGCCAGTCTTCCCGTCGATTTCACCAGTCCACCTGAAAGTCAGTAAAGGACAGAAGAAAGAAATCAATGAGGAGTATAATTCAAGTCGACTGGAGGTAGGACGCACCAATCTTCTGAATCCTTGGACACGATCCTTACATGCTCCTGAGCCTGGATTACAAGGTCGCCGGGTTCCTAATATCGAGCATTAGTTACCATTGAGATTGATACAGTTAAGAACAACATTAAAAGAGTGTAAACGCACCCCGCTATTATAATCATACAATGCCTCCGCCCATTCTCCCTGTTCCTCCGGTTCCGCTTCAGGTTCCGGCGAAGGAGTGGAATCAGACGTGACTCGGCGCGACGGAGGAGGCGCAAAGTTGTTTTGACGTTTTTGAAAAGCAGATGGTAAAGGCGGGGCAACAGAAGGTGGACCCTTTTTCTTGTTTACGGTGCTATTCTTCACGGAAACGAAACTGGCTTTGAGAGATGTGGTGTCGACGTCGCCCATGGCCTATACAGGAGGAGAGATCATATCATGTTAAGTAAATTATCAGCATCTTGTGCAGAGGTAAGGTGGAACATACCCGCCGCTGAACAAGTCCGCTCGCACTACTCGTCTTCTTAGGAAGCGGTGGACCTCCAGGAGGAGGTAGAGCATCCTCATCCGGTTCTTCTTCTTGCTCCTGTTCCTGGGATGTTGAGGATGTTCGACGCGGAAGTGCTGGCGGGACATTTCGCGGAGCAGGCGGTGGTGGTGGAGTGCTGCGCGTACCAGGTGAAGGTACAGGTGGTGAGGTATTCTGTGCGCGATGTTGGAAAGCGAGAGATGCAGCGGCGACACGGCCGACAGAGCTCGCGATGGCGGGATTCGACGCCTATTTATCATACATACTTTAATATCAGTGATTCACTCGATGTTCGATGGACTATATGTGCGTACCGCATTTGCGAACGCGCTGTTTTTCACCGCGCTGTTCTGCGCACCATGTCGCAGGCCCGATGAAACGAGGTTGGCTGTTGCCTCCGGGTTCGTGGCCAGGGCACTGTGCACGGCAGACGCAGCTGCACTTCTCGAGCTTACACCACTCGTATTTTCTGAGCCACCAGATCCACCGAGGCTGGCAAGGAGTTCTGGGCGTGAAGCGAAGTATCTGTGCAAGACGACGTTTGAACATGATTCGTTCAGATCAGCGGATTCGAAGAGTTAATGTTTGTCGACGTACTCGTCCAAGAGGTCGAAGAATGCCTGTTTCTCGTGCGCTCCCAGATTTGAGAATACCATTGATGGGAAATGGGAGTGTGGACGAAGAGTCACTTCTGTTTGGTCCAGTTCTTATTATACTCACAACGACGGCAGTCAGACCAACTCGATAGCATAAACGAAGCTAAGTGCATCAGCGCCGGGACGCACTGCATACAACTCCCGTTCATTTCTCAATTTTAGTATTTTTTTACGTGGAAAATAAAAGCATGTGAAAGACACCATAGAAGTCATATATTATACTACCATAAAAACTCGTATCCTATAAGGAACAACGTATACAATGATACATGTTCGAATACATCGTGCAGTCATCGGGGTTCATTAGATTCGGTCAATGCTACATAGGCCGGGACATGCATGCTCGGGGTTTAATTACCGATGATGAACGAGGGGAGGAATGCTGATACAACGACGGGATGTTAGTACATGGAGGCCGAGGAGTAAACTACTAGTAGAAAGAAAAGAGGGCCAGTGTGGAAAGATACAGAAAAAGACAGACCAACCCTTTACCACTCACCCTTCCACCAGCGCCTTTTGTGATCGTGATGGTCGTGCTGGCCATAATCTTCGCGATGATCGTGGTGGTGTCTGTGCTTGTGTTCTCGATGTCCGTGATGACCGTACTGCCGTTCCCGATCTCGTTCACGTTCATATTCATGCCCTTGCTTGATGTTCGCTAAACCCAAGTGGAAGTCGGAACTCTCAGGCACGCGCATGGATTCAACGTGTACTAACCTGCACTGTAAGGACCAGTTGGAGAAGTAGGGGTAGTGGGAGAGTATTTCATGTCTTGTCTCATAGAACCTCGATCGCTTGAGTGGCGAGACGTATTCAGAGGTGCAGGAGGGCCCGAGTAGGGGGGTGGCGGAGGCAGATTCCTTTCGACATAGCTTCCGGAAGGTTGTTCTACGCCGTTAATTAGGTATCGTTCTTGTCCATCTGGGTATGAATAGGTGACATGCTCATTGCCCTAATTTACCGATACGTAAAGATAAGGGTCGCTAGTTGTGCGGTAGAATGAGACCACTCACGTTTGAGTCCGTGCGCTTTAACACACTTTCTGTTACCCCATTGACTGTCCTTGTCATCTTGCTCTGGGAAACCCATTGCGGATTCCCATCCGCTCCGCGTGTAAGCGTTCCGCGGGATGAACTTGAGAAGCTCATTGAATGACCATGCAGCGGCCTGCCGGATTGATTGAATGGATCGGTCGAGGGTGGAAGCATTCCGAAAGCAGGATTGCCACCCATCATCCTATCAAACAACGAACTATGGCCGAAGGGTGTACGAGCGAATGGACTACCTGCAGAAGGGAAAGGAACGCCAAAGGACGGGTCCTCGAATGAATGTCGCATGTCACCGAATATTTGGTCAAAGAGGGCAAAAGGATCAGTGAACCCAAAGAAGGGATCGTTCCGTGGACGAGAGCGCGAGCCAAATGGACGTGCAAAGAAGGGATCGTTGAAGAAGGGGTCGTTGAAGGAACCTCCGAATCCATGCCTATGGTGATGTGCGTGAGGATGGTGCCGATGTCGATGATGAGCTTGCTCTGCGTACGGGTCTTGCTCAACTTCTGGGGGAGGAAATTCTCCGTATCTGTCGTAAATCTAAATGGAAGTATCAGCACTGCCAAACCAAGAAACCGCTTGATCGCAGTTTATAGCTTACCCTCCGCTTCTCCTCATCTTGGAGCACTTCGTATGCGTTATTCACCTGTCGACTGGTCAAGCTCGTTACATCGTAATTATAGAAGTAATATACGCACTTTGCGGAACTGCTCTTCAGCACGTTTTTTGTCCTTGTCCGATGCGCCTGGCGGCAACCTGTCAGGGTGTGTTCTGAGTGCCGCCTTGCGGTACGCCTTCCGTACTACAGGACCAGACGTGAGTCAGCTATACGCGTGCACGTTGGTCAACAGTCACGCACTATCTTCTGGAGGAGCATCTTTGCTAACTCCTAGAGTCTCGTAGAGCTGCTTCGCCATCGTTGAGAGAAGGGAGAGATGGAGGCAAGAAGAGGATGGAGCACAGGCTTAGGCAGACATGGAGTGTCCGTATATGTACTGCAAATATATCTGATTTCAAACTCCGCCCGTCCAATGAATCTAGAAATTTCTGAGTTGAGAACTGAATCGGGAAAAACTTAACTCAGCTTCCTACCCTTGAACATCACGACAAACTCGTGGTTGCCTTGCTTTCACCACATCAAGTCCACATGCGATACCAGGAGACGATCTTGTGCTCCTCGGGTGCATCGTCCTCAAGCCAAGGATTGGGCGCAGTCACCGTCCACGACTTCAACACTGGATCTTTGCTGGTCTCCTTCAAGCAGACATGTTCAGAGCCCCACTCCACTTCTATTCTTCAGACAAAAAATGGCCAGGGTGGATTCATCCTCGCTGCTCAGCCAGATAAATCAATCCTGAATGCTTACTACTTCCAAAAAGTACGGGCCGTTTAACAAGGGTATTGCTCCCAAAATCTTACAAAATATGTCCCAGGATCAAATTGCGTTGAAGATGGTCCTACCAGAGAAGCTGTCCTGTATTGCAATAGATAAAGCTGGAGACTATTGCGCGGGCGGAACTGCGCAAGGCCGCATCTATCTTTGGGAGGCTAGTCAATTTCCGGTCCGAGTATGAGATGCACATCTTGAACACCTTTAATAGATCGCTTCCGGTATTCTCGTTAATGTTTGGGATGCTCACTATCGCAAAGTCACTGTCCTGCGTTTCACACGAGATTGCGCGGCGCTCATATCCGGAAGCGAGGACTCGGGCATCTCCGTTTGGTCCATCTCAAGGTACGTTATGAGATTATCATAGTTAGCGGTCTTGAAGGGTACCTGGCATGAATCTGATATTAATCCGCAACTCAGTCTTTTGTGCAATGAGTCTCAACACGAGACTCCGACTCCGTACTGTAACCTGTCAGATCACACTTTACCAATCACCGATATTGTCTGCGGCGTCGGTTCTTTCCCAGCATGCCGCCTCTTAACTTCATCAATAGACCATTCTGTAAAAGTTAGTAGCAAACGAAGCTCTGCCATGCTTGCGTCATCTATGCGAGAAAGAAGTCTCATTCATGACTCATCACTTTAGCTCTGGGACCTATCGTCTCGTACTCTTCTAACGACATTCCTATTTCCATCCCCGATACACTCGCTTGCGTTTGAAACCGCCGAGCGCACATTCTTCGCCGCATCCTCGGAAGGGACCGGCCCAGATGCTGGTGGTACCGTATATCAGGTTAAGCTCTTTCGAAGGCGTGATCCTGAAAATAACGGACATGGGGTCGAGGCATTGGGAGGAGGAGGCGTGGGCGAAGCTATTCGTCTCGACGCAGACCCGAAGCGCGTGATTTTCGTTGGGTTCGTTGACTTGTTTCTTAGATTCACCCCCTCGTACCTTTGTCGATCTTCCTGATCCTATATGCCACCACATCCGGTATTGCCCCAGGATATATCTTTACTGACACACTCAAACAGGCAACCAATTTCGACCCTCGCTCTATCTCTGACGCGGTCTACGTTACTCGTCGGTACCACTACGGGAGAAGTGAATCTATATGACATAGCGTCGCATCAATTATTGCGTACGATTTCGCCGGTTAAAGACAAGGGACAAGGCCTATCTATCACCCATATCGAGTGTATGCTCAAGCCGCCAGACCTGATAGGACATATTAGTCTTGGTCTCAACGTTGGCGGGATAACGAGTGTCAAGGACGTCATGCCTACGAGACCCATTGCGCCATTTCAAAGAGTACGAGACAGTAAAGCACGGGAAGCTCATGAGGTCCCTATTATACTACCGTCACAGAACGAGGTTAGCTGCCTCCTTGGACTGTGTTTTCCTTGTGCCGTTATTCGTATTATGATATTTATTTGCTTACCTCTCACTCGTCTGCAGCCATACGTTGATCCGACCATTTATACTACCGAAGAGCTCCTGCGAGATCAAGCAGTGTTTTTACAATCGCACATACTACCGGATGCAAACGGCGGCACGCAGAATTCTCTCCTTGCTCAGCAAACACGGCTAGCCGAACTCGAAAGTGAAGTGCAGCGATTACGGACGCAACTTACGAAAGCTAAAAATGTGAACGACGCGATGTGGGAAGCCGTCGCTCAGCGCATCGTGTCGGACAAGAAGGGTTCTATCGCGACGCTTCCTGTTAACGGCTCCTGATCATCACATCGTCTTTCTTATTTTCCTTTCCTGCGTGTCCAGTTCGTGGATGCATTAAAGCCTGATTTAGCTTGATTAGAGCTTAGAAAAGGTACCCTTCAGATCGTGTTCAGCACGTAGCACTCAGCACGAGGGAAACAGGTTTAGGGAAGTCGGGAAGTCGTGCCGTCCCATGCAGTTCGTGCTTCCCAAGCACTATAAATTACGAACATCTAGCCGATCATGAACTGGTACTGATCTACTTGAACATACAAAGAGAGGTCACGCAGAACGTCTTCTGATAATTATTGATTCTATATCGCAGTCAATCCAGTGTCATGTGCCATATCTCCCTGTTTTTTCGGGATTTTAGTATAATCTACTTCTAATGATCTCCGTTCACTTCGTACTTTACGGCTTTGATCTGTCTGGCGGAAATGAAGTGTCTTCTGAAGACTTTATTGAGAAGCATGTAGAAGAACTTGGAGTTGACCCGTGCTCGGGATAGACTTGAAAACCAGGAGTCGTGCAATTGTGAAGACAGAGAAAGTGCGGGCACGATGGTTCATCTCTTTCAATCCAATCGAAGACCGACTCCTATTTGAACCTTGAGCTGTGAACCAGTCCCGTCGAGGCTTGTGTTGCACGTTCTGTCGATTGCATTCGCACCTGTCTGAGCATATTGTTAACGGAAGATACATAGCTATATGTTCCACATCAGTGTGGAGTATAAAGACTGGCTTGCCGTTAACGTTGAGAAAACTAATGAGCATAATCGGTATTGGAGAACTAGGACATACAATAGATGTCCAGCAAGACATAGATTGTCCATCTTTAAGAGGTTAACAGGATCCCATGAAACATGCTCTTTACAATGATAAGTTTATGCATAAGTTTACAGGGTAGTCTTCGTCTTGAATTGTAGAAAAGTCATCGAAAATAATTATCACATGCCCAATTATAGAAATCCGTATATGGAAGGACATGCCGTGGTGCCGCTCAGTAGAGAGGCGGCCTCAACAAACGCTCACCACGCGTTGTATCTATCTCTTGTTTCCTTCGCGTATCATAAAACTGGTCTAAGTGCCTAACTACACCTTGTGCGGGAAATACGAACAAGATCCTGGTGCCGGGAGTTTATCACAGGGATTTTCTTGACAAGACCAACAACGCACTTCTTGTCCATGCTCTTCATTTGAAGCAATAATCCGAAGAGAACTCGTGGCTAATTGTACTTGCTGCACGGTGGCACCGACAAGATGGATGCTGTTGAAAAAGCTAATGCTGCTCGACAAAGGAAATGGTCAGCCCACACATTTGTCTCTGCGGTATCATGCTCATGTATTTGTATTAGGATTAAGGATCAGAAGGTTGGAGAGGGTACCTATGCCGTTGTGTATCGAGGTAAGTCGAATTTTGTATTTCGTTTTTCGGGTTGCTGAGAACATGTACGTTCCATAGGGCATGACGCAGACTCTGGACGAAAAGTCGCCATCAAGAAAATCAAGGTCGGGCAATTCAAGGATGGTCTCGACATGTCCGCTGTTCGGGAGGTGAAATATTTGAAGGAGCTGCAGCATCAGAATGTCATCGCAGTGCGTACCCAAGCCTTGCGTTGCTGTCTTCTCGCATTAACCGAGGCTGCTCTAACAGCTTTTCGACGTGTTCTCCTCTAAAACTAATCTTAACCTTGTCCTGGAATTCCTGGATGCGGACCTAGAGCTCATTATCAAGGACCGGTCCATCGTGTTCCTACCAGCGGATATCAAGAGCTGGTTAGCAATGACTTTCCGAGGTCTAGAGTTCTGTCATAGGAACTGGATTCTGCACCGTGTATGTTAATCAAGACATGAACTATTGTCTAACGCTGATAGCTGTACTCAGGACTTAAAACCCAACAACTTGCTCATTGCATCAGATGGTCAACTAAAAATAGCCGATTTCGGTCTAGCTAGAGACTTTGCAGACCCAGGGTACAAAATGACTTGTCAAGTCATCACGCGGTGAGGCCAGACCTGGCATTCAAGTCCCAAGTTGTTCTGAAATGTACCCTAGATGGTATCGACCACCAGAGTTGCTATTTGGCTGTCGCTATTATGGTACTGGCGTTGACATTTGGTCCGTTGGATGTATTTTCGCCGAGCTTATGCTTCGAATACCTTACCTACCGGGTGAAAGCGACATGGACCAGCTGAAAACTATCTTTCGAGCGCTTGGGACGCCGACGGAAGATGAATGGCCGGTTTGTACCCCATTCTTCTACCTCTAAAATAGCTCCTAAGGACTCTGCTAAACCTCATTCCTCTCGTTAGGGTCATACAAAACTGCCTGACTACGTAACAGTGGGCCAGTTCCCTAAACCAGCACTGCGGGATCTCTTTACAGCTGCAACTCCCGAAGCGTTGAACCTCCTCAGTCGATGCCTTGTCTACGAACCACGTAAACGTATCTCATGTAAAGACGCACTCAACCATCCATACTTCTTCGCACCTCCCTACTCTACGCATCCCTCCAAACTTCCGAAGACCGCCAACCAGCTTGCTCCACGTCCACTAGAAGAAGTTGACGGCAACGTGGACCAAAACGCTCCTGGCCTGGCCGTAAAGGCGAGTGCACCTAATACCAGCCGACTGAAACGTAAGGCCTCGATTACAGATGCGGAAACACGTTCTGTTGCTCGTCGATTGGACTTTACCAACATCAAATCGCCTTAAGCGTCCTCGAGGCATCTTAATTTCTGTATCTTTTCGGTCTGGTCTGTTTTATTGTGTCGGTTCTGCTGTCCAGTTTTCGCACACAGGTGTTTCTTTTATGACCCATCGCAAGTCGCCCCTTATAGCATTTCTAGAAGACGACTACGTGTACAACACTTTATAATACATTGTATGAGATTCAGCAAAAGTGAGAAAGCGAGAGAGAAAGAAAAGAAAAGAAAATGACACAGCGTTGAGAAAGTAAAATGTAAGTACAGAAGGTAAATATGCGTGCTTGGTATCGCGGGAACCGAAAGAGAAAACAGGGAGAACAATAACCGGGAAATAACAGTCGTGGTGTCGTCCATCGACCATGGCGAACTACCGTGGTGCTTCACAAATTGTACATTTTTCAGTCGCAGACGCTGGATTACTGAGCATGCAGGTTCCACACGTCCAAGTATCACCACCACCGCTCGTTGACTTGGGAGCCATCCCTGCCGCAGCCCAATCAAAGGCCTTCGGGACGGTAGTTGTCGGAGGAGGCATTGCTTTCGGAGCGGGTGCACTAGCGCCTGGCTTTGCACCAGGTCGTGGAGTTTCGCAGATCGTGCACTTCTCAAGAGCAGTCGGAGGGTTCTTCAACATGCAGCTCGAGCATTCCCAGGTACCACCAGAAGGCGCTGAAGGCGCCTTCATCCCGGCTGCAGCGAAATCAAAGGCTTTCACTGGGGCAGAAGATGGAGCAGAAGCGGACGAAGAGCCCGCAGACGTCGTCGGCGGCTTCGTTGCGTTTCCCGCTCCGGGACGAGGTGTTTCACAGATTGTGCACTTCTCAAGTGCAGAAACAGGGTTTTGTAGCATGCAGCTTGAGCATCGCCAGTCACCGCCGGAAGGAGCACTACTCTTCAGACCTGCTGCAGCAAAGTCGAATGGTTTTACGGCCGGGGCTGGATTAGAAGGTCCTGCAGTACTGGTTACCTTCGCTTTCGAAAAGTCAAAGGTCGGGAGCGCAGAAAGAGGTAGGGCTTTTACGGCTTCACGAACTTCCACATGGTCAACGACAGCTGGTACCCGAGAAGTATGAAAGACGAAAGTGGGGAGCTCCGACAAAGGCAGTGACAGGGCAATTTCCTTCGGGTCCCTCTTCTCCTGGATTTCGCTGAGAGGAGCACTCGGAGTTGTCATGCTAGAGGTCTCCGATGGTGCTGACGTCCCGGATTCTTTAGGCGTTTCATTCTCGTCATCATCTGGAAGGAATGACGTGCGCAACTTTGAGGGCTCTTTTGGTAGGTTAGAATTTCCGGGACCTAGTGCGGATGCCTTCGACGGTCCGAAGTGATTGCTGGGTACGGTAGTAGGTGGAGTACGGACAGGAACAGATGGAGGTTCTTGCGGTTCAACCACCTCTGTTGGCCTCACATAAGACGCCGTTCCAGAAAGAATATCTTCCTCGTCGGATACTTCCTCTACCATGACTGTTCGTGGCTTCTTTGCCGGCGGTGCATCATCAACGAGTTCTTCAATAATAGGTTTACTCGTACTCTGGGACGCAGACGCGTTTGCCGCCTTTGATTTATTGAAACCAGGTGGAGGTCTACTGCGTGTATAACCCTTCGGAACGGACGCCTCGATTTCATCCCTTATACTCGGTGCTTTCTTTTCTACCTCATCCGATCTAGTGACCTCTTTGTCTTCGAAAATCCTCGATCTTCCCCTCCTCTCAGACATGCGCTTCTTCTCCATGGGTTTATATACGGGTTTGACGGGAGCAGCTGTCTGATACGGATTTGCAACGTCTGGTTGCTTGGGTGGTGGTGTCACTTTCTCAATTACTTCGGATAAGAAGCTCGCTGAGAAAGTCTGGTTCGCGCTCGAACTGGCACCCACGCTCCCATTTATACTTGAGGTCGACGGAGAAGCACGCATCTTGCTAGGTGGCGATGCGGGTGGTGAGCCATTCACAACATTGCGTAACGGAGACGATACATAAGGAGCAGCATGAGCTCGGACGATACCAGCACGAGGAAGTCTAGGTGTAGAAGGACCAGCACCGTTCAATCTAGAGGCGGGTGCGCTTTGAGACGTAGACATGCCAGACTGTCCGCTTGGCTCCTCATAAAGTTTGCGACGTTTAGATGTATCAGGTTTAGGTGTCTCCGGAGCAGGCCGGCGGCGACTTTGCGCTGGTGTGCTACGTGCTCTTCCTCCGCCCCTCCAGACTATCGACCCATTAGGATCCTTCCTGAGCATCCGTCTTGGTGCACTTGCAGAGCGATTCGCTGAAGCATTGTTTGTGAACGTTGGGAGAGACATCGAAGAGGTGAAAGAAGCGGAGGCAGCGGCATCGACTGGTGAAGGCGTTGGTGTTGCAGATTCGTGCGAGCCAAACCGTAGCTTTTCTGGTTCATACGTGCCTGCAATCGAGGTTACTTGACTATTCAAATTGCGGGCCAAAAGTATTACTTACGTTCTCTCTGATTCTCTACAAATGACTGAAGTCCCATGACTTCCATTTCATTTAGTGCAGAGCGAGTCTTCATTTTTTGCCTCGCCCATTCCACAATAGAATTGTACGAGCCGAAACACAGATCTTCTGGTTCATGCGTGCCTGCGTACAAAATTATTAAACTGGTGGCCTCGCGAGCAAGGAAAACGATACTTACGTTCTTTTAGTCTTTCAGCGAACGACTTCAGCCCCATGACTTCCATTTCGTTCATAGGAGTCTGCCTGTCCAGTTTTTGTTTGGCCCAATCAAGAAGAGAGGTACCACTCGAGGCGAAGGCGAGGTTATCGGATGATGGTGAAGGTAGATTAGATACCGACGCAACGTGGCTTGCGGCCCGTCGTGGCGGAGGACCTGAGGCAGTGAATGCCTTCGGGGGCAAGTTATCTGCAAAGTGGGTAGGTTCGGTACTTGCGCCCGCCAACGGAATTTCCTCAAGTTGCTCTGCCTCATCGTCCTATGGATAGCATATGTCAGTGTGCAGGGAGGCTCTCAAATGCTGAGTGCAGGCATACCTGGTGGATATTGGCATCGGATTCGTCTTCTGTAGGTTCGTCCTCTGGTTTGGCACCGAAACCGACCATAGAGAACAAGCCTTGAATTTTAGGCAATATCCACGATGAGCCCTGCTGGGGGGAAGGATAAGAAGCTATAGAACAAGCGGAGGCAAATTCTAACCTGTTGAGTTTTGTGAGGTGTTGAAGGACGTCCCGTCTGGCTGTAGGGGAGAGAATTTACGTCGCGGCGTTCTCTTCGGATTCCCGAAAGGCTCCTCAGCACGCTCATCGTTGCGCCGGTGAGGGAGAGCTTGTAGGGAGGTGGTTGATGGTGAAGAAGAAGGGGAGACAATGGGAAGAGGACCAGGCAGGCCTTATGAATCTGCAGTGTTTTACAGGCAGCCACTAGCCACGCTTGCAAATGCAAGCCTTTTATGTAATATTAAGGTTACAACGAGAAAGAAAATGATTATTATGTAATCGCCCATTCCGGGATACAAACGGCTTGACCAGTCGAGTACAATGTCGCCAACGTCGAGCTCACCAACAAAACAACCAACATGCCGCAGAGGGCAGTAACAACGCCCTACCCGCTCATTGACAGCGATCCTCACGCTTTTCGTGTTGTTCGTTATTTCCGCCCGTCCGACTATGCAACGATCGCTGCTGGGACAGCGGCCTTTCCTGCTGCATTGTACTTCTGGGGTACGCTTTCTATGTTCTGCTTTGCACGGGCCTTTGACTGACACGCATGTGTTTAGACATGGCTGACCCATCGCACCTGCGCTTAAGGACGAGCTTGCGCTTGGGGGGTTTCCTTGGCTTTTTGGGCGGCTTCATGTTGGCGTACCAACGCTCAAGCTGTGCGTCTAAACACGCTTATAACACTGCAGATTCAGTACTCACAATATTCTGCTTTGGCCTCCTTGATATGGCTATTTGTCTTTGTGCTTAGTCCGCTTCTGGGGATGGTCTGAGAACAAGCGTGAAGAAGAGAGGGACCTTGCAGAGCTTTCCCAACGAGCAAGGGAAGGCAAACCGCTCTACGGCGAATCTGATCAACCCGCTTGGGTACAAGGTGTCGCTCACAACAACTCTGCCTACTCTCAGCTCAAGCTTCGTAAGTGATTTATTTTCTATACAAATCATCAGACGTTCTGATCAGATTCTGTTAGATGCATTCCCCTTGTAATTGCCCATCGATTTGTTAAGATTTGTATTATTGACCTCCATCGCTTCAACAGGTTCAACCTCGTCAACCACCCCCATCATGGCACTGACCCGGCGAAATATGGAGTAACGACCGAAAGCAAGAATGAAGAGCCAGTAAAGGACGAAGAGTAGATTGTCTTCGTGTCTAATATTCTAATATATTTCTCTGCATCTAACATATTGTAAGTGTCGAAGATAATAGGCAGCGCAACCCAACCATACCTTTCATGGCTTTTTAAGCACGTCTCCTGCTGCCATGCACTAATTGCTTATCTGTTTCTACAGCAATTTTGGATGCTCTCCTTCGACTGTCACCTTGACTAATCACTCTGCTGTCATACCTCAATTGTTATGCTTTGATTAAGCTAGGACCTTTTCCTTAGTCTCATTGACAGAAAAGTTTATTGCCGACCTGAAACCTCTGTAGCTCAGTGCTCCTGCTCTCCTAACCTGGCATCATATATGAGAACTGAGGGAAGGACTACACGACTTTATGTTTCTCGGTACGCGAATTGTTCATTAAATAATTGATTTTATGATTGTAAATACCAAAGTCTAGTGACTGCCTTACCCGAAAATATCATTCCGTTAAACTAAATTTCGACTTGGGCCGACTTCCAAGTCCAGTCTAACGATAATCTCAGATATAATCCGTTCATCATGACTCAAGGCAGACTTACTTTCTCATAGATCTTCTCAATCCATCTCATGTTCAACGTAGAATCACTACCATCCATCCATAATCGTGGCTGCCGACCCTTGATCTTGTCAACAAAGAATTCAAGTTGATATCGGTAGCTATTTGTTCACGACAGATATCAATATTATATCTCTGTCGCATAAGTAATGAATTGTCAGAACTTACCTGCTCCACCAATACTCCCCAAAGCCATCCGGGAACGTAAAGGCCTCTTCGGTGCGCTTCTTTCCTTCCTTTCCCTTCGGCATAACAGTGATAGAATGATGAATATGTGGTGAAACGTAGTTGTTTATCTCAACTGTACCGCTCTCGCACTCTGCTTTGCATACAACTCCGGGTATGCGCGGAAGAAGCCCAAATGGTCCCCATCCACTTTGACGGCAGTGGCACGCAATGGATGCGGTGACATCATTAGGGAATGAAAGCAACGCAGTGGTACCGATGTCGATATTACGCCTGGACGGGTCGTCGTTCGGATTTGGAAGAAGCTCAGCCTCCGCCGATATCACGTCGGAGGGTTCGGAGTCCGTAAGATAGCGTACCATGGCCAGCGTGTAGCCTGTGGGTAAAATATAAGTGAGTATTTCGATCTCTCATCTTGCATGTTATCTTACAGCCCATGTCCATAAGTTCACCTCCACCGAGCTCGAGTTTGAAACGAATATCATCGTCGTTGAATAAGTGCATCTGCCAGGGAACATTAAGCGTTGCAGATACACTCTTGAGTTTTCCCAGTTCACCGCTCTCGATTATCTCCTTGATGCGATTTATACCCGGATGAAAGCTACAAGGGCGTTTATATAAATTTATTCCAACCTAGTCAATGACTCCTGCTTACCGCGAGTGGAACGCCTCTAGAAGAACAAGTCCCTTCTTTGCCGCATAGTCAAATAGAAATTTCGTTTCTTCTTCTGTATTTGTGCTAGGCTTCTCGAGGAGTACGTGCTTTCCCGCCTTTAACGCCTTCAGTGTCCACTCGTAGTGTAGTCCATTTGGTAACTAAGAAAACAGATCACCATCGTAAGAAGTTATTTATACGCGGATTAATACTAACTGGATTGTACACCATGTCGATGTCTGGATCGTCTAGTAGATCTACACATATGTTCTGGTAAAAATTCACACAAAATTTACGAGAATACTGACCTTGATAGCCTGTGGGACCAGAAAAAGCTTTCGGAATTCCATATTTCTTAGCAAATGTTTCGGCTTTAGTTTTATCCCTGGTGGCAACTGCAAGAACCGTTATCTCGGGATGGCTTTTTGCAGGGAAGATTATCCCAGATGGTGCAATCCTTGCGGCTCCTAGGATTCCGCAACGAAGAACCCCTTCATTGAGCTTCGCGGCTTCTGGCGGATTTCGAACCTAGAGGATTGAAATGATTAAGTTATAAGCATCGACTTTACACGATGTCGTATAGTTTGATAGAAATTAAACTATAATAACCTTCCAATTGCGCTGAGCAGTACTAACTGCAGAACCCATGCTCAGATGTATGGGGCGCTGCAAAGCAATTACAACTGTGTCGTTGTCTGAAAGGAGGAAGGATTACTACGAAGCCGACGTACAAACAGCCGAGTATATATCGGTGTAACAGGATTTAAACTCCGATGATCAACGTGATGATTTGGTAGTACCCTTTTGTCATGAACAGATGTTTCAGTGTTTGTAACCGTATGGCATAGGATGATAGCCTTTCCCACATCTTTTCATGGCTTAGGTTTGAGTAATGTACCTCCTTTGTTTCACACACGGTCTTCATTACCCAGAAAACACTCAATCACACCATCGTGAACAAGCGGCCTCACCAACCGTATTTGTTTGTTTGATTCTTTTCATGTTGAAGACAACGATGCAGATAGTGCACATTTTGCCTTCCTGTCCTGCTTCTGACTCAGGCTAAGTCTGCTGTACAAATTGATTTGTTGTTCACCGTCTTTCCGGGGTTTTAGAGATGTGTTAGGATGTATAGTATAATAAATAAAGCGTCCCGGACTCAACGGCTATCTCGTCGAAAAACATCATTCCGATAGATTAAAGTCTGACTTGGGTCGACTTCCCAGTCCAGTCTAATGACAATTTCAGCTCCGAGTTGTTTATGACTTTTCAAGGCATAATTACCTTTTCATATATCCTCTCGATCCATCTCATATTTAACGTAGAATCATTGCCATCCATCCATAATCGTGGCTGCCGACCCTTGACCTTGTCAACAAAGAATTCAAGCTGATACCGGTAGCTATATGTCCAAGACGAATTTCAGTATTAATTTTCTGTTGCATATATTATCGCACTGTCGATACTTACGTGCTCCACCAAGGCTCTCCGAAGCCATCTGGGAATGTATATGCCTTTTCAACGCGCTTCTTTCCTTGATCTCCCTTAGGCACGACGGTGATATAGTGATACATATGCGGTCCAGCATAGTTGTTTGTCTCAACTGTACCGCCCTCGCACTCTGCTTTGCATATAACTCCGGGTATGCTCGGAAGAAGCCCGAATGGACCCCATCCAGGCTGACGGCAGTGGCACGCAATGGATGCGGTGACATCATTAGGGAATGAAAGCAATGCAGTGGTACCAATGTCGATGTTGCGTTTGGACGGGTCATCTTTCGGATTGGGGAATAATTCGGCTTGTACTGATATCACGTCCAAAGGTTCGGCATCCGTAATATAGCGCGACATAGCCAGTGGATAGCCTGAGGGCAAAATGCGAATAAGTGTGCTGCGCCCCAATTTTGCGCATTGTCTTACAGCCCATGTCCATGAGGGCGCCTCCGCCAAGCTCGATTTTAAAACGAATATCGTCATCGTTAAACATCATTTTCGCGGCCTGCCAGGGAAGCCAAAGAGTACAGGTAATACTCTTGAGCTTGCCCAGTTCTCCGCTTTTGATTATCTCCTTGATGCGATTTATGCACGGATGAAAGCTTCAATTGTCATTATTATAGATTTATTTTGAGTTGGATTTCACAACGCAAATTACTCACCGAGGGTGAAATGCCTCCAGAAGAACAAGCCCCTTCTTCTCCGCATAGTCAAACAGAAATCTCGTATCTTCTTCTGTATTGGTACTAGGTTTCTCGAGCAGTACATGCTTTCCCGCCTTCAATGCTTTCAATGTCCATTCAAAGTGTAGTCCATTTGGTAACTGAAACAGATCGTCACTTGGGAAGAGAGTTGCGTTGACGGATTGATACCAACTGGGTTGTATACAACGTCGATCTCTGGGTCATCCAGCATATCTAAACTGATGTTCTAGTTGACATGTATGCACACTCTGTGACAATACCGACCTTGGTAGGCTGTGGCACCGAAAAAGACTTTTGGAATACCATATTTCTTACCAAACAATTCGGCCTTTGTCTTATCCCTAGATGCAACAGCGTGAATCGTGATCTCGGGGTGGCTCTTCGCAGGTAAGATCAATGCAGATGGAGCGATTCTTGCTGCCCCTAGGATCCCACAGCGGAGCACCCCTTTGTTGAGCTTCGCAGCTTCCGGAGGGTTCTGTACCTAGAGGATTATGGGGATTAAGGTTTTCAATGTTGTAAGTATGTGCTATATGGTCTGGTAAAACTTAAATAAAATCAACCTTCCAGTTGCGCTGAACAAGACTGACAGCAGAGCCCATACTCTGAATTGTAGTGCACTACAAAGCGACTACTGCATCCGTAAGGCATCAAGGATATTTGTCTCCGTCTCTTAAATTGATGAATACATAACCGACAACAAATTTCAAACTCCGATGATCAACGTGACCTACCATTTTGTGACTACGCAAAGTCTGTGTGCAGTCTACTCCATACATTGCAAACATACAAAATGGCTGATGACTACGGTGAGCCTGTCTCTTAAATTTCTTCAGCTTAGTTTTGCAGAGGAATAGCGCCAAGTGACATAGTGTCAATGTTGTCACCCAACTGTGAATTTCTCGGGTTTTGTCCTTTATTTTTTCTGTGTTGAAGACGATGACGCTCATGGTGCACGTCCTCTCTTCCTTCCCTATCCTGCACCATGCTTTTCTTCTCCTCCTCCAGCTAGCTAGCAGAAATGTCATCACTCCGAAAAACTGAGTTTTCCGATCGACCGTTGGCCATTCATCCGTTTGATGTCCGCGCAACTGCACCAGTATTAGCTTTGCTTGTGTTGTTTACTTACATGTTGTTCTAGAACGCAGCTACAGGAGCCGCGAAGAGCGCTATCGCTCTTCAAGATATGATGAGAGGGGAGACAAGGGTGGAAGAGGAGATCGGGATGGTGACCGGTACAGTTCGAGAAGAGATGACCGTCGACGGGATCGTAGAGACTACGACGAGAGACCGCCTCGTAGGCATGATGAAGACAGGCACCGAGGTGGACGAGAAGAAGACCACGGAGGACGCCCTCCTCGGCGTGAACGTGATGATGGCCCTCCCGGCCGGAGAGGCGGCCGCGGTCGGGAAAGAGGTGCAAGTGCTGAACGCGACTCACCAATCCCAGAAGGAACGATCCCTCTTTCACAGAGAAAACGGAAAGCTTCCGGTTGGGATGTTCACGCACCAGGCTACGAACAGTATACGGCAATGCAAGCCAAGCAGACTGGTATGTCTACAGATTCAAATGTCACCTCCTGAAGTTAAACCATCACGCAGGCTTGTTCAATTTGCCGGGTGCGAACCGTACGCAGGTTCCACCCATTCTGAGTGCCCCTGGTCTTCCACCGCCGATGCCAGTGAATACATTTGGTATGGGTATGGGTACGGGTATAAACCCTAACCTGTCCCGCCAATCTCGTCGTCTCTACATTGGCAGCATTACTCCTGAGATCAACGAGACAAATCTAGCAGACTTCTTCAATTCAAAGATGAAGGAGATGAATATTGGAACAAGTAGCGCCGGTGATCCTGTCCTCGCTGTCCAGTGTAATTACGAAAAGAGTTACGCCTTCATAGAGGTTCGTCACTTTTCTCTCCTATTCCTTTCGTAAATGGTAATTCAACTTGCTTTTCTTGTCAAACAGTTCCGCAGCGCCGAGGATGCGACGGCAGCCATGGCATTTGATGGAATTATTTTCCTCAACGGGCCTTTGAAGATCCGACGACCGAAGGACTACGGAGGCGTGGATTTATCTGCTCCATCCAACGTTCACGTCCCTGGTGTCGTCTCCACAAACGTACCTGACTCTGCCAACAAAATTTTCGTCGGTGGTTTGCCGACGTATCTAAATGAAGAGCAGGTACAAGAACTATTAAAGAGCTTCGGAGAGCTGAAAGCATTCAATCTTGTCCGGGAGAATGGGAATGGCCCATCCAAGGTTCTTACCTTCTCTACCTTTTCCATGTGAACGATTCACTTACTTCTTTTTCTGCTCGGGAAGGGTTTTGCATTCTTCGAATACGTTGATCCAGAGGTTACGGACGTAGCATGCCAGGGATTGAACGGCATGGAATTAGGCGATCGACACCTTGTCGTTCAACGTGCCTCCATTGGTGCTAAGCCCGGGCAGCCTGGCATCCCCAATATCCCTTATGACCAATTTCCCGAGATTCCAAAGCCTATCCTTCCCGCCGGCGATATGTCTAACTCGTCTGCACGCATCCTACTAATGCTGAATATGGTGACGCCAGACGACTTAGTGGACGACCAGGAATACGAAGATATTCTCGAGGACATTAAAGAAGAATGCAACAACTTTGGTCGGGTGGAGGATCTGCGCGTTCCACGACCCGTGAAGAAGGATAAGTCACGCTGGGCGCCAGGAGAAAGTGGCCAGCAGGCACACATGGACGCTCAGCGCCAAGATGAGGCCGCAGGCGTCGGACGTGTTTACGTGAAGTTCTACGACCCAGACGCGGCAGCAGACGCTTTGAAGAGTCTTGCTGGGCGATCATTCGCTGGTCGTTCCATTATTGCTACTCTCTTGAGCGAGGACAGTCAGACGACTCCGCCTCTCAATCTAGTTTTCGCACCGCAACCGGAAGCACCTCCACCCTTGCCAGCGTATTAGTAGCTTTCTTAGCACCATCTAATAGCACGCATGTATTGACTGGGCAACCCATCTGCTTACGTTTGTTGAAAAGTACGCTTTCGAATTGCAGCATGATTTTCTATTCACGTGCAGAAATTTAACTATTTTAGTACTAGTATAACTCCTGTTTCAGTGTTTGCTGCGTTGTGTGCGCAACTTGCCCACTGTCCATCGGGCTTAAGAACGTACACAATGCCGTCCTGCAAGGAAGTCTCCAAGCAAAAACAAGCAGCGCGAGCTGAGGCAATAGCAAGGTCGAGCAAACGCCTCGATGCAGAAGGGACTTCTACTCAGAACGACAGTGAATATCTCGCAGCAACCGGTGTGTTTGATGTTACTGCGTAAATCGCGTCTTTCGTATTCACCTGGTTGAATAAAGCTGCGGAAATCGTCAAACACATTGAAGCTGGCGAGTGGACTGCTTTAGTGGTCGTGTCGGCATACATTCGTCAAGCCATACGCGCTCATGAAGCGACCAATTGCTTGACAGAAAGTACGTTACACGTGCAGTGCCCCATTACGTCGTAAACTCATTAATTATATTCTCGTGTCTGATTTTGTAGTCTTATTTGAGCAAGCTTTAGATGAAGCCAAGGCGTTGGATACCGAATATGCGTCAACGAAGCGATTACGCGGTCCCCTTCACGGTTTGCCCGTAAGCGTCAAGGACCAATGTACGCGTCACTACCTTGCATAAAAGAGAAAAAAAATCCAGCCTCTAACTTTAAAAATAGTTGATATCACAGGCTATGACGCGTCGATTGGTTACACACGATGGGCGAACAATCCTTCAGTCACCGACGCTCACGCCGTAAAAGTCTTTCGCGAATGTGGCGCAGTGATTATCGCGAAGACGAATGTCCCCCAGACCATGCTGTCTTTCGAGTGTTCGAATCCCCTTTTCGGGCGGACAACAAACCCGTGGAGCATCGATGCAGCACACACCAGTGGAGGCAGCTCGGGTGGAGAGGCTGCTCTCCTCGCGCAAAGTGGGTCTGCACTCGGCCTTGGCTCGGATGTCGGCGGAAGCCTGCGGATACCCACATCATACTGCGGAGTATATTCTTTGAAGACTAGTGCTGGTAGATTATCTTGTGACGGCGCGAGAAGTACCTGCACAGTCAATTGCGATTGAAGCCAAATACGAGCTTTATTCCTTTCACAGGTCCTGTCCCTGGTTTTGAAGCTATCACAACAGTCATCGGGCCAATGGCAAGGTACAGTGGCCTCGAATAGACTACCATATCTTTTATTTGAGCTAAGGTAATTAGGTCAGTGGAAGACGTCGAGCTTGCAAGCCGTGTTCTGTTTGGAGCGTCCCGTCCGAGCTTTGAGCCACTACCGTCATTGCCGTATCATGAGCCAATCCTGCCTAAGAAACTCCGGTTCGGCTATTATACATCCGGTGAGTTTCATTATGGTCAATCCCGTTGATATTAAATTGTACTGCAAAGACCTATTCGTAAAGGCCTCACCGGCATGCAGTCGAGCAGTTATGGAAGCCGTGGAGGCACTTCGAAAAGCAGGTCACGAATGCATCGAGTTTCAGCCGACGTTGGGTGCGGAAAATCTCTGAAGCTTCTACCACAGACTGAATAATCGTCCTTTTGACAGCCCGGGAGGCTATGTACCTTTTTGCGGCGCTCACTTCCGCGGACGGCTACAAGGGCCTTTTAGAACATCTCGGACCTGACCCCAAGGTAATCTGCTCAAGATGCCCGAGATGCACGAGCTAATGGGCATCTAATCGCCTAGGAAAGCAGTTTATTCCTCGTAACCTTAGGTCCGTCGCTCCCCGGTACGTCTTGCAATCTTCAAGAAGTCAACATTTTTGCCGAACCGTGTTTCTTTTGACAGGTTTTGTTCGAGCTATTGCCGCATGGGTTGCCAGAACGTTTTTGCATGACGAGGTCTTCGCGTCGTGTCTAGAGTCTTCAAGGGTAAAGAGTACCAAGGAGTTCTTTGATACAGTTGCTAAGCGCACAGAATTGCGAAAGCGCTGGTATGAGCAGGTGCGATAACGGTTACATCCGAAAACACCGTGTTACCAGCGTCAGTTCTGTCCCAAGCTAACGGACTGTTGGCTTTAAACGGCTATTAGGTATGGGAGAACTTCAAGTTTGATGGGATAATCGCTCCCACTCAAGCTGTGCCTGCTCTTCCGCATGGGTGAGTTCCGCCATGTGTTGTTTGATTTTGTATTTCGCTGATCATCTTTTAGTGCAACGACCACACTGTCGCCACTTGCTGCGGGCACGATCCTTTACAACATCATAGATAGCCCAGTCGGCATAGTCCCCGTTACCCGAGTCGACCCGAAGTTAGACGCACTCACCGCAGATTGGGCACATAATCCCGAGAAAGGTAGCGGTTCACGCATCCTAGAAGACGAACTCTATCGTAAGCGAAACGCTCCTTACGACCCGGTAAAGATGGCCGGGTTACCTGTCGGCATCCAAGTTGTCGGGAAAAGCCTTGAGGACGAGAAGGTCATTGCTATGATGAAGATCGTCGACGAAGCACTTGGTCCGCGGGACTTTGGGCCAAGTGCTTGGTTGCGCAGAACCGCGTGATTAACGCGGCTTTCATGTGCGGATGCTGTTCTTCGCGGATCGACTCGTGCTTATGTTTAGCCTGGCTTTGTATTATTCTGTGAATTGATGGATCGACATGAGCCAAGTGCGACGGTCCACAGAAGAGTGGTAGGCACTCGTACTGATTCAAGAAGAGTCATGAGGAAGTCCAAGGGGGTAGATTGCCAGCTTTCGCGTCAAGAGCTCGAAGTGATCGTCTGGTTCTCTCGCTCTACTAATACAAGCAAATCCCACAGCATTGCTGTAATAGTAGTGCGATTGCTATTGTCTAAGACGATATCCAGTGCACATCCGCAAATAACAATATCCGATTGACCTTACGGCAATTTGCAATAGACAGAAATAGACAACCACGGTTATTTGTCTCAACTTATACTTGTTTATGCCCAGGAAATACCAATTTAGGCAATTGTGTTGCTTTCTTTTGTCGTCATAAATTTAACCATCAATTCTCTTTATATTATTATAAGTTATTTATATCCTTGAGTCGATATTACTCGCGAAATTACGTCTTGAATAACTTTTCGACCAGTATCCTAATAAGGATAAAATCAAATGGTAGTAATATTAGTGAGATTACTCTGGACCAATTGTGCTGTTTTTATGTTATTTCACAATTGCTTGCAAGTAGAGCACAGACAGATCGACGGTACGACTTCTGTCTACAATATGTTGAAAGTATGACAACATACTATCAGCAATACCTTGCCTGCCACCCGTAGAACAGGATCTGGGCGGAAATCGCAGAGCATAGTGGATCTTAGACAAAGAGCACCTGTGACTGAGTACAATACCAGCTACCACACGCAAGGTCATACAGAAGGCAAACCACAAGGAGTTAGGTGCAAAAGAGGAACCATGAAGCCAGTGAAGGGAAGGTTAACAGGTCCGCTCAAATTAAACGGAGATACCGCAGGTTGTCTTCCAAGATGTACTCAGATCTCCGCTGCAGATTCAGCATCCGCGGGAAGAATCGATTCAGCGACCACAGATATGCTTCCGACGCCACTAATGGTTTCGTATCCGGAAGAACTCTGCTGGGATGATTCCAAGCACGCGAGTGAAACAAGTCGAATAGAAAATCATGTCTTTAAAACATGAATTTTACGGGTGTTCATATACGTGTTTGACATCTTATCAACCATATTTCATACAGTTCAATCTGAGAATGACATCTTGCACTGGCTTTAGATGCATTCTAACTGCCAACCACGATAGTAGATACTCACCTCATAGATCTCGCTACCGTGCTTCTCTCTTCAGGATGTGAAATACGTATTAGTATTCTTCATAAATCGGCGCCCATTCCTTCCTTAAAACTTGACGCCTGAGGGGAGATATGAGATAGATTGAACGTCTATGGTGTTCTCATCTGCGATCTTTTCAAACGATACCATCCCTGAATTACTCTCGCATGCATCTAATGTATCGTAAGATTCCGAAGAAACGGAGATTTGGCGTTCACACATACGGGAATATTGCGATTTGTGGCCCACGGATGTCAAGTAAAGAATCAGACATCCGTCGGCCCAGTAAATGTTCCGTTACCCACAAGCAGAAAGCTTCGCGAAGAGCAATGCGGCAATGTGGATACTCTGAGTTTGGCGCAATGCAGCGGAAAAACTCTGGGGCCACTTTGCCGTACATTAAGATTTCACGCTTTGTAAGTCCGGAGGCGATGTACCTCTTTGTGGCGTCCAGCTTCCGCGCACAGATATACAGTAATACTCCTGAGGAAGCGTTAGAACCAGAGACAAAGATGTACGGCCCAGGTACCATAAAGTTACTGAATACGTCTATTCGCCGAAAGAAAATTTGTGTTTTTCCGTATCAGCTCCAGAAACGAAGTCACCCGGTGGGCCATAAGTTTCCTCTTCCAGACGTAGCGGAGTTCTCGACCTTGACCCTTGCAACAGGCGCACGTAACGACATGTCTTCTATATCAGCATATCCGGTAATATGTGTCCCTTAGTTCAATAACCAAAAATGGTATAACGCTACTCCATGCAATCATGATGAGAAACAACCCAGGAGAATGGCTTGAAAAAGGGCACGGATGCGATGATAAATGAGTTCTAGTCTCAGATGTATGGTCACTAGCTTCCAATATTTGTTAGACATGGGAAGAAAAGTCCCCAAGCGCCTCTCTTTCCTCCTGGTCTTCCGCGAAAGTAGACTGGTGTGTTTCAGGACTTTAATCAACCGTGAAAGCAGTCGCCGGTTGGCTGGATATCAGACTGCACAACGTCATTGGCGATGATCTCGGTAGTTACATCAGCTCAAAACCGAGGCTGCCCGGCGGCCAGTCAATCTATTGCGTCACGAAGATTCTTACTCGCACACGGTCATACCAGAGTGAATGTGCTCCTCAAGATCTCGTATCAACGAACATATTGCCTCGAAACATCCGACTGTCCCGCGTAATTATCGCGGCTGGAGCCTAATTGAACCCATTCATATTCTTTACATGCAAAGAGTACAATAATATACTCATCCGTCAATGACAGCAAATCATGTCTTTATATCAATTTTATTGTCTCGCCCCCTAAGGCCATCTTCCCTCCGCCTTTCTATCTAGAGAATTGTATAAGCATAAACAAAGGGGAAAATTTTGGCTTGGTCTCAGAAGCGCTCACCCAAGCTTTCTTGCAGTCGTTATAAGCATCAAAGAAGGCTTTACATTTCCGTTTATCGTAATTTCCTCGGTTCAAGCATTCCATTGAAGCGCGTGACGCCTCCTCGCATGGGCTATAATGCGATATTCAATTGTGTCTTCCTGATTTCTATCTTGGATGGACGTACTCGACAAACTTTGTGACGACGGTTTTGCGCGTCTAAGGTCACAAATTCAATAAAGATCCAGAAAAACATCTTAGTAAGCACAGCCAATATACTTTGAAATGCTCTTTATAGTTTTTCGGAGTTTTTACATCGTCTGGAGAAGGAAGTGCGGTAATAGTCATGGATGTGATTGAGCTGAATAGATCACGACGACTGCCCGCCTGTATACTCTGTGAGACCAGCTCGTGAGAATGCCTTCACGTGATGAATACTCTTTGCATCGCCACTGTGCCTAACGGAGCCGCCGAGGACGGCAATCAAAGATCGACGCAGCCAGGATCTATTTATTTAGACGCCTTCTTCCCGCATCCCTGAATTGGAAAGATGTCCACTGGTCCATATACTTTTATTCCGATTCCGACACCGACCCCGGACGACGAGCCTCGTGTTGCCTGAAGTCTACACGCTAAAGTTAATATGTATCCCGCGGCCAGAAGGGAAAATGAGCGGCATATGCCGATTATACATTGACACGCTATGCAACTACAGCTACAGTAAAACGACGCTAGAATAAACTGGATATGCATTAGAAGGATGCGCCGGGAGGTCGCGAAATATTCACAAAGAAAGATGTCGAAAGGCAGGAGAATTTGCGGGAGCGAAAATAGGTGCACGGGAAAACAATGCGTTAAACGGAGATGATTTTACCATAAAATTAGCAAAGCACTCAGGAGAACTCGGAACATTACGCTATGGAAATCTGTCAATAGCTCTCCGCCGGTTCGTCATTGCCATTCAAAGCGAACATACAACCGACTGGCGAAGATGATAGAACTTTTTAGTGAAACATGGTCGATATATGAATCTTATTATGAGGCTTCGTGGAGACCTGGGATTGACCGTGAGGACGCAGTTTCCGTTTCTTGGTATGGTGAAAAAGGTGCGACGATCTCTAGACTTGGCTGTGGACTACTAGATTGATAGAACCCCGGACCTTGTAATCGACCTTGATGGGTGTGCGAGACTTGGAAGCTCGGTGAATGGAGCTGAGGAGATACCGGGGTACTCCCAGATGTACCTGACCCGCCGGAAGGATGTAGGCCAGGTGACAACAGTGGTGGACGAGGAGAGCCGGAGGCGCTTAGCGGCCAATGTGTTGGCGGTTTAACAGGAGTAGACGACCCCGATGAACGACTCCCTAGAGGCTCGTCCGGAAGCACGTCGAGAAGGCCGCTGGACTTAAGCGACGGAAGGGGTGGATGATCACGTCCACGCAACGTTGAAGTGGACGAAAGAGCTGGTGATGCTTGCGGAGCAGAAGCGGAACTTTGCTCTTCGTTCGAACACAGAACCGGGTCGATGACAACGTCTGGGACGCTCCACGTCGAAATACTACCCGACGTTGGTCGTGCCTCTACAGCAGAGATGTTCGAGCCAGAGTCGGACGCGGTTGTAGGATGGCTGTGTTGGAATACCGGACGTCGTTCCCCGAAACCTGCTTCATGAGCGTCACCGTTCCCGTGCTTAGACGCTGGGCCCCAGAATTCTTCCCACTCTTTCACCCACAGGTCCAACTTCGGAAGCAAGTCCGACACAGATGCACCCGCAGCTGCACGGTCCTCACGGGCCTGTGGACCTATATTGACTGAGCTATCCATAGGATCGGCGCCCGAGTTGTTGAAAGTGGCTGCGTGCGGGCCGCAGTATTGCACCCAAAGCACGCTCCCCACTTCAGGTTTTGATGTATTTTTAGCCGTCTTATTTTTGGAACACAAATGGAGAAGGCGGGATAATGAACGTACTCAAAATGCTGTTTCGTGCCCGAGGTCCCAGAGCCTCAATTATAGTGGGAAACGCCGCAACTGCACTTTCATGATCGCGGCAACGGGGTTGACCAAGGCGTCCTCGGACCTACGTTGCCATCCGTTAGATAATTTGACTCTGAATGAAATTAAAAGATCGTGTAATCCAATGAAGCGGATGGGCCGCCAGGTGAACGCCATGATAGGCAGGAGTGTGGACAATGCCGAACAAGCGGGAAACTCACGCTGCTGAGAGCCAAGACGGCACACGCATGCAGAATGTGCATGAAGCAATAGCACCATGTGCCGGCGTTGGAACCCGTTTCCCAAAGCGAAAGCTGTGCTTGAAGGTTATCGGAACTGTACTTCAGGTGGTCCGCAAGACTGGTAACCCATTGCTTATGGCACAAAGAGCGCCACCAGAGGCACGAATGCAAACCGCCATGCAGTCGCGAATTATAGGGGTAGCGGATCGGTCACGCGGTACAGGAGAAGCAGATAATTTGATAGAAACACCACTGATCAGAAGATAGCGGGGAAAGATTATCGAGACAAAGGTACCTCAAGCCGCTGCTCGCAGCTCAATACTGTCTGCGGGTCTGGGGCTACTCGAGCCGTTCCGAGAGTATGAGAAAATCTCCAACAATTGAATAGCAAGAAACAACTTACATCTTGTGTTATTACGTTCGATGTCATGAAGAATAGTGGCAATACGGAGTATATGTCCAAATTCTGATGTATTCTCCGTTTTCAAAGCCGGGGAGTCCAGATATTCTGCTTGATCTGATCATTCATTAGGGGACGCGATATAGACTTTGCTCGAACGTGACGACCCACCAGATGGAACTTGGAGTGCTAACTCGAAGCTCGCTTCATCACAAGGTAGGCGGACTCCTGCTAGATCATCTTCATTATACATTGTTGGGCGCCGAGTAAACACTGCTCCCAGGAGTTCAACCAAATGTACCAGCCAAAATGTGCGTTGCGAACACTCTCGCTGGACGTTGCGCGCAAACTGCTCATTCAGAGAGACTGTCGTAGATTCGACAGAGGGATGACTCGTGTCAACCGTATGCAAGGAATGGAGTACGCGAAGTGCTATTTCTAACAATCGCCAAGTTATAGGCAAATCGAGACCAGTGCTCTTGAAACAAACGACTCACCATATAGCCGTAAGTCACGCTGCAAGTTATTTTCCTTGTAGCAAATATAGGTTTGTATCAAAACAAGCGCCTGAGCAGCTTCCAACGATGTCTCCACTAACTGTCCCTCTGCGTCAAATAGTGCTGCAAGAGCAGCGTCTGCAAACTTCTGTCCAGATTCTCGGACAGGTGTCGTTCGCACGAGGGGCTTCCGGGATAGTGGTGCTGCAACTGCACATATGGCATGTAGTAGATAAGGAGGGACACGACCATGACACAGATCCGTGTGGAAGGAGGTGGAATGAATGATTAGGCGGTGTGGGTGGCAATGGGCGAAAAAGACTATGATGAAAGAGAACACGTCAGCGGTTTGGCGTTGTTCGATCCGCGAAGGCAGGCGAAATGTAGAGACAGAAGAAAATAAAATGAGATGTATCAGTGCTTCCATCATTAAACATAAACGGGAGTAGTCAGCAACCATCATGCGCTGTGCACGGAACACTGACAATGACTCGCAAAGAGGGCGCTGAAGGTGTACAAATTATCGACCGGTATCGTGGGCCTCATATGCGGGCGTCGTGAAGGTTGAAAAAAAATTGACTTACGACTAACGAGCTCATGAGTGATATGTTTATGCAAGCTGGTATGTAGAAGCGTCCCGTTTGCGTGTCTGTATACAGAGCTCTCTGCATTAATCAAGCACAGGTCGTCAGGACCAGTAGCTCTGGGCGGGACCAGAAGTTGTGAGCTGAATGTGGCCCGTCCAGCTGGGCTTTCCGCACCATTTTTTAGGCGCTTGCGTGGTAGATGATGACTGTGCGGCAGGTCAAGGCGAAGATCACTTCGAGGCCGAGAAGCGCTGCCATGCAAATGATGGACTGTACTCTCGAAGGAGCCTCCTGCAGTGAGAATCGATGGTCCTTGTACATTAACACCGACTGTCAGTGGCGGTTCGGGCTGCTGAATCTCCGGCCGAGAATGGAGAGATTTGGGGTTTGGGTATGAGCCCGAGGGCGTTTCCAGCGCTGATATATTAATGCTCGTGGGGCTGTGAGCTATTGCGCTGGTCTGGCCGAGAATGATGTCCGGTCGCAACGCATTAGGCGCAGGTACAGCTCTCCCGGTAGAGTCGGTATAGGTGCAGTCCTTGGATGCATAATAGCTGTCCCCATTGAGTATTCATGAGCGACGGGGAACTTCTTGCTTGTCTTGAATAAAGAAAGTTATTCACCAGTTACTACAAGGTGCTGAAGATCGGAGGTTTAGTGTCGATCCAAACCAGAGTCAGCGAAGGGAGCGGAGCTATCTTACCAGTCCCATCACAGCGCCGCTTGCTTTTATGACAAGGGTCGCAAGCCTAGAGACGTGAAACAAGATTGGAGTTAGTGAATCAATATTGAAGCGATAGCATTCAATACATTACTACTACCTTTACAAGGCGCTTGCGCTTTTGACCCTTAAAGACTGGAGGGCGTGCGGACTGTGTATCCGAAGACTCGACATACTTTAGGTCATTTGGATTGCGAGGCGTTCGCGAGTGACCTTGACTCTGCTCGGGGGCAGCAGGAGGTCTGTCCATATGCACGGGGGGGTCAAAGGGGGTCCTGAAGGACAAAGCGAGGAGCAAGAAGACAAAGGGAAGAAATAGATATCAGAACTAGAAGAGAGCTGGAGGGCAGGACAACATGGCAGCGGAAGCTCAAGAGACGGTTAGCTCATAGCAATTCCGTACGAAATCTGGCAATTTATTTTCATTTTCCGCGAGAGTCGGTCGGCATTGCCCATGCCGAAAGCGTGCCTTGTGACAATTCTTCATTTATTTATTTCATTTTTCCACCTGATTTTCATCCGTCCGCATATCCCGTCAAGTTCCCCGCACAAAACCATACGGGTCTTTTAGGTTTCCCTCCCCAGCCTATCTTTGCAGCAAAATGCAGCACACAGTCACGCTACCACGGCACTAACCCTCAAGTGGTGCATAAAGTTTGCCACAGCACGAGGATGAACGCTGTTTGCAGTATCGATATTAAATATATTAATGCAAGCGCGTAGACTGCTGCTGCCTGCACGAGGTGCCGCATTACTACTTACTTAAAAGTGTGACGCATGGGTCACTTATTATTATTATTACGCGGGACGGACATTGATCTCTTCGAGACATCCGGCGGCGACGGCTTGGCGAAGCAGAGATGAATTGAATTACAGTCGCATAGGGTTCAGAGATGCCCAAACTCTAGCAGTCGCCGATCTATTCAAGTTCGCCGTCGCGCAATCATCCACCTAGAAAAATGCGCGAACGATCGGATCTATCTCCTCTTGGCTCGCGTCGTCCTCGAATATTCGTCCGCAGGTCGACGCGAACGAGCCGTGGGTCCCTGCAGGTGTAGCAGGACGACCGCCGTCAAGCTCGTCGACCCATCCCGGTCACGAGTTGCCTGCAAGATCCCCGTTCGATCCCGTTGCAGCCAGGCTGGCCTATGAACGGGGGCTGGTGTCATCCTTACGTGTGGGTTGCTCCGCAAAGAAATAGAAATGAGAAATGCTCGCGAAGCATGGCGGAATTACGGTACTGTAGCGACACTTATCGCGACCTTTGTCTGGCGCAGCTCATTGGCCACGACGTCCGTACACCGTCGGACATCTCCCATTTGCCTGATGGAACATCCCGCTTCAAGCTGAAACGGTTGCCACCCAACATACTCGACTCTTCGGAGCTCCAAATGCTCTCCTTTCTCCCACATCTTTTCTGATCAGATTCACTCGCACTAAAATGCCACACTCGGGCTCCCAACCCCTCTCGGAACCAATTCCCCTAGCCCTCCAATCCACTCCATGGCTGGACTTTTTGGGACGGCCCTTCGGATCTCCCAGATCTCACAAGATGGCCGTCAGCCTTGTCAGCCGTCGGTAGCTAAATCATTGCAAATACACTAAATCAAGCCAAATCTACGCGGCTACACGCGTACGCGTCGTGGAGCATTCACAAGCAAATTTCTCGAACATAGGCGCTAGATTCGATACATATATGCATGACTGATTTTTCGTGGGAAGAAATGTAAATGACATGCATAAGGAAGGGACATCGTGTATATGTAGGGTTTATTTCAGAGGAATGCTGCCAGGAACGATCAGTAAAATCACGTTTGCCATAGCAAAGTGGAGAGAGTACCCACAAGCGAGATGCTAAATGCGGTAAACACATGGTGAAAACTATCAGCAAAAGATAAAGAAGGAAACAAGTGGGTTAGCTTACAGTGAGTGGCCCCAATCTATTCATCAGAAATGAGCAGCAGTTCGATTGCAATAAAATGAAGGGAAAACGTACACCCGGACGACCGTGCTTTACGGGCTTATACGAACATGAGAACTCCGCAAGATAGTGCCCAGTCATTTCAGGTTTGATTTCAACAGAGTTGAAAACCTTCCCGTTGTAAATACCAACGACCGAACCAATCATTTCCGGCACAATAATCATGTCACGAAGGTGTGTCTTCACGACAGCGGGCTTCTCGTTCGGCGGTGCGGCCTTCTTGGCTTTCCGCAATTTTTTGATAAGACCCATGGGCCGCTTCTTCAGCCCACGCTGGAACCGGCGTCGTGCACGCGCATGGACGAGCTAGATAGTTGAACAACTAAGCTTGGCAACGATATCAATCAATGACTGGTGCAAATCCTGTACCTCCACAAACTGTAGAACATCGTTAGTTGACATGAACTGAAAGAATAGATATGCAAATACGCACGTCTTCATTCTTCATATCTAACAGCTTATCAAGCTCAACACCGCGGTATGAGAACGTGCGGAACGTCCTCCTCTTCTTGAGCTCGGCAGCGACGGTCGGGTCAGTCACATCTGTGTCAGCCTGAACGGAAATAACAGAGTGAATCAACAGCGAAGCCTGCAGCAGTAACTACCACCACACACCATCTTATACTAATCAGCCTTTTTGTTGAATTTCCTAGTGTTGACAGACAGAGGCAAGGATATCAAACGCAGTGAGGATGTGACAAGTTGTTAGGCGTGACGTGCTGTATAGCATTACTATATATGGCAATGTGAGAAGTCCTCGAGACTCCAAATCCAAATTATTGTTTCTATTCGTACTCAACGCTACCTCACGGACAGAATCCTCAAGTCTTCCCGTTGGGATTAAAAGTGTGTCAACGCCATAGCATCGTACACATTAAACTCGTTCTAACGAGCTTATAGCGATTTGCGGCTGCCCATTTAAGACTTTCTGAACATCTAAAGTGAGTCGATCATTGCCGAAGACAAACAATTTCAATCAACTAATAATCCGCTCAAGAAATGCGCTACATCGCTGCATATCTTCTCTTGCAAATCGGTGGCAAGTCGTCTCCGTCGACAGATGACATTAAACACGTGCTCGGTTCGGTTGGCGCAGATGTTGACGACGACCGCCTCTCCAAGCTCCTTTCTGAGCTTGAGGGTAAAGACATTGCTGAACTTATCACCGAGGGTTCTTCCAAGTTTGCCTCCGTGCGTACATTGTCTTCTATATTCAAGTATGGGTAGAGCATTATCTGATGTCTGCATTAACAAAGGTTCCGTCTGCTGGTGCAGTAGCTGCCGCTCCGTCTGCCGGCGGGGCAGCGGGTGGTGCAGCTGCAGAAGCACCCAAAGAAGAGGAGAAGAAGGAAGAGGAGAAGGTAGGAAAACTTCTTCAAATACATTAGGCTTCATTGCTGACCGTAAATTCAACAGGAGGAGTCCGACGACGACATGGGCTTTGGTCTTTTCGATTAAGCGCTTCCAAAAAGACTACCTCTCTCCTTTATATACATCTTCCCTCACCAGCTTGTATCTCGCTCATAGCATATTGCAACGTCACTGTAGTCCTAACGATGCAAAGCACGTATTTAACATGGTGACTATAAGCACGGTGTGGGGCATCAACTTGCGTGAATATCTTGTCTAACTGAAGCTTCGACCTCATTGGTCTTCCATCGTAATGTGATGCATATGAGAAGGTATAAGTTACAATGATGGGCAGCTATGGTAGACTGGTAGTTATTCATGAAATTCAGAAGACATTCAATGATTCACCAGTAAGGCCTGCACTGCATGCACGTGATTGACGTGTCGCGTCTTAGTGCATTTTCAAACTCCGAGTTTCGAACATTTTATTCTGATTGCAACTCCTTACACTTCACAACGCACGACGGTCTGGTAATATTCGTTACTGTACAACATCAGGGTACTTGCCTTGTTAAACAAATAACCTTCGATGAACCCACGAAATAAAGAAATAAAGATGCATTGAGCATAAGGTTTCTCGAAAAGAGTGAACTAAAGGTGAGAACAGACTTGGATACGTAGAAGAAAAGGAACGCAACCAAGAAGAGAAAGAAAGGGAAGGATGCGACATGCTCATTCAAGGGTATTGCGCGTAAGACGATGAAGGGAATAGTAAGGTTCAAAGGTCCAAGCGTGGGTCAAAGTGGATATAAGATCATTGACGTCCAAAAATACAGATTTGCGGCGGGATATTTTTTTAAAGAAAGTGAAGGATTTAGGAAAGGAATGGGGAGGCGCTTGTAGTACCACCAGACTAGGTAATTCAAGTCAATTTTAGCCTCAACAGTAGAAATTAAGTCCGTGATGGTGCATGACCGTTTGGAGCTGCGAAGTTGTTTCGTACAAGTTCGCCACTTGTTCGCGGGGTATAAGACCGAGGTGACGTACTCGGAGTGAATGAAGGCCCTTGATTCTGCTGCTGCGGAGTCGGACCAGACAGAGCCATGGATTGCATCCACTGCTGTTGCGACTGCTGCTGCCCTCCACCACGTTCAAGATCCTGTGCAGCGAAGCCAAAATTCTGTGCTGTCGGCAGGGGCCCGTTTGTCCCAGGATGCGAGAACGGTTGATGAGGTAGCCGTGGCTGCGGTTGAGGAGACTGCTGACGAGACGAGTGCCCATTTCGTATGGGCGGTGGTGGCTGTTCAGACGGAGACCCCGAGCTGGATGGACCTTGCGGAAGATCCTGAGTGAAGTAGCCGTTCCGCCCTCCAGCGCCGGGCGTTCCCGGCTCACCGTACAGCTGCCGCCCTCGCGTCATCGAGGGATCAGACCGGTGAGTTGCGAGACGAGGATCGCTTGCGTCTCGTGTCATATTCGAGTACGACCCGCTTCCACTTGGTGTCATTCCCTGTGAACCCGAGCCCAATACAGGAGAGGTGAGCCCCTGAGGCGTCCGGCCGTTCGCGCGCACTCGATGATACGCATCGCATTTCTTCAAGAACTCCTTGCTGGGTAACTCCGTCGCGCCACCAAAGTACTCTTGATCGTGTAACAAGGGTAGAAATTCCTCTGGCACGAGATAAAACTCATCTTGGTGTTCGAGCAAGCTGTCCATGACACGGATGCTTTCGAAGCTCTCCACCCGAACTGTGTCATTGCCCTTAGTTGGGCTACTCCGGAATATATTAGGACTAATGACCGTTGCAAGGTTGTGCAAGTCCATCCTGTTCCCAGTCTCCTCATCAACGTGAGAGAAGGAGGCCACCCACTTAAGGAACGTGAAAAGGACCTCCACCGTGTCTCGATTACCTTTGGGAAGCATCAACATAACAAGATGGAGACATCGTATGCGGTCGATTTCATTTGGCAAGTCTAAGGGCTGCGTTAAACCTTGGATTAGAGGAAATGTAAGCGACTACTCACTTTCGGCAGCCATGAACAAGCGATAAAGTTTATAAGTCATCAAAGGCTCCGGCAGGGACTTCAAAAACTTCTTCAGCAACGCCGCAAGCTGGACAGGGTTGTCTTGAGTGAGATCGACAGATGAAGGATCGCGATCAATCGCTTCGGTCAGCTCGTTCAATCTACGGATGTTGCCATTCTTGCGGAAAATGCCTTCGACGGACATGTCTACTACAGGATCAGCAAGTTACGGGGACAAGAGCAACGGTTCGCTGACCCATTTGTCTCATAGCAGAGATGACGTCGTCAATAAAGCTTGGAACCCTAAGAGTTGCTGCCCGAGACGCTCCAAGGGCAGAATCAGCAGCTTCCTTCTCGATTAGTATCTCTAATGGAACGCCAAAGACTCCTGCAGGGGACTTAGCATCAGAAAACACGAGTTTAAAGATTTGGGGAGACCAACCTTTCTTCTGTTTATCCTTTTTGAAAAACTTGTTCCAGAATCCACCTTTCTTGACTTCGATGTACTCCAAAAGATCATCAAGCTCGAATTCGTTCTTCAAAGGAGAGCGACTAAGTGCCAGAAGTGCAGCATGTTTGACGATCATCAGCTCTAGTGGTGTCAGCTCCGCAATCAACGGGATAGTGCTTTGCGATGGGAGCGCTCGGTGTTGCTTGCGTGCTTCTTCCGCTTCAATAAGCTGCGGTATGTCGGCCAGCGTGATGCCATCATCAGAACGAGCAATTGGAGGATCTTCGATGCCTCCGGAGGGCGAATTCGGAGCGGACTCATCTATAATCATAACACCAGTGTTATTGCGAGCAAAGCCCGGACGAAGCGCCTGACCCCTATCATCAAACAAACCGCCAGGAAGAGCACCTGGCGCTGCTAGTCGTGGCCGACCAGGCTGAGACTGTTGTTGTGGAAGTGGGGAAGTCGGCGGCCCTTGTATGCCAGATGGTTGAGCCGGTTTCATCAACCGTGCTTGAGCAGCTGAAGGCATCGCAGATTGCGCCTGAGCGGGTGGTACGAGATTTCGCTGTGTAGTAACATTAGCGACACTAGTAGGCTGTGCCGTCTTTCCCGATGGCGACTCTATGATTGTTGAATGCCTTGGTAGACGAGCCGTTGCAGATTGTTTACGATCGAGGTGAACCGCCTTCATACGAGGAATATTACCTGAGTCGAGATACGACTGTTGCTCGAGACTGTCATTTGGTTGCGGCTGAACAGTTGCAGACGCTAATAATAAAGCATTTAGTCGGAGGTCAAGCAAAACTTGCAATATGCGTGACTCACGTGTAGGAGGAATTAGCACTCCCCTCCGCTTTAGCAGGTAGGACAATCTACGTAAGGCGACATTCAATAAAAACGCATACTGCTCGAGCCTCGTCACAGCCTGAAATCCACCAACTGATCCTGCGCGTTGATGGTCCAAACAAAATATTACAGTGGGGACAGGCCCGTATGGAGAATCTTTCGCCGTCTGCGGCTCATATACGAAAATGTCAACGTTTGCAGGTGCCCGACGTACAGTAGACACCTTCGGCGGAGGTGCTTCCTTGTCATCGGAGCCAGGGTCCCTTGGCGTTTCCTTCGGAATAGGAGGTGCAGACGCCTTCCCACACACCGAGCATTGTAGACAATGTGAGTGCCAGCGCTGATACGTACCCAGCCGTGCACAATCCTCTTCGACCGTAACGTCACATTTTGCACAAAGATCTGAAGGTGGTTTGATCGAAAGACGCTCTACCAGTGGAACAGTAGAGTCAGGGGAATCGCTGAAGGGAGACTCGCCCGCAAGCTCAGGAGCCAAACTCTTGAAGCCATATGTCACACCGTGCGTACTATCCGCCCCACCGAGATCGCCTGTATGCCTCTCGCCGCCTCGAATAACCCGACGGGCACCTGGATTACCACCCTCGACAGCAAGAAGATGCAGTTTGTCGAGGAAATTCGTCATTGCCTCTCGCACCGAGTGGTCGCGCTCCAGCTTGAGGCTGCCCGTTAGTGCTATCCGGATGAGGATCTTCAAGTAGTGAGCAAGTCCTGTCACGAGAGCCAACAGATCCTGGGTCATGCCAGTCCGTCTTTGGTTGTCTTGGGGCTTCGAGAGGAGTGTGAAAAGATCCACAGTCTTTCGACATAGAAGGCGTGCCTCGCGAACGTGTGACATACCTGCATATAGGTTAGTATGAATAATTGTCTTATGATATACTCTGCGTGCCTTTCAAATTTAGCCGCGAGAAACATGTCTCCAAATCGTCAATTGTCGCAAACAGGACTTCGACGTGCAATATAAATTTCTCTGCCATGCGAATAGCATCCAAGTACTGTCCATTGCTAACTTGTCTCAACATGTCTGAAATGCATGCCGCACTCGACTCCTCGAACGCCGACAGAACGCTATAAAGTGTTGAGCCATCTTCAATAGTCCAAAAGAACGGGATCCTTACGTCCAAATGCGATATACTTGCTGCTCCATCCGCACCTGTTTATTTTTAAGCGATTGCGCCGTTTCTTTCTCCTCTTCCTCCTTCCAAGGCTCCTCGCTCACATCAATCGCGGAGGTATTGGAACTCGTCGGTCTCCTCGAACTAATTTTGACATTCCAAAACTAAAATTTGAAAGTGTCAAAAAGTATGTCCTATCTACGTCATAGGATGCCTGACCTTGTTAATCATATAACATTCCGGATGCCAGCATTCGTCACGGTTATTACGATTGATTTCCACGAATTGCTTTAAAATAGCGCTGTTGCAACCAGCACATTTGGTTGCGAACCGAGTTGAATAGTGAAAATGACAGTAAACGTCATTTTCATGCTCGTAGTAAGAATCTTGAGGTCCAAAGACTGTCGGGCACACTGAACACGTAAAATGTTCAACATGGTATTTCTTGTCTGAAATTCATCGGCTAATATGAGAGAAGTGTGGAAAGAGCGAGCGGCGAAGCGCTTACTGCAAGCCGTAATATAACTGCCTCTTAATGCCTGGTCACATTTGGCACAAATGAGGTTCAGTCTACGGAAATAATCCCGCTCGCATAGTGGCTGTTGTTTGCCGTCGGGACCTTCAATAGGAAAGAACTTCGAAGCAACCACAGCATCACAGTCCTAACCATACCCGTTCAGCAAATCGGCTTGTTGAATGGGCTGGATACGTACCCTGCACTTAAAACATGGAAGATGCCATACATTCCCCAGAGCCCTTACAAATGCACCCTCCAACGGCAATGAGCAAGCCGCGCAGATGGTGGGAGCAGAACCTGAAGCACCAGATGCATTGCCAGTTGCTTTTGATCCCACACCTGAAGGTGCCGAGGACAAGGATGCAACACTGGAACGCTTGAGAGTTGAATCGTCTGCCTTCCCCGACCCGTCTTCGGAATGATTTGACGACGAAGCACCGCTACCCTTATCATTCGGTGTCAAGGGCCTGCTGAGTGAATGGAATGCGGGCATGGGACTCCCGCTGGGGCTCGAGCTCAATGCCAAGTTATCCGACCGACCATGGTTCAAATCTTCACTCCGCGCGTGAGGATGAACATCGTAATTGGACGGCGTATTTTTCCTGTCAAGTTCATTTGCCGTACCAACTGTCAGCGATCGAGCTGGAGGATGATGCTTCGTTGGAGATCGAGCGAAAGAGTCTGGCAGAGGCGAACGCAAAGCATCAAGCTGATGTGCGCTATGCTGTTGCAACTGCGCCTGATACTCCCTCAGCTGCTGCTGCTGCTGCGACTGTTGGACTTCACCAGGAAACGAAGAAGAATCCATGGAAAAGAGCGACGGGGGAGTGAAAAGTAACGAAGAAGAGTGTCGGGCACGCCCGCCAAGGGACAAATTAGCGACTTTGGTGTCAATGCGTTGCCGATGCCGCGTCGTCGCCAAGTTGCGATACGTCAGATTGAGCTCAGTTGGATGATTCCGACGCAGAGAAACGGCGTGAATGGCCGCTTCAAGAAGAGAAGCCTGTGCGACGGTGACGAAGGCGAAGAGGGGCACGTCCACACTGGCGATGAGGGTCAGTGTCAGTAATAACACACAATCGAGGCCGACGCTGTCACGATCACGCCCACGTGTTCTGTCCCTTGATCTTTCTCCAGATACTCAACACCATCACTCTCATTTATTTCCTCTTCCCAGCACCAGGGCTCAAAGCCGCGAGTTTCCATCACAGCATCGTTTGTAGTATTTTACTGTGCTTTTCTTTACTCTATAGTTCCGAAGGAAGCTACCAAACCCGAGGTCACCTTGTTGCACTATCTTGGATTCTTACGTATATCCCGTTTGCTTGCCTATGACTGCCAGACACTCCAGGTTCTGAGGACTCATCAATTAGAAAATCGCCCACCGCATCGTATTCTGTTTAAAAATTGTGGACAGTATCAAAATCCTCAATGTTCCGATGTAACCTCCCATTCACCTCAAACAAAGGCACTAATCAATGTTAACTGATAACTATCAGCATATTATTGACGCGAAAAAAACCCCATGACGACCTGCACTACAGACACACCGATATACACTATGCTAGTGTGGATTTTATTTAGTTCGCATGTAGGTTGAGATACACTATCCTTTCAGAAGTGGCATCTCTTTTTTACCATAGTATTAATCACATTCATTGCGTCATTTTGATTGGTTCTCTACCTGATACCTCTCCACAGAAACGCGAATTAATTCCTGGCAAACTTATTGTGGGTTATGCATGTACGCATACTGCTCTTGGTAGCGGTCTACCGATTCTACATGAGTGGAGCACTCCAGCTTCTGTACAGGATAGTATGCTTTGATAGTGTACTCCACCTAAAGTAAGGTGGTGCAATTCCTCAAAATACACCCAATCTGCACAGGTGTATTCAAGAGCCAACACTAACCACCCAGATTCATCTTGGCCTCATAACGACCCCACTGCATTCTAAATTAATTAGCGCAACAACTGCCACAGTTCAATCGTCCCCGAAGGGCACACTGAGACACCCACAGGGCTAATTACGTGGATCACTCAAGAAAGTAAGAGGACGAATGGCGACCCTCATACATAAATGGAAAACGAGGGCATCGGCATTCTGCCCTGTAAGTTTGTAATTTAAAATAAGTTATCAGTATCCAATGTTTGTTTGTATGTACAAGGGGACTCGGGAGTGGTGAATTCCGTTCCTTATTCGTCATATCGGCCTTTCGGACGGCAATGTCCGGAATACACTCTGTCCAAATATGGTTCCGATGCCGCCGGTGCCGTGCACATACGCATACATGTACGCTCATTCAGCATAGCAAATCGCGACGGCTCGGAACTGTCATGCGCCGTTAATGTTGCGCAAGCAGCAGCGTCGCGGCACACCGGAGAGACAAGATAAATAGCGCGGAACTCTTCTTGCTTTTTTCCGCCAATCCACACATCACCTGCATCATCGTGAACACCTCAGTTCTCGGCCAAGCAATCCCGCTTTACGTGTTGACAATCAATTCTCAATGTCAATGCATCCTAGCGGTATCCCAAGGTGGAACATGAACTACCACTACGCTTTCGTTCACGGACCTCGCCGTTTCAGATTCTTCCCCCGTCTCTTCTGGTTCGCACTCGGCGCCGGTGCCTACGCCTGGTGGACAAGACACCGTGAGGAAGGTGACCGTAGAATTACCGACGTTCACAATGGGGAGTGGAAGAATTGGTCTGGAAATCATTTCGGTTGCCACCGACGCCGTGAACAGTTACCGCCGCCACCCACACAGAATTGGAATACGCCGCAGCCTGTTTCACAGGGCAGTCAGCCAGTAACTACTGCTCCAGTTGCACAGGCTCCCGCCGTAGTGGCTACCACTGTCTCAGCTCAGTCTCCAGCCCCTGCTTACGTCTCTACCGAACCCACCGCTCAGTCGAGTGAATGGCATTCAGAGCGCTTCCGGGAAGTCGGAAAACAAGCCAGTGACGCCGTAAGCAAAGATTGAACGAATTTTGAGTACAATGCTGATTGCTTCCTTTGGTCTGCAGATGGCTGATATGTCAGAGCAAGCACTGGACTCCCTAATGGCCAATATTCAGGCGCTTAAATCTGTAAGTGATCCCTATTCAGCAAGGCCTTTAATTCCGGGATTTAATCTTCTTTTTCTATAGAAACTTGTTCAAGCGCGCGAGGGACGTGAGAAGGAAAGACTCTACCTCGAACAGCATATTGCCGCGGATGCTCCTGAGCGTAAGGACAACCCAGAGCGACTCGTTTAATATTGTTCCGTGTCCGCGATCCTTTCGTTTCTTTTCTCAGCCAATGTAGATCATAATTATTCTCAATGTACCTTCAACCCATATCAATTAATATTTATTTGATATATTCCGCGATTAAAGAAGCTCTCGTCAAATCCTCATCTATCGCCAAAGAGTCTTCTAATTAACGTGTACTACGAATTTGCAACAAAGCACGCGATTGTTTGGGCGATCAGATTATCTCGGGCTTGTGTTCCATCCCCCTACTCGCTCGCCAAGTTTCAGGACCCTACACCAGTACTAATGCATCAACAACACGTTTTTCTGATCGAGTTTCCCAGGTAGTTACTCACCGTCCTATTCTTAATCCTCTGATTCCTTATGCGTCTAGCGAACCACTCAATGGCCGTTGCGTCTGGTTCATACTTGGCCCGCTCTTCGGGGAACATACGAGACACGGTGGCTTTAATCGCATTACTCTTATTTGTAAGAGGATGGAGGTGAACCTCGTTACCTGGCCTCGTGAAGAACACGACGGACCAACGTGTGTGCGCCGCCTGTGCACCTGGTGGCTAGACAACACGGTGCAGATTTGAGCGGAGTATTCCACCAAATGGCAGTGTCAGAGTGTCCCCGACGTTACAGATCGCATAGTCCAGGATTATACGAACGTATTGCCAGTCAAGACTTCCCAGTGGGGGTACTTGTAGTCCCTCCAGCCTGTTATGTGAAATGGAAAGTGATCCGAAGTCTTTATGTGCTCCAAATGTGACATTGTCCGATTTCGCATTCTTATTTGTTTCGGCGCCCCCGTCGACATACTTCGGAGAATTCTTAATACAGCGAGCCTCTGAGCCGCTAGGATCGCTCAGCGCATGAAGATTCAGGAGTACACCAGGCGGAAGACCAAGCTTCTTCTCGAAGATCGACAAAACGGTGTTATTGATTTCGAGAGACTTGCGCACACGAAGGGTCTGATGGTGGACTCCATTCGATCATTTACGGTTGAAGGGTACGTGCGATGGACCGGCTTGGGATACGCGAGTCCGTCGTCCTTGGAAATATTAATAAACTCGACCGTATCAAGATTGCCGTGTTCGTCCGTCGCGTTCTTTCGTGCCGCCTTGTATCTGTAATTCCGCAATCAGAGCTGAGGGCGGATGCCTAGACAACCTTTAACATCCACTCGAAAAACTGCCTATCGTCCCCCCTGTTCAAATACCAATTTTTCCTCCATGGAAGGCTTCATAGTTGCGGCTCTCATCTCGAACATCCCGTCAGCCTCAGGATTGGCACCGTGATTCTTCAGACTGAAACAGACTCGCTTAGAACAAAGAGGAGCAAATAACAAAAAATCAAACTCATTATACTCACTACCAGAACCCAAGCTCGGTTGCGGCTTTCCAGAGTTTCTCAGTTCCTGGAGTATCTCCGGCTTTGACAAAGTTCGTAGTCGATTACGAGAAGAGCGTGGGCTGTTACGTCTTGTGGGAATGGAGGTAATGCGATTTCAGGCATATTTAATTCGGTTGCAAGCTCTGAAATGATTTCTACTCGTCCCTTTTATACTTGAGGACGAAGGATACAAGATATTGCGATTTTACATCCATGCGCATAAACTGACTACGCACGGGATACACCTGTGAAGACGTCACCGACGCAAGGCCTACGAGCCTAGCAAAGGGCGCCATAACGGGTAAAGGGGAACCAATGTTCAGAATATTTGCAAGTCAGAGTGATCGGATAAGCGACTCGCCTTCCGTCATTGAAAGAAAGTATATCCTACGAATGTGGAGCTTTGGACGTTCGCCAAAGTCATCAGGGACACGTGTCAGTGGGTTTTATCTGGGTATACATGTTGCACGACGGTAATCATGTATGCTACGCACGAAAAGTGCTGATTTATTGAGAAAACTGACACCACCGAAGAGTCTTCGCCGATGGAATCCGCGAAGCATGTAGCCCGCGCCTTTTGCTTGTCGAAATCGAATCGGTAGGTCGTCACCTTCCCATCGATACGCAGGCAGACACAGCTTCGATATATTAAGTCGGAAATTGTGCGGAGAAGCGGTCAAAGTTATTGAATGGCAACATTTTGAGTCTTTTAACTCAGAAGAGTTTCAGATAGTGGATCAGAAACTTGCTCCTCTTGCCGTGCGGAATGTATCTAAACAACCACTTGGAGAAATTATTTCTCTTCATCTCACGGTCCGAGTCGTGCCTAATGGAGATTCGCTCGAGCTCCAGGGCGCTAGGATTGTTTCATTATTCGCCAGAGGAATAGGAAGACATTGACATGATAGGATCGTACGCGGTTTGGGACTTTGCTATGCCCCCTTCAGAAATAAACGCAGAATGACGACATGTTTTATGTATTCTTTGTCGAATTCTCTGGTCGATGGGTCAAGAACTGTTGGACTGATCGAACGATAGATATAGCGAGAAAGTGTACCAGCATCACTTCGTTGACTTTCGAGACGTCACTGTTGTGATGAATAACCGATTACGACATTTCGCATAACTAGACTTTAAGTCCACAAGAACATGAAGTCCTCTTTATGCAGTCAGTTTATGTAAATGAACGAACAATCACCCGATTCCGAAATCTTCAGACATGAGTAGGCGTCTTGGAGTGCACTGTTATGGCTACCGTCAGGATTGCTTGCTATAATTAAGGTGTCACCGTACATAATGTCCAATACCCTTTAATGAGTGGCACTTGATATCATACTTGAACAGTGTATTGAAAGACCGATGGATAGATCGTTGTAGAACTTTCAATAATGCTCGATACATTGTCATGCTGCTGGTGAAGTCCGCGACCCATTTACGGGCTGAACGTGTTCATAAAGTTCTCGTTTCCTCTGAGACTCGCGTAACTCTTCTTCTCGCTGCCGTATTTTCTCTTGTCGACGTGCGTCATCGCGAATTACTCCTTTGTACATTGTCTGACAGAATCGCCGACTAATCAAATTTCCGTACGCGTGGCACGACAAACGGGAAACATACCTCGTGCTCTGCTTGTTGCATATAGTGAACTCCGACGATAGTGCCTACTGCAAAGAGTGCGGAAACAGCAAGAGTGATTCGAGCGGCTCTACTCATGACCGTCGAAAGGAGCAGGGCTAAGGCTGGGCTGCATGGCTATTTTACAGGGCACGAGCACGTGATTTAGAGACCTTGCAAAACCAGACTGTGCAACATATCCACCTTACCACAGACTACCAGCCATCTGTTTGCTGCTCACTTGAGAAAGGCAATAATAAAAGTTCTGCTGGTGAGGGTTATTGATGATGGCATTCATTGTCATTATGGGTGAAAGGAGATGGGATTCTGGACACAGTGAACAAGGAAAATGCAGAGCAAGGGATGCATGATGAGAGCAAACACCTTCGTAACTTCATGGATTATTACGAAATATAGTCACTCATAGACACGATGTCTTATTAGCGTAGTATTTTATAGTTGTTCGTATAAATGAAATCATCATAATATGCTTGTTCCCTTCCTGTTGATTTTGGTTATCGAACGGTCGATAAATCAAGAAATACATTACAAGCCCTCCACTGTAACCTCTGAGAAAATATAGATAACGAAGGTACGAGCCTTTCCATTTCCTTACATTGTTCTTTATATACCTCATTCCATTTCGTCGTCACGTAAGTAATGTGCCCTAACCAAATACCTTAACCCAGGCATCCGAAAATAAAGATAGGCTCTCCCAATATCTCAATACTAGGGGACAAGCAAGCAACCCCCTGGTGAAGGCGTATGCATGCGCTTAGGCCTTCGAATCCCGTGATCTATTTGGGACGTCTCGTATAAGGTCGCCTGAACCGGAAGGTTCAGCATTAGCTGCGGCACTTCCTCGTCCAGTGACGTACGTCGGAACACGCGGGTCGAGTCTACCTTGTTCCTCCGCTGTTGGGCAAGTTAGTATACGGTACAAAGAGCGTGTGTTAGGAGTTTGCTTGATGAGATAGACTTACGTGTGGAAGACCAGAAGTAAATGATAAGTCCGAGGATGACGACGGCGAACGCTGGGAAGTATAGCCAGTACGGCTTATAGTGCTATAAATAAGTGAAGCAATGGAAGTCAGTCGTCTCGTACAAAAACAGAAAAGGGTAATATAAAAAAACCCGGACGTACGAAGAGAAACAGCCCAAACAGCAATCCATAAAAGTCACTCGTCAAAAGCGAGATATTATAATACGCCGACGACGCCAAACGGTACAACAACGGCGCGACTGTATACAAAATGAACATTGCACCTGTATAAGCGACGAGAAGCCCGATATTCTCGCCGTTCCAAGTCGCCAAGCGCATGTCCTTGTGCTCTAGCCCGGCAGCTTGGATACCGTTGATGAGTGTCCCCCACATTCCGAGTTGGCCTACGACTTCGTACAGGGGGCGTCGGCGGACGAAGAACTCTTCTGTTGCGTTGGCTGTAAGAAAGTGTAGTTGTTGTTAGTAAATTACGATTTTTGTGACGTATGGTACAACGATAACAAAACTCACTAAAGCCATACAGGGATGCTCCCAGAATCATGAATCCATCACCGAGCGCCATGTTCTTTGCAGCGTAGTCCTTCTCGGTGATATGATCGGACGCAACGAGTAAACCCAAACCGGCGACACACACAACCACGCCGAGCAGTTGCGTCAATTGGTATTTCGGGCGCATATACAACCAGCAAAAGAATAGACAGACAGGAATTGCCCAACTGAGAAAGTTGATTTAGACAGAGAACTTGGCGAAATGTGAGCCACGGCACGTACGCATCCAGTAACATACATGAGAGCAGCGTCGTATAATTGTATGCTTTGACAACTAAGAAGTTCCCTTCCACGTCACATGCAGCAAGGAAAAAATCTACAAGCATACAGTCAGTAGCGCGTTGGGCGAAATGAGATTTAGACTCACACTTCCAGCCATCTCTAAACACCATCTTTGCCCATCCCGTGAGTCCGTCTAATGAACAATCACACGCTTAGTATAGAATTGCCTTGATGTTCAAAAAAAACTGACATCGATAAAAGGTGTACGGAGTATATATCGCAAACAACGAGAAGTACCTAATCATTATATCAGAGCCTATACCATAAGAATAGATTTGGTCCGAGACTCACAGGAACCATGTCTGCGTTGTCGGAAGCGACCAATTTCTGGACACCAGCTCTGTCGTCGTCACATTGGTACAGGTGATGCAAAGAGAGACGACCTGTCCCGCAAGAAGGGACAGGATAAATCTACGCGTCCAGATACTCCTAAATCGAATCCAAGTGCTTCTTACAAGCGCCGGTAGAGAACTATAGTCAATCGGCGGACGAGTTGCAATCACTGGTCTTGGAAGCTCTTCTGGTCCGCTGCTGGAAGTTGACCGACGTATTGATTTTGAGATGGAATCGGCGACGGAACGCTTTGAGTCCGTGCGCACAAGTGCAGGCTGGTCGCTCACGACTGCAATATCCGCCATACTTTGATTAGGTCTTGTCTCGCACTCCAGAGGGAGACCTGGTCCACTGAAGGCTGCTGATGCAGGTGGAAGACAAGCAGGTCCACGAGGAGTGTCCATCGCGGATCGAGTCTTCTTATACGGCTCCTCCCCTGCTATTGCAGGGCCATGTGGATTGTAGGTAAGCGATGGACAAATTGCTCAATTCCAGGAACACACATATCGGGGGAAAGCATCAACTTCTCTCCGATCAATCGTGTTATCTCTGACCCAGTCTAGTAGACTAGCCAGCACTCCAGCCTCGTTTGGTCGCTATCAGAGAGGTACACTGATACCAAAGACACTCTTAATCCGCCAAATCTCGATTCGTTTTTTTGTATGCTGTACTATATACAGATATTTTGCAAACATTGGTGCAAGGTGAAATCACATGTCGGTCCGAGGGGCGAGGAGGGGAATTTTTTTTCAAAGCTTGATCTAAAGATATGCCTATATCGGGCGATCGACGCTTCATTGATTGCTAATCTGATATCCCACTGTCCATGCACCATGAGCAAGCAAATTCCTCCTCACCTTTACCCACCATGCTAGCCGTCTCCCAACCAGTCGCAGTACCCGATCCCTCAATCGTACCATCCAACGCACCCGAACACTGTCCAGGCGTCGACTCAGAGCTCGCAGGCAAAGCCGACGCCTGCTCCGGATGCGCCAACCAAGAAATATGCGCCTCCAACAAACCAGCAGGTCCTGACCCCGCGCTCCCACTCATCCGATCACGAATGGCAAACGTACGGCGTAAGATACTAGTACTCAGTGGGAAAGGCGGAGTAGGGAAGAGTACCTTTTGTGCTCAGTTAGCTTGGGCGTTTGCGGCGGACGAAGAATCTCAGGTACGTACTAAGTTAGTACTACTTTGACGCGATACCGACATGCATATACTTTCATTTCAATTGTTTGGTGTGTTTGTTCCTGGATTCGTTTTACTGAATGTTATCGTATATATTTCTCCAACTATAGACCGGGATCATGGATATCGATATCTGTGGACCTTCAATACCAACCATCCTCGGAATCGCCTCTGAAACAGTACACGCATCCTCCTCAGGCTGGTCCCCAGTCTACGTCTCCGATAACCTCTCCGCAATGTCTGTCGGCCTCATGCTTCCCTCCTCCACCTCCGCCGTAATGTGGCGCGGACCCAAGAAGAACGGACTCATAGCCCAATTCCTCAAAGACGTAGACTGGGGGACACTAGACTACCTCCTCGTCGACACACCACCAGGAACCTCTGACGAACACCTCTCCGTCGTCCAATACCTCAAAGAAAGCGGAATAGACGGCGCAGTAGTCATCACGACCCCACAGGAAGTCGCACTCCAAGACGTCCGCCGCGAAATCGACTTCTGTCGCAAAGTCGGCGTGCGCGTCTTAGGCGTTGTAGAAAACATGAGCGGCTTCGTGTGTCCGTCGTGTAAGACCGAGTCGCAAATCTTTAAACCGACGACTGGGGGTGCGAAGCGCCTTGCGCAGGAGATGGGTGTTGAGATGCTTGGTGCTGTCCCTCTTGATCCGCGAATAGGCAAGAGCGCAGATTATGGTGTTAGTTTCTTGGATGAATATCCCGATAGCCCAGCAACCACTGCATACCTAGATATAATCGAGAGTGAGCCAATAGAATCGCTTTATCTAACAATAGCTAATCATATTTCTTTACAGGGATCAAAGATGTTCTCGGTGACTGAACCAAACTTGATCTACTCCACTTTATAATCACTCCCTATAGCATACTGCATTTTCCCATCATGCACATACCACACAACCTGTTGTATTATGTTATTGATATGTCATTAGCAAGCACAAGGAGGAATAATTAGAGCATACAAGCAATTTGTTTAGAGATAAAACGACAGACGATCATGTACACATAAGCTCTACTATTCTACAAAATATCAGAAGGGAGTGAGTGACACTGATGACTATGTCAGTTTTGGTAAATAAGCATCGGACGAAATGGGTAGTAGAGGGTGGCTAGGAATGGCTGGTTGTTAAGTAGATATCTAGTGAATGCTATGACGTCGTCTCGTTGTAGATGGACTCGTGATGCTAGGAAGATGAGGAAAGATCGTGTGCTGGACTTCAGGTACGATGACGCAAAGGCGTTGATGTCGATGGTCGGCGAGGAACTCCCCTCCTCTACAAACAAACGTGTAGTCAGTCAGAAAAGAATGAAGCGCTTCTCCTTTTTCTTCGCAGGCGTGCACTCTCCACTCGAATTCTCCTTCGCTTTCGTAGGCGACCGCGGCAAGCTCGCCTTGCTCTCACCCTCGCCCTTATCGTCTTGCTTACGCGCAGACTCTGGCCCTGCACTATTTGTAGTATTTCCACTGAAATGCGCACTCGAACGTCCGCTTGCAGTCGCAGTACGATACTCTCCCTCTTCCTCGCGTACGGTGCCGAAGTCCCGCGGCATCTCGCTCGGCGGAGCGTCAGCAGCGGTCTCACGTCGTTCGATAATTGCCTTGCCCATGGGACCCATGGCGGCCAGCCCGCCCTCGTGACCTTCAACACTCTCGTGAATAGACACCGTACTAAGCGTACGCAACAACTTGCGGGGCGCAGTAAATCCCATTCCATAGTCCCCTCCAACGGTTGACGCCGTCCGAGATCGAGCAGGTACGAAGTAACTCGTACCAGTGGTTGGGAAGGGTACAGTACCAGTCTGTCCCGATGCTGTGCCTGACGGAGCCCTAGACGCGTAATCCGCCGCAGAAGGAAACGGTGCAACTGGCAATCCTTCTTGGTGCTGAACACGACGAACGGGAGAAACCGACGCCTCTGAGCCGACTCGTTGGTGGAGACTCCTTTCTTGAAGGAAACTCGACCTCCGCGCATAATGAACGACAGGATCGTTCATCATGTTCGCTGGCGTCGGCGGACGCATGGAGTCGCGCCTCTCCATGCCTGGTCGTATAGCTGCAGCGGGTGCAGTTGTGGGCGATGGAACGTCTGTCGGGTGCGCCGTTACAGTGGCAGTCTCGGATCCCGGTTTCTCTGGTTCAGCTTTGGCCTCTTTAACGAAAGATTCGTTGCCGATTACACCCTCAACAGCAGTTGATGAACTAGTTTCAGTAGTTTGGGCCGCTCCTGTAAGGTCTTCTGGTTGCATTGTGGATGGCCTGCCCTCCGCGGGAGGTTCGGCAGGAAGCCCCTCCACCGAACGAGGTTCGCTCCGCTGTGACGAAGTACGACTTGCATAGGATAGTTCAATGCCAATACTTCGGACTTCTCTGCGATACTCATGGATTTCGTTCCATAGGGCTTCCCGGAAGTCTTCGATAGTTTCGAGTTTCTCGATTTCCTGCCACTTATCATAGATGATAGGACAATCAGGCTCATCATTCACATCATGATATTGAGCCAGCCATGGATGCTCAAGTGCAGTCGTGACTGTGATACGTTGTTCGGGATCAAAGGAGAGCATTTTGTCGAGGAGGTCAATAGCTAGTCGCAAAACGATTCTTAATATAGCAATTCATCGAAGAAGCGTAACGGGTGCAAGAGACTTACCTTGCGGGTCAGCGTGCGGTATGATTTTTGAAAACGGGACGGTTTTGCGTCGTGGCAGAGACCGTACGTATGCTTGAGCCTGTTCAAATGAGAATACAGATCAAAACATCCTACTAAACTCTCACCTTTTCGCTCCCAATCCGCGTCAAGACGCTCTCTTCAGGAGTACCTAAGCGAACAGTATCAGCACGTCGCACAGATTGGACAAGCTTGCTTTCAAATACCTAAGACGTCCAAGATTTTGTTAAGTTGATCAACTGGACATCATTCGCTAAGTGAGATTTACAGTCATGAAACACAAGGATTCGCTGACTGACCATAACTAGTGGACAAAGTCAGCATCAAAAGACAATAACATGGTGAGATTGTACTACTTACTCTTTACCCTTAAACAACGGTTTCCCGAGTAATAATTCAGCCAGTATACAGCCGATGGACCAGACGTCAACTGATTACTAAAAGTTAAACCACGTCTCTAGGCTCTGTCACTTCCTAACTTACTGGCAGTATCATATCGTCTGTTATAGTCGTATGTTAAAGGGGAGTCGATGATGTAATGCAAGTACCTACCGGAAAGCTAGCATGATCTCTGGCGCACGATACCATCTCGTGGCAACATATTCCGTCATATGTGTGGCATACTCATCCGGACCCGAATTGAATCCGCGACTAAGACCGAAATCACATATCTTCAGCTCGCAGTCCGCATTAACAAGTAAATTGCCGGGCTTTAGGTCACGGTGCACGACAGAAGCGGAGTGTACATATTTCATCCCTTACATCATGACGACATTAATGACTTGCTTATTGCGGAAGTGAAGAGCACGCACCCCGTAATATCTGGTATACAAAGTATTGTATGTGTTCGTTGGTAAGCATCTGTCCAGATTTAATAATTTGATGGAGATCGGCTGAATGGTGACGGAAGTGGTGTCAATTTCCTAAACAACATAAGAGATAGACTTGGGACAGACCTTCCATGGGCTAGGAACGGAATGAGAAGGTCAAGATTAGTATCGGTGTCACTGTAGGTGGGGCAATCGTACCTCCAAGAACAAATAGCTAAACGCAACGGAAGGTTAGCACACTGCCGACAAGGCAATTATATCACTCACATCTCATTAAAATCCTTCGAGATGGCGTCTACATCGATTAAGCCAGTGATATTCTCATGATTCGCAAAATGTCGTAGTAGTGTAATTTCCCTCAAGGCGCGTTTTGCAAGAGATGTCTTCTCAAATACCCGAGTTACGAGTTTTATCGCAACTGTCTCCCCCGATATCTCGTCTGCAGCAGAACTAAACCGAGTTTAATAAATGCATCCGTAAAGTCCCGGAATAATGAAGCACGTACATGACGACGCCATACGCCCCAGAACCCATATCCCGAACCATCTTCCATCGTTTCTCGACATGGAAGACCTTCCCGAAGGACGAGAACAGCGCATGGTATCCTCTGTGATAAGACCGCGTGCATGAGGTCAAGGTTAAGATTAGCCGAGGGGCCGGGTGGAGTGGCACGTACCTCCGTCGCAGGTTCTCCTCTGACGCTGGGTTGGACGGACGGCGCGTCCTCGACCGTCCTCTGTCGACGTTCCAGGATCCCTCAGCGGAACCCCTATCCTCAGAGCTGGACTCCTTCTCCTCACGTGTGGTTGAACGACGGCGACTCCTGCGTCGCCCAACGCGGCTCGAACCAGATCGACGCTGAGCCGAACCTTCGTGCCCCTCACCCCTCTCACTCATCTTCCGAAACGAAGAGGAAGAGACGTCAAGCTAAGTTTATAGTGCCAGTGCTAAATCTGCTGCAGTGGGGATCGCGATGGTGGTGCTGGAGAGGAAGCAATGAGCCGTTGTCGTGGCCCAAAATGTCGGATTCAAGTAGGCACCCTCGAGCCAGAATTACGGACACCGCAAGCCGGTGCAGTGGGAAGATGGTGGATGTTGCTGTGCAAGTTAATGAGCAGCAGATTCAGACTAGATGGAGGTAGGGAATAGAGCGAGGGCTATATTTATTATTAAATATTGTGCTATCGGACAAAGAAAGAAACTCGCATGTAAATCGTAATTTCCGTGCGTACGCGTCATTTGCTCGTCTGACTCAGAGGATGACGACTAGTGTCCTTCTATGTATTCAGTCCGCGAAGTTGCATTCTAATGTATTTTAGTGTACACTATAGAGTAACTACTAACTCCCATAAAGCACTGAATCTGCCCAAGGAACATAGCAAGAACGACGAATTTGCAAGTAGATGATGGCGCAGATTATATACAGCCGGTAAAAACGTGAATAAACGGCATGCCGAGTACACGTTGCCTAAGCGCTTGGGGTAGCTGGAAGGGGTTCACTTTGCGGCGCCGGACTCTGGCTTCGATCATCACCAAAAAGATCAAGGAAGCCTGCCTGCCGCGCCTTGTTCCCAGCCTTCTTCAGAACAAACTCCCGAAGGCCCGATTTGAGCCCTGGTTGTTTGTCGATAAGTTCACGTAGCTGGTCCTTCGGAAGTTGGAGTAATGCGCCGAAACTAGCTGGAGCAATTGTCTTCGCACACCGAATGAATCCTTCCCATAATGGTGGATTCGTCCAGATCTTCTTCGTGATAAGACGAGAAAGGAGCGTGGTAGACACAAAGCCGACTAACGATTTGTACGTGGTAACAGCCTGAATAACCTGATTGATGACGTTTTGAGAACAAAGCAATTGATTGGCTATGCGAAGAACAACTCACAGTTCGTAAGAACAGCACAGGTAATACCGGCTCATCGACAATTTGCTGCATCACGACCGCAAGAATTTCAGATCGGAAAACATCCGTCATTGAGAAGCATATGCCAATCGCTTCGCAATTCTACGTCAGATCCTTGTCGAAATGAAAACCAACGTGACAACTTTACCTTCAATTGTGCTCTTCAGACCAATCTCCTTTTCGGATTCATGTAAAAGTACCATCAGCTCGGCAGGGGTAAGTAGCTCGCTTTGCCGAACACGAGGAAGATTGGAGGTGACGCTGCCGAAGGTTTGCGGGGGTGTCGTGACAACCGATTCAAAGACGCTCTTCACAAGCTGTTTAGCTTCTGCGGTGCCATTCAGCATGGAAACAACGCGCGGGAGGTGCTTGACAATGTCAACCTGCCCAATGGTAATTTAGTAACTCCGCACTTGCACATCGGATAAACCCTTACCTTGTCCATTTCGGCAATAATGGGAATGAGGAATCGAGGGTCGAGTTCTCGTTCAGTAGCCAGTGATTTGACAAGTGAAACGAGTGATGGGCTTGGTCGGCTGTTCTCAGTGAAAATTGTGAGGATACGTAAGGCAAGTGATTCAGCGCCAGGAGGGAAAGAATGCATGAGCGCCAGTAGTTTGGCATGGTTGGGCCCGAGGGATCTTATGAGCGCGGTGATGAGACCTTGTATGGCCGACTGAACAGAAGCGTCCATTTGACCATACGCATCAAAGATTCTATTCACAAATATCAGGGCAAATCCGAAAGATGATATACCGATTCACACTCACTCATCCAAAAATTCAGGACATTTGACACACAGAGCAAAAATGAGTTCCATATGTTGAAGGACCTGGGGTTTCTCCGCTGGTAATTCGAGCTGCTCCGGAAGGTACTCCGTCTGTACTACTTCTTCCTGCGGCATTTCTCCGTCCTCCATAGCATCGGCATTGCCATCTACATGGTCCGCTCGCCCGTTTGCTTGATTGTCACTTGCAGGCCGTTTTTGAAGACGGCGAAGAAGCCGCAAAGCAAATGTCCGAATCATTTCGCCCATAGGCTGGATGTCTGGTACCCATCGTTTAACGGTTATTATCGCCGCTCCACGTGTGACTTTGTCTGTACAAAACCATGAGTATCCGCATCTAACCAACTTAACAGAATGAAGTACCTTGGTGTGTAGTCAAATCCAGTAGGATCTTCATCGCTTGTTGTCGCAAGGGAACGCGCTGAATTACGAATTCTCGCAGAGTCGTAAATCCGACTTGCATGCTACACGAGTTGCATTTGTTCAGACTCTGAAGAAGTTAAAGGGCGTGCATATCGCTCACCGATCCGGTTCGACACAGAGATCTCTAAGCAATTTCAAGGTTTCCGGAGGGACAAGTGGGATATCAAGTAGGAAACGTGAAAAAGTTCGGTCTTTCGTATCTATCATGGGCTCGTATGCTGTCACAAGTTTCTGGACCCATAGCGGATAGGCTGGGTACTATCCCTGAAATGAGAAGCCGAACGCAGCGAAAAGAAAAATGGACACACCCAATCAGGATACTTTGCGCCTTTGATCTTGTCGTTGTACCATTCTTCATTCATCCAGGTCACAGCAAGTCTTTCCCTGCTGGATAATTAGAGCCAAGCTTACCTTACAGGCGACTCACTCACCTTGCCGGGAAATTAGATACAATGTATTCGAACAGGGTCTGTCTTATTCGCTCTCTTCTCGAGATGGTATCGACTTCCATAGACTCAGGCCTCTCATCCTCAGTTTCACCATCTCCATCTTTCTCAGCACGCTCTTCCTCTGGGTCCGCACGCGTAATCATCCGCACGAGTAGTAACATCCAAAGGTCTCGCGAGGAAGCACCTTGGGAAGGCTGGTGCGTGCGTGAAGCAACGTCACTTGCAGGAACGAGTTCCCTACTCGTATCCCATATTCGCGACATAGATTGCTGAAGTAAGTCCTGTCTCTCTGGCTCCGAAAATTCCCGAGGTGATGGCAGCTTGAAATCAGCGAACCTCAGCGCTTCGTCAATGTCTATTTCGTCCATGCCCTCTGGTAACCCAGGAGGCAAATCCTCTTTCTGTGATATCTATAATAAATCAATTAAGTGGAACAAGTATTAATAAATGAGAGAAATATGTACCTCGTCATTTACTCTATCAGGCTCGTATTCTACTTCTTCGTCTCCCACGTCCATTGCTAAGGGATCGACAGGTTCGGATTTCACAGCGGATGCATCAGCCGAAGGTTGAGCAGCTTCTGGAGGCGGCGGGGTTTCATGTGCAACTGATGCAGAAGGTAACAGTCCATTTGCTTGCTTGTACCTCTAAACTAGATATCAGTAGACTGTGACAACACGTTTTGCTTCAATGCACACCTGCACGGCAGCGGACAGAGTCTGTTCGGTCAAAATCTGTAGATTTGCAACTATGAGGTCGGTAACAAGGGTATGCGGAAGGGCAGAGAAATCAAAATTTGCAAGGACGTTAGAAACATTCGCTGAAGTGTCATGCTCCGTCTTTAACCGCTTCGCTTCGCTTGCCTCATCGCTGAGGTTATTAATCGTCCGTTTACGGCTTGCTTCTGCAGCAGCTGCAGCCTTCCTGTTTCTCTCGTTAACAACGGCTTGCTCCATGCGGACCGCCTGCTTGGTGAGGGCATCGTTGATTTGGTGACCATAGATCGTTTGAATCTGAGGTGTACTGTAGAGCAGTCGTAAGGTTAAAGCAATTCCAAAGAAACGTCTCAACGTACCGTTGAAAATGCAATAAGAGAATCCGCACAGCCTTTTCAACACTTCGTACAGCCGTGGCAGGAAAATGATAAATGGCTCCCGGGTTCCAGCTAGTAAGCGCAGAGACGATAACATGAGCTAGAGCTGGCCTCTGCTTGGCAATGGAGCTCCAAGTATTCACCACAGCTGCCATCATGTCCGGATTTCTAGATATCCGATGAGGCAAGCTCATCGGAAAGAAAAGAATAATCACGCACGGCATTGTATAAAAGATAGTGACAACATCGCCCATAAGCTTCTGCCCCTCTGCTTCAAGTTGCGCAACATTAATGAGAGGATGATCGGCTGGACAAAACGAAAGATTGGGGTCGCTCGGTTTCTGAAGCTGTAAATGATAGTATTCATGTAAGGTAGGCACAGTAATGTATATTGATAAAAGCTTACCCGTGGATCTGACACTCCCCTCGTCTGGACGAGAATTACTCGTTGCATGAATTTCAACGCAACAAGCTTTATCCCAGATGTTGTTGTCGGCGACCAGACCATCTCAAGTATCTTCGACTTGCAACCCGCCAACGTCTCCCACATTGGTCTTAGCGTTCGATTTGTGCATCTATAAACAATATTCAGACGCCGGGGTCTTGACGGCCGCAATCTGAGGGGTGAACTCACAGGTGACGGAATAACAGCGGATACACCGAACCAAAGCATTGTATTGCCACTTTAACCGTTGCTGGATTTGTGTCTCGAAGGAGACCGGCAAGGACGTCTAATGACTGACTGGCGACTAACGAATGACGATTTCATAAGGTCACAAAACTCAATGAAGAGGCTCGCAGTGTACATACTCTCTGTACGTTTCTCAACAGGCAAATTCGCCCTCCCTAACCCATAATGCAAAAGTTCGAGTGTCCAACGTCTTAATAGCGAGTCTTTCGCTCCCAACACGCCTCTAATGAGGTTGGATACGAGTACTGGTATATAGGTGGGATTTGCTTCGAGGTTTTCACGGAGTTTGGCCAACAGGTCAGCCTGCTCGCTGGAGTCAGGCTGCACCGAGTACGCTGCCTGGAGTGCTTGCAAGGGATCCATCAATGAACGATGTTGTCAGTGCTGTCTACACCTCGCTCCCATGCGCGACTGGTGGTCGTGCGCGACGAAGAGCAGCACGGACAAGAAAGGCGCTGCCCGTCTTGAGACGCGTTGCACGCAGAACCCACTTGCCTCTTTCGTCTCTCTTCGTCCTCGACTGCCACCATGGTCTGTATTTCCTCTGCGCATTTATTTGCTAATTTATTCATCGTGTTTCCCTAGGCCTCAACACAGAACCAAGGTATCCAGACCCTTCTTGATGCGGAGAAAGACGCGCAGAAAGTCGTGGATGAGGCTCGCCGATGTGCGTTTATGCATCGGTGTCCGTGGCGCTCCTATCTGACAATCATCTCTTCGCAGACCGTGTCCAGAAATTAAAGGATGCACGTTCTGAGGCAGAGAAAGAAATTGAAGAATACAAGGCTTTGAAAGAGAAGGAATTCAAGGCATTCGAGCAATCCGTATGTACTTACGAGCTCTCCCCTCTGCACTAACGCTAATGCATTCGCCACAGCGAGCCGGTACGACCCAAACGTCCCAGTCGGCCATCGACAAGGAGACAGAAGTCAAGCTTACTGAGATTATGCAGTCTTATGAGGCTCACGAGGCTGAGGTGGTGAAGAAACTCATTGATCGAGTGACGCTGGTCAAGCCTGAACTCCATCGGAACCTCAAGAAGATTGAGAGCCCCTGATATTGACATATGGCTGTTGCGCATCTGTTACGCTTGTTTCATTGCATTCATATCTTCTAAGAAGGATTCCGTAGAGTAGTCTCTATAGTATCCTTTACCATGTATTTTACGGACTTGAAATGCATCACGCGTATTTATGGCTGTTTACTCTTGTCCTGTACTATCACCATGGCACGCGATGTAGGGTAAGTGAAGAAATAACAAAACAAATATTTCGTAATAAATCCAATCCTAGGCTTGACGACTTTGATTCTTGGGAAGATCCATGGGCTCGAGCACCAGAAACAACCCGTGCAGGGGAGTCATTTGAACTGCACGAGAATCATGAGCTGCTTGAGACGGTCCCAACGCGTTCAAAAGCGAAGACGGTGTACCACGACGGAAACACTATAGGTGTGCACACACACTCCAGTCTTCTAACTCGACTGGTTCTGATAGCAATAAAGACTGGCTGCACGAAGAAGCTGCTGATCGTTCTCGACAACATCGATTACGCTCGTTTCGTGGACTTCGTGGTGCCCTCCTCCCATTACTCGAATCATCACGAATTTGGTTCATAGTCGTTAGTACTGGCGTTGGCATTGGTGTAATCGGGGCGTGGCTAGATATTCTCGTTCATTGGTTCAGCGACTTAAGAGAAGGTCGTTGTGCTTATGGGTTCTTCTACAACCAAGTAGCATGCTGTAGTGGTCTTGACCGTGAGTCTATTCAACGAGTATCTCGTACCGTCGCGGAATTGGCCTGAAAAGAGTTCAGCTGGAGAGGTGTGCGAGGATTGGCTGACTTGGAGCCAGTGGTTTGGCGTACATTCCATCTTTGTGCAGTCTCTTCTACAGGCGGTCATTTATATTTCACTTGCGGTTCGTAATGGCATCGTTTTCTGCTTTCGTCCATTCAACCACTTTGCAGATCGCTTTTTCGAGTAGCGCAGCGTTCCTTGTACTCATTTATGCTCCATAGTGAGTATCATAACCGATTGATGATTTGTCTTCTTGACAGCGAAACCTTTGTATGCAGCGCATTCCACACCGGAAGTACGTATAATGAATGTCTATTATGAAAGGTAAACTAACTGTAATACTCGATCGCAGTTCCTGAAATCAAAGCTGTACGTATGGCCCGGTCGTAGCTCCATAATCATTCCACTGACTATCATCGTAGATCCTTGGCGGATACGTCTTCGACGAGTTTCTGGGACCGTGGACACTGTTGATCAAATCCCTTGGCCTTGTATTGTCCGTAGCCTCAGGTCTGTCTGTCGGAAAGGAGGCAAGTCTACCACCCTCAACTGTGTTTGCTGTGTGGCTGACGCTGGTAAAACTTGAAGGGGCCGCTCGTCCATGTATCATGTTGTATGGCCTTCCTCATTTCAAAGGCCTTCAACAAGCACCTGCGCAACGAGGGTGAGCTTCACCTAGTCAACACTGACCTTTGCATTGGACGTAACAACCCTCCCATAGCACAAAAGAGACGTATCCTCGCAGCTGCGGCAGCAGCCGGGATCAGTGTAGCATTCGGTAGTCCGTTAGGCGGTGTTCTCTTTGGACTGGAAGAGCTTGACGTCTTTGCAAGCGATTCGGACGTCATATGGAGAGGCTTTGTGACCTCCGCTGTTGCGGCAGTTTCTCTTCAATATGTGGATCCTTTCGGGACCGCGAAACTTGTGCTATTCGAAGTCTCGAGTGGAAGCGACACTTGGAGAGGATTTGAACTTGTATGTTCGCATTCTTCTCGTTTTCCATGTGGTACTAATGATGTACAAAGTTTCCTTGGCTTTTTCTGAGTGTCATTGGAGTAAGTTAATTCCAGTTATAGTCCTTTTTAAATGTGCAGTGTACCTATCAATACCTCTAGGGCGTACTCGGTGCTATGCTCATTCGACTGAATGTTGCTGCCGCCGTGTATCGTCAGAACAGCTACCTTCGCGATAATCCAATCTTGGAAGTCGTTGGCGCGACTGCATTTACGGCCGCAATCAGCTACTTGGTAAGCATTATTTTAAGCATGGGGACGTTGTTGTCTCACGGAAGCCGATGTCTAGATTGTATTCTTAAGGTCATTATTTTTCTCGCACAAGTGGATTATCTACTGATCATCTAATAGGGTGCAAAGTTCGGACTTGGTGTCAAACCTCTTCCAGGAGTGTGATATCTCCAAGGGAGATTATCATGGACTGTGCAAGTACGTTCTGCTTCGCCTTCGCTTCCAAGCAATTGAATCTTAGTAGTAGTATCTTAGCCCGAATGCCATAGTCGAGAATATCTTCCTTCTTGTGCTCACTGCAGCCATAAAAATTGGTCTCACAGCTTGGTCGTTCGGAATGATGGTAAGACATCTACGACCTGAGTTATGTGACGAGAATTCTTATTACTAGTTCTAGGTTCCGGCAGGAATATTCTTACCAACAATTACAATCGGCGCCTGCCTCGGCAGAGCTGTAGGATTGGTTGTGTAAGTTCAGACATCCGTTATGCATCGAATATATACTCACAATGAACTATAGTCAATGGTTACACCGTGCTCATCCGACATTGTGGGTCTTTACAACGTGCCCTCCGGAGCCTACCGTACAATGCATTTCTCCCGGGTTTTATGCCGTAATTGGTGCTTCTGCAATGCTAGGAGGAGTGACAAGGATGACTAGTACGTTATGTCTTGCTTTTTGTCGCCAATACAACAGCTAATATCTATATTTGGCAGTATCTCTTGTTGTTATTCTCTTCGAGGTAGACTATTGCTACGATCTCACCTTCTTTACTAATACTAATTTGTATCGCAGCTTACCGGCGCCCTGTCCCATGTCCTGCCAATTATGATTTCTGTTATGGTTGCAAAGTGGGTTGGAGATGCGTTCGGAAAGGAAGGTATCTATACAAGGTGGATTGCGCTACGGCAATATCCTTGGTTGTCATCCGTCGAGTATCGTGATAAGGGCGAGAGCGCGGGCAATGTCATGATACCAATTGAGAGACTCGCTACGATCGATGCCTTTGGCTGTACAGTACAAGACTTAGGTATGGTGCTCAACCATGTTTATTTCTTTTAATCTGACCTGTCTTGTCATAGATCGTTTGGTGAAGGATCATGATTACCACGGTTATCCTGTCGTATCTTCAGATAAAGAATTATATGGATACGTGATGAGGACAAAATTAAAGGCAGCGATCGGTACGTGCCTCCCATTCGTTTGTATAATACAGCCTCTCTCTAATACTTCAGAAGATCCGTTCCTCTCATCCGATTCCATGAATCAAGTTGTCGTATTTGTCAAGGCTGCTGTAGACTCGACGAATATCGACTTATGCGCTTTAGTCGATGAGGCGGCGATTCAACTGCGAAAAGAGATACCACAGGAGCTCGTCGTCAAGATGTTCCAAAAGATGGTATGTAGCTTTGGTTCATGCTCACTGGCATTGCCATTTGTCTAATAATGATAATCTCTTATAGAATATGCGATATGTTTTCTTTACTCGCTTTGGTAAGCTCGAAGGGTTGGTGACGAAAGCGGACATTGTTTCATTAATGAGTTCACACATTCCGTTTGTTGGAGCGCTGGCTCGGGAAGAACGTCACGAGGAGGGGAGCTCACCTGAGGTATTATGGGAAGCGAGATAGGCATAGAACTATTTCTAGACATTTTATAATGCATTTTGCTTTAATATTTCGCATTGTCTATGTGGACTATATGGTATGGGGAGTGTGGTCAGAATGTCCTGAATAAGGGAAGAACGAACCTCCTGACTACGTGTAAGAATTCATTTTGTAAGCCACGTCGCGTAGGCCAACGAGACGCGTCAAATTGAATTGATTAGCCCCTCCTACTGTAATTCCCGTAAAGCGACCGCACGCGTCTTTCTCTCTCTCCACTACCACTCACACAATTTCACATCTCATATCTCACGAGTCATTTAAGCAAACAAACAGACAAACAAGAACATGAGCTTCCTCGCTGCACCACGAAATGGCACGCGTAGGGTATCGGGGCAGGCTAGCAAGAATCGAAAATCGTCGGTGACGTCCTCGTCCTTAGCTGCGGAGTTTAATAGTGACAACGACGATGGTACTTCGGGTACGGGATCCGGGATGCATTCTCTCGCGCATGAACTTGCTGCTGCGCTCATGCCAGAACCGAGTGCTGGTTCGAAGCTATTACAAGAGGAGTTTGGGATAGAGTATGACGAAGGCGCGGAAGGGATTGATGAGGAGCCAGAATTGAATGGTCATGCAGGCGGAGAGTCACTCGCAGACGAGATTGGTGATGCATACGATGGACCTGTGCCTAATGGACACGCACCTGAGCTTGGGGATGAGCCACCAATAGACGACCTCGCCGTACATTTCGGATCGGGAGTTTCGTCCAGTCCCGGTAAACCTCAGGCGAAGCAGCAACCTCAACAAGATCCAATGGACGTCCTGGCAAAGGACCTAGAATCCACCGACAAATTCCTTTCACAATTACGACACCTAGACGCCGACTCTACACATTCATCCTCTTCACAACCCTCCATCGAGAAGTTCGCTTCGGATATAATCAGGCATATTAATGACTCAGTACGTGATCGGGAGAGCCAGGTGCGGGAATTGTTGGAATATGAAAGGGAGTTTAGGAAGATTGCTGGAGAGGTAAACGGGAATGACGTTCTTGGGAAGTTGGATGCTTTGAAGGAAGTAGACGGTCTGTCGGACAAACCGGGACCCGTGGACGGGGCGCGCTCGAATGGAGTGGTGATGGAAACAATTCAGGAGGATACTCGTGCACACCAACGCGCTTCTTCGAATGACTGGGAAATGAATCCGGATGATCATTTCCTTGAAGACGAAGGAGACGAGACTTTTGACGAGGACGTTGACACGCCTTCTCCAATGAAAGACTCTTTCGTCGTTCCTCCGCCAATGACCGGTCCGCCAACAGTCCCAAAGATTATTCCCGAGCTGGTCCACGTCCGAACTGTCACAACTTCCCTCGCAACATCTCTCACAGCCATCTCAGAACACGCGCAGATGAATGGCGCAGCGAACGCAGACGCTGGTCGAAAAATCCGTGCTCTGAAGAACAAACTCGGCGGATGGCGATCAGAATGGGACAGCGCGGAACAGAGTCGGCTGAAGATCGAAAGATGGGAGGCAGGGTTAGATGGTGACGACAACAACAAGTTCTCCACCTCGGATTCCAACACCAATCATCATATGCCAAATGGCAAACACAGGCGACTTGACGCGAGACGAACCACAGACGAACACCTACGCGCGTTCGAACTCGCATTAGCGGACGCAGGGATGAAAACTCAGGCTATCATGGCAAAGTCTTGATTTTCTCTTTGTCAAACCACTTTGTTCTATATGCAATTGTACTTATCAACCCTTATAATGTTTTGTCCTTCTTCATGCACACCTTTAGTAGTTTGCTTACCCTCATGCCGGAATGTTTTTTTAGAGTTTTTCGAGGTCAACTTTCTTTTTCTATTCACCGATCTTTTGAACATGCATGGTTCATTGGTGGTGAATCACACTTATGCTAGCATCAAGCAATTTTTTTGTTGTTAACAGTGCTAATTCGCGGCTTTCTTTCCTTGCGCTACATAATTGTTCATGGTGATTTGGTTTTGATACCCTTGGTAAAATTTAGAGGATAATGTGGCGGATGGTATTACATAGTATTGTATCACAGATAGATTTATGGCAGGGACGATTGACGACATCTATGGAGTGAATATTTCACGGGTAGAACGAAGACGATAACTGGCCTAAGGTGCATACGCCAATGTTGCAAGGTTCCTTGCCAAAGAGAATATTGTATCCCTTGTAGATTGCACATCCGTTTTTTCGCTGCAATTCTTGTACTCGACCAATACAGAAGCTTTATCTATACTTCATCCTTTATATGCAAACCTAAAACACGAAATAGGTTAGTTACATTTGTTATTTCTGCTTAGAGGAGCACTTACCAAGCCGCCCTCGCAACCACTGCCTCTTTCCTCACCGCACGTTTTGGATCATCCAGAGACTTACCAAGTTCACGAAGCACGGAAGCCTTTAGAGGGTGTAAGACATCGTATCGCACGGCGCTAGGAAGAACAGCGAGGCATTTGAGCGCGGACAAACGTAGAGTCTGTGGATTAGATATTAGTAACAGTACATAGTTATCATGTTTATAAGAATTTAAGGCCTACAGAAGAGGATGCCTCTTGAGGAAGAGCATTTTTGAGCATGGCCAATACGAGAGTCCTTGCATGCGCTTGGACGGCGTCCTGAGCCCCATTACTAGCGACAGTTGTAATGGTACTTATGATACTTGTTCGAATTTCAGCGTCTGGTAGGTCGAGACCTCGGATTAAGTGTGGTGTGAGCTATGTAGTTCGTAGTATGAGTGAAACGAGTTCTGTTCGAGTACTGAAAAAACTTCGTACGGTTGGCATGTCATTCACATAAACCGTTCTTGGCAACGAAGATATCAATGCAGAGAGTGCGACAAGATTGGCTTTTTGTTCTTCCGGCTCTAAAAGGTGCTGTCCTCAGAATTGTTACCAATTGTGTACTTACGAGCACTACTACCTTTTATATTCTCTAATATTCTCGGTAGAACATTCTTATAATATTTTTGAGCGTAGAGAATCTAAAAAAGGGAAAGGAAAGGAATCATTTGTCCAATCGTCAGGTATTCTGACAAAAGCACGATACCTTGATGATTGCATGGTTTGATTTCGTCAAAATATCATCGCCTCCGCTCGCAATCTCGCCGACTGCTCTCGCAGCATCCCATCCGACTTGTTCGTCCATAAAGATGTTGAACAGGCTATTCACTAGACTCGTTACAGAAGGGCTGTTAAGGAGGACGAGAGCCTTGGCTATCTGTGGCACATTGGTGAACCATCTAATGCGCATTTACTCAAGGAATTGCGGAGTTGCTTACCCAAACCCAACTATGAATAGCCTTCCGCCGACGTTCTGCTGGTACTTCAATGCTCAGTATGCCTTTCGGGTATACGTCTTCAAGTTGCCTGGAAATAAACGGGGACAACTCTAAAATCGTCTTGTTAGCATGTCGGTTGTTCGGTACATGATAGCATACACTCACTTTCTGCGTTCTTATTTAGGATAGATGCTAGCAGATGATTTGCCGCACGCCGTTGAAAGTCGTTGTCCGCAACATCGAGCACCCAATCTTGTATGCCGATGAGTATCTGGTTCGAGTCCAGGTCAGGGAAGAGGACCTGAACAATATTAATTAATTACATAGTTTGATCTGCAGGCGATGAGGAAACGTACATCTTTGCGGAATGCGACGCAGGCAGAAGACAGAAGGACGATTGTGTCACGCTCCGAAACAGTTGAAACACTCTGAAAGATACAATTTAAATCTGAACTTGGCAAGGAATGAGTGTGCCAACCTCGAACGGCTTGAAGGCTCTACCGACAGGGAATGCATGATGTCGACCACAGAGAGCGTCTAGACTCCCGTCAAAGTAAGCAGAGTAAAGGTCTTGAGCCAGCTTCTGTTGCCGCCTTCAACATCGATGTAAGCACATCAGACCACTGTAGATCGTAGCTTGAAGGCTTACTCGACCGGAATGGTTCGTACAATCGTTGTAATTACTTGTCCAGCTACCGCAAGCGACTTCCGATGCGGGTCATTCGAGACTGACGGCCCACCTGAAATAGACAGGTAAATGAACAAACTGTACAACCGCGGGACCAGTCGGTCGATATATTTTGATATGTCCACGTGGTTGGCATTTGCTTTGAGCTCTACCACAGATGACAACGTTCGTAGAATACCGTGGGTGTATGCTATTCGCAGTTCGGAGTCTTCCTCATTATTTAATTCGGCTTTTGGCGCGCAGATAATGTCAAGCTTTGTTGTCAAGCGCACTACCAGTGTCTCGAATAGAGGAGCTGGGACACATAGGCGTGCCAGCAATCGCAAGGTCCGCCAGCATTTCGCTCGCTCCCGATGAGCGTCACGAGATGGAGGTGAGTCTGGGAGAGAGGTGAAGAGAAGTGGAAGCGTATACTCTTCGATCGCTTTGGAATTTCTTTCAGCGATCGAAATAAGGACACCGAGAGCATCATCGGCGGATTCATCGCTAGAAATACGACCGATTAGTCTTGTTCAATCAACCAATCATCAAGATGGGAGCTTGCCTTGCTTCGTCGGAGTCATTCTTCTCAGATTGCAGTAATTCGTTAATGTTGTGTACAACATATACGAGTTCTTCGTCTGTCAAAACGTCCTGCATCCTAGCAAGATTTCGAATGCCTTCAAGCGCAGCCTCGCAACTGCTCGGACTCTTCAATCCGGCTACAAAGGCACCAAGGACGTCATCTTTGAGCGTTAATAACTGAGCCTGCAGCCCGTAATTTTCCAGCGTCGTTCGCTTTGCATCTATTGCAGATACAACCACGCATAGTAACGTAAGGATCTGAGGACGATGTACCAATTCATCTGGATCGCGGAATAGCTTCAAAAGATGAGGAATAACCTGTGACAGAACGAATTTGGAGATACTCGCTGCAAATGGACCATGGTAAGTGTAAATTTAACGTCAGGGAACAACTCACGTACGCGTCGTCCCTATGAGAGCCGCGATTACCTTACTGGCGGGCACTGCTTGACTTTTCTCAGGTTCGCTCATCAGTCCTAAACATTCGCTGCAGATATCCGCAACTAAGCCTTCAATGTGGTCTTCTGATCTCTCGGAGCTTCCGTCAAAGCCGTAGATAGTTCGTATTAGAACTTCTGTCGCCTTTAATGCTTCTGCTTCAATTTCAGGATTGACTGGTTGGAATACCTGCCCATAATTGGATATTTAATCAGGATAGTAAGACATGTCCTCACCTCCATCTTAAGGGAGTTCCATAATTTCTTGGAGAAATTATTCACCGCCGCAGAACCATATACAGCTATGCAGATAGAGATAGTTTCAATAATATCTTTCTTGAGTACTGATTAGCATCTCGTTGCTATCGCTCAGGCATGGTAGTGATGTACCTACTTTGGTAGCAGGAGAACCACCCAAGAGTTTGTCCAGAAACAACGGAATCGCTAATTGACCGAAAAGCGGCGACGCGCTCATACAGGATCTTACAGAACCATGTTTAATGGACAGATCAATGCAATAGACAGACAGTAACGTACCGCAACACGAGTCTGAGGTCATCAGCCGTGATAGCATAGGGATCGTCTGCGGGAGGCTTGAACGTGATGGGGAAGTAACAAAAGATAACATTGAACATCACCTAAGGTATAGTCAAAAAGACAGCACAAAACTGATAGAAAGTAAATTTACCTCGACAAGGCGAGAGATATCAAATTCTATGCAGATGACGCGATCTATCGAGAATGCAAGGAGGAGATTCCGTGGGTCCTTCTCGCCATCCACAAGGTTGGTATATCCAGTCAGAAAATCATCACCCATTTCGATCAAGGCTTCATGTGAAAGTACGTCAGAGCTTTCCGAGGACCTTTCGTATGTCAATCTCAGACATACCACTTCTGCGGTGAGCTATCAAAGAATCCAAGATCCTGAACACCAAATATCGTGTGGACTGGTTGAGTTTCTTCATGTCGACGTGTGCGAATATGCTACGTTAGAAGGTTTAGCAGGACTTCATATTGTACAGGACTTTGTCACGTACGCCTTGGCTATGTCAACAGCGTCAACATCAGAGAAGGTGGTAAAGCCAGACAAAGGGACAAGACCCTTCAGAGCAGGGATAGTCGTCTCGGTGTCTTCCAGTTTTCCAGCATAGAAAGCCGTTAATACTCGTGCTAATGTAGTGGTAAGGTGGGGAAGACATCCTTAATAAACGGTAACCAACTTGCTTGTCGGTTTATCTTCTCTGGTGAGCATCGTTCAATAATTTGGGACAAAAGGTCTACTCCTGTTCACCGAGTACGACATGAGTACATTTCAAAAGCATAGTTATTATGTATATCTTGCCCTTCGTCCTCAGGATATCCTCCTCCGAGGTCAGATACTCGCCCAACGCCTTTACTACGTTGAGGAGTGTAGTCTGACCAGATGAAATATCTACGCCGATCTTTCCTTAGCTTTCGGACCAGATACAAGTAAACAGTCATACCTGAAACTAGCTGTGCGATTTCCTCATCGCGGCCCGTAGCAATCCAGGCGCGTACATGTCGCTCTGTTGACTCCATGAAGGCAAGTAGCGGTCAATGCTAGAGTGTATGCGACGATCAGCTTGAGAATTTATTTCGTGATCGACGCGTCTGCTCTGTGGCTACGGTACACTGAGCAGTCTCCCCGTGTTTCTCCTCCACGAGTTGCCGACCCAAGAGCTCATGCTCAGAGCAAGATGGGTAACACGACCCTCATGCTTACGTGCCATTTTGAATGCGCGAACCAACTACCGCTTGTCACTCTGTCCCCGGTCTTACGCCTCCGCGTCATCTCCGTCGACATCGCCTAAGAATCCCAAACGCACCGACAAAATTGACTATAACACGAGACCAGAAAACTCAGATGCGTCGACCAGCGAACATGTCAATTACAAGATCGTCACGGCCAATTCTCTTGAAAGCAATGTGGAACCGCCACGAAGAGTCAAGATGCTCGTACGCGACTACATCGAAGACGCGTTGTACAACCCGAACTATGGCTATTTTCCGAAGCAGGCTACTATCTTCTCGGGCTTAGAAGAAGTAATTGATTTTAGCAAAATCCGAGATGGAAACGAGTTTCAAGATGTTGTAGCCAAAAAGTACGAGAGTTACGGGAAGGATGGAGATGGACCAGGTCGACAAATCTTCCATACGCCCACAGAGTTGTTTCGTGTACGTACCCAACAACAAGGACGCCTCTTTTGATGTTGATTTTCCTTCACAAAGCCGCACTTTGGACAAGCAATAGGGCAATGCATAGTCTCCGAGTACCTTCTGAAGTATTTTCCCTATGAGGATCTGAACCTTTACGAGATCGGTGCTGGAAACGGGTCTTTGGCAATGGATGTTCTGAACTTTATTCAAGACCGTCATCCTGAGGTCTATGAACGGACGCGTTACACTATCATTGAAATCAGTGCTAGCCTTGCAGAGAGACAAAGACAGAGCCTCAGCTCCGTGCATGATTGCGTAGAAGTTGTCAACAAGAGTATCTTCCGTTGGAAGAGAGACGAACCTGCACCTTGCTTTATAGTGATGATGGAGGTTATTGTAAGTGTCCTATTCTGAGCCGTAATTGCATTTTTACTAAAGTGTCCTAGGATAACTTTGCTCATGATATGATTCGTTATGACTTGAAGACATTGGAACCTTACCAGGCTTTCGTCAGCATAGACGATGGAGGGGACTTCCATATGCACTATACTCGCATCACGGATCCATTGATGTCCTCGTTCCTCTCAATGAGACTAGCACTGGGTCATCCGCCACCTCTGCCAGCAATCTTTCGTTCATCCCGACGATTCAGGAATTTATTCTCGAATTTCCCTTTCGTGCCCAATCTCTCACAACCGGAATACATCCCAACTCGCCTTTTATCACTATTATCTACTTTACGGACATATTTCCCGTTGCATCGTCTCATCTTGTCAGATTTCGCGACATTGCCGGACACTGTACCGGGCTACAATGCTCCCGTCGTCCAGACGCGATACAAAAACACAATGGTACCTTGCAGGTCTCTGTTCGTCAGACAAGGCTACTTCGATATTTTCTTCCCGACGAACTTTGAACAACTACGGGATATGTACGAGCACGTCCTAGCTCGCCCTAATCCAAGCATGTCGGGCGGACCCTCCGCATCTGATCTCCCCATTCCACCGCCGCCGCGTTCTAGTCCGCTTTGGCATAGCGTTTCCCCTCTCACGCTAGGTTCCGAATTCTTCTCTTCTCGCCCTCCAAATAGACGCTCACCCCTCGATGGAGTGGTTTCTGCGAGTGGGTTGCCAGTGGGCGAGCGAAAATCCAGTGTCTTCACGCACAAAGAGTTCATGGAGACCTACGCAGACTTGGAGCGGACTCGACTCAGAAACGGGGAGAACCCAATGTTGGATTATTATAAGAATGTCAAGTTCTTGTTTTAATTGGGGTTATTTTGTGTAGATTATACTGCAGGCTCTGCTGTCTCGTTCATTTGTCAATTTGTCGTCAGGATTTCATGATGTACACATAGTAATGGAACATTTCTCCGAGCTCTCGAATCTCCATCGTTGTGTTGGGTCTTGTTAAGAATCTCTTTCGGAAGTGTGGTTGACCGAATGTGATGTACAGGAAAACGCCACCTTTCTTTAGGACCCTAATGTAGAACCTGGTAAATATCAGATAATTTGTTTGCTATGTATCCGTACCTCAAAACTTCATCCACTTCTCTGGTGCAATCATTAATTACTTGCTCTGGTGGATCCTGTGACGTTTGTCAAAATTACACCATGTAATACGCGTATGACGAGAAGGCACAATGACTTGCCCAAACATCCCCCTTGGAAGACATCATGGCATCCATAGTCCCTAAATGTATATTGAAATCAGTCACTGAAGGAAATATGTCCAACAGGTATACTCTACTAACCTTTGTCTATAGCCACGTCAAATGTTGAGTCTTCAAACGTGAGGTTCCTAACGTCCATTTCGTTCCATGTCATTGACGGTCTTGAATTCTTGTACCTTTCACGCATTTGTTCAATCACGACGGCCGAATACTAGCAGGTCACTTCATTTGAGTGAAATCAAACATTAAGGACGACGCTCGACGGCTCACGTCCACATTTACTATGTTATGGTACCCATCGTCGTACATCTGCATAGGAATGTTTGATGAAAAGATATGTTGAGTATTAAACTCAGCTGCGTATCAATACCTCTTCAGACAGTTTGGAATTTCCACATCCAAGCATTAGTATTCTTGACTCCTTGGTGGGAATGACTTGTTGGATAATGTGTGCTATGTCGTTGTAGCTTTTAAACCAATCGAATGTCGCTCCATCGGCCTCCCTATGTAATCGTTATTTGCACCGATGAGACGGTTGAGTGAATTTATATAAGTTACTTGCGATATCGGACATTCCTTATTACGTTCAAGAAGTCAAGTTACCTTCATTGTGGGACCAGAGGCGTACATACCAGTATTCCAACGTGCCATATTCTTCGTTGCTCTTTGGTAATACATCAGAAGACATGATGAACGCAGATATTAAACTATTTGATTTCGCGACAGTAGTCCGACTAGCTGAGGCAAGCAAAGTTTACGGCGGCAATGGCCGAAAGAAGCTGTAAGCCGTATCGCCGTGCGTAACACGAAATCACTGCGCACAACCTCGATTTCTCCTTACACTGTGACCACCCATAAAACAATCCCGATTCCAGTCACTCTTTATACCCCCTCCACGTCTTGTATCTCTTGCGTGTCTTCTTTGTCTCCCGGCCCTGCTTGCTCTGCTTGCCAAATCTGAGAAATTAGCAACATGAAACTCACGCTCAAGCAGCAATGGCGTCCAAGACCTCTCAACTCGTTTCTTGGTTTTGTTGATATCAAACTCGGTGTAACTATAGCTCTCCTCTTTGCTGTACGTCCACCATTCTCTTTGCTATCTGTTTTATGCAACAGACTGAGAACAATGCATCCTCTCACCAGGTCCTCAACAAAGTGGCAGGCGTGTACGGCCTCATCGCCGTTTTCACAGGAGGGTCATTCGCCCAGCTCAGCATGTATATCTATTCTGTCGTAGCGCTCATTGCGTTTGGGTGGGCACTCAAAGCTGTCACTGAGGTTCGCCTATTACCTATCAGACCCGTTCGGCAAATTTAATTCTGATGCCGTTCTAGGAGGACCCACGGCGCACACTCTACTTCGCCCACCTCTTTTTCGCAGACCACGTCCTTTCCACAGTCTGGACAGTCTTTTTCGCAGTAGTGTGGTGGATATATACGCCACATGACGGACGGCGACAAGCAAACTCCGCGGCGCAGGAACAGCTCATGCAAGGCGGTTCTGGACATAACATGACGGAGGAAGAACGGACGTTAGCTGCGATGCGGATCTGGAATAAGGAGAAAGGTATGGCTGCGGCTGTCATAATTATTGGCTGGTGTGCAAAGGTACGTGTATGTTTTTACCGGATTTGAACGGTTGTATACTGAATGTATCCGTAGGTCTATTTCGCCATCCTGATCTATTCGTATGCCATCCATCTCCGAAAAGGCTCTTATCGCTCGCTCCCACGAACAACAGACTCTATCTACTCTCAGTATACCTCTCTCAATGGTGGAGCTCGTGGTGCTGCATTCCCCGAAAGCGTTCTCGACGACGAGGATGAAGAGTCAGCAGACGGCTTTTACCGTATGCCAGTAACTTCACTTGCACAAGTCTCTTCGAGGAACTCAGCGGCGCCCAAGCCAGGGTCCTCGGTCACCTCATTCTCGGACTTCACGAGTGCTCCTGGGCGAGGTCGTCGATTTCGTTCTACAGGAGCAGCGGCGATCAGTGGAGACCTTGGAACTGTCGTGGCCGGGAAAGCGAAGCCGGAGGATAAAGAAACAGACTACGAGGAGGAGGTCCTCTTCGACTCTGATGAGTTGACTCACTCGACTCATTCCAAGTTCGGCACAGAGGAGAGTACGAGTGTGAGCTCGCGAGACGACGAAGCTAGTGGGCGGCGAACACCTGGTGATGGAGGACTTAGTAGGGAGAGGACTGGGTATAATAATAATAGCTTTGGGCAACCGTGAACTCCTGGAACCTCTTCTTTTCTACGCTAATTGCCACATATATCTCACTTTGCTCGCTCCCCAACTACGGATCCTACGTTATATTTGCGCATTGGGTTTACTATTCTATAGACAAAGTTGACTGATAGTATTACATCCGTGCTTTGATTAGTCTATCTATCAAGAAATTCTCTATTTGTTCTATGGATGAGTCGTGCGAAAGCTATTATCGAATTTACCTCAGTTGTCTCGCTGTCCGTTCTTCTCAGAGTCGGCAACGAACGCTTCCGCTCTTTCTATGTCTGTCCGCTTCTCCGACGTTACTAGGCTCATTCTCCTAGGTGTTGATGGCTCTGTTGAAGCATCTCTAGAGGTAACGAGCGTTGGATCACCATCCTTCTCCCCTCTATTCCCAACAGCGTCATTAATAGTAGTACCCACTTGGGATTCGCCGTCTGCGTTCTCCTGCGCGACTCGTCTTCTACGGCGTTCTGCCCTTGGGTTCAATATCACAGCCAATATGATAACAACACCGTCCAAGACCTCGAATACAGAGATCATGAGCAACTGAAATGTGAATGGAAGAAGGAAAACGTACGACCACTAGACTATATGCGACGGCCGCGAGGGCATCGAACTTTTCTCTGAATACCAGAGATAGGAGGGAGAAGACGCCGCCTAGAGTGTCTATAGCCATGAAGAACATCGAAATTCCTTTGACCTCGCGAAAGCGGATGATCTCTCCATACTGAGGGCTATGTCTTACAACGTTAGGGGAGATAATAGGCAAGAGATGTGCAAGAAAGACGCACAGTAGTCCGACGGCCAGGGTTATTGAAGCCATAACTCCGAAGAAGGTTACTGGCCGGTCGTTACCCTTATTTACGGCAGGCTAATATTTTACCGTCAAAGTGTGTCAAGAGTTATCTTCATTGTACTATCGTTCCGACTCACACGGACTGCGAATACCATTCCCGCTTCGAATCCTCCGAGAATGGCGAGTGTCATCGTCAAGATTAGAATTACTTGTCGATAAGGTTTCTTGTGCTCGTAATATAGGCACTATAGGTCAATCATGAAAGTATGATGTTTGTCAAGATTCAGCAGCAACAACATACCTGTGACCATGATATAAGGGATAAAAGTCCAAATATTTGAGGTTGGATTATCAGAGGAATATTGAGGTCTTGCAAGATAACGAAGACGCCGAGAAATACAGCTGCGATAGCCCAAATCAACCTACAGTGTGCATATGGTAAAACTACTCAGTCACATAATATTATTCGGAAATGACTGTTGGATAGTACATCAACCAATGGGACAAGCCCTCCGTTGCCTTTTCTCGCCAGCTTTTCCAGATTTGGGGAATGATTTGTCCACTCCAACATACAGTCCCTTGGAAAAAAGCAAACAGCATTAGAAATGCGTTCCAAGACAGAAACGTCAGTACTCACCCATGGTGCCAAACACTTGCTCTGCTACTCGATTGACAGGCATATCCTCTGAAACTCGACTGTTAATCTTTAGGAGTCAGGAGTAACCGTCTAATAGCACTAAGCCACGCAGTGCCTTGACCCTATACCTGTGAACCTAACACAACGAGGTGGGTCGTGTCTATGATTCAACTTTTAAGGTGTGGTGGAACCATCCTTGCGCCTCATGATTCTTCAGCATTCTTCTTTATCGGAATAGGAGTCCGATACACTTGGCTTGGGTGCTCGGACTTTAGATCGTGGGGCCTTCGTGACTCAGCTCCGGTTGATACTTTTATTCCGGCTGTTGAAGGGACATTGGTTGGTCCCACATTGAGAGGTACATAGAGATTCAATTGGTAAGCGGGCATATTGACGCAATCTGTTTTGATTTACATCTACAAAATTCCCACGATATTTTTAGCTCAATGACATATGCAGTACAAACAACACAGGTTTCTGTATGAAATATAGAGCAAACTACTGTTTTTAAACTGTGTCAGAATCACCTCTTTAAAGACGTGGGGAATGCACAAAATAGCTTAACGTATTCCTCATATTTATTTCTTCACACGAGAATTTTGCATATAGTGTAGACACGTTCAAGGATCCATGAGACCCTCTCTACATACATGACATCTTCAGGGATTTGCGCGTTGGTCAAGGCGTCAGAAATGATGTTCAATCAGAAGTTGGGCTGCTTTGAGAGCGGTGAATGAGACTTTATTACCCTCAACGTGCCAGGGCGCTGAAGTTTTTCATGCAGATATCGCTATTTACCATAAGACATCAACAGTACAAAGAGCCATAATAGACTGTCTCCGGCTATCTTCTTGTCCATGTCTTCTGTAGATTGACCAGACGAATAGGCGCATCACACGAAAGGAAATGAATATGGGTGGTTGTCAAGGTGCATTATGAGTGTGGCCAGTCATAAAAATACATGCGTCTGTTAGAGACACATTGGGATAGAATAGATTAGATATATCATGGAATAGCGGTCTTGTCGGTATTGGGTTGTCGAAAGCTGGATTTGTCCTGCAAGGAATCTACAGTGTCGAGTGGTTAGAAGGCGATATGCAGAAGTAGGACGAAACAACAAACCATTATTTGTTTTATATTCTATTACTGTATTCGCAGGAAGCTCTAGCACTCGCTTTACGGCATCCCTGTGTTACTTGTCAGAAACCTCGTTAAACTAGAAATCAATAAACATACTTGATTCGTTGGTTTACTCTTGTGTCATATCCGTGCTTATTCCACACAGTTAAGATGTCCTCATGTTGTCGCACACTCAGCGTACAACCACAGATTTCAGGGTCGTTGCTATTCGATGATGTGCCGTTTCCATTCCCTGAACCACTGTTCTCCGTGCTTGGCACACTCCTCCAGCTTGACACATCAGCTGCACCAGAAGCTGTGCCCCCGAATCCACCAACAGTGCTAAGCCCGCAGTCATCAAACTGGTCACCGATGACTGCCAGCACCAACTCCTCCCACAAGCGGTCCGCAACTCCCTTCTTCAGGCGGATAATCCATTTCCCGCCTTGTGAGTTTAGTGGATCCTCCCACACTGGACGCCGTACACCTGAGTGGAAGAGCAAATAGTCCGTCGTAGGTTGAACTGTTGAGGGTGGATTGAGATGTGTCCATATCATCCAAAACGATTCGATCTTGAGAATAAAATAGGGTCAGGATACAAACCATCAAAGGCGAGGACCGAATACTGAAAAAAGGGGAACGTACAGAAGCAAAGGCAGCTATCTTCTTTATCCCTTCTTCATAATTGATTATTTTATTGCCAGGCGAACGCTGCTGCCTGAACCAGAAGACCCAGCTATCTTGTAGAACAGAGATTTAGATACTGCCGCTCAAGCACAAAGCGAAGACGCCGTACGCACGTATTACGCAGAGGGTGTAGGCTTTCAGGATTCGACCCATTACTGCCAGCGTTCATGGCATGCTTCTCCTTCGTTGAAGGTTTCTCGTCGCCGGAGGAATTCGTGGAGACTGAAGTGGAGAAATGCCGAGAAGATGGCGCACGGGGCCGGGCAGATGGTTTTTGAGATATCGCAGCAGTGGTCATAGTGGTGGTTGTAGATGAAGATGAGTTGTTACTTGGGTTCGCGTTTGTATTGGAGAGGAAGCGTGACTGGGAATGGTTGGAGAAATAGCCAGTCATTGACGTGAAGATCGATAATAATGATAATAGAAGGATTTCGGCCGTGTATAAAGGGGGTTAATCTTGATGTATGCGTGTTCTTTGTGGGGTTATTGTCGCGTGGTCAAGGAAGTTTGTCTACGGCAGTGGCGATTTGACAAAGCGTTTGTGTGCAAGTTGTGTGCGCTGCGCTTGCAAACGCCAAAAATGTCGACTTTGGAGCGCACCTGTCCTTCGGGAGTTGCCGTGTGTTGCCATAAGCACGCTGATGCAAGGCACTATACGTATGGCAATAAGATCCAGTTTGCCAGTCCTCCGACTTTCGCATCTGACTTCTCTCACGTACCACTACCGACTACGTGTACTTTTCAACCATGGTTAGTCTTGTCATTGAACTGACTGAGAGACCTCCCAGTCTCCAGCCCTCTTACGAGCCTTGTCAATGGCAGGGCACACGACTGTTTCAGCCGCTTTAATCTACTATTACAAGAATTGAAATGAGGTCTGGTACTAATGATCATTTTAGAGCGCGTATCCGGCATATGTTATGGGCACTTTGTGCATAGTTGGCGGCGTCACTGGCTTTGCAAGGTAGAAAGGCTTCATTCAATCAGCCTATCTATTTCCTGAGTATATCTGTACAGAACGCGGTCTATTCCGTCTGTCGTTGCTGGAGTTGGGTGAGTTAATTCAATAGACCCATGTCACTCGACACGCATCTGACAAATCCATAAAGTGTTGGGCTGTTGTACCTTTGGAGCGCTGAGGCTATCCGTAAAGGAACTGCGAACGGTCTGGAAGCTGCTCTTGGTGAGTTTCATCGGTAACGCACGCCGGAATTTGTTCATATTTAAGCTATTCAGGCGCTTCTGCTATCTTGCTCCTTTCTTCGGCACCCCGCGCTGGAAAAGGACCCGTCCCAGCAATGCTTACAGCGACATCTGCTCTCGCTGGCGCGTACTATGGGAAGACTGTGTATAATGTTCGGTCTTGAAGAATAATTTATCGCGTACAGCTGGAATATCGTGTTCTCCACTCAGTCATGTCACAATTGCTATCCGTGTTTGCATTGTCCTAAATGTTATTCTTGTCCTTCAAGGTCCACTCAGATGCAAAATGCGTCTTCCCTTCCCTTCGCAAGACAGGATGTCACCATGCTCGTTGGTTCGAGCGTCAATATCTAATGCACTTTTTTTTGCCTTTAGTAAGCTCTATTCCTGTGGCCGTCATGCAAGATTATTCTCTCTGCACTGCGAATAATAGGGCACCACATTGATCAACCTCTGAAAGCACTTACAACGAAGACGCTCCATTATCCTTTGTTGACTAGGTGGCATTCTGTACCACTTTGACGGTTAAGACAAAGGCCAAGGAATCTGTTGCCTATAGGAGTACGTTACATATCCATTCAGTTGTTTCTTGCTTGTACCTCCAGACCTTACCAATTTGATGTTGGTCTTCCTGTACTTTCTTCAGACGGAGCATAACAACAACACGAATCGTGGACTCTTGTCATCGACATCCACCACTGCGGCCACCTTCCTTCTCACATTTAAAGGGAGTGCTGGGGTAGTTGGATACAGATGCGCATTTTTTTTATCTGCTCCCTGTCTTCTAAAGTCAACAACTCGCTTCATCCTTGAAGTATCTGCTCATGATGCCTTCTCTAAACGGGAGGTCCACTCCTACACATACTAGGGTAAGAAATTTTCATCAATGCATATTATTACTCTTGTTTCCCACCGTAGTATGGATAGGTTGAATCCAGCAAGGCAATGAAGGAAACTCCAATAGCAACTGAGATGCATCTATCCGGCATTCCATTCTCAGAAATATTCCTAAGCGTAGGCAACATGGGATTTTCCCTCAAGGCAATGGATATAAAGATGGTCAATGAACTGCGTACAAATGTTAATACCGCTGAAAATGCAGCTCTGCTTGCCGAAGATGCACCACTACGCGTCCAACTGCAGATGTGTAAAGCCTGGACCACGATTGTTGCTCCTATCTTTGTTTACCTCTTTGAGAAACACGGATACGCTGGCGGATGCGTTCTCGAGCAGAAAGAATTGAATTTGGTTCGACCAGGGTTAGCTGCCCAGAAAGCCTTTGTCTATTCTAATTATAATTACTATGTGACCATTCTTTGTCCAGAGATCAGATCAATCCAATGTAGGTTGTGTGCACTCACATTGCTCAGGTACTCAGAAGACTAATCCAAGATACATTCTAGAAACAATGAACGTCTCCCTGGATCGTTCGCAAGCGTCCTTATAGATCTACCGTTTTCTTACAGCGGAGGCATCATGCGTGCTTTCCGAGACAATCGGATCGAAACCTTTGACTTCTCAGTAAACTCGGTCGACACGATTTCCGCTTTATGCTGGTTTCATGACTCAAACATCGTGATTGAACCTATCAAGTCCGGATTTCGTGCCTTTATTCTCTATGAAGCCGTCATAGATCATGCCGTCATAGATCATGCCGTCATAGATCATGATACTGCTCTTCCTTTGACTTTCACACCAAACTGTGCTCGGATGCACAATCTTGAAGTGATCTTGCATAAGTTGGGCGGCTATAATGAAGAATTACATCAAGTTGATTTAAAGACTGCATTCTTGCCCCTCGTTCGTATTCTCATTCACCCTTACAAGCATGCGGGAATACCAGTACCTCTTCCGTTGCATCGGCTTCTATTTGATCGTTTGACAAGGGTAATAGCGGAAATGGGAACTGTTTTGGATGATCCAGAAAAATGGTATTGTCTGTTTGGTCAGATGAAGGAGCTAGTAGAGTTGTTAGAGTATTGTTGGGCAAAGTCATGCCAATAATATTTTCGAGTGGGGGTAGAGTTACCGGCCGAGCATGCATTGTTGTATTATTACTAGTACTGTAACTCTGAATGGAAATAGCTATTGACTTGGAATCTGAGACCCGTGCTCAGCATAGAGGCACGATCCTAAACCGGTGTCTTCGGCAAGTGCCATCGTGGGACCGTTCCCAAATTCAAAATTCGCACAGCCGACCAGCGCTGGGCCGTGATAACGACGACGAAAGGACATCTAACTCTCTTCTCTCTCTCCTTCTCCCCTCATTTGTGGATTCAACTCTGGACGGTGCAGCGTAGTACGGCTGCCCTTAGTCCCTGATAAATGTACGCTACGGTCTCTCCAACACGGCTCAGGCCGGCGGTACATCTCCCGACGAACTTCTCTTCAAGTGTTGGCAACGGCAACGGACGAGTGGGAAATGGTCGTGGGCAGAGCAGCCAAGACGGCTGGGGTATTTTCGAAGGGAAGCGGAGGTTCGGGTCGAGCTGGCTGGCCAGCCTTGGCTTACATTCGGGCAGGGAAGACATCAGCACGACAAAATCGTCGTCGCTGTGGCAGAATTTCCACATTTTCGAGGCACCCCGACGGCGGACCCTCACCTCATCAAACGACTCACCCACGATGCTGAAATTCTGCATAATGTGTGCTCTTTGGTACTCTGCCTCCGCAATGTCATCCAACACGGGCAAAGCTATTCTTAATCAGTTTAGGTTCCCGGTCACTCTAACGTTCGTGCAATTTGGTTTTGTGGCGGGGTACTGCCTCCTCTGTATGAACCCGATCGTCCGCTTTTCGCGGTTGCGAAAGCCAACGCGAGCTATCTTGAAGAATACGCTGCCGATGGGTATCTTCCAAGTTGGCGGGCATATGTTCTCGAGCATGGCTATTTCCCGGATTCCCGTCAGCACTGTGCACACCATAAAGGTACCGTCATTCAACTAGATTGCAATTTTAGCCCACTGATCTTTGTATTGCAAGGCACTATCACCGCTATTCACTGTTGTGGCATATGCATTCCTTTTCGGCGTGAAATACTCGCCGAAGACCTACATCTCTCTTCTGCCGCTAACGCTTGGCGTCATGCTCGCATGTTCATTCGATATGTCCGCCTCTAATGCTCTGGGATTGACTTGTGCTTTCGCTTCTGCAATCGTGTTCGTTTCCTCAAACATATTTTTCAAGAAGGTCATGCCCACTCCGTCCTCTGGAGCATCACACGGAAGCACCCACAAGCTAGATAAACTCAACTTATTGTTCTATTCGTCCAGCATGGCTTTCTTGCTCATGATTCCGATGTGGCTATATTACGACCTTCCGGTGCTTCTCTCGCCGTCGCGGTATGTTTCACATCCATCTCACGGCCACGCATCCCCGCACGGTGTTGGATACTATTTTTTCATCAACGGGACTGTCCACTATGGCCAAAACATCATCGCATTTATCATTCTATCATCTACGTCGCCAGTCACTTACTCCATCGCGTCGCTGTTCAAGCGTGTTGCGGTCATTTGCATCGCGATCCTATGGTTTAATCAATCCGTACATCCCGTACAAGGATTTGGCATCTGTTTGACTTTTGCTGGTCTGTGGATGTACAACAATGCGAAACCAGATGTCGAGAAGGGAGAGAACAAGATGCGTCGTGTTGAGGCGGCCCGCGAAATGATTCTCCCGAGTACCAGGGCAGAGCATCGCATGATGCATGCCAGCGACTCGCCTGCTCTGTCTGATAACGAAGGGGAGCCTATTTCAGTTTCTTCCGGTGTGGAACGAGCAGCATACGCCCCTCCATCAGTTGCTCAAGACTTCACTCACGGAGTAGCCTTACCTCCACCGCCTCATTCTCAGCCGCACTCTCACCATAACCCAAACCTTACCATCAAGATAGCGCCACCCGTTGATCAAGTCAAGGTCACAGAATCCCCTGTAGACTCATACCCATCGCCTCCTCTGTCCAACGATTCTCCCCCTCCCAGTGCTATGCCACTTACTTCTGTCCCTGAGGGAAAATCCCGCCGCCGAGGGACAATTTCTCGCCACGTACACTAGATCCGGAGACGACGTACATTGATTTAAAAGGACCTGCATTATTCCCGATTATTTATGCTCGAAGACGAGCTCTTTGGACTAGACGTTAAAAACACCATCTATTGACTCTTTGCATCTTCTTGTTAATATTGCCTGTCATCTTTGTTGCACCGCGTGTCTCTTGACTGGGTCATAGTGCGGGACTGCCGTCGCCCACCTCACTCCTTTTTTGCCATATTAATTATCAATGATACGATACCTAGATGCACAATAGTTACTTCATGCAATAATAGATGATAGATACCCTTATCGAGCCTACCTACGACGAAGTAGGTATATGCGCGATCGTGGGAACTTCGATTCTAGTCGAAAAAGCGCGATGCAACCTTTCTTAAGGATCTCGTCCATCTAGTTTACCATGGTTTAGCATCACGACTTTCTTATGCATTAGCGATGTCCACTCGTCGTACTCCTCTCTCTGGTTATCCCTCTAAGAGGCGACAACGCTCGATCTCGAATCCACATTCTCGTCCAGTATCCTCTTCATCTCCACTAGAGCCGATTACACAAGATGCTAGTATTTCCGAAGAGATGTCCCGGCGGATGCTGAAGCGGTCGCGTAACAGCTTGAAACGCGCTCTTTCTGGTCCAGATGTCTTCAAATCCGCCAGTGTGGGAGCATCGCCCGCTGATCGACCACAAGACGACTTGCGACCCGCAAAGAGGTCGAAGGCGGGCAACAGGGCTCCACTGCAGACAATCGTCGAGCCGAGTCACGCGAATACAGACGAAGAAGGCACTGTTGATATGGATTTAACGGATGTTGTCCAGTTGAGGACACCTGTTCCTCGCGAAGCTCCTACTAAGAAACAAGACGAAGCTACAACGAATGAAGAGTCGGACTTCCTCTCGCCCTTGCCTACTTCACGTCTCGCAAAACGCGTTCTTGCTCATCGTACCAGCTCGTCTAATCTTGCTGAAAATAAAGAGCAGAAGAAAACTGCTACTAGTGATGACTATATGCTGTGGTCACCATCTCCAAATGATCTTGCATCTCCTTTCCACAGTCGCCCTGGATCTCCTAGCGCCGCTCTCTCTGCCATTGACGCTAAGAAGGCCTTGGCCAAGAAACTCAATAGAACACGCTCTGTTGGCACTGATCTCCGTCGTCGCGCGACAATGCGATCCTTTTCACGTGCAGTCTCGCCAGCATCCAGCGCTTCAAGCCCAGGAGCTCGACGTCACCCTTCTCTTCCCAGCTCTCAGGTTAATCAAAAAGAGAATCAAGACTGGCTCATCCCTGCTCAACTTAATCAAGCTTTCGGTCACAAGACGCCTCGACGTCCATCTGATGCTGGCATTCCGTTCGTTCGAGAAAGCTCATTTTTTGACTCTGTCCCTGAAGCTTGTTCGACGCCTGTACACGCAAGACGTATGACCACGAACATACCACCGACTCCCGGAAGGGACGTAGATGCTACTCCACGCATGCCACTCGGGATTCGACCTTCCTCGATATTCTCGCAAAACAGAGGTTCAACGGCTTTCGCATTAGATGAGCCAACCCCGCGAGCGAGGCTAGCTCTTGGAGGCCTTGGATCTGCCCTACTGGACTCGGAAGATTCGCTCTTTCCTGATTCCATTGTCCCGCCTATTGAAAGTCCTCCTCGGATTGCACAGTCGCTTCCAGCAACTCAAACGGAACGTAGACGCATGACTGTTCATATGTCTCGGGACAGCATTTTCTCTTCGGCCATGGACTTTTCTTTATCCGTCGCGGAACGTCAACCTACTATCGGCGTTCCTCGTATCTCCGACAAGACGAAAGTCGAGCCAGATTCATTAACGCTCGCACCACCATCTTCTCCTTCAGGGAATCAGATGTCACCTCCAAGCTCTGACGGTGACGAGCTGCGGGACATGTTCTCCATTCTCGGCCTTGACGGTGCGACTTTGCTCAAGTCATGCACCCATTGATGAAAATTGTACTCACCTGAGCTTTATACAGAGGATGAGCGGTGGATGACAAATTCAGCAGACCCTATTGATGCACTTACCTTCACTCGTTCTTCCATATCAACCGACAAGACAAGAAAGACGAGGAGCTCGCTTTCATCTCGTAAGACAGGAAACTCTAAACAACACGAAGTTATCTCCGTTAAAGCTCGCGCCGCTCGTCAGGGCGGTCGATCCTCAGCATCCTCAGCGTCTCAAGACCCAATGCGGAACAAACGTGTACTAATAACGGCGGAATCTCCTCGTCCTCGTACTCTAGCGAAGACATCAATGATGACGAATAAGCAACTGAAAGCTCTCGAAGCTCTAGGGACAGTCAAGATGAGGATCCTAGACAAGCCCATTCAACCAGCCTCTGACTCGAGTGATGAACTCAACCTAATCAAGCAGCGTGTCAGTCTGGATCAGCTTTCTTCCGACTTCTGATATTTGGTGCTTTAATTTCCTTTATTTTGACGCTACGGACCTCTCATAGACTATACCTTGTGCTGCGTCACTTGGAAGTTCTGTGTTGCTCTCGATTTTCTTGGACTCAAAAAATATTTTCTCGAGCTCATCATTCCCATCGACAATCCGATGCCTCGTTCCCTCGGAACGTTTAGACCTGTATCCCCCTCTGCTTTCGATTATTTCTTGTAGCCCTATGAATCACCCAAGAAAGTCTTCATAACAAGTCCCGCAATCTTCGCTTCGCCTAATGTGTCGTCTCGTAGCACCTTGCAACATATGAAATAAATTCAAACGACCCAAACTTACAAATCAAGAATAAAGTGATAGATAAATTACCACTGGACTATTGCTAATAGTGAAGCGTTCAGGATGCGATTCGTAATTGTATGTAAGTGGATACCTATCCCTTCGTCGACAAAGGATCTAGGGACGCCCATCATCCGAATATGCTGGCGGCGCCGATTGAGTATCTTCGGTCCCATTTACATTGATATCCGGTGGGATCAAGTTTCTGGTTGTCTCCTGCTGTTGCCGTCGTTCAATCTCTGCTATTCGTGCACGAAGGCTGTCCACTTCCTGCATCATCGAAGTCACAGGCTCGTTTGATGTCTGCAAACTCTCAGACCCGACGTTGGAATCGGGTAGTATACGCTTTATCTCACCATCTGTCACATCCGCAGCGTGATTATGATATATTGCGTTAGCTTAACGACAGAGCTTACCTGTCCAACTGTGTTGACCAGATGCTGGGGGCAAAAGCAGTGACACTGCAGCCTGAGTATCTCCGTCCACTGTAACTACGCGTAATTCAGGTGCTTCGGTAGCTTCCTTCCTGTTATACCTGCTCTTTACAACGGATGGCCAACGCAACGACCAGCGTCGCAGGAGTAGCAATATCCCATGGCAAGTTATGAGTACTACTACAACCCCAAAGATAATCCCAACAATTCCTCCTGTGGATATAGAAGAGGAACTTGATTGGTTGGTGTTAGCATTGGGCAATGGTGACAGTGCAGCTAGGTAATTTGTCTAGGTCAAATTTGATACTGAGACTATTGGGTTGATAGCTTACTGGATGTGGGCACAGAAAACCCAACTGTATTAACAGTACATCAATGTCTTGAGAAGTAATTTAGAGAGTAAAAGGACAAATAAATACTTGTGGTGGTCCTGCTGTCAGTTGAGAGAGAGCTTTGGGATTGGGTGACACTACTACTAGTAGTGTCTGAGGAGGTAGTTTTTATTGGAGTAGTAGGGAGGTTCAAGGAGCTAGTGGTGGTCAAGGAGGTAAAGGTAGATGAAGTAGGGTCAAAGGCAGCAGCCATGGACAGGCAAAACAGTGAGGATGAGGATGTAAGAACTTGAAGCGGCACTGGCCGTTCAAAGGTAAATATACTGTTCTGCCGGAATTATCTAAGTCCCAGATGTACTCAGTAGCACACTGCACTTGTTGATGTAAAGATGGATATCAGCCTGCTGATGGCTTCAAGAACTACTCTACACATTACAATAAAGTTATCCATCAAACATCAAATAAAATAAAGAGGGGTGCATTTCATTTGTGATGCTCCCTTCTGCTTTTAAGAAAGATTTTATTTTATTTTCGTAATAAAATCGGAATCTGTCCATGCCTTCACACATTGAGCCATAGGATTTGATTACATGGTTGGCATTTGCAAAGATCAGCTTCAAGGCCGGCAATATATTGGATTAGATGGCCTGATATCATGATTCATTGATTGTCCTGCCCATGTACAGGCCTGTTGGCTATGATGGTTGTAAGATCACTATTGGGATACCAAAAACAAGGACCTATCTACGAGTCTCTAATACTGCCAAGCTAAACTTGCTACGACTCGGAGCCACAACATTTGAGTATAATTTATCGCAGAGACACTTTGCACCAATGTCAGAGACGTGGAATTCTGGTAGTTACGTTGCGACGGACAGATACTAATTAGTGGGCGTTCTATATCAGATCATGTCTGGTAACGAACAGATCACATAGTTTTGGATAATGATCAGTTACAGCACGGTAAAAATACTGATCTTTGCAGGCTCACGAATCTTGCTGAATGTAATTGATGTATTATTATGTTGATTATGCACCCTTTGTAGCTAATATTCCTTCGAGGACTAGCAAGGAAATGTCTCCTAATACCACACGCGTTTCGGCTCAAGCTGGATATTTCATCGTGCATTGGCAGCTGACCTGAACTATGCAGAGCCATTGGGACTATAAACGATGGGACGTGCACTTATGTGCTGATTTCCATGTGGACGAGAAGAGTTCACAACAGGCCTGGAGCTAATGACTGTATAGGTACCGCCAGATCACCATCTATATCTGAATTCTGATTTGTAGAGTACGAAACTATAGCGATGAGCTATAGCTGAGTACTTGGTATAGGCAAATACAATCAGAAAGGAGAAACAGTCAAGGCGGAGATTGCAAGGTGGGGAATCCAGTCCTCCTGACGACTGAGATGTAAAAAGGAGCTAACATCGCAGTCGCAGCCGAAACGCATTCTTGCTCGAGCGCGACTGGCTATCCAGATAGTCCTCGTAAAAACCCACGATGAACTCCTCAGCTTTGAATCCAAAGCGATTATAAAGGAGCTATACACGGTAAACAGGAGTTCATCAGCGGGACGATACTTTTGGTTTGATTATGTCCGCAACACGTTGGGAAAGATGAAGATTACGCACCATAGCAGGATTATTAGCAGAGACGTGCAAGAGGATATCGCGTCTTGGATTTCGGGTGACGAGAGTGTAGAGCATTTTCCTAATATCACGTCATCATATACGCGAAAAGAAAAACGAGTTAAAGTTCCGGTATATAAATGTTTCGACGGAATAAAATAGATAACATACGTCGCGATTTGCGAATTCTCCCAACCCGCACGGACAGCAAGGTATGTAATGTACGTCTCCTGAGGAGAGCTGAGAATGGCTACCCCAACGACGAGGTGTCTGTACGTTGTTACAACTGTACACTTCTCTGGAAAGTATTCCAGCGAGTCGCTAACTGTCCAGGGCAAGCAGGGTTGAGTACCCTGGTGAACATTTATAAGAAAGGAAAGGACGTTTTGGATACTAACCATTGATACCCGGCCAGAAAGTACGCGAAAGAAGATCATGCACTTGCGGAAGATGAGAAGGCCGAAGGGATTGGTAGTCGATAGGTGCAGTTGGTCTCCTGGCTTGTTCTCTTTCCGGGCTAGAAAAACCCATTCCATATATTGTATAATTGCCATTCCGTTCAGCACGAATAAACCTAACTCACTGGAAAAGCAGATGATGTTCATGAATATCATCCATAAGCTCCATCCACGGCGTGCTCGCTTCCCAGTCACGGAACAAATATCCATGTTGAGCATGCGAGGTGCTGAACCCTGCTATTCGTGCAGCCAATGAACTTCCGTACGGCGTTGTTCGTATAGACTGTAAGGCGCTGATAACTCTAGGATCCGGTTGAGTTGCAGGTTTAGGAGGATCGGGTGCTTTTAGTGCCTGAGACTTAGGTATCGAGAAACGAGGGGAAGGGAGGGAGTGTATTCGTCTATGCTATGTTCATTGTCAATTTGCTTTTCTAGTTGCAATCGAGAATTGAGAAAAAACCTTTTCAAGTTTGAGCTTCCTCAATAACAATCGATTAAGAGGGAAATTATTTAAAGGCAGGGGCTCCAGCAAGCCGTGAATAAGCATCCTAGCTTCAGATACAGTAATTGGACGAAGCTTCTGACCCTGTCAAAGTTGAATTTGAAGTAATGTTCACTCAGTCCAGTTCCACGGATGCTATCAATGAAGAAACTCACAAGTTGGTTGGCTTCCACCTGACTTCTAAGAAGCAATTCCCTTGTTCCAAGAAACTCAGAAATCACTTCCTGCATAACCTCATCAAAGCTCTGCCAATCGTCCTCCGAACCAACGTCCAGTTCAGCTAGGGCTTTCAATATCGCTAATTCTTCTCCAGAACTCTTCGCTCTCGTCACCGACTCAGCTATAGCACTCCCTTTTCTCCGCTTCGCCTTCCGATTCGACTGGGTCGCATTGGACTTTCTCTGTGTTTCTCATGATGAGTTCGTGAATTTGGCTTGTATAGTTTTGAATGCACCTTCTTCGGAGTCTCCATGTATTCATTATCATCTTCTGAGCTGAAGACGTCATCCGTAACCTGCTCTTGCTTCGGCATATCAGCAAGGAAATAGCGTTTAAAATTAAACAAAAGACAAGAAAAGAAAGTGTGTCACTGTGTCAACTCAAGTGCGCCCGGCGCCGATCATCCATTGAAGTGAGTTGCTACTTACTTGCTCACGTGAAATTTCGTAAACATGGAAAATAATAATCTGTTAACACAATACAATTGAAAGGGTATGAAGTACTATTATTCTTAAAAAAACTGCTATCTAGTACGATGCGGTTGTCTACGGAGATTACTGTGAATGCTTTGAACTTGTCTAGGTTAGGTGAGAAAAGGAGCTTGGAAGGGAATGCTACAGTGGACTGTGCCTCTAGGAGTCTAGGGATGCTGAAGGTAAATGACGAATACAGTGATTTGATGCAGATGAAATACAGACGCCAATCAGACCAGAGAGAGCAAAGTGAACAATTGTTTGAGATGTTCTATATGAAGCAGCCCGATTCAGAGCAAGTTGCGAAAAAGATAAGCGAGGAATTTTGATTTTTTTTTGAAGTCGTCAGAGTTCGTAAGCAGAAGAATCACTTCGACGCCGTCGTTTGAGGTGTCCACGGTTTGCGTCGAACTCGTAGGGTTCCGTCCTTTCGAAATACCCAGATTGTAGTTTTCCGACCATCCATTTCCTGGAGCTGACGTCCGAAAAACGAAGCCCATGTCACGGTCCGAAGCTCCTTCAGCGTTTGAGCAAGCGCAAGAGTCGACTGTAACTCAACAAGGCGGACATCCTCTGCGTACCTATCGAAACAGGGTACACACCATTCTGGGCCGAAAGGCCTCTCACCAATAAGGCCTTGTGAATGTAGATGAGTTGCATGCGCGAAATGTTCGTACATGAGGTCCTCCATCGAAAGGAATATTCCTAGGTGCAAGTGCTGCAGTTTGGAGAGTGGCCGCAGAGTATTCCTTAGTGTCATCTGAGTGATATGTCAAAGTTAGTTCTCGGAAAGCTGCATATATACGCATATACTAAGGCATACAATGAAGTCTTCCGGACTATAAAACACCTCAGGGATGGGAGAATGCCAGATACAGCTCGCGCTTTCTTCAAAGCAGTCCCAGCAGCATGAAACGTCAAGTCGTTCCGCGCAGTTCAGTTCAAGTTTATGGAGGTGACGAAATTTCTGAGCAATGCTATCCAGCATATTCATACTTATTTCAGGTAGGTCCGTGAGGCTGAGTTCAGTGAGCGCTTCAGGAAGGTTGTAAAGAAGTGGGAATATTATCCGCTGGATGTTAGCCAGAGTTTCAGCCTTGAAGACAATATGCACCGTGCTGAGTCGATTTAGCAAGGCTAGAATAAGGTGACGTAATGCGAAACGATAGTGACAAGCCTACCGTAAGAGACGAAAAGAGCGTAGCTGGACGGCTTCTGGGACGACCAGTGCTTGCGCCACACCACTAAGGGATCTTCGCGAATGACACGCATATAGTCAAGTGAGGAGGATGAAGAACGTTGGGACATCTAACACTTACCTGACCCAACGACTAAGATCACGGACGTCAGGCATACCATCCGCCCAGAACTTCTGAGAGCCAATATGCACATGGGAAAGGATATAAGGGAGTGCGATCCTTCGAAAAGCATATGAAGCGGATGCAAATCCAGCAATAGAAGTGAAGGTGTGATCAGAGTTGTAAGCCTCGCGGACAATTAGTTCAAGTATTTCCACTGGGAATATGCATCTCTGTATCAAAATTTCGAGCGAATATCAGTCCCCTCATGTACCTTCACGCAGTAAATGCGGACGCACAGTGAAAGTAGCAGTAACCTTCAAGGGTGATGGGCTAGCAAAGCATTTTGACGAGCAAGACGAAGACCGGCGAGAAAGTGAGAAAGTTGTGACAGTTGAGACAGGCATAGAAGTGCATAGACGACCGTACGGATGGGAAGAGAGAGTAAGTTAGCGGCGGCACAATATTGTGGCAAATGCAAGAGACGCGTTCTATAAATTACAATTTTGGTCTAGGACGCGCTTCTGGCACGTGCCTTTATGCACGAAGACTTGGCATCAGCATCAATGATCAGAGTTCTCTATCCAATATACAGAAAATAATTAATGTACACAGAGCGGAATCAAAACTGTAAGCATCATTAAGTCATGAAAGGAGGAGAAAATCGGAAAATGCAATAATAAAAGAGTAAAAGAATGTACCAAAGAATATCATCTCATCTGTCATCGGTCATACCTACATCAAGCAGACGCGCAATTCGATTGAATAACGTGCTTCCAACATGAGAACCAACGGGATCACCCTCTTTTGGTACGTTCAGAAGAAGTAGTACCGCGATGAAGACGGCCATAAAACGTAATAGACCACCCGAAGAATCTGACCAAGATTCTTTCGGAGGCTCAGTGTAGGGGGGTGGCACACTCGACTCGTAGGCCTCGTCGAGCTGTACTAGCGTTTCGGTGGGTGACAGGCTGGGAGTTGTCTCTGAGAAATAATCGTCCTCTGGAACACTCAGGAGTTTCGATTCAGCGAGCCATTCTTCTCCTCGCGTGAACATTTCGCGATCAGGGAAGACTTCGACAATATCCGCTAAAAAGCCCTCGACCTTCAGTGTATACCGTCGCCACATCCTGCGCTTCTCGTTCTCGACAACTAGCTTCGGTTTCTCATCCAAGACGGTGGTCTCCTCGACTCTGCCCTCCACCCCAGCTTCAACCAGCTCGAACTCTGGTTGTACACCCATTTTTCGGAAAATCTGTCCAATAGCATAGCCATCTTTTAAGAATAGCTCTGCACAGCGCGCGGATGTAATAGTCACGAAGCTCGTAGCAATGCAAACTGTTCGGCCCGCACACACGAGATGAACCTGGCGTTTTTGAGTGGTCGGGGACTCCGGTGATGGAGACAGCGCCTCAGAGTCCAGGGTCGGTGATGTTCTGACGAAGATAGGAGTAATGACCACGGGACGAGCGAAGAAGGCGCTATGAAACAGATCGTACTTTTTTGAGCACGGCTTCACGCGACTGGTCAGGGTAGGAAGTGAGACTGACCTTAGGATCCGTTGTAAGTCACCGTGCGCGCTGAGCATGATCCTTTCCACTGGTGTGACGCCTTTGGGCCATGCAAACTATGAATGAATTGGAAGAAGCACTGTTGAGCACACGCGTCAGACAGCAAAAGTCGGGCTTAAGTACTCACTTCGACGCTGGTTGTGCTCGCGTCGTACGCGTCGACCGACGGCATTTTGGGAGAATAAAAACTGCGACGGGCTGTAGGGCGACAGGGAACCGGACAGCAGCTGATACGTCAGGGAGAGGGTGATGAGGTGTAGAAGGAAGAGGGAGAAGAAGCAGGGTATAAGTAAGAAAGACAGAAGCGCGCCCGGTAAGAAGTGCCCTCGGAGTGTAATGCCATTTAGGAATCGCATGAAATCAGATGACACGTCCCTTTAACCTTCTCTCCCTCGGCCCCGGCGGTGCACACTTCACCCGCATTCCGCGGCATAACACTGTAGTCAATGTTCATAGACAAAGAGCTCCGCGCCTCCGAAGGTGTGGAGTATGGCAATAAATTGTAATGTTCAATGACAATACTCATGATTACCAAATCAAATCAACGCAACAAAGTCAATTTATCAAAGTACATAAAAAGCTAAATCTGCATTAGTATCTGAATGGTATCGACATAATGTGAAATTATCATCTACTCAGAATATAGAGATCTATACGTGCAAATCGCAATAGTTAAATAACAGCGGGAATGTTACTCGTGCCTCACGAATCTCTCTGTAACGTCACCATTCTTCGCGGTCTCTTGTGTACACGTCCGTCAACGTCATCCGCAGGTGTATCAGATTCCGAACCTGCATCTTCTGATTCGGAGCTTGGACCTGACCAGTCAGTATCCGTTATAGATGGGTTGTCAGTGGCCAGTCGTTCGGCAAATCTTCCACCCTCTGCGCCTGGAAACAGAACAACACGCCTATACGCAACACACTCATAAGTAATGGTGACCCAGGAGTACAGAAAACAAGTCTTCACTGACGTGTGTCCAAGAATTCGTATTTTCTTCGCATTTCGTTTCCTTTTCTCCTTTGGAGGTTCCAAAGGCGCTTCGGATGACGATGGTTTAATTGGGTGCTCTCCCTCCTGACCCGGTTTCAGACTCCAACGGAGTTTATGTGCGAGATATTTGACAATGACGTCGGCGTCTCCGAGAAGTTGATACTAATCATCGATAGTAATTGTCAGATATTTTCATAATTATACGCCCGTGGGGATAGCGTAGACTCACGTCTGGTGTAAAATGTGTCATAGGCGTCTTGTTTATGACGATCTATTAACGAGAGTTAACCGACGAGATTCTTGGGGTTCACCATGTATCTACTTACAATAGGGATCTGATGCGGCATGTGCGCTGCAATAAGAGTATATCTCATTAACTAAAAGTTCCAGGATGTGAGGATGTGCTTACTTATGATTTCGGAGACAGGCCTGACTTTCAATGAAGTGCCAATGACTATGACAAGATCGGCTCTCTTGATATCGCTGAAGACTTTCCTATCGACTCTATTCGATAATTTCTCTCCGAAAAAGGTGATGTCTGGCTGTATTTTCAGTGCAACGAGGATTCAACAGCGTTGTACATTTCAATCACAGTGTCAAATTCACCTTCATTATACCCGCCGGTAGAGGAGTCGTCTCTTCTGGTTCGTCGCTTTCCCACCCATCATTCCTCTTCTTTTTCTTCTTCTTGCGCCTACTCTTTTTCGGCTTAAGTTCGGCCTCTGAATTGCACGTCTTGCACAGCGGGACACGCCGTGCAAGCAGATCGTCCTTAATTACATCTCCTCGCACCTGATTGCGACAATTGACGCATGTCGCCGTCGCGAAGGAGCCATGGCATTGCAGAACCCTCTTGATACCAGTCTTTGTTTCAAGGGTATCAATGTTTTGTGTATAGTTCTGAAGGAGTAATTTAGCAACGTGTGCTCTCGAGATACTGGCGCATTCATACCCTCAAAAGCTGTAAATAATAGTAAACGTCGGCCGATATATCTCATAATTATAATTTGTTAACTCTACCTTTCGATGCCTCTCGATGGCTCGTATGAAACGATGACAAGGGGATGGTGTAAAATTCGATGGGTATATTTTACTAATCATTTAGTTAGCGACGCTTTGTAACAGTGCAGACATATGGATACGCACTGTGCAAAAGAACTGTGAAATTAATAACTTCAGTCAAGAACACTTGCTAGAGTATCAATCATACTCACTAAAATACTAGTTATAGGCAGATGACAATAAGCAGTCTAAGAGTTACAAACATTTATAGCACTCACCATTAGGATTGTGTTTGAAGTAATTGATGTCGAACCTGTGCAAGTCAGCATCGCAGGCCAACATGCGAATCATGAAAAAAAAATGAATTTGAACTCACATCTGCTGAGGATCGTCTAAGTCGTATGCTCCCGTCGAGAATATCTGAGAATATAAGCCATTCCGAGACCGAAAGTCCGGTATACCACAGGAAACACCTAACAAGACGGATTGGCATGAGCAGTTAACTGACTTCGCAAAAAAGGCCATAACCTACTGATTCCTGCTCCAGTGAGTACGACTATATTGGCCGCATTCCGAATTACTTGCACCACATGAGGCAGTATGGAGCGGGCATTTGGATAAAGTGACTTCAGTATTTTACTACGTTGACGCATCCTAGATAACGTGACACATTTTATCAAGCCTTGGGACAAAGGTTATTTTTAAGCGTCACAAATATCATACCTGCGGAAAAGCGCAGCTTTCAACACCGGCAACAGGGATAAATCGTCTTGCTTGAGCTGCTCTCTTGTCTATCAGGAAAATGAGACATCAATTCCTGGAAAGGTGTATGATAGCCTACTAAGAGGACACCAAAAGCAAAAAGGAGTCTACGCATAGACACTCTTTCCTCGATTACATAGCGCTTGAGCCATGTCTCTATCCCTTTACAACCGTGAATGAGCGCGACACGTAAATTAATCCATCAGGGTACCTACCGAGCTCCCTTAGACGTTGCTCCAGGACAGCAAGGCGCAGGTTGAAATTTTTCGCGTCGTCCTGCGCGGTGATTTCTAGCAAGAAACGAGAGAAGTGTTGATAGATACTCCATAAATAGCATCTCTCAAAAAACGTGTCGTTCCCAAACAAACGAAGATGGGTTATTGAGGCAACGTGCTTATGTAATTACCTTTATTATAATAATCCCAAAATTCTGAAGGATTATCTGCGTAGCCAAGCTCTTCAACACACTCCCGGAGGTAGCTCTTGCTATCATTCTCTTCCCAGAAATCAGGACCTAGTGAGTCCTCGACGTCGCTGTCGAAATCGAGAGTGAGATCCAAGTCCTCCTCAGTGATCACGGATTTGCGCAGCGCGTCTCCTCCGCCCTTTAAGAGGATTGGAGAACTAGCACCGGACGTGCCCGACACGCTATCCAGTGGAAGCAGTCGTGGCATGACCGGCGAGGCTACCACCGACATGAGGGGATCGTGCTAGGTGGTGGTAATAAGTTAAGAAAGCCAGAAGCGCTAGGCGTTGATTTCCATTTTGGAATGATGTGGCGGCTGCCGATGTAAATAATAATATCAAAATTACGTGGATAGATGATGACCGGAGCTCATATATTAATATTATTGAACGGACACTAAGTAAGAAACAGAATTACTCGTAAACACTGACGCACTTCCGTACAACGTACAATTGTCCATGGGAATGAGAATGATAGAGGAGCTGAGAACGTGAAAAACGAGAGAGCAAGAAGAGCGGACGCTATCGCATAATTTAATGATAGCGAATATACTCAGGATGCTGATAGCTGATTAAACATGGTAGAACAAACAAGATCTCCTCCCAATAGATAGCCCAGAGTACAGACAAGGTGCAAACGTCAGGAAACGAAACTTAGAGACGGGTGATGGCCTTCGCGTCCGTTGGCATACCTACAGGGATTGCTTTAAGCAACTCGTGAAAACCTAGGATTAGAACGCACTCACCCGTCGAATCAATTCCGTTCTCTGCAAGTATCCTGTTGTGTCTAATCAACCTGGCCTGATCAAAGCTATTGGTTGCAAAGTAGGCATCAGCATCTATCCCCTTCGTCATGTGCCGCGCAGCTGCTTACTTGACTCGCTCCCTACGCATAATATCATGCACCTCTTGAACGTCACGTTCATCCAATCCAGTGCGAGAGTCGCCATCGTGGATGTTTGCTTCAATGTCGAACGCGGAGCTACTCATTCCCGAGCGGACCTGGTCCGCGAAGGTTGAGAGAGGCTGATAATGCGATAGGGAGGGGAATAGCGTTCGGATTCGAGTAGGAAGGTGAGGAATCAAGACGTGTCTATAATAGACCGACACTGAGGGAAAGAAGGAAGAGAAGTGAGCCCTTGATTGGCATTCGAGACAGATACGTGGGTGCTTATGATCATTGCGCCCGTTGATGCAATACTGGCAAACAGGGTGTACTCACGCAGAATAACGAGTGAGAGGAACGCTAGAAAGGAAAGCAAGTAAAGCATTGTGCCGAAATATAGCCCGAGTGGGTCGAGTTTTGCGTTGCTAGCAAGTGCGGATGGTAGCGTGGAAGTGAGTTCAGATGTGTATCAGCTGCAGCATTGCCTCACCGGAATAGTAGACTGTATGCGGAAGGAGGTTCTCACGTGCCACAGTTGCATTCATTTGAAACCCATTTCAGCATTTGACGCGTATAGAACCGACCACCTCGCAAGTCACTCTGCTGGCCAGCTCAGCACCCCAGGAACACTATTTTCTCTCATCTTTCGCCATCACGTCTCCACCACAGTTAGATCTATCACACAATTATTATGGGAGACCTATCACTTGACCCCTCACGTTTGCAAGAAAGGCTACAGGTGAGGCGTCCACTCCGTGCCGTCTGCTATTTTATGATTCATCGATCTAATTAACGTGGCATTCGTTCCATTAATTGCTTAGGCTGAGTTTTGTCCACCATTAGACACGACTATAGTATTAGCCTTAATATCGGATCATATTACTGGAGAGAAGCCGACCGAGACAATCCTCAAGACGCTTCGCGAAGAGCTTTCCGTACTCGCTGCAAGCGCTACGGTCGACCAGGACGATCTAGCTAATACCCTGAATGAGGTGTACTTATTCGCACCATCCGCTTCCACTGAAGATAGCCGCGATGCAGACAGCGTATTTTCTCAAAGGGTTTTTGAGACGAACTCAAGTTCAGGATCCTCTATGACTCAACCTCGCGAGGGAGCGCAAATGACCTATCCACGAACCGCTCTCGATTTCCTCCGTGCATCCTTTCCGCACATGCCCTTGGAGACACTTAGGACGTATCTCGATGTCTCTGATGCGGATATGGAGCAAATTGTTGAGGAGCTGCTTAGTAAGGAATTCATAAGAGAGTTGGAAGAGGGTGGCTTAGATGATGAAGCTCTGGATGAGGAGTTGGAAAAATGGACAGTAGTCTCCAAGAAACCGAAAGGAGCAGCTCGTTCAACAACTGTGAATAAGAAGCGCAAACCAAGAAGGAAGACTATCGCGATAAATGATGTTCGCCAGAAGCAGCATGCTCGTCCTGAGTCACAGTTTCGTTCCACGAGCGATCCATGGAACCAGCTTGCCTCTATGTCTTCATATCTGGAAACGTTACTGCTACATCCTGCCTCATTCTTTCAGTCATATTTCCACAAGCCAGAATACCCAAGCCCTTGTATAGCACTCCGAGCTGCTCTGGACGCCATAGCTCATCAATCGACGACGAAGACCAGTTCCGCTGATGTCGAACAAGACAGAACGACCGCATTGTTCAACCTATTAGAACTCGTCCGTGACCATCCGGACTTCGACTTTGATAATCTAGACTCGGAAACTCGGGCCCAACTTTGCTCCGATGCGGAGCTTTCACTGTCCGCAGCGTCAGGTTCTCCCGACGTTGCGTTCGACGTATTGGTTCTCTTGCATGATTTAGAGGTGGACAATGAGAGGATGCAGGAGATGGGAGTTTATCATTCTCCTGCATCACCTTTGACTAATACTCCAGTGTCTTCTCCCGGCGTCAATTTGCAAAGTTGTAATAGCAAAGCAGTAGCGTGGACAGCTACATCGCCCGCCTCCCCTCTACCATCCGGCTCATCCGTACCAATATCAGCCACTCTATCATCGTCGAATGTTTCGGATCAGCGTCCTTCGCCGGCTCCCAGCGAGTCATCTTGGCAGGTAGTCACTCCCGCACGACGGAAACCACCCGCTATACATCCTCTCGCAGCACACATACCAGCATACAACCCACATAACGTCCCACGACGGAAAAAAGCTCGTTCAATACATTCATCCCTCACAAATCCAAATTCCCCTACTTCTCCGACTAGCAACACTACGAAACGTTGGAAGCCCGGTCCTAGAAGCCGTGGAGATGCCACAATGGGTGGATATAGATCTCGCATTGAAGCATGTAACGCCCGTCGTGACGACGCTTTGCGTACTGCGAGCCGGCATTGGTCGAGAGGAGGGGCGAGAGGACACGGTGGGGAGGTTGCGTTCTTTTATGCTCAGGAGGCGCAACGACATCAGGCTGAAGCACAGCAGTTGAGGCTTGATGCTTTGCGGGAGCTCATAGATGGAAGGAGGTTCGCTTCAACCGACTCAGACACCATCGACGTGCATTATTGTACGACAAACGAAGCGCTCTCGATTGTACGTGAGGTGCTAGAGGAAGGATGGGTTTCTTCTGCTCGTCCTTTACATGTTGTTACTGGGCGCGGTAATCACTCTACGGGTGGAGTTGCCGTGCTTGGTCCTGCTGTGAAGAAGGCTCTGGAACAAGACGACTGGGCCGTTGGGAAATGGGACGGAGGTATCACCGTCCGCGGACGTATTAGATGATATTTAGACGTTATGAGGACTCGGACGTCTTGTGTATCAATAGCGTCATGTATTTCTAGTTAATAATAGACCTAATGGTAGACTCTTCTCTCCCCCTGCATAACCCGCATCGTCACTTAAAACCTAGGTCCACCTTACATTTATCAGTCCAATGGACTAACAAACACCCGTTGAACAGGTTCATAACACATCTCACAGATACGTGAGTTCAAAGCACACCAAAGTGAAGTCAAGTTTTTATCCCGTGGATATGATAATTATGCGTTAATAATACAAAAGAAATACATCTGCACGAGACAACAGAAATGCAAAGAGATGAGGCAAGGTATCGAGCGATGAAGTGGATGGGTAAAATATCATGCGCCGAAACCGTAGAGGGTACGCCCTGAGCGCTTGAGTGCGTAGACAACATCGAGTGCAGTGACGGTCTTGCGCTTGGCGTGTTCTGTGTAGGTGACAGAGTCGCGGATGACCTAGAAGGATAAGTCAGCAAGGGTTGCAATAGATAGATGGATTAATTGGTGACTAACGTTCTCGAGGAAGACCTTGAGAACACCACGGGTCTCTTCGTAGATGAGACCGGAAATACGTTTTACACCACCACGACGGGCAAGGCGACGAATGGCAGGCTTGGTAATACCTGAACAAGGCCGAGTCAACAACGATCAACGTCAATGCTTAAAGGTACACACCCTGAATGTTATCACGGAGAATCTTGCGGTGACGCTTCGCGCCGCCCTTGCCAAGACCCTTTCCGCCTTTTCCGCGTCCAGACATTGTTGATTGAGTGGTGGTTGGGTGAAGTAGTGTTAAGTGTTGTTGAAGGATATGGTTGATGGGAGAGATGCGATTAAGCAGAAATGGACGCGCCTCGGGGTCGCCTTATATGGGCGCGGAGGCGGAGAGTGGCTGTGCTACAATTTAGAGTTCACAACACAACATAACGCGTCCGACCCGGCACGTGATACTCATGTCGCGCCTCTATATAAACAGCCGCCTCAGAACTTGCGGTGAACACTCACCCATAGCCGCCGCGCCGAGATCTTAAACTCTTACCACCACTACCAACAACCTAAACTTAAACCTCAATGGCCCGCACAAAGCAAACTGCCCGCAAATCCACCGGAGGCAAGGCACCCCGGAAGCAACTCGCTGCCAAGTCCCAGGCGCGTAAGACTGCCGCCGTAAGTGCCTTAATGTCGTATTGAGCTGGGTTGGATGCTAAGTTGTTTGTAGGCGGCTACTGGTGGTGTAAAGAAGCCTCATCGTTTCAGGCCAGGAACAGTCGCTCTTCGTGAAATCCGTCGGTACCAAAAGTCAACGGAGTTGCTCATCCGTAAGCTGCCGTTCCAGCGTCTCGTTCGTGAGATCGCACAGGACTTCAAGGTCAGTACTTTCACACATCGTTTGTCATTCCTCCGATGTTAATACGCGATTCCCCTTCGAATGTACACAGACGGATCTCCGTTTCCAATCATCTGCCGTCATGGCACTGCAGGAGGCATCTGAGGCGTACCTCGTCTCACTATTCGAAGACACGAACCTTGCTGCTATCCACGCAAAGCGTGTTACCATCCAGCCGAAGGACCTTGCACTCGCTCGTCGTCTCCGTGGCGAGAGAACGTGAATTCACGTGGATGGATTGTTGACTGCTATTTTATATTTTTGTGTATTCTATTATTGCTGTACAATACCACGTCTATTTGGCGAACTAAGAATAGAGGGTGCATCTGGCCCTGCATTTGACGTCGTTATTCCTGCCGTCAGTAAGCGAAAGAGGGAAAGATGTGCTGAGTGAGGCAGGATTGCTTTCCTTTTGTGTGTATGCGCTTCTATAGATCCGACTGGCTTCTATAGCTAAAACGATAACGGACCTTTGGGTGTTTTGACTATGCTGTGGAGAGACTGAGAACACGGATTCCACGCCAGTGGCCACCAGTGGCAGCAATCATCCGTCCGAGCGCACGGTCGTCCACTCGCCTGTTGCGGCTGCGCGGGGGTGTGAGAGTGGGCTGCATCAGAGGACTGCCGGAATGAATTACAAGGAGAAATCTCGAGCAACTCTCGGACTACGCTTCCGACATCCTACTCCCACTGCCTGCACAAATGCGCTCTTCATCCATATCCTCCAATCCGTCGTTATGCGATCCTTATCCCATCACCTCATCTCTCCCCATAACATCCAATGCCACTCTTCCTCCTCGACCTACCCAACGAGACGCTTTCTGCCATCCTCATTCACCTCACACCTGCTTCACTCAGTGCTCTTGTCCGCACCAACAGGCGTCTACAGAATGTCGGCGAGCGCCTGCTCTATAGCGATGTCATCATCACCGACTCGGTCGATAGCGACCCACAGACGATAGTCACCCCTCGCCGGATGATGAATTGTTGCGCAGCCGTGTTCCGCCGTCCACACCTCGCGCAATGTATCCGACGGCTGGTAATCCGCTGGACGCGTGACAGAGCGCGAAAACACCACGACTGTCTTCTCGCGCCAGAAGTCCTCCCCGCCCTGCAAGCGCTGTTGCAAAGCGCAACGCAGACCGAAGTCCTGGAGCTGCACCTTGCCGGCTTACCCGCCGCCTTTGACTTTAGTGCATTGCTCGCCAGGACGAGCTTTCGGCTCCGAACACTTGCGCTCAACGGGTCTGCCGACGCGTCCGTCGAAATGTTCTTACGCACTCAGCCCCGTCTTGTGTATTTACAACTAGCGGATCATCGACGGCCTCTTGCGCTTGCGTCGCGGGACATACCTTACCTAGAGACATTCCGCGGTGACCTGAATTGCGCTGCTTCAGTCATACCTGGTAGACCCGTCTCTACGCTCGTGCTCAGTGGGCATGAACCGTCAGAACGACTGCTAGTTTCACTCGGTCACAGTACTCGGCCCATCAGGCGACTTGACTTGAGTGCATTGTCGGTAACACCGACTCAATTGCTCACCATCTCGAAGCACCTCACTGCCTTGGAGACGCTCCGGATGCGACTTGCCCTCCGGCATACACTGCACTTCACCTTCTCCGGAATGGTAAGCACAACTTTTCACCTTCTCTTTCTCATATCCCGATCCCCCCGGTGCGCTGTGTATATGCAGATGCCCAGACAACCATTACCCATTACCCTATGCCCCCTCCTTCTGTTCCCGCCCGCGCAGCATTCAGAGTTCGGATTTACGGCGAAATTATATATACTAACGAACCGCTTCTATGTCTTTCAAATCACCTTCCTTCCTCTTTCTTCGTGGTTCCTCGGCGAATTACCGTACCGTTTTCGTCCAATTGCTCAAACCCAAAAACAATTAAATATCCGAACAACGACAGATGCTCCTCTCCGCACTAACCCAAGTCCTAGGCGCCTTCCAACACCTCGCACACCTCGATCTCTCTCCAACAAACGTCGATGGCATCGTGGGCGTGCGTAACGAAGTCGAAGAGCATTCCCTCTGCAACGCATGGTCCTCCGTCGCCCCCTCACTCCGTCGAGTCAAATTCCCCTCCGGAACCGATTGGACACGCACACCCGATGGGATCTGGCGACCATTGTCTATTTCTCCGAACCCGTAGTTCTGGGTCTCGTTTCTCTACAAGCAATGACAGATGATGATGACGATGCTTCCTTCTTTCCTCTCTTTTTCTGAGTTCCTCTACCTAGTTGACTCTCGACCGCTCAATGTCTTAACGTCGCAATACCAAATTAGTGCTTCTATGACGCCAGATGAAGGCTCTTACCGACTCACGAGGGGCCTTCCATCAAGCGACGAGCATCCGACAATGATTCGGTCATAAAGTCAAATCCTGTTCATTTGGGTTTATCACGGTCTTTTCTTGTCACTCTTATTCCCCTTTCCGCCACTTTCTCGTTTTCTGGATCCCTGCTTCATGATGTTTATTACGCTCAAGTTACGAACCGGATACACACTCTGTATTTTGTATTCTGCATTCTGTTATTATTTTCTTTCTTCGATCCTTTATTTGTGCTAATTTTACGCACGTATATTCCGATGTGCGTCCCACGCACATAACTCAATTTTCAATCAAGGGGCGGGAAGGTGGGGTGGTCACCAGACCCATCCCAAACTTCCGAAGCTTAGGCTATATGCTTATCGTGTAACTTTCACAGCGAGATTTCTAATTGTACACAGCACCGAAAAAAGAAAGAACGGATCATAAACATAATGATCATGAATAATGTAGGTAGAGCTGGGTAGGTGGGATGTCCGCTAGCATAATTGCTCCGCAAAACAAAGAGAGTAGAAAAAATACATCGCTGATAATGATCCCCTCCCTCGTCGCTGACAAAGGGAGACATCCGGACACGACTCACGACAACAGAAACTAAAATGAAAGGAAATGAAAAATGAAAATAAAGGAGTGAAATGGGAAAGTGTGTGTCCAGACCAAACTAGTTTACAAAAATTTACTGACGCGATCCACATGGTAAGTGCGAGGCTGCAGCGTGTGGGGTATCAGTGAATAACAATATTATAGGTGCAAAGGAAGAAAGAAGAGAAAGAATCGGTGGAGTGGGAGGGAAACAAAGACAGGCAACTCGCGGGACACATTAGCAGCGGCAAGGGGTCGATCGGACCGCCCTTAAACTTCCTCGTTCTCATCAATGAATATGTCAGTATAATGCTCCAAGATGGTCTCGATAGCCTAATAGATTAGACTCTTATTAGTACCGACCCGCTTCGCCTCCAGAACAAAGTTGTCAATGCTCACTTTATTCTGATACGCTGCGTCTGCCATGCCGTTCTGCGTCATTGGTTGTGTCCCTGGGTTTCCATTCGGCAGGCCAAAGAGGGTTGGGCCAAAAACTATTGCGATATTTGAGATGGACATGGCGTTCTGAGCTTCGTGTTGCACCACCCTGAGAAGTCATGGAAGAGTCAGTTCAGTCAAATCATTTTTTCGCAATTGACGTACTTGTGTAGGTGTCCCATGAAGAACTTCAAGGTAGCGTAGTTGGGGTCAGGAAGTTCATTCACCCTTTCATGTAGTCGGATGTGGCGAAGCCTGTCGTTCTCAATTTCTTACGAGGAGTCAGGCACCCGAATGGAAGTTAGATGACCGATCGAAATAGGACGTACTCGCAGCTTCAATAAAGCCTTGGTGCAGAGCATGGGTTAAAAGTGGATCAGGAAGTTCTCGTAGCCAGAGCTTGAGAACGCTTGTAACATTATTAATATCGGAAGACCATTCTTCCGTGTCGAGGTTCACTGAGTCAACGTCTGTTTATGGTAGCGAGTCAACCAACGTGTCAAAGTACGTATCATATAAATGCCCTTTCCTTTATCGAGACGTTCTTTTAATTTCAACACCTTGGTGATCGTCCCGCTTATTCGGTACAGACCCTGAGAAGTCAGCCCATACTTCTCAATGGCTGAACAACATTTCTCTATAATAGGCGGAATCTCGACAGTATCGCGTGTCATTTGCTCCGAAAGGTCTACACCGAACGTTGGCCGGGCTTTGTCTGGACCTTGGTGATGTCCATTTGAATTGGCCGTCGTCCCTGACGTTGTTGAAATATTTGCAGTAGGATTCGAGTAGACTTTGTCAGTATTGGCGTACGACGGTAAAGGCGGCACCTTGAGAAGAAGATTAGGGTAGTTGATCAGTAGTAAGTTTGTCACATACGAAACCCTCTTCCCATGGACCGTCCCGCTTTGGACCACGATGCGCTTGTCCTCCATGTGCATATGCATAATTTTGCATATATACTTTGAAATCTGCACGGTTGTCAATTGATTCGATGATTGATTTAAGGCCTTGTCCTAGTGAAATTTCAATGAATTAGAAAAATGGGGTGACGCTCTTGAGATTATCAACGGACCGTCATCAGCTGTGGGAGGTGCAAGCGTCGTGCCATCACTGAGGACAATAGTCTCAAATAGATAGGCGTATCGAGTGAGATGGTATTGAGTGCCAAGGTCAATCTCGTCTGCACACTCTTTCAGAGCCTGGTAACAACGTTGATTAAGACAATAGCAATACAGAATACAACTTAAACGCATTACCCGTAATATGCGAGGGAGCTGAAAATTGAAGTATTCTTGCCGCATAGACTGCGTATCTAATACGGCCTTTCTGTATACATCGGATGCGGTCGACATCCGTGCCCTTATGTCGTCCTCTTGGCGCTGGATCTGTGTGAACAAGTAAAGTTACCACAAAGTTGGTCAAGCATAGCCAGGGAATCAAACGAGTGACAAACATTTTGAGGATTTTTGCCCTTGAGAAGCATACCACCTTTCTGGACGGCTTTTCCCAGAGCCCGTTTCCCTCCCCCTCCAGCCCCTGGCGATCTCATTGCTGTGTCCTTCATGGACTCCCCTTCCTTTGCCACAAGGACGCGCTCAAGTTCTTCTGCAGTCATGTCGAAACGTGCTTTGCTCTTCTCCATCGCAGTTTCTGACTCTTGTAGACTTCTCTCGTATCGAGTAGCAAGTTCTTTGGTCTAACACGGGCGTATTAGTTCAATAGGCATTTAACTTCGAGCCGACGATTTGTACCAACCTGTTTACGATTCTTGTCTACTTCTTTCGCTAGAGTGGCTAGGTCTTCGCTCATTTCATTCAGCCGTTGAGAAAAGCGTATTCGATTCTCAGCCATGGTTTCATGGATTTTCATACTTGACTGCCACGCAACGACAAATGTCCTAGATAGCCGATGTTACTCAGATGAGCCAGACTGGGGCAAAATAACATACCCGGCCTTCCCATCATTCATAGAATAAACCTCCGAGGTGGACTTCGCAAGTTTCTGTAGACCCCTTCCGTATTCTTCCTCCAGGACAGCACGTTTCTTGAAGAAAACGGATGCTTCCTAAAAGCATATGTTAGATCCGAACGATACATATACCACCCATCAGGCACGCACCCTACATGAGACCATGCTTTGCTTTATTCGATCAAGCAGGAGAGGGACACCAGACTTGAATTAAGAACACGATATGAGCAAACGAGCATTCAACAAAACTTGAGTAATATTAAGAAAGCTCACATCCATATCGCATAAAGCTCTGAGCACATTCTCATCAAAGGTAGGTTCTACAACCTGTACCTGTTCTCCGGTATAAGAAGATGATGTATCACGTCGCTCCAACGTCGATACACTATCCCTCCATTTCAACGGTGGCGCTGACTGCTTCACAGAAGTGTCGATGCTTGGCTGAGGGGGTGGCGAGACTGATTTTGACGGGGCAGACGGAGGTGAAGTTCCAAATGTCGAGGATCCATTGCTTGACGAAGGGTCTCTGCCTGAAGGTGTTGACGCGATTAGCGGTCGAGAGTGTTGCGAATGGGAAGCATTGCTGGCTGTCGGAGAGATGCTTGGTGCACTTTCGACATAGTCCCAGGAAGAAGAGTTATAGTGGTCGTCGGGCATATGTCCAGTTGCTGATGAGACCATGGGTGCAGCTGCCATTCCCCGAGCTGAGTGCAACGATCAGGTGCCTAGGGCAGCCAGCAGCGAGAGGGGAAGCAGGCGTCGTGGGACGTGAGCACCGCCAGAAACGCGCCTTGCAACCCTTCGGCAACTCCCTTAATTAATCTATTGCTGCCTTCCTTTTCGGTCTGCTTGCATAAGCAAATCCTTCAACATCCAATAACAAAAATTACAAAATGATTTCTCTCACTGAGCGGGAACCGTTGCTTTACTTCGCTTGCTCTGACATGCAGCGGACGATTCCGAGCAATGTTTTTCTTCCTATCAACTATTAACGTTGCCTCGTGCATCAAGCCGAACCCATCGTCCAACTGGTCTGCAGACCAGATAAATTTTACCACGCGTTTCACCACCGAGTAAGTACATTCCATTGACTCCTTGTGGCTGCAACTAAATGTCCTACACGAAACCTAACATTCACTAATCTCCGCCGTCCTCACAATCATTTCACGTCGGAGCGTCCTATAAACTCACAGTTCAGCAATATTAAAGCCGATAACAAACAAAACTCGGCGCATGAGGCACTTTCGTATTTATCCCGAGCCAAATTTCCACATATCATTGCCGGATTCTTCGTGATTCTGAGGCAGCGGGTTCGAGTTACGAATACCCAATAGGAACAAGAATTCCATGCACTCAGACATATGCAGGGCCGTATAACTTCTGGACTTAATGTCTTGATCCACCTTTACTGCGCAATCAGCGTCTGAACATCAACAGCCCTGCGCCGTGTGGCAGATGGGCCTGCATGAATCTACTTCCAGTCGTTCGACTTTTCTTCGGAGGGTGGGCCACTCCTCATATCAATGCAAATTTATGGGCGAGAATTGAATTCGAGGCCCAAAGAAAGGGTTCTTCATTCACCGTTTGTACGCCCTCCCGTCCCCCATTGCTTCTGCCCGCATGCTACTCACGCAATTTCCGTCTTAAAGGGACACGTTGAGAAAACAGTCTCGTGGAATTATCAACATTAATTGGGGATCATGTTATGTAGTCTAGAAGCAGAACTTTGGAGCATTCGTGAATGGATAGAAAGCAGTGACAAGGTGACTCGGGCAGATGATTCACGAGTTATTTGTCCTTAAAAGGCTGTTCAGGTTCCACTATTAAGGTAACTTTCTGCTTGATCGGGCTTTGATTTTATTAAAAGTAAAAACTATCGCCCTCAGAAAATCGTTGCTTCGGCCAGCAAGGAATTGAAACCATTGAAGTCCGCGGATGGGAACACGCCCACGTTTGTTTGCTTCCACCTGCGCCCATAACAACTTCATCGAAGAAATTCGAAATGCCCGTCGGAGACTGCCCTCCTCGCTTGAACCACGCCTTACCGCGAAAATTGAACGTGACAACAAACGTTTCCGAAGTCTTCTTCCGGCGTCGGACATGTCTGCGAGCAAACGAAATAGCATTATAAAACAATTCTCCGGCGATACTGGAGGAACACAAGAAAGCAAAATGTAGAAGGGATGCTGAATACGAGTCCACGGGAAAAATGTGCGTCCAAGTTTTAGGGAAATATAAGAGTCCGATCCTGTCATTGTCTCGCGGGACAACATATCTACTGAACAGAAGCTGATAGGAACATTATATGATTTTTGAGTGTTCAATGGCAATTCGGGCATCCTCCTGGCCTGTCTTCGATAATGAGTCCGTCGGAAGGCCCAGGTCTACATTTGAACAGCACCAGTTCAGTAGCGCACGTAGCAGTATCTGATATAGTACGTACTGATGCTTGCACATTGAAACGCAGTTGTGATTTTGACGGCCATGAAGCTGACTGAGTGCACAGTTTCGTTTATTGCAATCCATCTGGAAATAGAAACGGGTTAGCCTCAACAAATAGCAAGTTTGAACAAGGAATCGGTTTACTCGCTGGCGCGAAACTTCAACCCGGTGGCGGCAGCGACTAAACTCTACATATGAGACGAGGTCGAAGCACATTGGTCTTCATTCATGGTAAGAGAAAATGATGTGTAAGGATTGTGCCTTGCCCACCTCTGATGAAATACACACCGTCTTGGGGTATAAGGGTTATAATGCTCTGCACCAGCAAGCTTAGGAACAAAGGAATGGGAAAAGGGGGCCTTTGTGAGCTTTTGAGGGGGGCTGAGTGATGTTAGTTGAGTATGGATGAAAGGCAGTATTTAAAGCGAAGGAGCTAAAGTACGATTAACATTTTTCATACGAGGACAACACAAAGCATAGTTCGCCGCTGCGCCAAACGGCAGGATGCAAGGCCAGGACATGCAGTGTGGCGGTTGTGCTAGAAAAGCAGGGCGATTGCAAGACTGGCCAAATTTGTTTTGGGTGACGAGATCTACCAGCATTCCCTGTTATGAGCCGAGATCCAGGCCCAGTTAGACATCTCGCTTCCGTCATAGACTAAGACAAGCGTGAATGACGGAAAAAGACCCTGAGTGCCGAATGGTTGGATTGACGTAGGCTCTGCAGTGATGGAAGGAGAGTTCCTTAGTGTCTGAAATGGTGAGTAAGATTGGTCGGGTTCAGACAATCGTGTGAAAGAGGGTGGAATGCAACGACAAGCCTGCAAAGGTCAACCCTAAGTTTTGGGGCACATACTGCCCTTTCATGAATCCCGACAGCGACTTCCGCCGCCCGGGATTCTGTTTGAGGACAAGGTGATCATGAAACACGCCTTCGCGGACACAGAGAAGAGAAAAAAGGCCAATATCTCTAGTTCACCTCGGATGCAAAGCGATTGGCCACCACCGCGAAATTTCCTTTCGCTGGGCAGTCCAAGCGTGATCTAGCACTGGAAACATATCGACTCGTGGATCGCCGATCGTACAACACGCGATCCACTGGTCGAGTCTAGCCTCTAGGCGCTCGCAATTCTTCGGGAGGCGCCCGCCTACGCCCTGGAAATAATGCCCTCGAAAGACATGACGCTAGAGTGTGCGCAATAATGCGTTAAGCTTCGGTGCAGTTCAAATTCCTGCGAACTACAGCAGCCGATGCCGCGTCTCGTGAAGCATCGTGAAATGAAAAGACAAGGCTCGTTCATTACGCGCGAGCGGGGCGGGGTTAATTCCATTCCACAATCTAACGGTCCGATCGCACTCATTTATTTTACACACCCAAGTGACACGTAATTCGATTTCGCGGCACTCTTTCTGACAAACGCAGATGCATTTCCAACTCTGAAAGCGCATCGCCGAGTTCGCCGGATGTAATAATATACGGATCATAAGTCCGTCCAAGATAAGGAATACTCGCTAAAACAAGTAAGGAGTATCACTTAAAGGTAACTTTTAGCCTAAACTCATGTTGAGTCCAGTATACGCGCAATTACACCAGCTATTCCCACTAGAAGACACACTCTAAAAATCGTTTGGCGACGGTCCACTTGCTGAAGAGGGACCCGCCAGTGTACATCGAGCTAAGTAACGCGCCAGCGCCAACCGTAACACGTCTAAACGTCTGAGCACCTCTCTCGGTCCGCTTATACGCAGAATCCGACCTAGTATTCCGAGGTAATCTTCTCCACTGTCTTGACTTGTTCTGAGTGTTACCTCTTCCAACCGCCTTAATAATAGACAAGCGGCGCTCGACGTGATGCCCAAATCCCGGTCTAAATGAAGATGTCAAATGAAATAGATGCAGTAAAATGAACAAAATAAACTTACCGTCCTGTAAGAAGGGAATGGCGTCGTATAGTAAAACACCCCAGTATGCCCTCGGAGCAAGTTCATGTTCAAACATGGACATGAGTTCCGATGCAGCATTCCTCACGTCACCGACCAGCTTCCGTCGATGGAACTCCGCGTACCGAAAAGCAAACATCAAACGATGGACGAATACACCATGAGGACCGGGCTCTTCTTGCAGTGCGCGGAGCGACGGCTCAATGTCGGCAAGTAGAGGCACGTAATGCGAAGGTCCTAAGTCCGTTGTATTCCAGAAATAAGCACAGTACGACAAGGGATACCTAGCAAATGGGGGACATACCATGTGTAATGTATTCTTCCATTAGGCTTTCAACGATGCGCCCAAGCATTGTCCAGTCCTCAGCTGATCTGCAGTATGAGATGGCAAATCGATATTTTTTGAGTTCAACAAGTCTTCGGGCTGCTATCTGGAAGGCATAAGATTTTGTCGTCAGTACTTGCGATACGAGGAGGCTTGTTTCAAAGGCTTTCCTGACAGATCAAGCGACGTGTGGGTTCTCTTTGATGATCTTGACAGCTCTCGCTCAATTCTCTTATTATAGCAGTTAGATCTCCATCTTCGTCTTCGTATTCTCCTTCGACATCCATGAAAGCACTGTAATTTCCTTCATGGTCAGTGCCGTTAGGCTTCTGTGCACCACTTATTTGCAACGGTACACGTATTAAAAGTTCATCCGCCATTGCCTTTCCGATCTCGCCGCAGCTGCAAAGATAGTCGACTGGATGTCGCCACAAGCCTGGGTCGGATTGCAGGTAGTCTGCATATGATAGGATATAGTAATCACGGATGGACATGCCTGTCCTGAAAGGAACGGCGAGCATCAATATTTGGGTAAGAAGACGACTACGAAGAGAAATTCTCACTCATCGTCAGTATCGGTTTCAAGTAAACCCACTGAGGTCATTATATCCACAAGATGTGCGGGAAGCCATGGATCCAGGTCGTGTGCAATATTCAGTGCTTGTTTGATACGACCCTGACACAATTCAGAATGCAAAGCATCTTCCTTGTCTGTCGGGTCGGCTGGCACTCTTGACAGAACCCTGTCTACAATATCGCTGAAACAATGGAGAATCAGTTACGGAGTGTCTGGCTATCGACAAATCAGGCGTACGGAAGGTCATTCCTCCGGAGGTTAATGTCTATCCATATTCCGTAGACACATACAATCTCCTTCCAGTTGCCACCAAGGTCGACGCAGACGCGCTGTACGACCTCCTCCCTCCCCTCAAGGATACCAAGCAAATCGCTGACGTTCTCCCACCAATTTTCGAACCCATCACTTCTGTCACCCTCTGGGACACGATCAAGCTCGATGCGCAGAGCTTTCACGGTATCCCTCCAGCGTCGGGATTTTGTGGAGAATTCCTTCTCCGTACCAAAAGATTTTTGGCGGGGATGCTTCTCTAATATCTCCACGAGCTTGTGGGCTATTCGTTGGAGATTCTCCGACGGATGGTTTGAGAGGTTCCGAAGAAAGAAGGTAGAAGATTTCGACAGCCCTCGAATGGTTGCCCTAATGAAAAATCAGCCTTCAAGTTCCTAATACAGAATAAAGTCACAGTACCGTAAGAGATACGGCCAGAATACGTCGTCTTCCCAAGGTCGTTCAAGACTACTCAGCCGGTCACCTTCTTCCGTGGATGGTTCGATGAAGTGGGTATTGAGCCATTCAAGTAACTCATCTCCCACAGGCACGTCTTCGATACCCTCTTCCGGAAGATAAAGGATCTTAAATAGTGAAAAGGTCGAATAAAGAGACCTATAGTGATCGCCGATAAACTCAGCTATAGGATCCTTGCTTGATGCTGCGTGCTGAACGAGCACATGAGCTTATATTCAAGAAGTTTAATGAAAGCTCCAATGATATACTAACTATAGAATGAATCCAGCAATCTTGAATGTGCACGATATAATCGTCTGCAAGCTTCCGGAAGGACGCGAGGTTATCCGGTGACCGCAATCTGACAAACTTGGTATCAAAAGAAGATACATGGCAATATCAAACTCAACAGCGTACAGATCAGCTTCAGAGTTCGTGATTTCTTCGGCCTTCTTGACTACAAGAATGAAAATTCTGGACGTGTCGGAGACAAACTAAGTTAAGCGTTGTGATCAGCCATACATTGGTAGATGAAGTAGTGGGGGAATCGTACTGCGCGCCTTTCACCTGTTGGAGGCTGGTTCCACGAGGCGAAATAAATGTCTTGCTCCAGTTCGAATCTTCCCCTCGAAAAACCTTTCAGATCATGCTACCAAACGTTAATTATACGAGGCTCGTAATCTAGACGCAACATACCTGGACAGGAGCTGCAAATATTGTCATAGAGTTGGATCGGGAAGAGAGCGCAAAAGAAATCGTCTGGCCGGATTCGACGAAGTCTTTGGCATGCCCTTGTTCGAAAAGTGGTGGGACGAGATCCAGCTCGCGGACTGACATAGCTTCCGCTCTGTTTGATTCGCCTTTGCTCCGCTTTTCTTTCCAGCAGCCCCCTGGTGGCTATTGTGTTCCTTGGAAGCAATATGCTTGAATCGGTCAGAAAGGGAGCAAACTATGATTGTTGCTCAGATGTGAGAGACGCGCGAGTATCGTTCGTGTAACGGACATGAGACTGGACAGACACGAAATTGAAACGCGTTCTTATTGATCACGTGACCTGTAGCTCGTCTGAACCTTTGTTATGCGAGTAAATTGATCTCGTATCGAGCGCCATTCAATACGCGGATCGGAATAATTCGCTCGGTGGTACCACATCTCGCAAAACATAAAAGGTGGATCCTGCGGAGCATGAGGAACATTGTCCAGTAATATTATTACCGAAATGACATTGCTATAAGCCTATAACGGAAGTATCTGCTGCATTGGGCAAGATAAGAGCTGATCAAGGATTCACCGGCAGGTAAGAGCTACTACATACGTTAACTCTTGCGACTGGTAACTGATTGCATTGTATAACGCGTTTCTGGAAAAAGTATCTCTCCATTGGCCGTTTCCGCTTTCAAACTCCCCCATTCCACTAGTTGTTCCATGCCACATTTCCATTGGCTCTCTCTAATGCACGTAATACCACGCGTGCCCTGAGTGCTTCCGGAAACTTGCCCAATATCGAGCTGGAGCAAGAATGTCTCCGGGGAATTGAATTGGCGCGCTTCTTTCCGACTCACGAGTAGTGCATTTCCCAACGCAAACATCAGAACTCATCTCCAAATTATCTTGAACCAAGACTGGTTCGATCCCCCTTTCTGTGACCGGACATTCGCGAAACATACAACAGAATGATTTGTCCGGGGGCCAGGGATTTGGCCGACTGCCCTGTAATGATGCAGCGAGGTCTCCAAAATGTCGGACGTTGCGCGAAGTACCATTGAATGATGGTCTCGAACAATGATATTGCAGCGACAGCCCACAACCCTCGAATCTTGCCATATGTTCTTACATCCGGGCGTAGATGACAAACTTCGATGGCAGCGATACAGTGAACTTGGATACAGCCTTTCAGTCAGAAAGGGAATGATTGCTACCCTAACTCTACCATTGGCACATTGTGGCGGCCCGCTGTGTCACACCTTGTGAAGAAGTCCTGTGGCATGATCGAATAAGCAGCACCAGTTACTGAAGAGGTGTTCTTCCAGGTGACGAGCTTACTATCTACTATGTGTACTGTGAGTATTGTTGATGGTCAGAATTGCCACGTGGAGTCGAATAAGCTTATCACATTTCCGCTCAAGCCCGTATGTAGGGAGACTATGTCTTCGTTTCTTTCTTTCTCCGTCTTCCAGTCTAGGCAGGGCGTGTATGTCGGGGCGGGGAACTGAGCACGATTAAACACCTCGCAATCTCCTATCAGGGATGTCAAAAGGTTTTGCCTATTCATGCTCTATTCGCGACCGATTCCTCCGCCGGCCTCCCTACTTTCTATTCATAGAGTCGCTATCCATCAAAGTCACAACTCATGACCTCTGTTTTAGTAGTTGGGCAGTCCCGGGACGAAGATCGAGCACATCGTCCTTAACTAGTTTAAACCCAAAATACTTTAATTCTCGTGTACGCGGTCTCGAAGGTTATCGGATATTGTGCCTTGATCTCCGTCTTCCATTTTTCGCTTTTACAGGAAGGGTCACTCATGCAAGAAAAGTGGTGCGCAATTTACGTTTGCAATCGTGCGGTACCTGTCCATCGCACTATCATTGCCTTTAGTGACAAACGAAGCGCGGCACGAAGAACAGAATAGCCAAAGAGTCCATGTTATGTCCGTTTCTACAGATGTTCTTTGATATTCACAGAAGAAGCACGGTCTTGCGGTCTGGACGGGAATCGGAAGGCAACAATGCGGCAGATGCACAATATAACAGGTGAAAAACTAACAGTTAAAAACGTCTTGCTTACAACTCAACCTTGGCATGAGTAATAGTTTGGGGTGGTAGTGCCACCGATGCGATCTCAGTGTGAGGACAAGCGACGAACTCAACACTGTATTCCTACGTGGCTGCATGCAGCCCTGTCTTCCAAGACTACATGGAACACATTATCCAGGGGGTAGAAGGACCATTACTCTAGGCCCTGCACGAGTTGAAACATAGCATCGACTTTCGGAGCGGGCGACGTCGTCACACATCATGCAACTAGTGTAAGTAATGCTTCCCGTCGCTGGTCGCGGTCCGTTTCGTAAGATAAATTACATGACAGTCGGACGTTACACTCAGAATTCCAGACAGGTCTTGTGTCATTGACGCACATTGACGCAACTGACATTCATAGTGTGTGACAGTACTCCCATGTACGAGTATTGATCCATGCAAACTGTGCCCTCAAACCAGGGTATGGACAGAACACAAAATGTGCAACTTTTATAGGCTGAATAAGCTATGTAACAGTCAATTTATCCCTGTACGTCTGATGCATCCATTCATATCCAAGCTTGCTGCTCATTAGTTGCAGACATTTACTTCAAGGAAGGAAATATTCATGTTCGAGAAAGGGTAGTAATGTTGAGACATGCAAAACTCAAACATTAGCAAACATTCAAAATACTGCTTTTTATTGAAATGCACGATCAATACATTTATTTCACACTAAATCTATGCTAATATTCCAAACTCTTTGCTACTTCAAGAGCAAATATATAAAATATATCACCTTTTTATTTGACCACTGTAATCTTCCAAGAGTCCCATCTTTGTTGAAACGTGTACGCCAACACGCATCTGCATCTGACAATGTGCTAGTCTTTTATTCAGCACCATCACGATACCGCCACACATCATACACCCCTACCATCATACCCGACCATCAATATTAATAATTAAAGGCAACACCAGGGCAAGTAGACAACTATACAGGACGTCGATCTGATCGTCCTATGATTTGCGTTTTCTAGCCTCTAGCGAGCTCAACTTCCACAAATCCTATTTCTTTTCTACTGTGGGGGGAGCGACACGACGAGGACCAGGAGATTGGACTGGTATTTCGTAACGCGTTCGTAAAGTAAGAAAAGGCGGCCCCGCGATACGTTGTCTAATTTGTATTTGATTGTTATGCGGTTGCTCTGGGAAGTCCGATGCCGATGGATAATTTACCCTTGTAATGATTAATATTAGACGGAACATACGTCTGCTCTTAAAAGGATTTTAAGATTAACAACAGTCGTAAGAAGGAAAACACGGGACTAACGGGTTCGCATTCTACGTATTTAACCCCAGTACAGTATATTCAGCCTAGAAATACATCGGTCCATCTGATAACGAAAAACGAGTAAAATTCACAAAGAAAATCGAAAAGAAACACAAGTGTACATGTATGAGTAAAGAAGTGAAGAAAGAAAGAATAAACCGACGTAGTGGTGTCGAGTAGAAACGGAGAGAAAGTAAAGGACCGTAGCGTACTCCGGTGCAGCATGGAAAGGACAGAGGCGGGTAGAATAATGAGCAGCAGAGGAAAGAAATTAGAAAAATCGAGAAAGGAGAAAAGTAAGAGAGGAATAAATCAGTCAGGGGCTAAGAGCACGTGTATCTGCAACTCAGCAGACGGCCAGCCGGTAAATTTCTAACAAACGGTACAACGAAACCGTACGAATCGACCCAAACGAAAGAATGCATTCGCGTTCCTCGATCCCCATTAAAAGCAAAGTAAAAGCTGACCGCGAGCGAAACTGCGTAATCAGTTCATTCCTTATCGTCGATATCCATTGAAGCAGCCCGCGGACCACCCCTCAAGGCGCTCAATGCACTCGCAGCCGTCCGTTCTTCCGCATCTGCATCCATTTTACCAACAATCTCATAGCTCTCATCCGTATCTCGAATTGTCTGCAGCTTCTGGGCCGTATATTCCCAGTCGTAACCTGCAAGAGTAGGTAGACTCTGAGTACTTGACCGAGGCGTAGCCAGAGCGGATCCAGATGCTGAAAGGGAATTAAGGGTCAATGCGTCGAACGTGTTAGTGGAGAGTCCAGCAGGTGATGGTGCATCAACCGGCCATGAGCGTGGTGAGGGTGGGAAAGAAGTGAAAGTCGCCGTTGCACTCCCGCTAACACTAGCTGAGCTCGAGACCGTCCCTTCGGAAACTTCAGACGTTGCGCGATGAACAATTTGGGGTGTCGATTCATCAGATGGACCATTAGCATTTTGACGCTGGACGCCAATAACGCGCAAACGATCGACCCATCTTTACGTATGTTAGTCTTTGACAGCTTTTCATTCCAGATGTGAATTACGTACACGTCTGCACGTTCCAAACTCTCCTTGCAGATACCAGTAACATTTCGTATCATGTCCAGACTCTCCGTCGCCAGTGTTAGAATGCGTTGTGCGGCTTGCTCTGCAGATCCGGCCGTTGGTCGGGCTGTGGGTTGCCTAGGTGTGCTACTCTCTGCCGTAACAGGTAATGGCAGAAGACTACGAGTTGTAACCTTGGGGCTATGTAATGGTGATGGAGGAGCAGTGCTCGAAGCAGATACAGTTCCAGAACCTGTACCAGAGAGAGCCCGTCGATGCCGTCTACTCGTTGTCTTCACCTGTCCGGGTGTGTGTCCTTGGACAGGTACTTGCGTCTGCCTATGTGCCGAATTTGCCCAGCGCTGAGGGAGGAGTAAAATGAATTGCCGCACACGCGTACGCGCGGGCTCAGGTAGGGCTCCTCCCGCATACTTTGATACAACATCAACAGCCTGGCGAATGGTCCCAACCACATCACGCTTGACGTTCGTAAGGGTCTGCATATGTGATGCTGATATCGGCCGCGCGTCACCACCTTCGCCCTGCGACTGTAAGGACGCAATAAGGTTTCTCAGCACAAGAATTCGATCGTCAATATGCCCAGTCGCATACTACAACAATCATTCGTTAATGCGTGCTCACAACTCGGAACACGAGCATCATACCTGCAGCCATTGGAGGCAATATTTCATCCTTCGCATACTTTCTTCGCTCACAGCAGCGCTAATTCCGCCAGCCTCATATAAAATGTTATGCCAGCGACTTCGAGGCGCTATCTCCTGTGAAGAACGTGATGGTGTGCCTGGAGCATCATTAAAGTCCATACCATCAGTACACCGCCAATTCTAGGTTTAGATAAATACCTCACCTGATCCTTGCCTTTCGTCGTCATCCTGATCACCAATGCTGAATTTCGCAGTGGACTGAGCCTTTACTTCCAGAAAATCCTGGTCTCGACTGTCATCGTCCTCTGATCGTCTTCGAGGCTCTTGGCTGGGAGTAAGTTCTCGACTATCACCGCCGTATTTTCCAAACTGTCGGTAAGATGTTAACGCCTATGGGTCCTCAGTGGAAGTTTGGAATAGAAACGTACTCTATCTAGCTGTCTGCATGCAAACTCGTCAATCTGGTTGACTGGAAGACGATCGATTACAGGCTTGGAGATACTTCTAACGGACGATTCCATCATCTCCGCCCCATACTAGGAAGGCAGCAGGTCAATAACTAAAGGCAAAAGGAAACATTTTATACATACTTTTACTACTCTCGAGCTTGCTTTGCTTTGCTCGTAAGCTCGTAAAGCCGTGTTGACAATTGGTAAACCAGACACTCGCGAGACGAACTGTGCTGAAGACGATGAGCCTTCCGGAGACATCGAGAGTCTCTGAGAGACCGCCGTCAGTGATGTAGCATCTGACGTCGCTGTGCAGAACACATTCACGACAATGAGCATATGCATCAAAACAATAAACAAAGAGCGTGAAAAATTGGGGCAAAAGATACGCACGGGAATTATCATGATAGGAAGACGGGCTGGAAGACGAAGATGTACCATTTGCAGCACCACTGCGCATGTCGTCGAGTGCACGAACAGCAATCATGACGCTTTCATCGTCTGCATTCAAGGACAGCTGCTTTCCAGGGGCTCTGCGACCATCGCCTTTTGCGCAGTCTGAGCGAGAGGGCGAAGAAGGGCCCGCGACTGGCTGGTCCTCAGGCATTGACGACGGATTCTGATCTGGCGATGGATTGCAGAGGGCGCTGAGGGAGAGTCGACCAGTCGCTGGCTGTGGCTGCGGAGAGACAGAGCGGGAGAGGGAGGAAGGAGGCATGCGGGCTTGTTAAATCGCTTGTATTGAGAGGGAACTTTCACGCGTTTATGCCCTTGCCTTTCCACGAGGCACCTTGATGACAAATTCCGCCGAATTTGATCGCCGTCGGATTCTGCCCTGTCGTTGTGCCCTTTCAGGTAAAGCCGATCATTTGTTGTGCCTTTACGAATTCCAGCACCTCTTAAAGCAAACATTCTCCACAATACGCATGCAAGTTGCCACTCTCAGTCCAGTATATGTCCTCATACCCAGTTGATCTCTCAGGAGCAGCTGGTGCTCTTGAGACAGAATGCGTTCATTTGGCGAGGACGGCACTTGCAATAACACCACTGCTAACTCTTCGCGGTTGGCATGGGCTTAATAACGAGGAATGTATTGGAGCACGCAAAAATTTATATTAATTAGATTTTCATGTGTTCTCCCCTCTCTTTCCTTGGCTCTAGCTAGTCCGACTTTTAGCTCCCAGCAGTCCTTCATCAGTTCTGTTGCGTCACATATGATATATTCTTGTACTCTTTCCTCCCTGCCAACCAACACCACAGATCATCACCACAAATAATCTGTCTATCAGTGGCCATGCTCGGTAGCGAATCTATCAAAAAGGCTCTTTGTCTCCGCCATTCAAAATCATCTCGTATCAATCACTTCAGCAGAAGATGGGCCAGGGTTTGTTTGCGACTTGGCGTCTTGTAAATGTAATCGCATCGCACTTCGCTTAGATCACATCCACAACACGGATCCGTTTCAGTCAGAGATAATCTTTGCTCAAATGATGTGGGTTATTTTCGATATTCATCCGGCTGCCGATTGAAATGTAAAAGATATTGTACCCTCATCTTTGTGATTGATATTCGGGTGCAGGCGCTGAACATACTGCATCTTTGACTGAGGCAAAGTAACGTTTAATCTGATGCTGACAAGCAGGGCCTTGCTTCGCATGTTCAATGCTATCTCCTCCGTTGTATAATCTAAATTCAGCTTAACCCTCTTTTCTTAAAGCCGACAAACTCTCTCACCAACTGTTTGTTGCCCCCCTTTCTGTATAGAGCCCGCAAGCATGAGACTATTAACAAGTAGTAAACGTTGTTATCAAGTCTTTACATTGAGCCTGGAACACTGTGATTACACGCCGTTTTTCAACGCAAGGACAGCTAAAGTTTCGTACCCTTCTTAATGAGCCTGCGTTTCACGTAATTGTCCAAAACTAAAATCAAATAGTGCACTCCCTTAAATACGTTACATACAGTAACACAATGCTGATACAGAAAAGGTCGTGATGTCTACTAAAGTGCGACAGGAAGTACTAGTGAAGAAAGATGATCAACACCATCTTCTGGGACAATCAGAAGAGGACTCAAACAAGCAAAAAGGAAGCAAGGTAAATGCAAGGGACGATGAAGCAATAAGCCGACACATGAGATATTGAAAATGGAAAGATTATCGGCGAGATTAAAAGGGTGTAAATAAGCATATACATGGCAGATGAACGTGTCAAGGTAAATTTGAGAAAGGAAGAAAAATAGCGAGGTGGGAGAGTTTTTTTGAACGGCTCAGCATCAAGCGTGAACAGACAAGTCTAATAGACAGATCAACGTATATCACCATTGTCTTCAAAAAATCCATAAGGAGATTACTTGGTGCGTGGGTTGTATCATTCCCGGGCGGAGGGATCGGGGGCGACAGGCCAGATGTTCATTCCCTCCCTTCGGTCTCCGCGTGAAGACAGAGGGAGAGGCGCACTAGCACTTGCGCCTGTGCTAACCCCGTTGCCATTTCCATTTCCAGCCCCACTTCCACCACGCATTTCGTCCATTCCACGCTTTACGCCCGCTATCATCCGGTCCGTCCTTTCGAGCATCTCCTGCATTCGGCGGCGTTGCTCTGTGAGCTCATGGTAATGTGCCTCAAGTTCGTTGATGGTTGGCACTATCACGACCGAACCGTCTCCTCCTGTGGTTCCCTCTCGAAGCGGAGAAGGCGCACGAGGCGAACTCGTACGTGCCTGACCGAGATGTCCACTACTTGCACCAGATCCATGGAAAAAGGGTGGATGTCCCTGCCCAAGGCCGTGTGGTGGCGGTAAGTGGAAGCCAGTATTAAGAGGTGCGGATTGTTGCGAACCCGGCTGGTGCAGAGAAGCAGGGGAATGCGTGCGAGTCGGAATGCCCTCTGAACGAGAATACGACGACGATGCAGCTCCCTGCGCCGCATAAGCATATCGAGAACCCATTTTATCCCCGCCGAGCGCAGCGTTCAGTGGTGGCAAGTCATATCCGCCTGTAGCTTGGCCTAGCGAAGGGCTATAGAATGCACCAGAACGCGCAGCTTGATTGTCTACGGAGAAGGTCCCAAAACCTGATGACGAGCCTTGAGGCTGGCCTTCTTCTTGCCAGCCTTCACGTCTGCGTTGTTCCCGCAGTCTTTCGCCTTCCTCGTATTCCGGTCCTAACTCTCCAGCAACTCCGCGCCTCGGTTTTTTCCTCAAGTGCTGACGATCGTTGTCGTCGTCGCTCTCGCCGATAGGGCTACGATCATGTGCTCCACGACCTACAGAAACAAGTGTCTCTGCAGCTGCCTGCTCAGACATGCGAGGGAGTTGGCGACCTGAACCTTGACCAGGTGAAGGCATCTGCATTGTTGTGGGGCCGGGGCCTGCTGCTGGCACGCGTTTCCGTCGCTTAATGACCGTCTTCTTCATCGAATTCGGCCGATGGGTGCCGTGAAGTTTGTAATAGAGACCTGTGCAGACATAAGTCGAAGTAGTTACCACGACTAGTCAGTAAACTGAACATTCAGAGCATTAGAAAATCCAGGGAAAAGCAGGGGCGACAGTTATTGGCTTATCAGACAAGGATAAGATGGATAAGATGGGAGAAAGGAAGCGATCGCGAAAATAATTCAAATTCCGCGCCTTCCGAATCAGGATGAAGCGCGTGGACGAAAGAAGGGAAAGTGACTGGGAGACGATAAGATGAAGATCAGGTGAACAGCACTCACCACACGCGTTGCAAATGTTGTTGCCTGCATCGTCGCGTCGCCAGAGGGGCGTTGTGCTCGTTCCACAATTTGCACAGCTGAGTGCACCGACCGCACTGCGGCCACGGGGCATCCTGCCCCCGCTGGTACCAGCTTCGGCGGTTTTAGTAATAGTATCGTGCTGCGCGTTCCCGTGCGCAAGCGCGTGGGTACCCGGCGAGCTGCCGCTGAGATCTACGGAAGGCGAAGCAGCCTGAGAGTCAGCCATTTCAAGCTCAAAGCGAGCTTGGAGCGTATTGTTGTACGTAGGGCAGCCAGCGCAAGCCGACGTACCCCCCGTTCCGTCGCAACGCCCGTCGCCGGGACACGTACCCCTGAGAGCCTGCACTTGAGGCTGTTGCTTGTTATTTTGTTGAACGATTGACTGATTCATGGGTGACGCCACTGGGGAGTGCTGAGGAGAACCCGACATCTGTCGACCAGGAGAGGAATCGGAGTTGGAGGGAGTGTGGTGGGGCAGCGATCCAGTGCCAGCTGGAGAGAGAGATGAGCGCGAGATGGATGAACGCCTAGGGGTACGGCGAGTCTTTTGGCTAAGACCTGTGGATAGAAGAGTGCGTCGAACACGATGCAGAGGGTGAGGATCAGCATGATAGCACGAAGGATCATATAAACGAGGCTTCAGGAAGGTGAAACAATCTAGTGCGCCGATGACACGTTATAACAAGGCGGAACAGGCAGATCATGCACAGCACGTGTTGGATCCAGGCCGGGGATCATAGAAGCAGAGAGTGGGAGGGAGGGAAGAAAGAATAGATGACTTACCGCACGCATTGCAGATTTGCCTGCCATCAGCGTCACGGCGCCATTGCGACGTCTTTGTCGCGTTACAGCTGGCACATTGAGAAGATGAGGGAAGAAGATCGCTGCTTGTCTTTGTGATAGTATCTTGATCAAAACGCCTTTCGCGACCGCGCGGAGAGGGCGAATGACCCGAGGAGGGCGGCGCTGGAGAATGGAGCACGGGTCGGTACGAGCTGGCACTGAGGGCCTTGGGGGACTCGATGCGACTGGCTACATCATCTGCGGATGGAGAGGCAGAATGGTTAAGTTGGAGCTTGGCGAGGTTGTTGAGGTTGTTATTGTGGTGGAAAGACATGGTGGGAGGTTCGAGGATTATCGGAGACATATTAAAGCACAGGCGTCCGACAGTACCGGGAAGTGGGGCAAGATATCTCCCGAGATCGAATAGTGGCCGTCTTTTGTCGCTGTGCCGTGCGATACGGGCTAGGCGATGAGGGAAAAGAGGCAGAGAGCTGAGGGGAAAGATGGAATGAGGATGACCGATGAGTTGAAGAAGGCGGGACTTGTGCCGAGATGACGAAGAACGCCTTTCCTTTTTTGGAGAAGAAACACCATTTTTGGTTAACGACGTAAGCAATTGCCGACAAATTGGACCAATGGCGGTGAGTTCATTTCAAGTCAATTCAGGGTGGGTCGAGCCCCGTGATACGATAAGATAGACACCACACCCACTTCTGATTGAGTTCAGCCATCTCTTGCCCATATCGCCTCGTATCAAATCTTCTACATCATCGCCCAAAACACAATCTTATCCTCGCAAAACAGTCTCCTCCCCACCTAAATACGTCCCAGTCTGCGCGACTTCCCATTCCGAGCACCAGAAGCGGATGTGGATCGATAACGGTGATATCGCATTCACATCTAAGCGAGCACTCTCCATCCCTCGTCATCTATGGCAACTCCGGACGGACGCAGATTTCTCTCCACCACAAGTCCGCTTGCCTCGCAACGAGGCCATATCCTTGCTATCTGAAACAGGCACTGCCAACAGTCAGAACAATGATACGAAAGGCGCTCTGATGATTGACAAACACGAAAAAAAAAGTAGAGTTCAAGACGCGAAATGCAACCGGCGGATGCTGATTTGTGTGTCATGTGCACAGCCCCCGGTTAATTGACCTGTGCATTTTATTTGGGCACGTGTCGTGTGATAATGTTCTCTCACGAAATCCCGCCGTTTCTGTACCACCAAGTGTCAATCCTTAGCTTACTGTGCAATGCCCTTCCGTTCGCAAACATCTCTTGCACCTAGCTCGTCGGCGACAGCTCTCGCCGCGAGTCCCACGGCGGTGGCCTCAAGCTCTCAAACGAACGTGTGCCCGCCAAAATTTCCCACCAGAAGCCTCTTATGGACTCGCCTTCCTGCTCTCCGCACTATGACAGCCACAGTCGCCGGCTCTCAGTCACAGGCCCAAGGCACATGCTCCGAACAGAATCAAGGCTACGGAAGTAATCCTAACGCTGCTGGTAATCCTGCCCCTCCCTCTATTGCCTTCCCGGACCGAATCGCTACGACCCGTATGCTCCTCAGTGACATCCAAGCATCCATGCAAAAGCTTTCTGCGCATATGGAAGTTCTCGGCTCGCGCAGTGAACAGGCTTTGAAAGAAGTGCAGCTTGCGCGCGAATCACTGGACGCGGGTGGCGACAAGACCATTGCAGAAATTTCCGACACGGGTACGCATTGCCACACCATATACTCTGCCTATATGCGCTTCATTTGGTGTTCCTTAATGCAGTATATAAATCACAAGCAACTCTCATAAAAAGCTTCGAGGCCCATAGCAGTATGCTAGACAAAGCCAATGATAGGATTGCACGGCTTGTCAGTGTTCATCTTCCTCCATTAGCAACACGGATCTCATTTCTGCACTAGCTAAGTGACTCAGTGATTAAACTTTACGAAGCGCAGGCGGCGCTGCAGTCACAGCATGCACAACTCATCACCAAGATCGCCCCTATCGAGCCTCTCGTGCGCTCTATACCGTCACATATTGACGCCCTTTCCTCACGTTTCTCTCGTTTTACGGATGCTCTCTCACCCGCAATTGAACGTGCAGTTGAACGTAGCGTGGAGCGCGCACTCGCTAGATTACCCATACCCGCATATTCGCGCGAGCAAAGCGACCAAGGGCAGCAGACTCCCCGAGGTGTAAAGCGCAAGCGAACGTTGATTTTAGATGACGTACCGCCTATTAACCCTACCCAAATACGTAGCCTCTCCAGAGCCGCAAGATCGTCCAGCATGCAGGAAGTCCTCACTCCTTCCTCACCCTCACTGCGACGTCACTGCTCAATAAATAGGGCTACGCCTCGTTTACGTCCGTATCCCTCACTACGACGTTCTTCGACAGGTGTTGTCAACTCTTCTAGCGCCGGGATCGATATAATAAGTAGAAAATCCCCCCCGGCGCCGTCACTTCAAAGTTCAGTGCAGACTGCGATGCGTGAGTCGAAGCGTCAGAGAATACTTTCAGTTGCAAACGCCGCTGCAACGACCGGTTCGGAAAATAATCAATTCCACACTCCGAATATAGCGCATGCTACAAGTCTACTTGACGGACCTGCAAATGGCGATGCTAATTCTGGGGCAATCGCCGTTACAGAAGAAAATAGAGACGCCAGTACCGCGACGACCGACGGGCCCGTTAATAATACCACTTCGTCGGCCCGGACCACTCGATCTGTAACTCTCGCTAGTGAACGCGCGTGTGGCTCCGCAGCTCGCGCCACCCTTAAATCTCGAGAGTCCACATACCTCTCCGTGAATAACGGATCCAAAGCAGACAGACGTACAGCCCCACACGATCTACCAGCTACGGACGTTGGAAATCAGTGCGAAGAAACTGTCTTGGGGACTACTAATCATCCAACTGATCTCAATGCCAGGAATAGTCGTGCATCCGCGAAGAGCAAGAGCAAAGCTCCGAAGAGCAAGGGGGCGGGATCTGGAAAACGTAGAGGAAGACCGAAGAAAAGTGCCGCCATCAATGATACGAACGGTGCTTCTGCATTCCCAAACATTTCTTCAACAGCCGAAGCACTTCAAACTGCCGAGTTGGTGGATGGGATCCCAACTTCAACACTGAAGGGCGCCATATCTCGTGTGCTAATGCAGGAGACATGTCCGAACGGCACGACTAATGTATCCGATAAGGGTCTCGGTCAGTTGGACTCGATATCTACCGGCAACAAGCGCAGTTTGGACGCGCCTAACGTTCCTATTGCTGGTGCTGCCAACGTGGAACGTTCTGCCTCGGCTTCCGCTACTCTGAAAGAAACTTCGAATGAGCGTTTGCTCATCGACTGTATGGGTGGAAGCCAGGATTCCCTACTATTGGATCAAATTGGTAACGAAGGGGAAGGCGGGAATGCTACTTTGGTGGCGGCGATTGCACACATGAACTCTGATGTGGATTTCATATCTGGTCTCGATATGTTTGAGGTTCAACAAACGAATGAACAACGGAACGCAGGTGAAAAGGTCAAAAATCGCGGAAAGCATTATCTTTTCAGTGACTCGCGCGAAGTTCGTGGCTCTTCTTCGACGGGCACGGGTAGCTTGGTGCGTGCTTCTTGCAACATCTACATCGATACTCCTTTCCGTCTAGCTGCTCCTAATTTTCTTACATTTCCTGTCAACTGAGAACACTTCGGACCTCTTTCTCACGAGGTATCAATTTCCTTGGCTAACTTCTTCCATGTTTAAAATCAGTCTTCTGGCCGCCCAAAACGCTTCCTTGTTGTTGACAACGACTCCACCGCGGTTGATCTCTTTGTGGATGAACTCTTCGATTAACTTCAATATCGCGAACAACAGCTGAAACATATCTCAACGAAGTTCATCAAAAAAAAGGCGATCTGGTTTACTATTTTCCGCAACTCATCATAATTAGTGGCCTGATGTGCGAAGTTAATTGATGCTCCCTCCTCTTTATGCTTTCGTATCCTGTACTTTGGACCACTTCGGCTCCGCCTAGTTTATTTTTTTGCTGTGTAATCTCCGACATTCCCAGCTACTTAGGTTTCTGCTCACGACTGCTGCCCTTACTATCGCTACGAGCTTATTACCACCGTGCTGAACGATGCTTATACTGATTATCCTGTCCGATTACCTCGTCTATTTTCGTGGATGGAACTTGCCGCTCGGAGCGGCCTTTTCTCTCTGGACTATCTCACAACGGCCTCCGGCATATAATTTATTTTAGTAATCCGACCGTGGACGCACTGTACATAATTCCTGTAACACATACATGTCGACTGGTTTGAAAAAAAAAAAGCAACGTTAAAGGCAATGTTAATATCTTAGTCAGAACGACTCTCGAAACGTTCCTGAGTAGATCTCAACAGGCATCCCACCGGCACCAGGTATGCGTCCGATTTCTTGAAAGTGCAGTCCTATTTCGAGTGCCATATCCCAGAGTCGGCGTTCATCTGGGTCACGTTCTTTGTATGCGAGAAGAACAGTTGGCGGGGGTGCTGGGGGTTTATGAGGGCGGGAGAGTGTTTTGATGAGTGAGGGGAAGGAGGATGTGTTGTACGTTACGTCTGCCATTCTATATTCGCACATCAGTTAGGAAAGCAGTAGGACTCTTAATGGGAAAAATGACTGACATGATGAAGTCAACACCGTCATGCACCTCTTCGGGTAGCGTCTCCTCGTCCCAATCTAGTACAGCACTCTTAAGGCGGATTGAGGAGTAGCAGTGCTCGTTATCTGTTATGTTCTTGTCCAGAACCTCTATTGCGGATGCTAGAGAGATATTCGTGGCAAATGCGGAATATTAAAATCTGTTGAGATCGACGACAGCTGCAGTATGTGAGAAAGGATGGTATTCACGTAGGTCTGTAGCGATCATGTTCGCTTGTACTCGATCTGGCAAGTGATGAAGCAGTGTGGAGAGAACGATGGAAACGAGACCTGTTCCGGCGCCTATATGCACATAGGAGTACAACAATCACCACCTTGTGGTATTAATATAAGAAGATCGATAACGTACCTAGCTCCAATATAGTCGGTTCTTTACTCTGCACGAGCCTTTGCACGACAGTTGGTACACTGTTGTCACCAGCTACTGCATTTCGTACACTCAAAACAAGCCAATGAGACAACCCAACGCCACTATCCCAAACTTTCTTCCTTTTCAAAATCGCAGTCAGCGCATATACTCAACGAAAAGTTTGACAAATATCGAGAACGCACTTTATCAAGGTCGTACGAAAGGTGCTCCGTAATGCGTATCGGCCCTGGTCCAGGTGCAGTGGTCCCGATTTCAATATTATTTTTATTGGGAAAGAGGGGAGAAGGTAGCTTGAATATACGTTCGTTCCTCATTTGTTTCTTCTCCTTTCCTCCTTTCGCAGATCGTTGTGCACCACCACCACTGCCGCCGCCGCCGGAAGTCGAAATGAATCGTACAGGAGACGAAAGGATAGGGAAGACGTATGCACCGAAGTTATCTTCATCTCTGTCGTCGTTGTCTGGCTTGTCTTTGGGAGAGGAGCCCAACTGTATCGACGTTGCGTACTCTCCTCCTTTCTCTGATGACTTGCGAGTACATAGTAGCAACTGCCATCGTCCTCCATTCCCACTTCCGCTCTGCCTCTGTTGTAACGCCTCCGTAGGAGGGAAAACCTGCACCTCCTTATACGAATTCCCTCTCCAAGTCATCAATTTCTGCAGAGTCGTCATCGGTCCCAACCCCCTCCTCCCTCCATTCTTTGATTCTGAATCAGATTTTGACTTTGATTCTTCATCTGCATTCGTATCGAGACACTTCACCCACGAATAAAACACCTCAATCCCTCCTCCTCCTCCGCTTAAGTCTCCGAGATCCGGATACTCAGTCCTCAAATCATTCGCAACATTCGGCAAAACAAGCACCGCCTGAGCCAGGTTCGCATGTTCTTCCGGCGGTGGGCGTGTAAGATGGAGGTAATAAAACATCTCGACGAATCGACGAAGTGTTACGAGATGATGTTATGTGATGAAGGACAGCGTGTGTAAGAGGCTAATATGTAAGAAGTCCGTTTGTCGTAAAGTAAATTAACCTTGCGTAAAGGACAATTATTTCAATTTAACTAATTTGATATAAATCGATATAGATGGGAGATCGTCCTGTGGCTGTGCACTTCTCCAAGAAATTTAAAAAAAATAAGGATAAACTATTTTTAATTTTTTTAAATTCGTTTTAAATACCGGGGGGTTTAATGTGCTAGTTATACAAAAATGTGCATAATCTAAGAGAATAGTTATAGTGAATAGTCAACAAGAGTGGTAAATGAGGAGTGGAGTGGTGGCTGTTATTGTTGCGAAGGCTGAATTCTTCGTCTATGGATTACTCGGAGTGCGTTCCAAATGTCTGGTCCGTACATGTAGTACAGCACTCCAAAGCCAGCGCCACCCAGGTGTGCCCAGTGGTCAAAGAGCCTATCCGGCGACAAGACAAAGGGTAATCAGTACTCAAGAAAATCCAAAAAAGGAACGCAAGCGGGGAAAAAATAACTCACCGCCATCCTCGGAGGATGCCCACAATATCCATCGTCACCATCGCACCAACACCCCAACTGATAGGCAGGGGAATAGGCGGGAACAGTAAGAAGACCTGTGCATCCGGGTACGCAAGCGCTGTAATCATCACCATTGCGTAAATCGCGCCCGAAGCACCTAACGAAGGGAGAATCTCTCTACGCCCCGCGGCCTTATCCTTCACCACTGAACCTCCTACCCTCCGAAATGCCGTTGACACCGACGTAGCGAGGGAGTTCGCCGCTCCGGATGCGCGTAGTTCGGCGAGGAACATAGGGAAGTAGATACGTGTGCTTGCGATGTGCGAGGTGAGCGCGGAGACAAGTCCAGCTTCGAAGTAGCAAGAGAATAGTAGTTGTTGTCGTCAGTATGACGCAGGGGGGAACGCTTCGAAAAATGACGAATAATTGCATACCAGTAATGAACAACGCCCAGAAATGATACCTCGGTGTCGACTCCAACACCCCTTCGCTATTCTCCTGCTGTCTCTTGACTAAGTACGCGGTTGCTGCCGAGCCTACCAAATTCGCGGTTAGTACACCCGTTTCACCGAGTTTACTTCTGTTACAAACAAATGATCTGCGCTCACCGAAGCCAAGAAGCGCAAATGAGTTCACAAGAAGGTGTATGAACGAGTGATGACTTCAAGGGGGACAAAAAACCAAAACAGAATAATAATCAGTTTCAACCCTCTTTCTCTTCAGACAGGACAGAACATCTTTTTCTTTCCCCCCAAACACAAGAAACACGCACCTGAATATACTCGTAAGAAGCGTAACACTCCGCCCAGACAACGGATGATGCATAAAATACTTATTCATGAACGGTCGAAGAAACCGGAGCTGCCATGCAAGCCACACCCACACGAACATATTACAAATTTCATACGTGATGCGAGTCCCTTCGGATGCATTGATGAAGCGGTTTGCAACTTGCACATATGCCCAAAGAATGGGGTATGTTAGGGAGTTTGGTAACCCCGCAAGATCTTCTTTTAGCTTTTGAAGCATCTTTTTTAGTCGCTATATGAAGACGAGGAACGACAGAGGACATGAGGTTAGAACTTGTGGCGTCATTTGAAGTAAATTAGAAGGATAGACGAACTTCAGAAATCATGCCGAGTCGAACTCTTCGAAGTTGTTCGCTTGTGACCATGAATGGACTTGGAAATACTGCACTCAGCCGCTTGGTGTCAATGTTCGTCAATTCCGCTGCGTTTCCGAATACCAGGACTATCAGTAAGCCTGATATCTGATAGCATTTAGAATTAGTGAAGTGTCATCTAATGACACGGGGTATTACACTATGAGAAGGATAGAACATACCGCAACTTGCTTCCAGATTCCCGGTTTCCCAATCCCCTCTTCGAACTTCGGTTGCTCAAACGTCGGTTCTTCCTTTAACACTTCCTCACGAAACCTTAACTGTGGTGGAGGATTTGAATTCCAATATCGGTCACAATCCTTCTCTACACCTTCAATTGCGTCCTGTGTCTTGACGGGTGGAGGAGGCATCCCGGTTTGTGCGCGGAACCTTGCGGCATCGCGTTCGAATTGAGATTGTTCTTCTTTTGCGAGTTCAGAGAGGAACCTCGGAGTTTCTTTGGGTTTTGTATTCGATTCCAATCCATTCGGTGCTTCGATCTCCTGTTGAGATTCAGATGGAGTTCGGGTGTCTGTTTGGTCCTTTGGATTGCGAGGGAAACGTCTTTGTAACGTTGTAGAAAACAACCGTGCTTGAACGTTATGATCATAACGATAAACAGAACAGAGGCTGATAGGAGACAACCGAGAGCGTTGAGGAAGACGGAGACATGTTGATGAAGAGCGCAAGAGCGTCGGTGACGATATTGCTCGGATGGCAAGCATGAGCTTGAGTTTTGGCCGGCAATGCGGCCTTTAAGGATATTCACTTCAGAATAGTACACAATAACAGAAAGAGTGAGAGACGGTGAGGAGAAAGCGAGATGACCTTGGAACTCGTTAGTGTCGGCAGCGGGTGGAGAGAAACCAAAAGGATTAATCGTGTGCACAGAGCCGGACGCGTTCGTCAGCGCGTTCCGGCGCGACTTGCTTTCCTCTCAATACCAATGCTCTCAATAACTATGTCGCTCGATGACTCTGAGCCAGAAGTACACGTATTCGAGGATCCAACTGGGCTCATCAGACTCCCACTGGGTTCCGTGCGGGTTGAAGATCCAGAAGAAGAGGTTCGCATTCATGCCTCACAATGGAAAATAACACGAGTTGCAACATCGAATTAACGCATACGATTACAGGTATTCTTACTCTACACCAACCTCTCAACTCGCCACCCAGAAGACATCTCTTCGACCTCCTTTCCAGGTCTTGGCTCGGTCGACTCACGACAGGACACGTTAGCCGTGCGTTTCGTCTTGCCGCCAAGTCCGACGACAAAACACAAGGCTCCAAGCGGCTTGGAAGGGGCGGCCTGTCGTTCCTCCAAGCGGCATGACAAGCGCAAGCAGAATGTATACGTCTCCGAAGGTGAACGTTCATTGGATATTGAACTAGCACAAGACAAGACTACGTTACGTTCAAGGAGAGGCGATACAGGTAGTCATTGGTGTTATACTTGCGGGTAGCAATTAATGCCTTCTTATAGGTAGTGTGCTCTGGAGAGTAAGGTGACCAGCTCCTCACCATCACCATTATCCTCTATAAACGTCTACTAGCGTGGCACTTTGTCAAGCGCTCTTAAATGACCTGTGCTCAAGCTCTTCGTATTCACTCTTTGATCCGGAGAAGCTCAAGGAATGCACTGTCCTAGAACTTGGGTAAATAAGCTTGTTATTCCTTGGCGTCTTGATCCGTTTAGCTGATTGAATTTGGTATGTCGACTGTTGCTATTCGACAGTGCGGGAACTGGCTTGTTATGCCTGATTCTCGCTGCTTGGGTGCGACACTACACCGTTACCGATCTTGATTATCTTGTGCCACTCATACGCAAGAACGTCGCGACGAACTTTTCTGTTGTCCAGCAAACACTCAAGCCTACTCGGCGTCCATCGTCATCGTCGTCCAAGCGTTCGAAACGCTCCGTAGCGGGATCTAGTCTTCCCATGAATGAAGGGGATAGGAGTACATACACAAGCGCAGTAAGCGTGGAACCGCTCAACTGGGTCGAACTCCAAGGCGCTTCACTGCATGCTCGTAACACAGCATTCCGGCTCTCACACGGCGAGCCGCCCGATTTGATTGTCCTGGTAGATTGTGTGTACAATCCCGCGTTATTACCTGCGCTCCTCGTGACTGTAGATCATTATGCGGCACCTGGACGAACGCGTGTGCTTGTTGCGGTGGAACTGCGCTCAGTGGACGTTGTTCGTGAGTTTCTGGAGCTTTGGCGCGGGTTGGGAGGCTGGGAGATTTGGCGGATCGGGTGCACGGCCGGTGGTGGACGAGAGGGAGATGGATGGCTGGGCATTGAGTTCGCGGTTTGGATAGGCTGGAAGATCAGTGTGATCCGTGAACGAGAAACATGATGACTGACCAGATGGTTGGGTCAGGAAGTGGCACGGGCTTGTGTGCGGCAACAGGTGATTTAGCGTCTTTGTAATACTAATAGGCAGAAGTGCTGCGCATTGTCAAGCGTGTTTGTATGTTTTGAATAAAAGTAAGAGCCAAGTGCACTTATGCCGGCATTTGGATCGGGGATTTCGGAATTGGACGGGACCCGGCGCGGCGGGAAGATGAGCCGTCCGCAGTTGATGATTCAGGTTGGGCGTCAAATAAGTAGCGCTGAGTGAGTGAGGAGTAAAGCTCAAGCAGAAAGCTACCTGCAATTTTTTTGAACTGGACATGAAAGGCAGAATAAAAATAAGAAATGACGGAGGAGTATGAGTATGATGAGCTCATGGATGATGGACTACGGCGGGATCGGCGGTCGAAGCCAAGGCAATCCAGAAGGCTTCCAATGGAAAACAAGGATTATGTCCGAAATGAGCGTTGAGCAACTTCAGTCACTTCCGAGGCATTCCCTTGGCCATGGCCTTGTCACTCCTTTTTATTCTCTTTTATTCTCTCTAACAGCTGGCCTGTCATCACTGAGGTTTGCGATCTAATTGGATATTGCACTGGCCACTGTTGGAGCAAGTGACGTGCATTCGTTGGGAGAGAGAACGGAAGAGCCGTGGCCGGATTAGGCATGCACCGGACCCCGCAGCAGATTTGAGTGCTTGGTGTTTGGCTCCGCACCGCTTTTGAGCTCAGTCTCGTCCGTCATCCCTCCCCCTCTCTCTCCCAGTCTCCGATAAAATCACCCCCACAGCTCGCAGGTCGAGCGTTCCTTTCATTCTCTTCCCCTCCTCTTTCTTCTTCCCTTCCTGCTTCCATCCCCTCCATCCATCCTTCCCTATATTCTCTCTGTCGTCATGCGGCCCTCATATTCGAGCAGCACTATCATTGCTCTCCTAGCTCTCGCCGCAGATGCCTTTGCCGCGCCGAGCCCGGCAGCACAGCCTAATGGCCAGACGATGCGTCTCTCCCGTCGCACCGTAGACAGAACTTATGATGAATGGGGAGCATGGGCAAAGAGCCACCGAGAGGGGCTCATGAACAAGTACAACGGTGGTAACAACGCCAAGGCCCGCACAAAACGTGGCTCCGGGACGAACCTCATCGTAAACCAGAACGCAGACTCGACCTACTTTGGGTCGCTGGCTGTTGGCACACCGCCAATCGCGTTCGATGTCATTCTTGATACCGGCTCTGCGTACGTTGCTGCTGCTCCCCCCGTCATCTTTTGTGGCGCTCTTGTGAACAGATTGCTTACTGCATTTCCTTGTGTCCATCAGTGACCTGTGGATAGCCGACACGACCTGTAGCTCACGTTCAGGCTGCCAAGACATCACCACCTTTGATGCCTCTAAATCGTCATCATTCAGGAATTTGTCAAGACCATTCTCTATCACGTACGGTAGTGGCGCAGCCGCAGGATCATTAGCAGAGGATGTCGTACAGATGGCCGGTTTCTCAGTGTCGAATCAGACATTTGGTATGTATTTTTATCCTCTTGCAGAGTCTAATTTCTAACATAGCGCCTGTAGCACTGGTTGACCAGGTTTCGAGTCAATTACTAACTGCTCCTGTATCTGGATTGATGGGTCTTGCTTTCCAATCCATCGCGTCGTCCGGAGCGACACCATTCTGGCAGAACCTGGTGGAAAGTGGCGCCTGGGACTCTCCCGTTATGTCCTTTCAATTGACGCGGTAAGTCTATGCCTGTTCCCATCGGCGCCCGTGTCATCATGATGTATTGATTATCGTGCCCGCAGCTTTGTTGACCAACAGCAAGCGCAGTCGCTGGAGGCCGGTGGGACCTTTACTTTAGGTACGTATTGATTTAGATTCAGATTTAGTATCGGGCCGTCTATCTTTGGTCGTAGCGCGGAATTTATTCAATTCGCTAACGACCGCGATCTATTTTTAGGTTTCGTGAACAACTCCCTGTATACGGGTGACATTGACTTTCAGAACATCCCCGGCGGGACTGGCTCGTATTGGATCCTGCAGATGTCCGAGCTCACCGTACAAGGGAATTCTGTTGCCTTGCCTTCTGGCTCGAGTTCGTACGCTGCGATTGATACCGGGACTACCCTCGTCGGCGGACCGTCTAGTGTCATCTCGAACTTCTACTCGCAGATCCCTGGTGCACAGGCAGGTACAGGGAACTACGAAGGGTATTGGATCTACCCCTGTTCAACGCAGGTGACGACAACGATGGCGTTCGGCGGAAAGTCATGGACGATCTCACCCGCCGACTTCCTCCTCACCCAACTCTCCACCTCGCAATGCCTCGGCGCGTTCTTCGAATTGGACATGGGCGCAGGCAGCTCCGCGCCGAGCTGGATCGTAGGCGACACGTTTTTGAAGAATGTGTATTCGGTGTTTCGGTATAACCCACCGTCGATTGGGTTTGCGAATTTGAGTTCGACAGCGTTGGCGATGAATGGGGATTTGAATGCTGTGGTACCGACGCCGACTCTTGGGAGTGCGGCTGCTGCTATTACTGCGACGGGGAGGACGAGGAGTAGTGGGACGTCTGCTGCTATGCCGAGTGTTGAGATCAGTGGGGTGGTTGTGGTGTTCGTCTCACTACTGGCTGGGATCGTTGCGCTGCTATGATACGACCGCCTCTCCTCGGCTGCTGACGCGTTTAACGACCTACTCCCTCTCGGACTCCTGCTTTCAGAGCAACAAAGCTAATCAGCCACGGCCCAATTGTATTTCTAACACGCACTTATGGACTCACACCCCGAACCCAACCTCGAATGGACTCCCCAACACGGGGAACGAACCCGTCTACTCACTCACCAATCAAATAAACGTCGTCGCTATCTTGCTTACGTTACACACTGGCAATTTGCTATCGTCTTGCACCTCATGTCATGACAGTTTACAAGTTTAATATTTGTTCCTGTCATTTTATATATCATGTATATTTCTTTTGATTCGTTACAATTACTTATCAGCATACTTTGTGTATGTATGCATGGACGTTTAATTCATACGTGGATGAAATTAGAATTATTAGCCTTTGTGCTATATCTATAAGTAACAGATAGTTAAGATGTGGATGTCGATGAAATTTGGTTTTGAAAGGTCAAGTCATTGGGGTTTGTGATGACTCAATGTCTTAGTTGTGTACCCCTTAAGTGAGTCAAAAACCTTTCAAATTTGTATGGCTCAGAACATCTGCTCGCCACAATGCTGGTCACAAATCAACCACATATACATAGCACCAGTACTTTCGCAGACACACAATATTGGAGTTGCAGAATGCATCATATTGTCATAGAACATGTCTACCAGGCCAAATGACATACGAAAGAACAAAGGGGAAGGATGGTCATACAGAATAAGATTACAGTAGATGAATAATGCTACGAAGTGGATGGGACGACATGGACCAAAGTGTGAAAGCAAAGGTATGATAACCTATGCTCACGTCCTCTCGCCACGGAGACGACGAGCGAGGGCAAGGTCCTTCGGTTGGATGGTAACACGCTTTGCGTGGATAGCAGCAAGGTTCGTGTCTTCGAAGAGTGAGACGAGGTAGGCTTCGGATGCCTCCTGCAATGCCATGACGGCGGAAGATTGGAAGCGAAGGTCCGTCTACGCATCATGCATAAATCAACATCGATGAAGGATGAACAAATGATAGTGACTATACTAACCTTGAAGTCCTGTGCAATCTCACGGACGAGACGCTGGAACGGCAGCTTACGGATGAGCAACTCTGTTGACTTTTGGTACCGACGGATTTCACGAAGAGCAACTGTTCCTGGCCTGAAACGATGAGGCTTCTTTACACCACCAGTAGCAGCCTTCATTCAGGACAAGTTAACATCCAACCCAACTTAACCCAACTTAACACAACATTAACGAGACACTTACGGCGGCAGTCTTACGCGCCTGCGACTTGGCAGCAAGTTGCTTCCGGGGTGCCTTGCCTCCGGTGGATTTACGAGCAGTCTGCTTTGTGCGGGCCATTGTAGATTGAGTTTAGAGTGTTTGGTGGTGGTGGTAAGAGTTTAAGATCTCGGCGCGGCGGTTGTGGGTGAGTGTTCAACGCAAGTTCTGAGGCGGCTGTTTATATAGAGGCGCAACCTAAGTATCACGTGCCAGGTCAGACGCGTTGTGTTGTGTTGCGAACTCTAAATTGTAGCACTGCCACTCTCCGCCTCCGCGCCCATATAAGGCGACCGGAGGCGCGGCTGTTCCTACCTAATCACCTCTCTCCCAACAACCACAACCTTCAACAACACTTATCACCACCTCACCTCCACCCCACCACACTCAATCGACAATGTCTGGACGCGGAAAGGGCGGAAAGGGTCTTGGCAAGGGCGGCGCGAAGCGTCACCGCAAGATTCTCCGTGATAACATTCAGGGTATGTACCTTTAAGCAATTGATTAACGTTGACCTTTGTTGACTCGACTTCGATCAGGTATTACCAAGCCTGCCATTCGTCGCCTTGCCCGTCGTGGTGGTGTAAAACGTATCTCTGGTCTCATCTACGAAGAGACTCGTGGTGTCCTCAAGGTCTTCCTCGAGAATGTCAGTGACCATCAATCCATCCACCCGTTGCAGCAGTTATTGACTTATCCCTCCAGGTCATCCGCGACTCTGTCACCTACACAGAACACGCCAAGCGCAAGACTGTCACTGCACTCGACGTTGTCTACGCACTCAAGCGCTCAGGGCGTACCCTCTACGGTTTCGGCGCATGATTTCGTTCGTCTGGGGCTGTTAGATATTCGTTTTGTTTACTCCTTTTTTATCTTTTTGTATTTCTGTGTATTATCACCGCTATACTATTGTGGCAATATTTGCAAACTCATTCTATGTGTGCGAAGTGAGATATCGAGGAAAGCTTTGCTAATCAATTCGATGAATATGTCACAACAGTCGTCTATTCTAATTCTTCCATCTGTAAAGAACGTTAGCATATGTCGTCGCCGATGAGGTGGCCACTTACATCTTGACCTGCCGATCTCGTCCACCACTAACCAGTTTATCAGCAACGAAGTCAACACAGTACACCTCGTCGGTATGTCCAGGAAGGTCAGTCTTGAGCTTATACGTCTTGAGGTCCCAGATCTTGAGCGTACTATCCTTGCTAGCGCTCACGAGCAGCCGTGAATCAGCAGACCACGCAAGCCGGTACACCGCTCCGACGTGTCCTCGTAGCGTCGCTACAAACCTATCAAAATATAAAATAAAATATAATCAAACACCGTTGCTTTTAAAGAAGTAAAGCTGTTTGTTTCTTTGTATGCGGAAGGAACACTCACTTCCCAGTCCTCCCCTCCCAAACACGTACACTACTATCCCAACTCGCACTCGCCGCCCACCTCCCATCCGGGCTAAATGAGACATGCGACACTTGTTTTTGGTGTCCGACGAGCCGGGTGAGGGGTTTGAGCTTGCCTCCTTTCTTCGCTGCTTCTTCTTTTGCTTGGATTTGGATTTCAGGGGAAGAGGGAGAACCAGAACGAGAGGGGAATAGAGACCAGAGGAAGAGGGTGTGGTCGTCTGAGCCTGAGATGAGGAGTTCGGGAGTTGTGGAGAGGAGGGAGGTGTAGCGTTTTGATGCGAGGGATTGGGCTGTGGAGAGACAATCAAATTAGGATTGAATCGATTAGATCATGTGTATGCAAGAGGACGAGGGGGAAGGGAGGTAGCTTACCTTCTTCGTCTGAAGCAGGCTTTTTGGACGTATGATCGAAGGGTCCTGTTCGTAAGACGAAATCGGTGTTGAGTGCGAGGGTGTTAACCCAATGTGCGTGCTCTTTTAGGGTGTGTAGTAACTTTCCCTGTAAATTAAATCAATCTCTTCAGTCAACTTTCACGAAGCATATGTTTTAAATTCACGTACCCCGTTCGGATCCCAAACTTTCACCGTCTGGTCACTCGAGGCAGTATACAACACCCCCTTCCCACCAATCCCACCTCCACCCCACAACACGCAATTAACACTCGCCGTATGTCCACCGAGCGTATACTCCAACTTCCTCGAAGCGGGTAACCAAACACGTACCGTCCCATCTTTCGAGGCACTCGCAAGTCGGGGCGAGCTAGCGTTGAGGTGTATAGGCTCCCAAGCGAGGCTCATCACCCACTTCGTATGTCCTTTCAGCGCGTCCCCTTGCGGAGCACCAGTCTTCGCATCCCAAAGTCGTATATGTCCATCATGTCCACCCGTAGCAAGTCTTCTCTCCATACCCTCCCACGCAACGCACAAAACCCATCCTTTATGCCCTACAAGCGCAGGACCCGGCGTCTCCGTGTCCAAATCCCATAATCTTGCCGTACAGTCCCCCGAACCAGTTGCAAGCCTCGCACCGGTGGGTGAGAACGCGGCGCAGAGGATGGGTGCGCTGTGTCCTGAGAGAGAGGAGGAACAACGCGTTGCGGGGCGGACGCGGAAGACGGCTTGAGGGGCGCATATGATTGTGAGCTTGTCTTCTGCTGTGAGGTTGTATGAGTCGTTGGAGAGGACGTCGGATAAGATGGATTTGGTGATCGTTACGCGCGTTGGGGTGCTTGAGGGGCCGCCTTTTGGAGGAGGGAGAGAGATGTAGAATGAGAATGGTGTTGGCTCATCGCTGTCCTGTTTGGATTATTTCGATTAGCATAGTGCAGTATCTGGTGAGTGGATTGGAAGGCGCACCTTTGTAGACAGCTTATTGACGAGCAGCTCCAGATCCTCCCTGCTCACATTAGCAGGAAGCTGAACAGCAGGTGCGATACTCTTTCCATCGTCTTCTGAAACGAACTGAACGACGACGTTCGGAACAGGCTCTTCGGGTGGTTTGTCAGGCTCTGGAACACCGTGGTATAGTTTAGGACGTTTTGGGGGCGGGAGGAGTGTCGCCATTGTCAGCAACGCCGAGCTGGTGTAGGCCTGTATTCACCTACACCAAGCCAGGAAATAACTGACTGAGAGAAATGGTACAAAATTTAAGGTTTATTAGGATTTGTCATGTGCTTCGGCGAGTCGCGTCAATTCCGCATCCAGACCCTGAGTCCCACGGTCCTTTTTTGGTTAGCTTGAATTGGCCACCCACAGTTCAACTTGAATTTCACTAAGTCAAAATAAAGTCCTTTTCTAATAAAATACATGTTCCCCTCCCTAATCCTAGCCAAAACCCATCCTAACACCCAAACCTAACAACCCAACTTATCCCAAACCTAATTGGGGGGCAAAGCCCCCCAAACCCCCCTCCTAACTTCTTAGTCCAAGAGTTGCCGCACTAGTATTATGTAAGTGGCCATTCAGGGTCATCCCAAATTGGGTCGTGAGACTCAGGGTCTGGATGCGGAAAATCAAAGGTTGCTTCGGCGTGCTTCGATTAGATGCCCATAAAAGGCGAGAGTGTCCTCACGTTACATACTCTCTCTCTCCGACGCCGGACTGGGGACTCCCCAAAGCCAAGTATAAATACTGCTCGATGGAGAGCATCATGTCTCACTGCCCACTTAGCTGCGCACTACAGCGTGAAACATCTTTGGAGAACTCTTGCTTGTCTTTACTGCAGCAGCCCTGTCGTCTCTCCTACGCTCAGTGATTAACACAGCTCGCTCTCGTCTCTATTCACTGGCTACTAGTACAAACAGCAATTCCTTACTAGAACAAGCGAGTAAGATGGCAGCTGCAACGGGAGTTAAGATCGTCCCTCGTCGGAGCACGGAACGTGGACATGCGGACCACGATTGGCTCAAGACTTTTCATACGTTCTCCTTTGCCATGTGCGTTTACCATCTAATCACCTTTCCATGGATCATTATGTGTTTGTATGCTGATGATTTATTGGTTTGTAGGTACCAAGACCCCGAGCACATGCAATTCGGTAGTCTTCGTGTCATCAACGAGGACCGCGTCAAACCTCGTACGGGTTTCGGTACCCACTCGCATCGCGAGTTTGAGATATTCTCCTACGTAGTTTCAGGAGAGCTTGAGCAGTACGTCTAGCACTACCTTTCCTCGCTTCCTCGCTTTGAAATTAACCGACTAACTAATTAATGTGTTATACCTTAATACACAGCAAAGACTCAATGAACAACACCGAGATCCTCAAACGCGGAGACCTCCAACTAACCTCAGCCGGCTCACCAGGGATCTCCCACTCCGAAAAATGTCACGGCTCCCTCCCCGTCCACTTCTTACAAATTTGGACTCTACCTTGGAAAGCTGGCTTACCAGCTAAGTACTTCACTCGACACTTTACAGACGAGGAGAAGAAGGATACGTGGTGTAGGGTTGTTGCACCTGTAGGTGCGGAGGGTGTTTTGAGTGAGGTGAGAGATGGGGATGGAGATGGGAAGGGACCTGCGCCGGTGCAGAGTCCTGTTACGCTTTTTGCGAGTCTTTTGAGTCCGGGTACGAAGTTGCCTTCAGCGTTCCCCGAGAAGGTTTATTCGACGAACAAGGATGCGGAGACCTCCTTGCGGAAGAAGTATATCCATGTCGTCCAAACGAGCGGGTACAACCCTAACGACTCAGCAGGCGCTAGCGTGCGCGTCGCTAGCGGCGAGAAAGATAAGGGTGCGGTAGAGGAGGTATTCTTGCGTGAGGGAGATGGAGCGTATATCTTTGGAGAGAAGGGGAAGGTGCTTGAGGTTGAGAATGTTGGAGATAGAGTTGCGGAGGTCTTGTTGTTTGATGTCGAGTAGATAAAGTAAAGTGGCTTTGTACTTGTACTCTTTTCTCTTGCATTACTTGTTTAGTATATGACCTGAATAATTTTGTCGATTGAGTAACTCGTCGAAGAGGCGTATATTATATCCCAGGGTTACAGATTCTTGAGGAAGCACCAGCAAACGAAGTCCAGCAAAAGGCGAGGTGTAAGAGTCGATCTGAAGAAAAAGGGTCGCAACATTTTTTTGACACCGGATGGCACCCAAGCAGGTTAACAGCATATGGCCTCAGTAATGTTATAAATCGAAAACATTTTCGTACATATTCGCTCGAGACACCTTGCAAACCCAACTATTAATCATGCGTATTGCCCATATATGCATGCTTGCTCTTATTGCGGATAGAGGAGGTACAGAAACAGTTGATAGCTGATAGCTGGTAAAGAATGCAGCATAGCATGGGTAAGGCATAATAAGCACCTGATACTAAACACCATCTCCATGCGTTTTAGATCGATGAGGGGTACAGCATCTGCCCAGCAAAATCATCCAGCCGTAAGCACACAGAAAAATGAGAGAGAAAACGATAAGACAAAATACGCACAATACGAACAGCAGCCCCAAACGCTCTCGGCGGGATATTGCTCCTGAATTTACTCTTCACGACACCAGAGTTTCCATGCGAACGAGTCACCTTCCCCCAGATAACACGGACCTTCGAGCCGTTGATAGGGCGCTTGGCACGGTAGACGTATGCTACACGTTTGCCGAGGTAGAATTGTGCGTCCTCTTTGGAGCCGACGCCCTCGATTTGGACGAGTGTGGTGTTGGGGCGCGTGTTGCGCTTGCCGCGCTTGTGGCTGAGGAGGCGGCCTTTTGAGTAGAGTCTAGAAGAGGGATAAATAATGAGAATTAATTATTGAAGAAGTTTGTGCTGCCGCTTGTTGTTCGACGTTGGACATGTCAACCTCATCTACCCATGCCATCCATCACATATCTACTCAATCCATCCTTTTCAACCCACTCCCTTCACACCCTACCCAGTCCAAACATCCAGAGCATAGCAGCAGCACCCAGAGAAGTGATAACTCACCTAGTTGAGCCCATCGTTGTTCTTGCTGGTCGTCGTTGTCCCTTCGTCTACACTTTCACAGTCCAAAACACATTCTGACACGAATTACATAACCATACCTTACCCAAATTGGCATCTTGTTACATAATACATCTCATTAATTTTAGCATAGCGGAATGTGCTCAACGGACGTTTGTATAAAGCAGCGATGCAGTCGTGTCGGACTGCACTCGACCGTCGACGACAACACTCGAGTTGTTGTTGAGTATATATACGGCTCGTCGAGTAACGGAGCGTTGCAAGAGTAACGTCCTTTTTGCGTTCGTTTAGGTTGATGTACTTACGTACTCCCTTTTTTTTCTGGGCTATTGTTTGTACACTAGAGTCGTTGAGGATACAATTCGTATAGCCTTGCCTTGCAACTTATCAATATACAAGACCTTTACTTGAAGTCATCGCTTCGTGTTCGTTTGGCCTGGTAGTATGGCTCTGCCTCGTTCTTGGATCAAGCTACGCTCTTTTGCCCGCATGTCCTCGACGAAGGCTTCAGCAAATGAGGGCCTTACATTTCATATGGCGCCTCTCCCACCAAAGACGCATCATCACCGCCAGATTCCGTCCTCTGCTTTCCCGCGAGGTTATCTCTTAGGTGGAACTCATGCAGGAGTCAAGAAAAAGGCGGGGATCCTAGACCTCGGGCTTGCTATTTCATCAACAGCTCAACCGGCAGCTGCAGCGGGCGTGTTTACGAGGAACGCTGTCGCAGCCGCTCCTGTTCTCGTGTGTCAGGATGTGTTGCAGAATACGGAGGGGAGGATACGTGGTGTTGTCGTTAATAGTGGGTGTGCGAATGCCGTAACTGGAAAGAAAGGGATGGAGGATGCGTGGAGTATGGTGAAGGCCGCTGATACAGTTGCAAACGCGTTAATCGACAAATCGGTTGGGAAAGGTGTGCAAGAGGGCGAGAAGGCAGAGAGTTTGGTTATGAGCACAGGTGTCATCGGACAACCGCTTCCAATTGACAAAATCCTTTCCGGTATATCATCCTTCAAACCATCTTCGACAAACGCTCCCGACCCCAATGCCGAATCTTCACCTATGGGACACACTTTCACGCACTGGGAACGCGCCGCACACGCGTTCATGACGACGGACACGTTCCCCAAGTTACGCGCCGCGTCCTTTTCCGTAGGTGGACGTGAATATCGTATTGGTGGAATGACGAAAGGCGCAGGGATGATTCATCCGAACATGGGGTTACCACCATCAGGAGGGAAAAAGGAATTACACGCAACGTTACTTGGCTTAATCCTCACCGACGCACCCGTAACCCCTCAAGCGCTAAGCGAAGCAGTCGCATATGCCACGGATCGGTCGTTCAACTCTATCTCCGTCGATGGAGACATGAGTACGAACGATACTCTGCTTGTACTTGCTAACGGTGCTGCTGTACCGGCGAATGAGCTGAAGAACGCGACGATCGATGTGAATAGCGGCGATGCGTTCGTACAGTTCCGAGATGCATTGACGAACTTCGCGGCAGAGCTTGCACAATTGGTCGTCCGTGATGGGGAGGGTGCGACAAAGTTCGTTACTGTTACTGTAGATGTACGTTTGACTTTCTTTGCCTTACTCTCTTTTCTGTTTTCTTTTGCAGTGATATTGAAGAAGACTTATGTCTCTACTTTTCGCGTTTATTTGTTTAGGGCGCTGCGACGTACGCCGACGCGCATGCTATCGCCTCTCGGATCTCTACTTCCGCGCTCGTGAAGACTGCACTTTACGGAGAAGACGCGAAGTACGTCCTTCCCTTTCTCTTCCCTTCCAACTTAAACCATTGACAACAACTCCCCTCCAGCTGGGGCCGCATCCTAGCAGCAACAGGCTCCATCCCACCCTCCTCTCTCACAAAACCCGTCAACCCTTCCCTCGTCTCCGTCTTCCTCCTCCCATCCCCTCTCTCATCCAACTCAACTCCCCTCCGGCTCCTCGAAAAGGGCGAACCAGTCGGCGTAGACGAAGTCCGCGCCAAGGAAATTCTACGCAATGAAGATATCGAGATACGCGTCGAGTTAGGTTTAGGTGGGGAGAAGGCGACGTATTGGACTTGTGATTTTAGTTATGTGAGTGTCTTTTTTATTCTTCTCTTCTTTTTTACCCTTGTGTTTCTTTCTGCATCGTTTGGGTTTTCGCTAATGATTTTTGGGATTTTTTGTTATAGGAATACGTACGCATCAACGGAGACTATCGCAGCTAAATTGAATATCATTCTACCCTCTTCCCTCTACAGTCAAGTCATTACACAAAGTAGATGCAATTTTTTTTTGGTTCCGTTTTTTTTTCCTCTTGACTTGTCTTAGGATTGTCATTAAGATGTAATTAGTAGATATATTTCACTTCGATATGACGTTCTTGTTTTTGCTTAAAATATTGATATTGGTTGGCATGCACGTAGGGTTCGTATTATGTCCTTGACATCAATTCATGCAGACAGAAGTGAAAGGACTGGAACTGCAAAACATGCATGTATGTCATAAACCGAAAACGTCTATCAAACAGTAAGCTACAACAGATACACAGGGGACCGAGACAAAACTATTGATTAGCGTATTAGTGTTACGAAAAGGAAAGCTTCGTGACTTCGGGAACAAAGAAAGACAACGTGCAGGTAAGTTTCAAAAGGAAGAAATTCGTTTAGTATTCCATGAGTCCGTCTTTCGAAAAACGTTTCTCATATGAAGCCGTTTCAACAAATGACATCACGCATCCTTCACCGCCCTCCTAATCTCATCCATCCCCTCATCTCTCGTCCAAAATCCCGTAGGGTCCTCTCGTTCCTCTCCATCCTTTCCCTTACCCTCACTCAGCTTCTCTTGCACTTTCACATCCTCAGTAATCCCCTCATTACCCCTCTCAAGCTTCTCCTTCACATCTTCCACCCCTTCTACGCCCTCCACACCCAAACTCCTCAAATACCACCCTTTCACCTCCCTCTCACACCTTTCCACCTCCTCCGCAGCCTCACTCCCTTTCCACAAAGCCCTTTCTAGTATATGTCGGATCAGAAGGCGGGCGAGAGTGTGTAGGTGGCTTGCGGAGAGTGCGACGAGGAGAGCGGGGAGGAGGAGGGAGGTGGGTGCTGTGTTGGGGTTTACGTGGAATGTTGGGTTTACATCGGGCGGGGTGGAGGTACTAGAGGATGGCATATCGAGTGTGCTACCTGTTGTTATGGAGGAGAGGTTGCGTTGTGGAGTGAAGTTGTCGGGACTGAATAGGTAGACGAGTGCGGAGTTGGTGAGTGCTGAGAGCCAGGCGATGAAACTCTGTATACCAAATATTCCAGTCAGTTAATTGAAGAGTAGAATTCTATGAATGAAGGAATGAATGAGTGGAGGAGAGGTACGAACCATAGTGTCCACCCAAGGCCCAATAGTATCCGTTCGGAAAGGCAAGGGCCTTCTACAATTAGTCGCAATCTTGAACGCATCGCTCCGTAACTCAAGCCAGTTATTCAGAAGAGCCATTACTTTAAATCAAAACAAACGTCAATACACCTTCCTTCCTTCCCAAAAAGTGATAGATGGCACTTACCAGGTGCAAGCGGCCAAATCGTACTCCACAACGAAACGTATCCAAACTGGGTGACCATCTCACTAAAGTCCGCGAACAGCGTATACGGAGGCAGCGAAGCTTCATGCCGTACTCGAGCCAGAAACTCGCGTTCATCTCGATCACCACGTTCTTCATCTTCAAATACAACTCGTTTCCCGTTATTGCTCTTTTTCGCACCGTCCACGCTGACAGCCGACGGAGTAGTGGACATCCCAGCAGATCCAGCACTCGAACTAGTAGCGGACTTTGACGACCCAGAACGGAAGGCCTCAACCTTACGCATGACGAAAGGCAACCCAACTTCCGTAAAAGTCCCAACAACCTGCTGCGTAACCGTATACGCGAACATCTGATTCTGCAACCTTGCAGGATCCGTCTTCGCACTATTCGCCCACACAGACGCGTTCTTCCCATTCCCATCACTCTTCCCAAATAAACCACCTAGAAATGAAATTGGACTTTCCGCAACCTTCTCAGCGGTGAACCCAGCAGTCGTATTGATGAAATCTGCCGCACGCGTCGCTTGTGCGCCTACAGCTGCACTGGTTACGAAGAGCGTGCGGGAGACACTTGCCATGAGTTGTTCGCCGAAGGGCATGTATACGAATGCGCTGAGTGCGAGACCTAGGTACGCGACGATTGCTGAGAGTGTGAATGTCTTGATTGTGAGTGAAGCCTCGTATGTTGATTCGTGTGCGTGGTTTTCCCAGTCTGTGAGCTTCACTGCGTAGGATTGATATAGCTGAAGTAGTCTTGGGACCAGAGCGACGAATAACAGTGTAGGGCTGAAAGACTTAAAATAAAAAGCATCTCAGTCTCAATGGTCAAACGCCGAAATTTCCAAGAACGACTTACAATGATCTTCTGTCCCGGTCCAGTGTACAACTGCGTCACGAACGCCTCGAATATAAATATAGCCGTTAACAATGCAGCAAGTGCTGCTGCAAAGAGCAATATAACTGGTAAGCTCGCGAAAATGCGGGCATCACGTTTCCACCATGGGAACTTGATTCCTGGTCCTCCTGCGTCCTTGTATTGCGCTCGACGGCGTTCTACGCGGAAAGACCCACGCGTACCCCATCTCACGGAAAGTGTACGTTCCCGAATGCGCCAGAACTCCACGAAGAATATCGACCATGCCATGAGCAGCGTTGAGTAGATGGCGGAGTATGGCATGCGTAGGAGGTAGAATGCCGTTCCAAGAGCAGCGATGTATACTAGGGAGGTTGTGTAGGAAGAGAGGAAAGCGAAGTAAAGCGCGACTGCTTCACCAAACTAAATAAAAACATCATATTGGTTAGATGGGAACGTGAATATGCACGAGCCGAATAGTGTACAAACCTGATCCTTGATTTTATCCAGCTCATTTCTTCCAATCCCAAAGCCAATCTGTCGACGCGTCCAACTGCGTAACCATAAGTCATTAAACTCGCGGTCATGTAGTGCAAGCACGCTTTCCACACGTGGCCATTGCGGACTACCAGGGACAACTCCAAGTCCGCCATCATGAGGCGTCGAAGTGACAAATTCATAAACAATCCGCAGGCGATCCGCTGGTGAGAGCGTCGACGGGTCAGACAAAGTAGTCGCATCTTTCGTAAGGAGTTCCGAAGTCGGAAGTCCGCGCAGGAAGTCCGAATATCTGAAAGTGGTAGTGGATCATATGTATGTAAAACATCCGCGTCATAAGTACGCAAATTCTATTCTAAGACTAAGAAATGAATGGTCTGTACGTACCGTTCACGTTGAACAAGCTTCGCAAGTCTCGTCGCAGGCGACCAAACGAAGATAAGCAACTGTCCATTCTTCTGACCGCGTTTGCCGCTTGCTCTCAAACCGGCGTTACGAAGCGTTTCTAGTAATCGCGTGTATTCTGTCTCGGATGCTTGAGCATCTTCGCGTGTTTCTTGCTTTGATAAGGGCTTGTATGAGGAGTTTGTGTTTGAGGCGCGGAAGACGAGGATGAGGTCGACTTTAGGGGAGTTGGAGGGAGAGTGCGCCATTGTTGTCGTCTCGTCGGTGTTAGAGGTCAAGGTGCAAATTAGCGGAGATGCGAGACTGGAGAGCGCACGAGCTGAACACGACGGAGACTGATGTCACAGGCACGCATCTGTCCACTCACGCGCGTCGTGACGCATTCCATTTTCCATTTTTATTCCTCTCGTAATTTTAGGCCCTGCAACTGCAAAGTGTATGAATGCATCCTTATTTTGATTCCTTGGTTGTACAGAAGACAGGACGCAGTTAGCCTTATAGAAAGCTCTAATCAGTAAAGAAAGAAGTGTTTCGTACGTACGTTTTCACACCTTACTGCTGCGCATATCGACTACTTGATAAGAGTCATAAGACGGCTTCTTACTCTGATGCTCCAAATGCTCATATACCACGATAACGCAGTTCGTGTGTATCTTTAGCAGACTACTACGTATGTCGTAAGCCGAGCAAACTCCGCGGCCACTTACATTTAGCAAAGAGCAGTTTGTCGCGATAATATTTGGCCAGCTTCTTTCCGGGGTAAAGAAGCTAATAATCAACCCCTCGTATCCAAGCTCACACAACCTTCGTTGCCTCGAATCACTCTTCGTTCTGATTATCTTGAAGTCGAAACACACTGACGTACATGTGTACGCTTTGTACAGCTTGTAACGGACATTGAGCATTCACATTAGGACTTTACCCTTGATCATGTATGCAGGTATGATGTACTGATGCACGAGGTTGGAGGAAGGCATAAGAATGAATATCATACACTGGATTCTTTGTCTCATCACGACGCCCATACCTAGGAATAGGTATACGCTTCAATCCTCAGCGCATATACTCTATTCAGTATGAGTATTACAGCCACGACGGCGATGCACCTTTGCGGATTAACCCTCGGTGTTTGTAATTCGTTGAGCCTAACGATATGCTCAATATTCCATCCCTTCTTCTAGAAAATTTGGTGTTGGCTGCGGGAGGTGTTCCTTGCCCACCCAAAGGTCTGGACTCGGTTACAGTCCGAGGGCGTATTCTTGAATTCTTCTGTAAATATTGCATGTTCGCAAAGGCTGTCGAGATGAGCGCAAATTGTGGATACTCGGTGAGCGTGGCCGAGTTTCGCGGTGTGTGGCGCTGGTAACGATCACGTACATGTCAGTCTCTTTAGCGGAATGGGATCAAGTTCAGTCCGAGATGTATCCATCCAGAATTCAGTGTGTATCTTATCACGCCGTCTGCATATATGCTCTGGTGCTCTGATCTCGTCGGCCGGGATAATCGGTTGAAGAGTAAATATAATTCGTCGCAAGTACGTACATCGAGGCCATCTTGATTTCATATCGTTTTATTATTTTCTGATGTTACCTATCGCAGCCGTTAGATACGCTGCCAAGCCAGTAGCGAGCGGCCGTCAAGTATAGATGTTCGTAAACCCATTTGAACGGGATGTCAATCGATCAATTTGTGGCTGCTCGCGCTCGTGACCATGCAAGTGCTATACTTGTCATGTTGTATGAGCCGGAATAGCTGGCGGCGTGTCGGCGGAGGGGACAGGTTGCTAGGGCGTTGCAGATTCATTAGGGACGGCTAGAGAGAAGTTCGGATAAGCGCCGGACATTACGGAATTCCCGACCCGACAGATCGTCTTTGAGTTAGCTGTAATTGGGCGACTGGGGTGTGAGAGCAGAAGTGAATAGGAGAGTTGTTGAGAAAACAGGAGAGTGGATGGGAGTGGCTGGCTAGGCTAGTGTAATACGGTGGGATGCTCGGAGAGAGGCCCGAATGGAGAGAAGTTGTTGGAGCTGAAACGGATACAACACCCTCCCGTTGTCAGGATGCCCTGGCACGTGCTCGTGTCTCATTTCCCAAACAAAACACAGAATCATCACAGAAAGAAAATTCAGTGCAGGGACATATGCTGGGAAAATGATTGCAGCGGTGGCTCCCTGGATGGTCGATACCAGAGAACGGAGCAGCCTGATTTGATGATATTTTTTGGAAGACAAAGAAGACAGGAAGAGAGAAAGTGATTGCTCGGAGCGAGCAAGAGTCAGAAGCGCTCGGGTGACTGAATAACTTATTACATTACATACAACTCTACTTAGCTCGCCCCTCGTATTCACTCTCCCAACTGCCTCCGTCCGCGCCCTCTTTCCTCTCTCTCCTCCTCTCCCACTTCCCTCTCCCCCACCGTCTCCTACTGCTCGCGAAACGCGTCAACGCTTTCGCTTCGGCTCCTCATCCCCGCGTCCTGTACTTCTTCCAGGACCGTTCTCGACTCTCGACCTAGGAACCAGTGATCACGTTTCAAGTCATATCCCACCTCACTATCTAGCCTTTTACCATCGTACTAGGCTGGTGGTGAAGTTCATTAAGGGCGTCTGCATAGCTTCGTCGAGGGCGTCTAACAAAAATATTCAAAAGCAGAAGAGAAGGAGGACTGGAGTGTGGAAAATTATCACCGTTGCCGACGTTGCTCTGTCTTATTCTTATGTACGTGGTCTTTTTGCTACTGCATATCCCTTTATTTCCTCTCTCCCCTATCTCTTGGGAATCGCGCCCCACGGTCCGACTAGACGGAAGTGCGGCGCGCGTGCTACCCCGTAAACTGAGAATTGCTGTGCTGACTTGTTGTGTTCACTTTTATTTGCAATCCGTGCCACGACTTTGGCTTTGCTGCTGTTTTCTGCAAACAGGGTTTATTGATAACAATCCGCACATCCGTTTGTTTCTTGGTACTCGTCTTCCAGTCCGGTTCTGTGAAGGAGGGAATAACAAGAAGTGGAGGAATTTTTACTGAATTAAATTGTGTCGGACGAAGTACGTGTTTTGTTTTCTCATCTAAAGAAGTTCAACAACCATACTGAACCCACCATGTGTACGTGCAGCACGCGTAAGATATGGCATTCTTTGGGTCCAAATCTTACGAGCGTGAGCTGAAGCGCACGTACTCGACCGACCGCGTTCGACGAGAACGTGAAAATGCAACAAGTGCAATACGCACGCGTTCTATTTCTCATGGAGAAGCACATGAGCGCACGCAACGTACCGCGCTCGCGTCGCGTGTACGGACGCGCGCGGAACCGACTGTCGATGAATTTGGGGTCGTCCCTGGTGCCAAGGGCGGTGATAAGGAGGATCCGTCGTCATCGTCGTCGACCACGTTCTCGACGACGGCCAAGTCTGCTTCTCTTCCGCCTGGATCTGCTTCTCCGATAATCTCGGCTTCGCTATCTGTACCGCGCCATTCAAACGGCTCGGGCCCCTCTTCTTCAACAAGCTCGCTGCATAAGCAGCTCTCACCGCGGACAAGGACGGTGAGTGGTTCTGGTAGCAAGCACTCGTCACACTCCTCGAACCCGCCGCGACGACGAACACCGCAACCTGATGGCGATGGGGCTTCCTCGTCCGACGTAGTCATGAGCAACCGGTCCACCAGGTCCAGCAGCAGCAAGCGTGAAGAGGTGGGCGCGCGCGTCCATTCCTCTTCGGAGCTCAAGCCCGAGCATGCAGCGCCCAAGTCCAGATCAAAAACGTCCCTACGGGCACAAGCGGCGGCTGATAGCGCATCAACTAGAGACCGGACTCCAGTGGAATTACTTGATCACACTTCATCTCGTTTACCTCGGAATGTACGTCCGTCTGAGAATTCTGATTCTCAGACAGACTCGATGCGCCCGTCACCATCACCCACGAACGGTATCGGAACTTCAACACAAAATTACAAGCACTCTCCTGCTGCCTCGCAATCCGTGTCCTCGAATTCTTCATCACCGCTCTCAGCGTCATCTAAACCAAACATGCAGGCTCGACAGCGACCTTCGCCATCCCCTACATTCGGACCTGTGTCATCCTCTGCCTCCAATCGCGGAGATGCCTCTCTAGCCGTCTCATCCAATTTAAACTCAAATCCAAATCCTGTTACTAAGAAGCCTACATGTGGGAGTGCCTCTGATAGCTCATATGGCTCGCCCCTCGTCTCTGAGTTTGGCGCAACCTTTAACGTGAAGCGTCTTCTCTCAAAGCCAGCAGCTAGTGGGACCGGAACAACTGGCGTCCGCTCGGAACCAGATACAAGCGCAGACTCATACGATTCGTATGGAGCATACGCTTTAGCGACGAGAAGACGACGCGTCGAAGGCAGGAGTAACATAACGAAACCACCTTCCTCGGTCTACTCGGTGACGGAGGGGAGCGTGAGTTTACGTGACCATCCACGTAAACCGACGAGCTCAGATCCTGAACCACCGGGAAGTGGTATGGGAAGTCTTGGACGTGCAAGAGGTCTTGCGTGGGGACATGTGCTCAAGTCTGACCGAGAGAAAGAACGTGAACCTGAACGAGGAAGGGGACATGCACGCGAAAGTTCCTCATACTCACTGTCTTCGCCTTCGGAGGGTGCAGCTGGGTATCCGTACGGACGGGCTATTGAGCAGGAGCATGAACGTAGAGCGACTAAGGCTTCACGCCCACTGATTCAACTAACGACGAGCGCGGTGAGACGTCTTTCGGCGTTTGGTGTCCTCCAAGCGGACCGCGACAGGTCGAATTCACCTATAACACCAATGACATTCGCTCCTGCACCATCTGGTGGTGCTACTAGACTGTCTTCGACGCCTTCGCCGCTAAGTGCTGGCGGTGCGCACTTGCGTCGTTCACCTAACCAGTCGTCTCCATCACCAACATCCGCTTCGGCTGTAATGCCACGAACAGAGTCACCGAGGCCACCTGTAGGCTTAACTCCTGCAGAAATTGTTGCGCATCAATATAAGGAACAAGAACGGCGTCGTGCAGAGCTTGAGCGGGAGGCAGCACGGGAGACTGAGATTCCTGAAAAGGTTCATTCACTCGTGAATTTGAATGACCACGAACACGAGAAAGCGCAACGGACGATCCGTGTAAAGGACAAGGAGCAGGGAAAAGCTTTGTCCCGCTCACAAAGCGCGAATGCCGCTACTACTATCACGAAGTTGGACTCCCCGTCAAGTAATAAGGGCAATATCAGCCCTCTGGGTGAGCCGCCTACACCTTATTACACGGTTTTCGGCGATACGACTGGCCGTACAGTCGCGATTGGCTCTGCACGGGACAGCGCGTTCGGATTATTTGACCGTGTCCATGAGCGTGCGGCGACAGTAACTGAGAAAGCGGTCGTTTCTGAGTTGTCGTTGAAAGCGAGCACGGGAGGATCTTCAGGTGGAGCAGCTTCTGAAGTCGCAGTCACCGGGTTAAATGGAGAGGAGAATAAACAGGGACCGTCGCTCCTTAGACGTAAGCTCTCGCGTAAGATGTCTGGCAGGCTCAAACGAGATGGGAGTCTTGCCAGAGGTGGAGGTGGAGGACGGGATAGTGGCAAGGAGTCTAGTGATGGGAGAGATTGGAAAGAAGACTTCGGAGAGTTGCTTTCGGGTGGTGGTGAAGATTGGTTCAGCACGGAGGGTTATCTTCGTAGTCGGCCGAGTCTGACTCTGAATACGTCTTCATCACCTCCGGCGAGTAGACGTTCAGCAACGCTCCCGCGTGAAAGGAACGCCGCACAACATCAGCCGGTGAAGATGTCCATGGACAGTTTCGTCGCTGTACAGAGTATTGAGTCGAGCTCTGGTAAAGCGTTACCTTCGACTGCGAATGGTGTGGCACCAGCTTCTAGGGGTCGTGAAGATTGGAGGTCTCGTCCAAGAGATGACAAGGAGAAGGATAAGAACAAGTTATGGGGCCTTATGAAGCGCATCAGCTCAACGACGCTGAAAGATAAATACAAGCGCTCCTCGGCAGAGGTGATCCCGCCTGTTCCAGCCCTACCGCGGGATTTCTCGTCTCCCACGTCTCCAGACAAAGGGTCGGAGAAACTCCGTGACCGCGACTTGGAGAGAGTCAAGTCTGGTAATGATGACACGTATGCGAGTGCGAAGAAACTGAGCACACATCGGTCGTATGCGCAATTACGAAGACCGTCGACTGCACCTGCTTTGAATCTCGGGGAGACTAGTAGTGAAGGACGATTTACGACGTTGCGAAAGAAACCTTCCCTTGGACAAGTACTCGCGCAGGCCCAGACTCCTGGGACGTCCCCAACGCTGGGTACTGGGCCAAGTGCGACGACGGCGTACTCACCTACTTTTACTGCCTTAGACAACGCGTCGTATAACAATAAATCGGATGATTCACCGACGACGTCGTATGGAGATCCTACCCTTGTGAATGGGAAGCTTGAGCCTGTGCTTGGCCAACACATCCTACCACCGGAGGCGTTGTACTTGTTTGATGACTTCAACGTTGACTTTGAGAAGAAGGATGATGATACAAGGAGTAAGCAGGACATCCGAGATGCAAGGAGCACGATTGTAGATGCCTACGACGGCCTGTTCTACCGCGAAGAACCGGCCAGTCATCAAGCGCTACCTGTCCCGCCTCGCCGTGCACCTCAAACAAAGACAGACGACGGGGATGACATCCGTTCAGAGTCTCCTACCATTCCTTCGTTCTCTGCTGACAACGCTATTAATACGTTTGGTTATCGGAAGCGCGCAGGCACGAACACAGGCGCTAGTGTCTCTTCTGCGTTCACTGGTGCTGACTTTGGTCCGAGCGATGGGCCACCTGTTTCGAGGTCCACGTCTACGTCTACGTCCTCCTTGTCGCCGACGTCGGCTGTTAATAATAAGGCTTCTGAGCCGCCACCTCGGCCGCCTCGAAGTTCGCGCCGCGGACCACCTGGACCACCAAGTATTGTGAATTCCTCGAATTCATCGCATAGCTCGAATTCGCCGCCTTCCTCAGTCGCTCGGACGTTCTTTGAAGATCGTTCTGGTCGAGCATCAATCGGCGCGCTCAGCCAAGCATCAACAGCCCGTCCAAGCATGCTTCGCGCTGCTCCCTCCTCACCCTGTTCAACGCCCTCCCCACCACCCGAACTCCTAGATTCCCAATCACCAGTGTCAGCATCAGATTCCGCGTCGAGCACGATGACGTTCCGAGACATTAACGGCGTAGCTACGAAGCCTGTGTGGACTGAGAAGGAGAAGATTGACAAGTGGAATGACTTGTTGGATCGGAGTGATAGGGCTGGTGGGACTTTGCATATTGGTGTTGGGGGTTTGCTTTCGGAGCAGGTTAGGGAGAGTGCGTATGAGCCTGTGAGGGATTCGATTTATGATGATTATTGATGAGTTGATTGATTCGGCGGTTGACCGATTGATTTGAGAAATAATGGTGAAGGTCCTGGTGGGGTGTTTTTTTTGTACATATTGTACATATTGGACGACACCGCTGTCTGGGACGGAGGGTCTGCAATATTTTCTTACTTCTCTTTGTTCTTTTTTTTCTCTTTTCCTCAGTTTGAATTGTTCCCTGCTCTTACCGCTCTCTTTGTCATCCTGGCTTTCTCTCCATATATTCTCTCTTGTTTGTGCTATCTTTCGATTTCGATTTCGATTCGTTTCGCACATATTAAGCAATTGCCCGTTGCTGCAAACGCTCGTTCTTTCGCCTCTTTCTTTCGTCTTGCTATCGTCATCAACACTGTTTTTAGGTCCCAATGACTTGGCTTGACATCTGATTCGTTTCACTTATCCTCTCACTTTTTTTATACACTTAAATCCCATGCATACCCCCCTGCGTACATTGATTTTGGTCTCAATACATATTTTTTTTCTTTCACATTTACCTTCCTTCCTCTCCCTCTCCCTCCTCTCTCATCTTCTTTTTATTTTGCTTCACATTTGTATGATGAAATCGCCGTTTGCATCCTGCTCTTATCCTTACACCTACTTACACCCATAGGCACTCACTCACGCTCACGCTTTTCAGTGCTCTCCATCATCGCTCATTTCACTCACTCATTTTTTTGTTATTACCTTAGGCATATTGTAGACAGACACAGTTCTTGTTTTTATTTTAGATTACTTACTCCTCACTCTCCCCATCGTCTCTGAACAAGTTGTTCTGTAGTAATTAATGTTATATTCTTTTGCGTGTTTTTATCTTAAATTTTCTGACAGTTGAAAAGAATAACTAAATAAATAAAATAAATCCAGGCGAATGAATGTTAGTTCGGGAAGAGAGATGACTGAAAGTGGGGTTCTCAGCAGCAGAATCTCACGCGTCTGGACGGACCGCCGCTTGTGATGATGGGACAAATTAAATTAAATTAAGGACACGGCAGACTTGGATACTTACACGTACGACTATTATCTCACTCACTCACGGACATACGTGTCAGCGCTGTCCGAGTTCTCTAAAATTACTTCATCTCTCCCTCTACTGACTTGCCTCTCGCCCCTCGCTAAGTCTTATTATTACTTGACTTGAGTCTTCGCTATGGGTGTTGTACAGAGTTCTATTGGTGGAACTACCGAGGCTGCTGCGGTCGGAGCTGCGTTCCTTGCGGGTACGGCTACGGCGTATACGGTGTATAAACAACGTTTTGCAGCGTCCGCCACCACAGACAAGAGCACTAATGTCTCCGGAGAAAAGGCTACAGCTACCGCCTCTGGGACGAAGAAAAATAATTATAAATCGAAAAAAGGAGGGAATGCAGAGGACGCAGAGCTGGACGCGCTCCTTGCGCGTGCGAAGGCTGAGAAGGAGGAAGCGGCCCGGCGATTGGAGAGAGCTTCTTCGAAGGGAGTAATACCGGGGTCGTTTGAACTGGATGGGGTGGAGGTGTCGAGTGAGGTGGAGGGGAGGGAGAAGAAGGCGAGGAGGAAGGGGAAGAAGAAGGGCGCTTCTGCTGCTGCTCCCACTGCTACTGTTGGTGAAGGTAGCGGTGCGGTCTCCTCGACGAGAGGAGAGGGCGTTGACAAGGCGACAGCGCCTTCGAGCACGAGCAAGCTGGCTGACTCGCCAGTCCAGGCTAATGTTTCGGCACCAACAACAACAGAGTTAACTGCTGGCTCGTTGAAGCAGAAGAAACGCAAGGCTGCAAAGGCAGCGGATAACACTACTGCTATTCCATCCGGCTCGACGACAGCAGCACCGGCCAGCTCAAGTAACGTCAACAAACCAGCAGGAACCGCACCCTCGTTACAATCCTCCCAAGCCCTCGGTATGAGCGTAACAATGAGCGACGCGCCGGACGACGCGTCCTGGACACGCGTATCCACTCGCAAGAAAAATATCAATGACAATCAGACTCAGCAGGCTGTGCGACGTGAGACGTCCCAGACGGACCCGGAGCTGTTCACGAGTGATACGAATGTCACGACGAGCGGTGTGACGGATGAGAACACGGAAGAGGACGAGGCGCAGGAAGAGGAGGATGAGGGAAGTGTAAGGGAACCTGAACATCGAAGGACATTTGCGGAGAAGATGTTACCGAAGCCGAGAAAGACGGGGGTCGAAGAGTACGTATCTTTCTCGTTTTATTGTTATTACTATTGTCGTTACTATTATTATTGAACGACTAATGACATCTATCTTGTTGTATAGCATGGAAGACGAGCCATTACAACCGACTCTGTCGCGCGTTATGCGCATCACGCCTAAACCAGGGGAGAAACCTGCAAAGGGCTTCTCATGGGCCGACTACGAAGAGTACGCTGGTGCGGACGGCGGGACGAGTGCGGATGGCGACGAGGATGACGCTTGGGAGGAAGTCAAGAGCAAGAAGAGTGAGTCATGACATCTCAGCTCCTTCCAGCTTATGCTAAATCATGGTTCGTTTCTTTTCCAATAACAGAACTAGGCCGTTCCACCTCCGCACTAACATCCTCCGTCGACTCTCTCTCCCTTTCCCAACCTCAATCCCAAACCCAAGCACCAGCACCGGGCAAACAAACAAAACGCCAACGCCAAAACGCCAAACGGAAGGAATCAAAACAGCTCGAGAAACAAGCACAAGAACAAGAACAGCGCGACCGTCTCGCGAAACACCAACGTGAACTCGAGCGAGAACGTATTAAAGAACAATATGCGACTCCGGGAGGAGGGAGTGGGAAGAAGAATGTTAGTGGAGGTATGAAAGCGAGTGTTGAGGGTGGTAAACTCGTTTGGGATTAAAATTCAATTCGTTTTCGAACCGTTTTTGAATTTGATTTCTGGGTGGACAACTTCGTATCAAGTCCTGCATTGCTTTCCTGCTGATCTATCTTCGTATGTCCTAACATAACTAATCCTCCATCCGTTCCTTGTGTATTCTTACCATCATCCAATTCATCGTTTCATGCTGCACTGCACATAGACCAATCATATCCACCTCCCTAACAAGTCCCATTCATCCCATCACGTACCCTGTCTTTACTCAATGCGGATTTCCAATAGTCATTGTCCCTCCTCAAGTTGTTTCTTTGCTGTGCCAAATGTTATCCGAGATTGGATTGCTTCACTCTTTGCTCGTGCTCGTACATAAAATAAGATAGGGCTTTCCTGTTTACAAATATACATACTAGTACCCTATGTTCTGACATTGCTTGATACGGTCAAAAGAAACTTAGCATCCGTGCCTGAATGTATTGGATTGTGGCCCAACGTCATTTTTGCGCCGGGAATGGCAATTCTACAAAGTATACTATTCCTGACTCATTCTAAATGCTTAATAGCATACTTGATAGATTTGAAGGGGGCCCATAAGTTCAACGAATAACGAGTATATACAAAAAGAAAACAGGCAGAACTAAAAAAAAATCATAATTTGTAGAGAAGGTATACATGTGTATCATCACATCATCCACCATTACCGCCACTATCATCCTCTACCCTCCCTCCCTCCCTCCCTCCTTCCTCGGCGTACCGTACCTTCATCCTTTTACGAATCCAAGTACATCTCCATCTTCAAATTACTTTCACGAAGTAATCGAACTAACAAAGAGACGACGCGTGTTTGTCTGAAGATTACTACCATACCATTGCCAAACCAGAACCAAACCAGAATTAAGCCAGTTAAGCAGTCTGAACAGCAGGCGCAGCAGTTGCACTAGGTGAACGCGGTTCACCCATACCCATACCAGCGAACTGACCGTGCATCTGCGTGTATTGAGTATTCATGTCGTAACCCGTGTGCACGTGCGGGTTCGCGTTCGTATTCGGGTTTGCATTTGCTAGTTGGGCAGGTTGGACGCCAGCAGGTGGTGAAGACGCAGTCATCGTCGCGTTTACAGGAGGATCAGGATATGGATTCGGTGGGTACACTTGTTGAACTGCTGGTGGTGCACCTGCACTAGGCGAGCTAGGTTGCGGTTGTGGAGCACCGTAGAACGATCCGCCTGCCCCACTATGAGGTGCGTTCGCAAGAGTTGGCGAGCCGCCGGGGGCCGGCTGAGAAGGATACTGTTGCTGCTGCTGCGGAGCACCACCACTACCAATGGCTTGAGGTTGCTGCGCGTGTCCTTGTGCCGAGCCCAATGACACTGCACTACCGTTTTGTTGACCAGGTTGTGCTTGGTAGCCCGGCGATTGACCAGGGTAAGCTTGATAGAACGAAGTCCTCTCAGCAGTTGGCGAACCATGCGGTGGTTGCTGCTGTTGCTGCTGTTGTACATGTTGAGCGTCGACAGAACCTCCTCCTAGCGAACCCTGGCGCTCAGGCCGTTGTACTTGTCCGTGCGTCTGAGTCTGTGCAGGTGGAGTTTGCTGAGGCTGGTTGTCCGTAATACCGGGAACGGAGATAAAGTAAACGGCTCCCGTCAGATCGTCCCCACCAGCTGCGTAATACTGTGCCCAAGCTTGTGCATTCGGATCGGGATAAGTCGCGTTTGGATCGAATACATATGGCGGTCCTTGCGTGATCACATTCGGCTGTCCCTGCACCTGAGACGGAGGCTGGGCTTGAGCCTGAGCCTGAGGAGTCGCAGTAGGTTCCTGGTAACCATTCTGCTGTGCTTGTGGTTGAGCAGTTGTCTGAGCCGGAGGACCTTGTACTTGCTGTAATTGAGCTTGAGGCTGCTGTGTTTGCACCTGAGGCTGAGACGGCTGCTGGCCATACGGCTGGGGAGCGCCTTGAGCCTGAGGTTGGCTACCGGGTTGCGACTGGCCCACTGAAGGTGATTGGTAAGAGCTATAAGAAGATGCAGCACTATCTGGTGGAGCTTGAGAGGTGCTGTAAGGTCCGGCTGCCTGCTGCGGTGGGAATTGACCATACGAGGGACGCTGTCCAGGATATCCAGGAGCCGCATATGGCTGCGGTCCCGCAGTTGGTGTAGCGGCATTGTAAGCAGCATTTGGTTGTGGGAACCCGGGATAATTTTGGCCGTATGGTGGACCATAGCCAGGTGATTGAACCGGTTGGTAGGGCGGACGTCCATCATACACTACAGGGATGTCAGCTTATGTATTTGACGAACAATTGTATTGACAACTGACGGGCACTATGACGCGCCAAGCTTTCTTCCATCATCCGATCAAACATTGTCCGCGCCTTGACAAATGTTTCGTTCATAGAAACAAGTTCCGCTGGGAACATTTCTACCATCAGCCATATGTCAGTGAATCATCGCGGATTCGCTTACCTCGCTTCTGACTGTATTTGTCAATTAGTTTGACTATCTTCGGACGCAAACTCATGCTCGTGCGGTACAATTCCTGGGGATCACAAAATGATTCATTAAACGCCTAGTCTAAAACCGTAATGGATTTCTCACCTGAATCTCTTCGTTGTCTGCGAGGCTGTCTCTCGCTGGATCTAGTCCTCGAAGCATGTTTAGTAGTTTGTCGATGTTAGCGGCTTGCGCGAAAATGGCTGCTTCCTGCTCTGCTTCTTTTGCAATCTCTTCTGGCGTTGGATCGGGAAGAAGTTCCTACCAGGAAAAAAGTGAATGATAAAGTAGTAAAAATGATGCGACATAGGCGTTGCTTACCACATAGTTTACCGGGAAAATGCCTGTTCGACCCTTCAGCTGTCCCCTCCACCAATCTTTATAATTACGATCAACAACTTTGATGATGTCGCCTTTCTCGAAAGTTAGTTCCCCTTGCTCTGTCCCCTCAAAGGTATGCAAGGCTCGAACACGAGAGACTGAAGTAATGGGTAAAGACGTCTGGGACGATGACATTATTTGCGACGGAGCATATGACGCAGCCGCGTAACTGGGAAGAGCCGTTACAGGGCTAGCAGCAACGGGAGATTGTGGCTTAGGCGAAGGGGTACGAGCAGGGACGTAGCCGCTTGTAGATTTCGCATAACCGTAGTCCGTGCTACTGTAACGAGATGAAGTGCCAGCAGCGGGTATATGCTCCGTCGACCGGCTCGGCCCTGCAGTAAAAGACGAGCTTGAAGGACCCGCAGAGCTTGACGGACCGGCATTATTGTAGGGGTCCCAAGCACCGCGGCCACCTTTATCATGGACAGACATTTCCAGAACACGCTGAAGTTCTTCCTCTTCTCGGCGTCGGATCTCGTCGTCCACTTGTGGTGGAGGCGGCTCAGCCGGCTCCTCAAATTTGTAACCTGTCTCAATGCGATGACTACAGGCATCAGATATCAAATTGAGGGTGGACGCGTACCCTTACTCTTCAAGTTCTCGAAGCACTCTTCCATTATCCCAAGCTGAGGGTCGTTCTCAAAATCGGTCGTCCACATAGCTATGAGTGACAGAGCTTTTCGTTTGACCTTGTCATGGCTAGTCTGTTGAGAAGATTTGAGATGACTGAACGATCAGCGTATTGAGCACAGCGTACCCTGTCGGTGATGAGCCGTTCCAACCCTTGTGTGAACGAACGCGACGCAATCTCGCGGTTGACCTGCTCCCCGCAGTTTTTCGACAACGCTTCTGCTAAGGCGAGTGCATAAAGTTGGACATTGGGATTACGGTGTGCAAGTCTTTTGAGGACTGCGGCGACGACGTTACGCGCTCTGGCCGTGGGCGATATGAAGCTAAGCTAAGATTATTCAGAAACAATAAAAGATATGCGCGTACCCTGCTTCTCCCTCGTCTTGAACTTTATCGCAGAGATTGAGGATGAGCTCCCAGTTCTCGCTTGTAAGGTTCTCGTCAGTCGTCTTCGCTGTATACACACCAGCCCCGATGAGCCCGGGAAAAATACGTCGAATATGCATAGCTATACGCACCGACAATGTCGTCATAAGAATTGTTTGCGCCTGCTCTGAACATGACGGGCCGAGCGTAATTTTGCAGAGACGGGACGCGTGCTGGGGGAGAAGGGCAGAACAAGATGAGTGAGTGACGGCGGTTGGATGAGAGTCATCAAGGCTGTGCGGAGTTAGCCGAGCAGCTTTTGGCGTCTGGCATACATCCACTAGTCTCTCCCAGCATCTCTTTCCTATCTTTCCATCTTTTTCGTCAAATTTCAATGGCAAAAGGCTCGTATTTCCTTCATTTTATATACCTCAGATACTACTTGTTGATGCTACGATTAATATTCCCAGTCCCTCGCAACTTTCGTCTCCTCGAGGAGCTTGAGAAAGGAGAGAAAGGCATCGGCGACGGCTCGTGTTCCTACGGTCTCGAGGATGGCGACGATATCCTCATGAGCAATTGGACCGGCACCATCATCGGTCCTGGTCATGTGTGTATCCCAATTCATTAAACATCGTTAGCGATCTGGAGCTGATCAATTAAACACACATATCTATTTAGACAATCCACGAGAATCGCATCTATAGCTTAAAGATCACTTGTGGCGAGGATTATCCTGAAATGCCACCCAGTGTCCGCTTTCTTTCGAGAGTCAATCTACCCTTTGTCAACCAGACGAATGGCACCGTGAATGCCAATGAACTGCCTGTCCTACGAGATTGGAACAGGAACAAGAGTATCGAAACAGTACTCGTAGAAATACGAAGGTGCGTAGTTCTTTGCATTCATTCAAATATGACTAAAACTCATTCGCCACTTATTTCTCGATCTTTAGGGAGATGGCAAGCTATAACAACAGAAAGCTTCCCCAACCTCCCGAAGGCTCGTTTTTCGGCGCTTAATTTTTGGAACTTGGTAGAAAGATCGCACACTGAATTCTTTCTTTGTCTGAGCAACATTTGTGCTAATAGTAACTCATTGTCATCCTCAATGTACTGAACTCTGAATGAATATCTACTCATGTGAAATCTGACGTCGCGATCATCGCGATTGTTCAGAACACCTAAAGCAGATTGTACCGAACTACAGAATCCGAGTCGGAAGACGGACCTGTTGTCCCTTGATGTTGGGTTGTCGGGCGGAAGTGAGGTCCGAAAAGGCCCAAGCAATGCGCAGACACTGAGACTGGAATAAGATCTAGAATGATTCTGTTGGAAATGAGAGGCGTGGTATGTTAGAATGGCGTGCTAGTGATTACTCCGGATGAGAAGGTTGTACGCACAAGTAGTACACGAGCAGCTCCTCTACACCCTGCACCCTAGGCATCCTAGCTGACATTCATCGCCATACTATCGGATCTCTTCCCTTCTCGTCCAAGTCCTGCCGCTCTTTCCGACTCTTCAATCGTATAAGCAGGCTCTTTCAGCTGTTTACACCTCCTCTTATGTACTTTGCTTCTCCAATGTGCTCGCAGCGCAACGTCTGATTCGAAATACCTACGATAAGAGGTTTTGAGCACATTAGCTTCGTGTAGCGAATAGGAGAAAACGAAAGAGAAACAGAGAGGAGGAAACACACCGTGCGCATTCAACACAATAATGTTGTGCAAGACCTGGTCTATCAAAGTCAAGTGGCTGGCTTTCGAGTGCAGCCCGATTCTAGTATCGTTTTCATCAGTTGTCTTCCAAGTCGCATTGCAAAAGTATAAGTTACTTTTGGGTCCAAATCTATGAGCTGGATTTGATCTAGGTCTTTCGCTCTTGCCTGTACATCCACGGTGAATTGCATGTCAGTCTCGTCAGAATATTTGATTGCGACAAGGAAATATGCGAAGACGTTGCTTACCCGTGTCCGTGAAGCCCTATGTACATCCCTTCGTGCATGATGTGTTCTTGACCTCCTTACTCTGCCCATATTCTACAAAGCCGTATTTTCGGATTTTGAAGCAGTGGAACAGAATCAACAGATGGTATTTACTGTGAAGGTTGACCGAAATTCGCATACCCAGAATTCAAGACATGAAATTTGCGTCGATCATACTTGATGCTTGGACCACGTGCACTTCCCTGCCCACTTTCAATCCCAGAATCAAATGCAAGTAGTGTATTATATATGATGCTATTAGGTACAGAAAGTGTATAGTTTGACGAATAAGTAGTGAGGGTATGGGAAAAAAAATATGACATAGGTGTAGATCCACGGGCGCTAGCAGAGAGGTATTGTGTAAATGTGCGTGCGTGCAATAATACCGAAACTCCTTCTGTGGAATCAATCTCTACACTACAACGGAGGAAGTGGTCGACGGCACTGAGGACATATGTTCTGAAATGGTCATTAGTAACATGATGGCAGTTTTTAAGACGTTGTCACCTTGATAGCCAACCACTGAAAAAAAATATCAGGTCAGAACCGGTCTTAGAAGAAAATATGGTTCACGTACCCGTTCTAGACATGCTGTATGCTGCACGAACACATCAGAAGGTCATAGGATGCGACAGTCAAAGAACGTACGAATAAATGATGACAAGGAGCAAGTGCATAGCTCCGTCTAGCCCCACTACCTCCAAGCCCAACACTAACACCATTATTCCGCCCAGTGGCAACTTCAATCCTATCCAAAATACCTCGCATCCCTCGTTCTCGCTCCTTTTCCCTTTCTCTCTCTTTTACGCTACTACTTCTCCTGTGACCGGAGGCTGCCTTCTCGGATAACGATCGTCGGCGTGATTGTGCTCCCGGCGATACGATTATAGCCTCCATACAAATAGCACAGTCGCCGAGTGATGGTTCGGGTGCTTCTTCATCTGGGAGAGGGATGTAAGGGTGGTAGTCGTATTGTATAATCGGTGTGTACTGTATAGCATAATATCGTTAGTGTAGGGAATCGAGACAAAAAAAAAGCAACCCACAGTCCGCGGGAGGAAAAATCCGGGTCCGAGATAATCTTGAAGCATGACTATGATAACTTGGAAAAACATGAACCCCACCAAAGCAAAAATCCAAGCTAAAAAGAATAGTTGTGAGACAAGGAAGCAATTGTCAGCGCTGACGTACGAGATGTATCAATCCCCAAGACATTCTTCGGGCATGCAAATAGGTCTAAAATAAATATTATGAGTAACGTACGTCAAACCTTGGAGGGATAAGACTTACATAATGCAAAGTATGCTCTGCATGCCGTTGTCCCAATAAGATATCCGGGTCGCAATCCAGAGGTCGTTCCACGACGTGCCGAGCGTACTATTTGAGGAATCCAGAAGTTACTATAAATTCCAGCAATAGTGAATAGCGCGAGCGATGGAGAAACAAGCACGCGGACGAAGAGTGCAAGAGCTAGGAACATTGACAACCCTGTCGGACGGTCAACTCGCGGTATCGGGTAGGAAAAATGCTGCATGATACGTACAGAAACGCGCTTGAGGACTTTCTCTTAGCCTTCTCCAGACAGTAGCTAAGAATCCTCTAGTAGTGGCCAGAGCTGGAGGTGTAGTCACGAGTGCTGGTCGATTAGTCTGCTGGACTAAAGGAGAAGCGGAGGGTTCATTGGGAGGAGTAGTTGTTAAGGAAGACATCGGTGATGTGCTTGACGGCGCAGGTTGCTCCATTAGAGGTGTAACAGTGGCAGTTGGTGGAGGCTGGGTCGGTGTGTTATCCTCGGGTTGCTGGATCTGATGTATAAGGACCGAGAATTGCTACAAGAAATAAGTGAGTAACAAATCAAAGCGTGAGCGATTGAACGAACAGCTTCATAGGCCAACAATACTGCTGCAAGGAAAGCTGGTGCGATGAGCGAGAGTGATGGTCTACCGTCCGCAAAGATTCCGAACGTAATGTGCTGAAAGGTTTCAGTGATGAATGAAATAATATAGAACGTATGCATACTAACTCCAACAAATGAGATAGAATCCGCAGCTGCTTGCGTGAGGAATGCCCATCGCGAAACACGGGAGATACCCGACGGGGTCTGGCTTACCTCCGTCTGCTTCACAAAGAGCAAAAGCAGAGCGAGATAAACCAAAGCAGCCAACGCAGAGTCTGTCGAAAGTGTCAGAAGCAGTAAATCAGGGGATGATCACCACTGTACATGTTGTGGCCTTCCGCCAGAAGCGCTGAGATTTCAAGCCCTCTGCAGATCGCATCTCGAGCAAGATACCACATTTTTTGCTCATCATTACTGCATTCATCCTTAGCTCAGGTCTTGACACAGTTGTGATGCCAGTGGGGTTCTCCATCTCGTCTTCAAGCTCCTGCATCGAGGCTTTTGCCACAGCCGTTGGAATGAGCTGCGCATAAATTATGAATGGGCAGGTCGTTTTCGGCGCATCCTCTAAGGTATACATGAGATACTCCACAAGACCGTGAACAAAAAGAACGGACCAGACGTTTGAGTCTCGATTTCAATGTTACCGGAATCAATCATGTCCTGCAGTCGCTGAATACGAGCAAGTAACTCAGCATTTACCGCTTGAGCGGTCGCGTTCAAAAACTCAGCGGGAACGAGATAAGGGATTTCCCGTACGTCGACGTGTCGGCTGAACAGGTAAGCCGGTTTATCTATTAAGAAAATAGAGTCAAAGGTGACACAAGCACGTACCCTGATGGTTCCGCAAGTCCGTAAATCGTTCCATTTTCAGTGAAGTGAACGGCTTCTAAATCAAAACCGATTTCATCTCCAGTCTTACGATCGGAAAGCTCTACTCTCCCGTGCATCAAGCTTATATCCGACCAGACCGATTCATTCATCCTTTGAACATCACCTTTCCCGCCCAATCGAAGAACTGGCCGCTTCTCAATCACACGAAACGCCATTTCCATTGGCGCGCTCCAGTTCCATGTGCCAGCGAGTTCGAGCGCCTCCGTCATGTTAATGTCTTTTGTAAATGCAGAGGCGAGGTCTACCCAGGGGGGCGGAATGGATTCTTCCAGCACCTGAGGATCCGAAGAATAAGAGTTACCAGGAGGCACAGAGGACGTTGAGAGATTCGCAGTTAGATTATGCATTTCAATAGGTCCGTGCACGAGTCCAGTAATGTTCGAGTAGTAAGACGCCGAAGCAGGATGCAAAGGCACACCGAAACTCATCACGGAACGCGCAAGCTGTACACTGGTTTCATCCGTCTCTGGCTGGATAATGTTACATTTAGCAACCACAAATAACTTCCGGCCTGAACGAAATGCCACACTCACGAGTGTAAAGTTGATTGCTGCTGAATCATTCACTGCAACATTGCCTCCTGACCAAAGCCATGCACTGAAATTCGATTGCTGGAAACGTAGGTTCTTCAAGCTTTCCCGGTATTGGCTTCGCACGACGAGGTCTTCCTAATAGACAGATATTTAGTAGATTGTCGTTATTAAGGAATAATTTCCATACTCCACCATTATTCGTAAGCATGAAGAGCATAACTGTCATGAACAGGAACGAGGACATGCCTCCCCGCCCACTTTGGGCACCAAGTCCTGGGTTGTCCAGTGAGTCAATCTCTTGATCATCCTCGTCATCCCGTCTGCCTGGAGTAGTAGCATTGCTAGAACGGGCCTCGGTATTTTCTGGAACCGTGTCTTGAGGGTCAGGCATTGGCTTAAAGAACAGGACACGAGTCGTTCGTCATGTAGGAATCGGTCGTCTCAAGGTGTCCATTTAGACTCCGCGATCGACGGAACGCGTCGTTTTGTATCAGATACCATTTAGGGAAGAGCCTAGCTTTCTATCTCTAACCGTAGTTAATCTTTCTCAAAGGTCACTTCGTAAGCACTCTTGGCAACCTGTGATCGTCTCATAGTCTGCAGCTCGACAAATCATAGCGAGCTGTGTCTCAATATTCTTCAAGGAAATACATTTTACAATATCTGTACAATACTCGGTGATATATTCCGAACCCTCACTGCCCGTAAATTTCAACAAGGACATCTATGGCTTTACGTGGTTTCCAATCAGGGAATTCATTGTTGTCCAGCTCCTCTGGCCTCCTAGCGACAACTCCACTTCCTTTATCCCAGTCCAGCAGGAGTGCAGAGACATAATCCTTGGGATCATTTGCGATAGCATTCTCCAGCTCCGAGCGCGGACGGTAGGAGACCGTCACATTCTTGCCTGTACGTGCTTTCCAGGCGTCAGCGATCTGGTTATAGTTCTGAACATTCAAGGCGAGATCAGTGCCACTGCCTGACTTGAAGCTGAACAAGGTCTGCTTACAGCTCTATCACCTTCAATGCGGAAGTGATGGCCCTCGATCTTATCCTTCGGGAGCGCGGTGAGCGCGTGTGCAACGAACCTAGCGACATCGCGCAGGGAAGTCCAGGATATGTCGGCCGTGCCAGAGCCAGGAATCACTATCTTTCCATTGACGAAATCAAATCCGATCGCCTCAGAAAACCCCCTACTCAGTATTAGCAGCTCAAATGAACATCCGAATTGTCACAACTCACTTCTGGAATACGTAATCCATCCACGGGCCATTGTAGAACGCAGCATAGGGTATCTTGATCTCATCCCTAAGCTTCTTCTTCAACGCGTCCTTCTGACCCCAAATCGATTCGGTAACTCCATCCGTTGGGTTCCCGAATTCCGAGGGCACAAAGAGCTTTACTCCAGCTGCCTTGGCACCAATTGCGAGACCTTCCTGGACATCAACAACGACAAGCGTTGAAACGACGACATCAATGCCGGAAAGAGCAGACTGGATTGATGATTGGGAACTATAGTCAACAACGACGCGCTTAGCGCCCTTTTCGACCAGATCGTTGTGTTCGTCTGACTATCAGTGATGTCAGTAAATCTACCGAATGGAATACATACAGATTCGACTTACTTTGCGTGTCAAGAAAGCGACAGAAGAGACCACCCCGTTAGTCTTCTTTTTAAGGAGCTCTTCAACTACAAGTTTGCCTATATGTCCTGCTCCTGCAACAGCAAATGTCTTATATCCAGACATCTCGGGTTAGAGAAAACTTGTGCAAGATAAGCTTGTAGGGACAAGTTAAAGGGTTGACTAGTGCGTTGGTGCAGGAGCAACTCCCTTGTTTCCGGGGTATTTATATTCTCGAAATACACGATCGGCAGCGAAATGGCGCAAGACCGCATAACAACAGCTTGCTTCGTTCTATAGGGTACACAATACCTGGATAAGTTCGCGTGATACATGATTACAGAAGCAGCCTGCACACTCACCGAGTCGGACGCCCAGTTTTGTGCATGGGTTATCTACTTTGTAAGCACACACATAGCTTGTAAAATGCTCTAGCCCATTATTGACATGTGGGGCTGACATAACTTGCAGGCCGGCCTCCAAGGCAAGCACACATATGTAATCCCAATGCGTCGGCGCTCTGAGTCCGAGCCATCCTAGTATTAACTGCTTTGAAAAAGTTAGGCTCTGCGATCGACAGTGATGCACCTATTCATTTCAACATTTGTTTCCATAAGAGGGCAATCATTACAATCACAGTTAATTCACCTGTACATGAAAGAAATTGCTTGTACGTATTTGCGTTAGAACAAGCATCTGAAACTTCTGGAGGTAGATTGCTGTTCAGTTACTTCCAAGATCCACTCCAAGTACACGTTCTTGCAAATAGTAAATTGCACCCTAACAGCACCTCAGCTATGTGTCAGCCAACACTAATGGTTTGATTGAGAGTTTGCTTGAGATCTTCATCATACAAATTGAAGAGAGAAAGAGCTGTGGGAGAAATAGCTAAAGCTGTGTCTGACTATTTCTACAGCACTGTGAGCAGATGACAGCAGAATCTAGTATGCATAAGAATGAGGCAAGGCAGAAGAAGGGTACAACCACAGTAAATCTGTGACCAATTCCTGTTACGGTTGTCCAGATCAAGAGTTGTTCTATTTTTAGTCCTATAATCACATGATATGTCAAATTTTAGTGCCTCTTATTCATAATTATGCTTTTCGTCTGTCAAATCCAAAAGCACAACTGTCTGAGGCTGAACTAGTTACAGTGTACTACATCTTGATTTTCTTTGGGACTTATAACATATATGATACACGGAGATGTATACTAAAGTAATCAAATACTACTTCCCGTAAATGTCGACAAGAACATCGATGACCTTCCGAGGTTTCCAATCCGGGAATTCGTTATTGTCCAGCTCCTCCGGCTTCTTAGCAACAACGCCATTTCCTTTATCCCACTCCAAGATGAGGATAGGGATCCAGTTCTTCGGGTCCTTCGCTACATCATTTTCCAGCTCCGAGCGTGGACGATAAGAGACTGTAACATTATTTCCCGTACGTGCCTTCCATGCGTCAATGATCTGGTTAAAACTCTGAGGATTCCAAGAGAAAGATTGTTTTAGTATCTCGACTTAAAGCTGAATAGTGTTTTCTTACAGCTCTTTCTCCTTCAATGCAGAAGTGGCGGCCCTCGATCTTTACCTTTGGAAGTGCAGTGAGTACGTGTGCGACAAACCTAGCAACATCAGGGATAGTGGTCCAGGTTATATCAGCTAAGCCAGATCCAGGGACTACCATCTTTCCGTTGACAAAATCAAACCCGGATGCCACAGCGAAATCCCTGTCTCATCTTATTAATGCTATCCCGGATCCGAACGACCAAGTCTTACCTCTGAAACATATAATCCGCCCATGGGCCGTTGTAGAATACGGCATAGGGTAAATTCATTTCATCCTCGAGTTTTTTCTTCAACGCAGCTTTCTGACCCCATATCAATTCGGTGGGTCCATCAATTGGGTTTCCAAATTCGGAGGGTACGAAGAGCTTCACTCCAGCTTCCTTGGCACCGATTGCAAGACCTTCCTGTACATCAGCAACTACAAGCGTCGAAATAACGACATCAATGCCAGAAAGAGCGGACTGGATCGACGATTGGGAACTATAGTCAACAACAACGCGTTTGGCGCCCTTCTCGACCAGATCGTTGTGTTCGTCTGACTATCAGTGATGTCAGTAAATCTACCGAATGGAATACATACAGATTCGACTTACTTTGCGTGTCAAGAAAGCGACAGAAGAGACCACCCCGTTAGTCTTCTTCTTAAGAAGCTCCTCAACTACGAGTTTGCCTAGGTTTCCCGCTCCTGCAACAGCAAATGTCTTATATCCAGACATCTCGGTTTGATGAAAACTGGTGCAAGATAAGCTCGAAGGTGGAAGCTAAAGGGTCGACTTTGTGGGTTTGATACGGGAAGACTTTCATCGTGTCTAAGGTATTTGTCGTCGCAAAGAATATGTCGGCAACGGGGTGACGCAAGATCTTGTAAAATTAGTGCACAACGGCTTGATTCGTAGCTGTATTCATTCGCATAATACCTGGATAGGTAATCCGTGATCACCAAAAGCAGCCTGTACACCGATCGAAACGGACGACTCATTCTGTTCATCGAAAATCTCGTTTGTAAGCTTATGCATATGTTTCTGTGCATTTCGCATTGTTGTTGAGATGAACAGCTGACGCAACTCGAAAGCCGGTCTCCACAACAGACATATACATGTAATCCAATGCACTACGGTGCTCCAAGCCTGAGTGTTCCAAAAAAAAATCTAGGTTCTGTGATTGCTAGAGAATGCAATTACTAGTATTTTATACTGTATGGATGAAATAAATGAATTTCTCTAAGGAACAAAAAAAGTGTATAGAGTAATAATGATTATTATTCAATAAATACCACATAAACATGCTTAACATCTTGTACACTTCCAATTGTTTGCAGCTGACTCAACCACACTATGCACCTTAATATTTCTCAGGGACTCACAATACATGAAGATATATGACCACTACTTAGTTGTTGTAAATGCTAACAAGAACGTCTATGACCTTCCAAGGTTTACAATCAGGGGAATTCGTCATTGTCAAGCTCCTCAGGCTTCCCAGACACACAATATCCTTTATCCCACCCCAACAAGAGGGCAGAGATTAGTAGATCCTTCAGGTTCTTCACTATAGCATCCTCTAGCTCCGAGTGCAGACGACAGGAGACTGTCACGTTCTTTCCCGTACGTGCTTTCCAAGCATCAACTATCTGGTTATAGCTCTGCAGATTCCAAAATAAAGGTGAGTATATTAGCAGGCTCGAATCTGGATAGGATTTGCTCACGGCTCTATCTCCTTCAACACGGAAGTGGTGGCCCTCGATCTTATCCTTCTGGAGTGCGGTGAGTACGTGTGCGACGAACCTAGTAGCGACATCACGTCTGGTGGTCCAGGATATGTCGGCCGTACCAGAGCCAGGAATCACCATCTTTCCATTTGAAAAGTCAAGCCCGGCCAATTCAGCAAAACGCCTGTCCGGTATTAGCAATGCTAGTCAACATTTGGACTACAGCAGCTTGCCTATGAATACATGATCCGACCACGGGCCATTGTAGAACGCGGCATAGGGCAACTTGATTTCGTCTCTAAGTTTCTTTTTCAGCACTTCTTTCTCTCCCCAAATTGATTCGGTAGATCTATCTATTGGATTTCCGAAATCAGAGGGCACGAAGAGCTTGACTCCAGCTGCCTTGGCGCCAATTGCGAGACCTTCCTGGGTGTCGATGGCGGGAAGTATTGAAATAACGACATCAATGCCAGAAAGAGCGGATTGGATTGATGATTGGGAATGATAGTCAACAACGACACGCTCGTCGCCCTTAGTAACTAGGTCGTCGTGTTCGTTTGACCATGAAGATATTAATAAATCTACAGAGTTTCATTTGTATGGATTCGATCCATCTTGTGCGTCAAGAAAGCAACAGAAGGTACTACCCCGTTAGTCCTCTTCTTAAAGAGCTCTTCAACTACAAGTTTGTCTATATGCCCTGCTCCTGCAACAGCAAATGACTGATATCCAGACATCTCGGATTAAAGAATACTTGTGCAAGCTTGAAGAGACGAGCTAAAGAGTTGACCTGTGAGCTGATGCAGGAGTAGCTCGCTTCCCTTCAGACTGTTTATCTTGCAAAGTTCATTGTTGGCAGCGCGGTGAAGCAAGACTCTATAAAACTAAAGCGCAATGGCTAGTTTTGTTGTATTGAGCACACAAAACATTATTATCAAAGCAGCTTATACACTCACTGAATTGGAAGGACAGCATCTATTCTCACCTTTGTAAGTATGCACATATGTTTTTGATGCACTCAAGGCTTTGTTTGTTGATATGCATATGATGAGCTGACACAAGTTGAGACCTGGTCTCTCAGACAGACCTGCTCAAAATTTAAACTCCGTGAACGACACAACGCGTCTCTAAGTTAGTTAAATTAGTAGCACTTTCCATATTAGGGCATAAATTATAAAATTAATAATCATTTGTGTTTTGATCTGAAAGGCATGATGATATTCATGAAGGAACGAAGGTAAAGTGTGAAGGTTGGACATGCCGAAAAGGACAGCTTGACGAGCTTACTATTAAGATACTTTGGCGACAACGTAAAAGATAGGATCAAGTCGTGAAGGTCGACATTCCGATACGAATGAGCATTTTTTTAAAAGTTACAAGACAGATGAGAAATCACGTATCACTATCCAAATACTCTAAACCCGCCCCTTACAGCATTTTCTACGTTGACGTCCATCGTTCCCTGGTCCTCTTCATGTACTTCAGTATCAGGAAAGCCCTTCCCCAGCAACGACGCAAACAGCTCGTCAATCTGTTCTTCGTGCCAAACAGCACCACCAGGCGGAGGAGCGGGAGCCATAAAGTTCTGTAACTTCTCATGAACTTCGTATCGTAGCTTTCGACCTTTGCTTGCACGTGTGTCAACAGTGCTACGGCGTGTCTTTTTACGTTGTTGCTGCGATGCCCGCCAATCCGCTGAAAGATCACCTAGACCAGATTCCGCCCCGGACCGTGCATCGATTACGTCCCGGAGTAATGTCTGGTAGAAGTCCGTGTCGTCGAAAACATCCGTCATTGTATTATCAGGAGGAGCGTCTGAAATTTCCGAATGTCGAACGCTGGGCAGTCGATTCTCCGATCCACGCCAATTCCGTGTTCTTTCAAGTAGTTTATCGCGCTCTAGTAGCGCCTCATCTACGAGCTGGACAGCCCCCTTCATTTGACTTGAGTTTTTGCTCGAGAATTTCGTACGATTTGAGGGGAGAAGGGTTGCAGGAGCAATTGCCAGAACCTTGTTTGACCATTTTTGTAGCGTCGAGAGCAGACGAGGGTGAAAGCTAACGTCCACAGAAATGATTCGGGTTAGGAGACAGATGATGAGAAATATTGAACGTGATCCGCCTTACGTTGCCTCTAGTTCTGCGAAGTGTGCACTACTTTCCTGTAATTCCTCTTCCCAATCACGGTCCCCTTCAGCAATTTGGTCCACTTTTCGACGTTTTCGAGCTGGGGCGGTGACGGTTTCATTAGTAGTCATAAGTTTCTAAGGAGGATGTTGGTTATCTTTCTGTATGCATTGGCTTCAAGTAATGCGTTTTGTTGCTCACCTCTTGGAAGTCAAACAATTCATCTGCGAGGGACAAACTTTCTGCAAGTAATTTGTTAGCTGCATCGCGGCTTTCAGAGCTCGCAAGGTAGTATGGAATGCCTGTCGCATCGGGTAATCTGTTCGTGGAGGATACGAGTTTTTGTAATCTTATTCGCGCATCCAGGAGTCTGTCATATATTACCTAAACGAATTTGAATGTGCCATTCCCTAAAGGCAAATAGTTTGACTTACTAGTTGCCTTGCAACTGCCTTGCCTTTTGTTCGTTCTTCCTCACGCGCACGCTTCAGCGTAATTGAAGGGTCATGTTCTTCCGTTCTTTGTGGAGCGGAATCTGTGTTCAATATAGGCTCCGGAGCGTGTTCTCGAAGGCCGTTAGAACGACTATCGTTGTCCGTATCTTCATCGTTCTCTCCATCGTTATTCTCATCTTCTTCCTCCGAGGTCACGGGTTGCCCTCGAGAACTGTCAGGCACATCATCCGACAGGTCGCCAGCGTCGCTTTCGAGTTGCTTTCTCGAGGTGTGCACCCCCTCGTATTTCGGGTCGGCAAGACTTTCATGCAGCTTGCTTCGGAGAGCAGACAGACTAACGCCGAGGCCAAATGAGAAAAGGGCAAGGAGAAAGCCCAATGGGGCAATAGTGACGATGCCTACCCAACGTCTACATAGTGCTCTCTACCTGCGCTCTCAAGTAGTTCGTTTGCGTGTTCTGGCTGGGCATTCGTAATTGATATATCTTCTGGGTCAAAATCTGTCCACGTGCACATAATGAGATCAGGCCCGTCAGAAAGTTTTTTAGCACGAGGTGGATTCAATAATATACACACCGACCTACGGGAGCTGGCTGGTCGAGCTGGGCAAGTGTTTGAGCCAAAGATACGTCTAGAGAGAACATAGGGTAAGTAAGGGGATTTGTCGGGAAGGAGAGGATATGCATACGCTTCGACATCGGTGCAAGAGGTCAAGAGGTGTGTGCACCAAGAAGATCGTGTGAGAAAAAAAACAAAAATTGATGCTGTCCAAATGCAGGCACAGCGCGCCAGACTTTTTTCTCTCCATCTCACCTTCCACCTCGTACGTCGCAGGAACAAACCCTGCGCATTCCACCCTCGACAAGCCACTCTGGAGCTTACCTCGCTCTCATGTTCATTGCACAGAAATGTCCAAAAATCATCTTACGCAGAGTAAGTCTCATGAGCACTTCTTCTCGTCAACTGAGCCTCGGCCCTGTGGGTCACACTATACGTTTCCCGAAGGAACTTAACCGACTGCGAGGCCTGCCGCATGTCATTATCCGTCGTAAATCAACAAGACATGCATGCATATTGTCTGCTTCGCGATTTCTTTGGCCCCTTTTCATTTATCACTTACGCTTCAAAAACGTCTTTAACTAATACTTCGTCCCCTCCCCAGATCGTTCCAACCCTCAGACCCAAGCTCTATCAATGCCGTCTGCTCACGCCCATACCGTAGGCGTAGGCGAAAAAGGCGGCTCGCAGTCTTCCCCGATGTCGCCGAACGAGCCGGAGGACGACGACGACATCTGCCCGGTGTGCGAGAGCGAGTGTACCTGCGCGAACAGGTCTCGCAATACCAGCTCCCTGCAGACCAACAGTTATTCAAGTGGTTATATATCTCAAGATGTACCCAGAAAAATAAGCGCTCCTACATCTACAACGTCGGGGCTAGCCTCGCTAAAGATCAAACTTACGTTGCCGCCTCGGCCGCCTCATCAACCTCATACGTCAACCAGCGCAAAGCCATTCGCTTCACGCTCGCACTCATCCAAGAAAAAGGCCAAAGACCCTGTGGAGACCCTTTCCAGCAAAATCGCGTCGGAAAACGCCTCTACGTCCTCTCCCATTGCCGAACGTGTCGTATCTGGGGGCGCACACGAGCTACAACACAATGCCACAGGTTCTATCCCGAAAAAACGAGGCCGGCCGAGGAAGGCCGTAGTCGCAGCTCGCGAAGCGGCAAAGAATGCCTCGGAAGCAAAACATCCGGTCGTGGTCACTGGCCAATCAAATGGCAACGTGGTCGTCGCGAGGCAATTACAAGCCTCGTTATCTCGTAGATCTTCACAAATAGCTTCCTCTTCCACAACCAAGGAAAAGGGCAAAAAATTGCATGGCGCTGCTGCCGCAAGTCGTGCAAAAGCACAGCAACGAAAAGCCCAGCAAAAGACTAAACGTTGCAAATCGAACCGGCAGGCCGTTATCGAGGATGAGAGTTCGGAACTTAGCGAACTTGACGATGACGATGAGATGGCTGATCTTCATTCATTTGGCCTTCCAACATTCGTCCCAGCGTTTTCTTCTTCTTCTAACAGCTCGTCATCTGACTCTGGTTCTGACACGGATTCTGATAGCGGCAATAAGGTACCCCCTTTCTCCCGGTCCCAAGATTCTCCGTCATTCTTGTTGAGTGATAATGAGTACGCTCGCCGCAAGCGAGTGTATCATAACAAGTGGGACCTTCGCATCCGAAAAAGAAGCGTAGGTGTGGATGAAAGTACCGACACTAATATGGATACTGACAGTGGCGAGGAAGGAGAAGAGGAACAGGACGACGAAGAAGACAATGAAGCGGATGAAAATGATGACGATGCGGACGATCCGAGTGTGCAACAGGAAGTACGTTACTCGGGGATTGCCACTGGTTGGACCGATGACGACGAAAGCAGCTTTGACGCAGACTTATTTTTCGCTAACCTGAGTGATTCGACCGGTGAAGAAAGTGGCGATGAGCGAATGGTTGACGCTGAGATTGATCCCGCTGACGAAGGTACCCAGGACGATGAGATGTATGCATCGAATGAAGGACTAAGTGCCGCCGGCTTCGACATGATGCGGCTTTCTGAGATTGCTGCTGCGGGGTTTCTCGCACCCTTTGCTGATCTTGACCGTAATACTGCGGAGAGTTTCCCTTTCGGACAAGGTTGGGATCAGCTTTCACTTTCCGGTAGCCTCAGGGACACCATATCTGGTCTCGAAATTGAGCCAACACGCAGACTTCCTCTCGGTTCTTCACTGGGTTCCCCGATTCCAGGGTACGAAGAAGCCGAAGCCATGATGGCAACTTCGGAAGAGGAGGAGGCTGTTGCAATGTTTGACAATTGCTCTGGGGACCTTGAAGAGGAGACGGGCGTCGAATTCTATGAGGGCAGCGACGGAGAAACGACCGAGGATGAGTTTGTCGACGTAGATGGCATTGCTACACCCCGGCGTGAAGTTCTCCTTCACTTCCCAGCATCACTTGGTGCTATCGACCCTATGTCAACGCTCAGCAGTCCTACGAAGGGACCAACAGAGCGAGAAAGGGCCTCTTCGTCTGTTTCATCCACCCGTAGTTCAACCAGGCCGCCTCTCAAACCTATTGAAATCTTGTCAAGGAAGTCTTCCTCGACGAAGCGCAAAGAGGCCACTAATATTGATACCGTCGACGCAGTCTCTGGACAGACTCATTCTGCCCCGACCATGGGCTCATTCGTTCCTCGGGCATTTGACAAGACTAGACGCGTGCTCATCTCAAGCTCAGGTAGTAATTCTGGAGGTGCCATTCCCTGTCCATATCCAGCTGTGAGAAGACTTCGCGGACGTGGTACTTCAATAAGTGTCCTGAGCCGTAGTGGCGTAAGTTGTATATTACTGTTTATTGCACATTAAACTTTCTATTCACGCGTGGGCTAATTTGACAGAGTGATCGTTCTTATCGTTCACGTACACCTTCGCTGCTTAGTGCTGCTCGCTCGCCTTACGAGACATTTGGTTCTGGTGATTTTGAGAGCACTGATGATTCTCAACTGCCCCATGGTGAACCTATCCAACTGGACGATGTGATCGACACCAAATTCCTTGAGCCGGAACGTTCTGACGCTACTGTCCCCGATTCTGCGGCGTCTGAAACGGGTGAAGTGATGGACACTTGCGAGTCCGACTCCGAACGCGCTCGTCACATCGAGAATTTGCGTAGATGGGACCGGATCCCGATAGATGCATTCCGCAAGACGCGTGCGGCTGGGGCCACGGGTGATTTCATCGTGAATAAGATGGACGTTGTCGGTACACCTCGTGCACCTCGTCCATCTGATGGATTCTCTTATGGCTCTGCCGTTGGGAGCATGCTGCGTGGCAGTCCTTTAAGTACGGCATTGTGGAACTCCGGGAGTTCTGGTGCCCAAACCGAGCACAATAACAGTACGCCTCGTGGAAACAGAAGGGGAAAGCTGGCTTCGTTAATGGTATCACCAATGCTCCTTCCTGTTCGTGATGGAGACCGTACTCCAACGAGCGAGCGTCAGCAACAACACGCTCAACTTGCACAGCAAAACGTCAAGTCCCGGAAGGAACTGCGCAAGGAAAAGAAGCGCAGTCGTAAGTTTTTCGGGTCTGCGACATCTCACACCCGCCACAACCATTTCCCGAATTCTAAGAGCAGGGCTACGGCCAGCATGCAACGCTCGTCCATTCCATCCCTCAGCCTTTGAGAGATGTGCTTAGAGGCTAGATTAATGTCTCACTTTTTTTTGTTCACTTCTTTGTTGCTCGTTGGACTCCGCCTTGTAGATCATGCCTCATGTTCTGTATCAACCTCAATTCCTCGTTATTATATTTTACGGCTTGCACCTCACTCCAATCACGCTTTGTCTTCATGTTTAATACCCATCTCGCCTCCGTACTCCCCGGTCTCCGTGTTCCGCAAAATTTTCATCGAATAGCGCATGTGCCGCTTGATATTAATATCTTTTTTGATGCACGCGTCTGTAGCTTTGATTCTTCGTATTTCGCTTGGCTTTCTCTGTTTGATCCCGTCTTTCCTCCGTCTCCCCTGTCTGAGTTCCCCCAATGAGTGGTTATGAAAAAGTTGTATGAAGCAGTTTTTGTTAATGTATGTAGCAAAGGTTGAATGAAGGCCTTGAAGGTTACAACGTCCTGGGGGGATCAATACTTGTGCGAATAATCAAGGATGGGAAGCATCACTATCAGACGGACTTGATGCACGAGACGGACAAACGAATCCGATGCAATCATTAATTTGTACTGTAATAAGTATGTGACACCAATGTGAAAAGTCGTCTCTTATTATTAGACATCGTGCGTATGGCTTGGACAATATTCGAACAGCAGAACAGACCGTCGCGGAAGGCGTAGCAATGGTATATTTTCGACTAACTGAAATCAAGAAAGGAGAGTGGGATCTTCAAAGTCGATTCCGTTGATCTGGTGACAAATACTAATGCCGGACTTAGTCCGATATGCCGAGCACGTGCCCGCCACATAAGCTGGGCAGTGCATCGACTGATACTACCGTCGCGCTGCGCAGTCTTCTCTCCCTTCTTTCCTACCCTCATCATCATGAGCAACAAAGACTACTACGGCGGAGGCCAACCAAACTATCCTCCTCAAGGTAATTGCAATGTGTTGTTCTTTGTGATTTCAGCGTACTGACGGACCGGACTTCACGCAGGTGGGCCACCAGGTGTAAGGAGTGCCGCTGAGTGCGCGAAACGTGTTTGCTAATAATTTGTTTATCACACAGGGCGGATACTACCCTCAACAGCCCCAGCAAGCCTACGGCCAGCCCGGAGGCTACGGTGGACAACCAGGTTACTACCAACCCCAACCTCCACCTCAGCCAGTCTATGTGTAGGTCTTGTGACAAATCGTATGTCGTGTGTATTTCCGACTCACAGCCTTTCTTTTTCAGGCAACAACAGGATCGCGGTGGAGGAGCTGGCGGCGGTTGTCTGGCATGCTTAGCCGGAGCGTGCTTGTGCTGTGCACTTGAAGGTATACTGTTTCGCTGTTATTTCGTGGCAATAGTGATATACTCACGCAACCTGGCAACCATGCACTTTGTTCAGATCTGTGCTGCGACTGCATATTCTGAGAATAGCTCTCGGCCCCCTTAATTCACTCCTGGCCTGTCTTGTTTGTTCTTTTGACGACCTTGTCTTCCTTCTGAGTGTCGGATACCTACTGTAATTAACACCTTTATGTGAGACGAGGAAAGAAGGCGTGAATTGTGCCAGAACGCTTTATACACAAATTCCTTTATCTCTGCTCACTTTCCGCATGTATCGTTAAGCACGGATATTATTGTGAATGCTCGACTTGCTGGATTCCTCAGAATTTATTATGATAATTTTGTTCTGGCTCTGTCTGTCTGTCTGAAACTATTGAATCAATTTGAATCGCGATGTGATGAGCGTCTCCGCAGTCACGAGTCCGAATAAGGACGTGACACGACGATCTGCAGAGTGACCCAAAGCCGACGTCAGGCTCTTCACTCCCAAGCGTGTCCACTTGTACTGCCTCTGTCTATCCACCTCTCGTCGCCGTTGTCAGTGCACAGTATCAATGTCAGACTTCGACGAGCACAACCCTTTCCAGACTGACGTGGACGATGTGCGGTCTGAAAGAGATTCACCGAATAACAGCAACGTCGACCTCAGCTCTGAACCTTCGACACCCCCGGCACATCCTGCACGTATTCCCGCGTCTCCACCCGTGTCTGCTGGTGTCAACCGTGGCTTTTCATCTCCGCCGTCATCTGCGAACAAGCAGAATTCATTCAGGGCGCCACAGCACGCGTACAAGGATGACTTCTGCTGCGCGCGGGATAGATGGCTACATTCCGGCGAAGACGTAGAGATACAGGTATGAATTGGTGCATTAATTTGGTTTGTGACTGTAGCGGGTTAACATAAAATATTGCCTTAATTTTAGGTTATTGACGCCCAAAAGACGCAGGACCATGCTTCGTCTCCATACATCGCATACGTTATTAAGTCCGGAGTACGTGCGATTTGTCTGTACCCTCGTATGAATGTCCTCTGAGTTTTAATATCCAATAGAATGCAACTGCATATCACCGTTATTCCGAATTCGAATCCTTTCGGAATAGCATGGTAAAGTTATATCCGACATTGATCATACCGCCCATACCATCCAAACAGACAATTGGGGATTATGCCGTGAAACAGGGTAAGGCGAAAGAAGACGTAGCTATGATTGCACGACGGAAGCGGATGCTTCAAACATTCCTTAATCGAATCGCGCGACATCCTATTCTATCAAATGAGCACGTATTCCATCGCTTCCTAGAAGGCGAGGTCTCGTGGGTCTGTGCCATGCTTCTCCCTTATCTTAATTCATTCTTGATTGACATACCTTTTTGTTAGACCGAAATAGTAAACTCTCCTCCGGTTTCTCTATTACCAAAGAATATTCTTAAGGCACCAGCACACAATCCAACAGACCCTCAGGCGTCTCCGGCTTACGCGGCGCTTCCGAGTCCCTCTGCCGCGCATCCCTTACGTAGACCTGACCAACGCTTCCTTGATTCAGAGGCATTCACAAACAAATTTGCAAGCCATGTGAGCGGTCCCATGGAGAAGGTAACCCGCAGAACAATGAAGCGATGGTCCGGTGAGCATAAAGGAATTGACAAATACACAAAAAAGATTCTAACAATCTTTACGTTAAGAATATGCGCACGATCATTCGGACTTGGGAGCCGTCTTGAACGGATTCAGTTTGAATGAAGAAGGCCAACTAGCAGCTGCTATCGAAAAGACGGGACAAGCAATTGACGCTACATATATTTCTACAACTCAGCTAGTGAGTCCGAGCTTCTTCGAATGGACCGGCCAGATTTGGAATTCATATTGCCAATTTCTAGCTTCAGGATCTTGAGCAAAACTTTGCTGAGCCATTGCATGAATACGCACAGTTCGCTTCAATAATCAAAAAGCTCCTTATGTTTCGGCATCAGAAACATGCACAGCTTGAGCTCACAACGGACGCTCTTGAGTCTAAGCGAGCTGGTCTTGAGGACCTTGAACGTACTGAACGAGAAGCAAGCCGGCTTGAAGAAGCTCTCGGCCGAGGACGTCCCTCTAATTCCCTTGGTCGTAGCGTCAACGCGAATGGCGCCGCGGGACATTCGGATAGCAACAATGGTGACTCTGAAAACGGTGAAGGTAGTCGAGCACATTCCCCAAATTCTCTCGAAAGTCCCGGCGAATATGCAGTACCCGAGGCGGTATACACCCCTCCGCACCCTATTGCTGGCACACCACCGCGGAGGAGTGGGTCTGGAATGGGACTTTTGAACGCCCTTAGCTACACAATTCATGGGATGATGGATGTGGACCCCGAAACTGCACGAAGGAATGGAATAAGCAAAACTCGAGAGTCAATTTCGCAGGTTCGCGGACTTTGTTTCTTCGCTTCAAGCCTTTTCTGCCTCCGAATTGTCATTGACTTGCATGCTTTTTGTTGTTAGCTCGAAGATGCTCTGCATTTGACAGCACAAGACGTCAAATACTCCAGTTCAACTATTCAAGCCGACCTTGACCGATTCCAGCGCCAAAAAGTCGCCGATATTCGTGAGTTGTGCCTAGCCATGGCGAGGAGTCATCGGGACTGGTGCAAGAAGGTACGCAATTCAAATTTTCGTGATCAGATAATTATTCATTCATTGCTGGATAAACTCTTTTCACGATCAGAATATGGAAGCTTGGGAAGAGGCAAAGAAGGAAATTGCACTCATTCCTGACCATCCAAACCGAATTCCAGAGGGTGTAGCGGATGAAGGTGCTAATGGTAAAGCAGGGCCGTCTGGCCCGTCTGGGAGGAGACTTTCTTCGGCCCGTGGTCTTTAGCCTTGCACTATTTTATTCTATTCTCTGGACCTGTTTCGGCTGTTTTTGGCATTACTACTTTGTGCCACAACGGCCACTGTTACGTACAATTGCTTCTCCAAACCTTGTCGGTCCCTTTGCAAGTCCGTCTTCTTTTTCCAGTCCATTATCATCACCTTCGGCGACTATAATAGCTGTAGCATTACCTCTCCTGCTTTTTCCCTTTGTCCAATTTATTCGTCATAAGCACATGCTTTTTGGTTTGCTGTTCCTGATTGTTTTCTTTGTTCTCTGGAGGCAATAAACCTAAAGTCTGACTCCAAACCTTCATCCTTATTTTCCTGTCCGGTGGCGTTGGAGGATTCTACCGGAGGAGTCGCGTGCACGGGTCCTCGGAGGCGGGCAGGCCGCGAAAGGCACTCGTAGTGTTTTTCCTGCTCTGCACCTCCCTCTGAGGCGAAGATTTAATATCCGGGTTCTTCCCTGAGTTCGGGCTTCTTACCTTCCCAACAAGTCTATCTGCGCCCTGGCCTGCGGGAAGTAATTCTGTACGGGTTGTTTGTTTCTGGCAGGATCGGCACCAGTACCTGGTAACGTTCAATAATGCATGCGCGAACTGCGCGAACCAAAACTTTACTAGTAGTCAGAGTTTAGCCCAGGAAGGCTCAATTGACGGTTGACAGGCAACAGCTCCGGGTCTTACCTACTACTACCGGAACTTTGATCTCTCAGTATGACGTGGGTGTTGTTTGGAGGTGAAATATCTTATTTTTGACAGGAATTGTCGTTGCTAAATGATTGATGAATCTCGGAATTGCCCGGGCTCTCTCCCGCGCACACTCGTGCGTGCGCAAGAAAATAATAGCTTGAGACGTCCCGGTCGGTCCCTTTCCCTTCACAATTGCAAATAAGTGTCTGTTAGGGCTATACAAAAACACATGTCATCGATTCATGGGGGGCTATGAACACATCAAGAGATTAAGTGAATGTACGTATACGTAGTAGCATCTACAAAGCGAAGGAAGAGCGGGGGGGCAGCGCAGCAAGAGGCACGAGCGGTACGGCAAGAGACGGGATTCTTCAAAACGAAAGTAGGAGTGAACAACAAAGCGGCGGATATAGTGCTACAGACTACAGACAACGAACGTATTGTCCTTTGGGCGTGGAGGGACGACAGAGGACAATGAATATAAATCGAGGTTATAAAAGTTGCCACAGGCGCTAGATATTAAAATTTGGATTCGGGATTATAAGGTTGCTGGTTATAATATGGATTAAGGCGGAGCAGCAGCAGCATCATCATCATCAGAAGCGGCGCCGACGCATAGCCTGGGCTGTTCGTTACATTCCGTAGGTCCTTAGAGTAGATGCAATTTCGTCTCAGTCGTGAGTAGTATGGCGTGCGAAAGAAGATTCAAAAGCGTACATGCGGGCGCCTTGACGGATGAATAGTTGAGTCAGCGGAGTAGGCTCTGTGGTAGTAGTAGTTTCGTTTTTTCAAAATAGTTTGAAATAGCAAGGGTAAAAAGATCATCAGCGAAACGTGATCGCACACGTGAATTTAGAGAACGGGCGCGACATACGTGGTGCTGCGTAATTACTCTGGGATACCACTTCGAATACTTGAGTGTAGACCGTCGCGAGTGTGTTTCCTCGGTTACCAGCACTCACGGAGGCCGGTCCACCGATTCTAGGCTCATCCACGTTATTTCATTTTCTCAAACCTAACAATTCCTTGACTCACCCTGGTAGACGCACCAAAGATATATGCAGTGTATATCGGCCGCGCTGACGTATGCTGACATCTGGAAAGATAAAGTAAGGAGCGACACGCCCACGGAGGTTCCGCAGAACCTGCGCCGAAGACACGAGCGTTCCGTAAAGGACATGTTGCGACGGTGCACCAGGCACGCCGCCATCGAGTGGGTGCCCGCTCTCTGTGCAAAGGGACAAATGCGCAATCAGGTACGGCAATTCCGTGTTTCTAAGTGTTACATGTTTCAGTCTAATTCGGCATATATGATGTATTTAGATCCATATGCGACGTACGGGTCGATAGGCGATCCGGTATGATCGCGTATGGTCAACTTTACAATTGGCGCAGGCGCCAGAGGCAGACGCGATAGCACAGCGGGTCCAAACTCGGCAGTCCGTTCAGGGTGTTGTTCCACTTCTAGATGGTAAGTTCTGACGGGAAGTTAAGCTTTAGTAATAAGCTTTCAATAGACTACGAGGCATAAAGTGTTTCGAACCTTCCCCTGGTGTCGGGCGGAGTCGCATGGAGTGTAGGCATTGCCGTCAGTCCACCACCTGGACCAAGTCTGGAAGGTGCGGGAGTAGAAGGACGAAGTCCATGGCGACTTGAACTCGCACTCGGTACATGCGTTGAAATCGCACGCTGCCGCACATAATCTTGCGGTGCGCCAGACGAGCCTCCAGCGCTCGTCGAAGTAGTACGTTGACGCGTCTGTTCGCCCGCAAGAAAGCGGATAGCGAGCCGCTCACGACCTGTTGGGGGCGTGTCGGAGCTCATTCCATCGCCTGGGGAAGTCGACTGATACCGAGAAATGGGAGACTGCGAGTCGAGAGTAGAGCGGCGAGGGCCACTTATACGCTGCAGAGCCGCCTGGATACGACCTCTAAGAGAGAGGATTGGGAAATGGGAGGATCTAGAATGCTTGACATTGCTAGCGCTCTGCTCAAAGGATTAAATATTCGGCGTAAATCGATTCGGTAAGAAAACGTGCAGATGAAACAAACGACCAAAGTGACGCACATAAATTTTGAACGACCGCGTCCGCAGTGTGAATGCGTCCGCCTGTACGACCAATATTAGGCTCGTGGAACATCTCTTGGATAGAGGATCGGCGATCTTAGCCAACTTGGAGCGTTGGCGACCGACGAAACGGGCTTTGGGTCGCGATGAGCTGAAACGGGGGGCAAGGGTCATTTTTTCAGCTTGACCTTAGCGAAGCGAGTTCCATAGCAAAAACTTGTAATCTTATACCCGTCCAGCTGCGGGTCTCGGTCAGAAAGAAGACATTTTGAGAACCATGACGAGAGGAATGAGCAGGGGCTCGTGTACTACAAAGTTTAAGTGGTCCCGCCATAATAGTGTACGACCGATTGCCTGGGACGAAATGGAAGAGTGCAGCTGTTTGTTCGACTTTGAAAAGACTTGAAATGACAAGTCCGCCCGATCGGTACCAGAGAGATCTATCGGTCCATGGTCCACGAGATTGCGGTAGGTGAGCCTTTCGTCAGCATCAAATCCTAATGTTTTTCACGCTCCTGCGTTTCATAATCATTTTAATTTTTTTTTCACACTCCCGACGGTCGTGGAAAGTTGTGGCTGAGATGGGAGGGCTGTCATGCATGTTCAAATCTGACATCTATGTAAACTAATTAATATGTGCTCTACAGAATGTAAGATATACTCCGAAGTAGACAGAAATTAAACGGCCTTCTTAACATAGCTCCAGGTACCTGCAAGCCCAGTCATTAATGTCGCTGCTACCAAGGCTGGACGGACACCGGCTATCAATTCACCGAGTAATCAAGTCAGTGGACATGCAAAGGATGAGTCAAAAGGAGACAATGAGCATACCCGTTGACTTGTAGATCGCTCCTGATAATCCACCGGCAGCCATGCTTCCCCATACATCGTGTTTGCCTCGTACGCCATCTATGGTCGAATTAATCGCGTTATAAACAAGCGCTGACATTTTGGAAAATGGAAACACGGGTGAATCGACACAGACACAAAAAGAGTGACGTCCCACGAACCTACAACCCCTGCCGAGTTGCCAATGAAAGTACCTCTTCTCGTGACGGAGTTGAGGATGGCATTGATCCGCAAGCGCGCATTTGAGACAGCAAGGGGACGCTTCGCACCCTCCCGAAGCCCCCACAAACCGCCTATAGCAAGACCTAGAAGGGAAAGCTCAGTACACGCGGGATGGAGAACAATAAGACAATTGTTCGGATAGCCGAGATAAAGGGTGCAGGATAGATCTGGGAATTGAAGAGCTGCAATACACACCACTCAAATACGTTGTTCCGGTTCCGTAGCAGAGATCATCGCTCCAACCCCTGGAGGGTAGCGCTGTGCTGGCGCCGGGGAGGTCATTAACCTTGTCATCATCGAGTTGCAAATATTCGAGCTGGTCCTTGAGACCGGCCATTGGGTGGAGGCGGGCGGGGTCAAAGCCGCCTGCGAGGAGGTCGGAGGCAGTGAGGGCATTATTGTCACCGGTCGATGCATTCGACGAGCCCGTTGAGAATGTTGCGGTGCGCAGGACGTCAGCTGAATCCTGGGCTGACTGACCGCGATTTTGAGAGGAAGACATGGAAGAAAACCAGAAAGAAAGACAGCGTCACGCTTTGTCACGCTCGCTCGACGTAGATAGTCATACAGAATTTTTGAATGGCAAGACGGGGACACGCGCGCGTGACGTGCGACTCTCCAACAGGCCGTTCTTACTGGCTGGCTAAGCAGACTCACTCTCTCAGCTTTGTCTGGCTCTTTCTAGCGAGGACAATGAGCTCGACTGCCGCTCTCAATCGAATGCACCGTGTCCGATCTACGCATCCCTATTTGCGCCCTTCGCTCTCAACATATCGCCATGCTGTGCATTTGACTCGCCCAGCTCTTGCATCTCTATCCGCTCTCGCAACTCACCGCGGCCGTCTTGCCCCAACGGTCTTATCAGCCCCGTCTCATTCATTTAAGCGTGCGTCTCCCGAGTTGAGAGGCGTGCTTCCATCGGTGCTTGTCAGCCTAATTGTCCTGCCACAGGTTTTGCCACTTCGACAACCCCGCATTCTACGGCAATTGATCCGGCAGAGACAGAAGCACACATCTGTCTTGAGAAAGGGACTCAGAAACTCGAGGAAGGCGACATCGAGGGAGCCAAAGCTCTTTATCAGCGCTCTGTCAACATCAAGCGGGATGCCGGGTCTCTATTCAACCTAGGAGTCACTCATTATCACCTCAGTAAGTAGTAGTATCTTTACTCCTCCTGTCTTGATTTCGGGCTCATTTCTCCGAATTTCATCGTGTGCCTATTCTACCTCCCTGTTCTGATAAAGAGGAGTTTGACGACGCGATTAGTGCATGGAAAGAGTCAATCGAGCTTCAGCCAGCAAGTCCGGATGCTCACACGAGTCAGTAGCTTCTTGTTGTTCTTTCCGTCATATTTACTTATCAGGGCACTCGTGTAGACCTAGCAAGTGCCTACATTATTTCTCCAGTCTCGCGGCCGGATCTCGCCTTGCATCATTTGAGGTAGTTCTCAACACCATCTTCTAGAAAGCAGCAAAGGCATTGATGAATACACGACTAGAATTGCATCTTCACTTGCGCCGGAGGATCCTGAGATTGCTTTCAATCTTGCTGCAGTGTTGGAAGCCTGTGAGCATCTCCATTTGTGTTATTGTCTAAAGATATCAAGACACTTTGTTGGTGAATGGATGTTATTGTTACTAACGCGTCCGAATAGGTGGAAGATTGGACGAAGCTCTCACACAGTACAAACGTAGTAAGGCCAATGGCGTTGACCGGGCTGAAATACATATCCGAAATGTGCGTCTTCTCGTCCATTTGATATTCCCGTATGTATGTCGGTTGACAGTGGGCTTCCCAGGTGAGCGCGAAAATACTCGGCCAAAGAATGAAGGACGCCGAAGATAGCAAATAGTCCGAAATGACCGCAAGCAGTCTGTTGTGTTGTGTCACACTGCCTGGGCAAAGTGGCACACTTTTACTGATCTTTCATTTTTGATGATGAGTTTTACTTATTGACCGGCCCTGTGGTGCCCCGTCCATTAATACTTATACTTTGACCCCACTGGATTAATGTTGTGCAGAGATAAAAGAGCATGCACATACTGCTTTGACCTTTCCTCATTCATATAACGACTGCTATGTCCATAACTTGAATTAAACATATCTTCCTGTTAATACTATCAGTAAGGTTATTGATTAGAGTTCAACCGTCACAGTGGAAAATAAACCGTAGCTTCGAAGATTGATCTGCGTCCCGAGCGAATCTCTTACCTTTGCCAGAATCTATGATTATCTTTATTCTATCAATATAGGGTTCTCCGTCGTACCTTCACCAGTGTGTTTCGATGGCACCGTGCGATCAGGCGCGTGTTGCGAGGTTGAATGTGACGCGTGCTCGGCGGCCCTATTAGACAAACCGTTGTCTTGAAACATGTTTTCTACCCAACTGCGAGGATTTCGCTTTTCAGTTTGGGCAGAGACGGGTTCACGTTGCCGAATATTGTATGCACTTGAAGGTCCCGAATTATTCGCACGGGATTTTGTATCCGAGAGACCACCTCTTCCGATGTATCGCCCGAATCCGCTGGATCTGTTTCGGAATGGAAATGCACGTCCTCGTCTAGGACCAGGCTCACGCCAGTTGCCCCTCATTCCTACGCCATGAGGCTGAGCAGCGTCAAAATATTCGCGGATCCCTCGTTGTGGTGCAGAACGTCTGGGTGGCGGTGATGACATTGCGACTTGCACGAGGAGGGTCTCAAGCTCGTCCTTAGAATAAATTGGTGAAGGATGGTCATCGGGTTTGATAGTGAATATTCGATCGAAATCCTCGTCTGCCGAAGGAGGGACAAACATATTTTTGAAACAATAGAGCACCTCGATACCTTGTTCTGGAGAATGAATCGTCGGGTGATTAATACCTGTGTGAAATGCAAACAGTCAATCCAAATGGAATGCCCATCGAAGTCAAAAACACGCGTCTTCAGCGTGGTGAACACACGGTGCCGCAGTCTCTCTCTGCAGATCTACCAGAAGAGAGAGAATGAACGAGTCAGATCAAATCTGCAGTGAAAACAAAGAACAGCTTTGGCTACATGGGTAGGGGTATCAACTGATATTGAACTTGTCATTAGCAACGATCGATCCCGCAAGTAATGTTGGTTTGGGGAGTAAATTCATACGTACATACGATGCACCATATTCTCGTATGAGGAAATTGCCTAGCAATATTAATCCAGTGCGACCTTTGTCTAACAGCGTAGACGAGAAAGCCTCGGACATTCAGTGTGCCTCAACGGTCGTATTAATCGACATACGTTTCATCAAAGTTTGTCCTGTCAATACATACAGACAGGCTTTGTGCAAGGTATGCTCGCATGAGCCGCTCTACGGCCTTCCTGTCTCCAAGGTCATCTTGATTACATCTGCGGAACTCAGGGATATTATCCTGTAGCGCCTGTGCAAAAGTCGACTAAAGTGCAATAATTTGAATAAAGTGGTTATTAGTTGACTCCGCGTAATCTTCACAAAGACCGCACACCTTTCCCGATGCTATGAGACCGACTAAGACTAAAACGATTTGTGTACCATCTTCATTCCAGGGTCGAGTCTCATTAGAGTGGCTCGATTCAAACGATGCCATACTTTTTGGCCCGTGTTGCTTCCGTATTTCTCCTGTGACCAAACCGATGTCGCAAACGTGAAACAACGTGGAGGCAAATGTTGAGTTTACAACAACGATGAAACTTGGTCCAAAATAGATGGTATGATCGACCAGTTGCCAAGTTCTTTTTGCTACCGATATACTTTGAATGGCGATGAATAGCGCCGAAGTAGCGATTACTGCTGGGTAATGAGCTGAAAACCAAGTGACGATGTAGTCCTTGGTCGCAGGGCCAAAGGTACGAGGCTTGACCTCTTGAACACAACTCTCCTTTGCCTGATTTGGAAAGGAAGAACTAAGGCACGTGATGTGATACGCAACAAAAACTCAAAGTCTTGGTTTCTTTGGTCATAATTTACATATAATTTACAACTGAAAGGCTTCCCGGAGTGGTGCTACCGCATGGATATACGCTATTCCAGTTCGGATTTTTATTCCGACCTAAAATGCGAAAGTTCGGAGCATCCTATAGCTATTTCTATTCCGTTCTGAACGCAACGACATAAATGACTGACACGATGGTTAACTGCACTGTAACTGACCATGGAAACAACAGAACGCAATGCCCGTTATTTGAAGAGATAGTGTGAATAATACATATTATATCAAATATACCGCTTAAAACTTGAGCATGCGGTGACAAGCACATCCGCGATTCAGTTCCAGGCGCTGAACTTTCCTAGAGAGACAGTAACTAACAAAGCCTCGTGATAAATTAAGAAGTACGCACTGAGATAAGGTATATCTGTGTTTGGAATTCACATCCATTCAGCAGGACGGTAACTGAAGGGTGAATTTGATATGCAGTTATGAGATGGAAGTAAGACCAGTGACGTACTGCCGAATGCTGTATGCAACGGCAGCTATGCGTTTACATTCATTGATATTCGATTCGTATTGACATGACGGTCATTATGATTTCACGCAGGAGGAACGGAAAGAACTAGACGATAACGGGATTAACTCCAGTAAGGACTTTGAAAGCTTCATGGCGACCTCAAACATATGTATCCGCGTGTTTGCAGGCAACAAATTATGGGGTTTGTTCACAGACTCGCGAGGAGATTATGCCGAGAGAGCTCCAACGTCATAAGCGTCATAATGGCCAGTGATAGGCGATCCCATTCGGACACAACTCACCTTGACTTTTCAAGACAAAATCCATTGACACAGGCAACCGTCGAAGCATCAGGAAAAGAAATTACTGGATCAGGATGAAAGACAGTGACTTGGCCGCCACCGCAGTGCCATTAATACTCCTTGGTCTCCTTAATATGACATGCGTGGAAAAGACCTGGAGCGTTATGAACATTGCATTAACCCGAGGAGATGAACTGATTAACGCCTGAGGCACACCCAAAGCCAGAGCCGGCGAAACAAGCATAAAGATGCGGCACGACAGTAAATAGTCAGAGAACTCTAGCCATCGAGTCGGACAGAATTTGCATGCAGAGTAAAGAATGACTCGGAATGTCGTTTTGCCGCAAGTTCATGACTAGACAGCCTCTATCTCATTGGCTCTTTGGGAACACTTCGGATGCAGAGTATGAATTAGTTGCATAGCTGCCGTTGTTTATTGAAGCAATCCTCCACCGCGATTTACCATTGAATTTCCTCGTTCGTAGAGAACTGATGGAAAGGAAATCACATTTCTTTGTTTTTCCTGGCGTTAATTTTCGCACGATAGACCGCATGATATCTCGTTGGCGAGGCTCGAGCTCATCTCGTCGTGGGGTGAAAGATAGGGAAGAAGAACGAGAAACGACTGCCAGTGCCAAGACTTGTGTTGAAGTGTTGGTCTATGAGGTCACGTAGTAGGTGACGTGACAATGCAGCCAATGGGAAGAAATGGATTATTCGCAAAAACAACGGGAAGTCCCGGCACCGACTTCGTTCGCTCAAAGTCAAACTCGCTCACTATCATAGACGTTCTCTGAGTCTTCAAAATGATGGCTAGGCTGCCTGCCTCAGCTCTCTGCAAAGTGACAGCGCTGTCGGCATCAAGGCGTGCCAGCCAGTCATTTGGTTCGGCAGTTGTAGGTTTTCCGATGGACTTGCTTTTTGACGTGATCTCATGAATTTGCGTGTCATACACAGCGCTACTCCTCGAGCTCGTCAAGCTCATCTGCGACTTATGAGGTGATTGTTCTGGTCTACTCTTGCCTCTGGCACAGTCAAAACTAAATTGGCGCGTCAATCCAGAATTTTTTCGCCTCTCGCACTGCTCTCGTGTCTGCGACACTTTTCACTGTTGGCTCGATTGCATGGTACTCGCATGTCTACGGAACTCTCCCATTCATCGGCGAAGTCCATGCATCCTCTCCAGCAGAAGAAGGGTTACACCCAACTAACTGGCCATTCTACCACAAGGGTCTTCTAAACACTTTTGACCACGCCAGGTAAAGTCAAATCCAGTGCAATGATGTGTTGTCTATTTTAACACCTCGATTTTTTAGCATTCGTCGAGGGTACCAGGTGTACCGCGAAGTGTGCGCGTCTTGCCATTCCCTGGAGCGTATTGCTTGGCGAAACCTTGTTGGTGTCTCGCACACGGTAGATGAAGTGAAAGCGATGGCAGAAGAGGTTGAATACACAGATGGACCCAATGATGCTGGCGATATGTTCCAACGTCCTGGGAAGCTTTCAGACTACATGCCGTCCCCCTATCCGAATGAAGAGGCTGCACGTGCAAGCAATGCCGGAGCCCTTCCTCCTGATTTAAGTCTAATGATCAAGGCTCGTCACGGCGGTGCAGTATGTTTAATGCTCTTTTTATAGTTCTTTATGCAAATCTCATTCTTTCTCTCTCCCTTTAAGGACTACGTGTTTTCCTTGCTTACCGGTTATGTTGATCCTCCAGCTGGTGTCAAGCTTTTGGACGGGTTGAACTACAACCCATACTTCCCTGGCGGTGCTATTGCCATGGCCCGTGTATTGTTCGACGGCCTGGTGGAATACGAGGATGGTGAGACTTGTGACTTCTGTGTCTATTTCATTCAGGTCTTAAATCGTCCTTTACTAGGTACTCCTGCAACAACGAGTCAAATGGCGAAGGACGTCGTGACGTTCCTATCCTGGGCTTCTGAACCCGAACACGACGAGCGAAAGAAGTACGGATTAAAGGCCGTTATTCTCTTTTCAGCGCTTACCGCAATAAGCATTTACGTGAAACGATACAAGTGGGCCCCGATCAAGTCCAGAAAAATCAGTAAGATACAATATTTCTTTATCACTATGCTGTGCTGAATCAAGTTCATAGTTTACAACCCGCCTGTGCCGAAAGGACACTAATTAGACTTTTTGGACAGCGACACGCTGTAAATTACTTACTCGATACGCTGTTAATTCCAATCAACTTCAAACTGTTTCTCGTATATAAGTGAATGGCTGGTCAACAAATTTTGGGTCGTGCGAATTAGATAATACATTATATAAGAAATTAGATTACTCATCCCCCGTAAACGTGATTCACTGAAGTGCTGTCCTCACTCCTCTAAGTCCTCTTGTTACACCTCATCCGGCAGACGCGAGTACTGTGCTTGTCCCCTACATTTCACAATTACTTACCTCAAGACTATCTCAAATGTCGGACGCTTGGCCACCTCAACTTAAGTAGGCGTTCTCCTTTCAGTACTTGCCATCGTCCTAACCAATCCCTCGCTGATAGAGAATGGGTCGCAAAATGTCTTGGACAGCTGTCGGAATCGAACAAACAGGAAGTTCAGGCTGAATTAAAGCAGGTTATAGGTGAAGCATATAATAACAAGACATTATGGACGACAGATTGGAATGGGATACAGCTAAAGAGGTTGCCTTATATTCTGACAATATGATTCTTAACATCCTACTCAACATGCCATTCTCTGTAGTCTCATGCCTAAGCCACCTTCGCAACTCAACCTCAAACGCAAATCGTAAGATTTTCACGTGATTGAGTTTACCAGTCTAATATTTTCTGGATTCAGTGACGAGAAAACAATCTCGAATAAGAAAAAGAAATCTACGTCTAAGCAGAATTTGCAACCTAGCACTTCGATGGATCCAACTGACAGGGCAGCATTGAACAGGAGGGCGGAGCGGTTTTCGCGAGAGCATGAAATTGAGCGACAGAAGTCACTGCGCAATGGACAGGGTTCTTCACAGGTTACGCTTCCTCATTCCAGCCTCATCACACGAATTCAGAGTCACTCACGTTCCGGATCTCCCTCGACATGGGGTAACGATGGATTAGATGGTACTGAACGAGTACGTGATACACTGTTTCTGCCACGGCCACATTTATAACGGAAGCCACGAAAGACAATCGATTGGGACAAATATATTATCATTGGGACCTCGCAGCAGCTCTTCAAAGACTATCTGCGACTGACGACCGTTCGTCATTATCTTTCGCTATCTTTTTGATGAATTCCGCTCATAGACGTATAGGAACCTGATCCAAAGGACATCCGGCCTTACCGAGTCCTCGAACGGACTTTAGCAGAACTGAAAAAGAAATGGCGAGAAAATAACGACTATCCTTGGATATGTAATCAATTCAAGAGCATGCGACAAGATTTAACAGTGCGTACGTGAATTATCACGCTTCTTTTTTCGGATTGATTTCGTGCAGGTGCAAAGGATAAAGAATGAATTTACCGTGTCTGTGTACGAGATTCATGCACGCATGGCTTTGGAGGCGGTACGTTCATCCGATTTCGTATCGGATAGCAACTCTAATCGGGCTGTTCTCGTTTAAACAGGCTGACATGGTGGAATACAATCAATGCCAAGCAATGCTGAAAAACTTATACGAGACGGGTATACGCGGTTGCAATGACGAATTTACAGCATATCGAATACTCATGTTGCTTCATGGGATGAATAGAAGTGGTATGATGGTTCTATAAATATAAGAAGATGTGATTTTCACTAAAGCAATGAAGATCTAAATTTACTTGTAGGTCAACTAACGGAGCAACAGAAACAACAGAATGCTATTCGTCACGCATTGGCTGTGCAGCGTGCGATGTCTACGAATAATTACCATGCTTTTTTCGCATATTATAATGACGCACCTAACATGGGGGCATATATCATGGATCATTTCGTTGACAGAGAGCGGACCAAAGCGCTTATGATAATGTCAAAATCGTACGTGTTCTACTTCAATACGATTGAAACACGACCTAAATCTTATACTCGTACAGGTATCAACAAATGCCCCTTGTATTTATCCGGGACGAATTGGCGTTTGACAATACCGCACAGGTCACATCTTTCTTGACACAGCATGGGGCGGCGACTTACCAGAATCCGAATGTGGCAGACGAACAGAAGGCTCTGAGCTGCAAGGCCCTGCAAGCCCCGTTAACCCAGGCCTTCGATGAAAAGTACAGGAAGGCAACCATCAAAGGTGCTATTTAACAGTTCGTATTGTGCGTCCTCTTCGTCTTTTTTCGCGTTTCCGGGATGTCCGGAGCTCTACCCCGTTCGATATCTCTCGGTCTTCCGTTGCCGTAATGGAGGCCCCTTCTACCGCGGATATCTGGTACCATTTCATCCCCTTTCCATAATCTTCGTCTCTCAATCCTCGTATCGGTGGTATGCGCATCATCCCTCTCGTCCTCTCCGTCGGTCTGGTCCTTGGCTCCATCTTGCGAGAATTATCACTATTTTGACACGATATTATTGTATGTATACAATAGCAATTATCCACGTACATACACTTCACAATAGATATGTGCTTCAAGTGTCAAAATTGCTATCTCTAATCACGCATGCGTGCTGGGATGAAGCGTCGAACGACAATCTCACGAATTGTGTAATGTTCAAGGCAGGCAGGTGATGACAAGATATCCGATGGGAGGCGAGACATTGCGGGAATCGTCACATATGTCAGGACAGGCGTCTATGTGAAACAGATACATATAATAAGATACATGAAAGCTGGATTGGAAGACAAGAATAAAGACGGAGCGGAGAACGTACCTTCTGCACCTGGGAATTAACGCGGTTGATTGTGCTCAGCCAGGACCAGGTGAATGGGCCGACATTCTGGAGGTCGAACGGCGAGCCTTCCCGATCGGAGGGATCTTCATAGACCGGACATACCACGAGGGAAAAGCTATAAAGACCAGTGTTTGAGTTAGTTCGATGAATACATTTTGGTCTAAATGAGGCGACGAAGACGAACTCGGCATGAGAAAAGACAGGACCGCGCTTATAGAGCATGTAATCAACGCAAAACTTGATGCCGTTTTTCAACACCCAGCCAAGCGAGCGGTAGTGGTGAAAAACGACGTAGTGGATGAGAAAGGGGTTGTCGAATCGAGAGAGAAAAGCGTCGAGAGATCGGGAGACGAAGAATGAGGGGTAGTAGATAGCTTGAAATGCTCTCCATATTTGCTGCAGGTTTAGAGAGCTCCCCTTAAGGTAAAAGTGAATATCAGACGAAAGGAACTTCAATTGTAGAGTATGTTAGTAGGATGATTTACCGTGCTCGGGTCTGCGATAGTCAAGCAGTCCATAGTCCATATTAGAAAGAACGCTTCTTGTAAGGTGAGCTGCAAATGTTCCATATCTTTCAGATCCTCGTCTAAAATGTCACCGCCCTGCTCATCCGTAAGCTGTTCCCCTAGTGTTGGAGGAGTGCCAGATTGTAAGGGAAGTTCAGTGTCAGGATTGGAGTCCGAAGCCGGTGAAGGCTTCCAAGTGGCAGCAGATGGAATAACCACACTCGACTCTGCCAGGACCTCGCCAGTAGCAGCAAATGCTTTCTCAGCTTCCAATGCTGCCTCGGCAATCGCTCGGGCTCTGTCCAATTTAAATTGTTTACGCTCCATGCGCCTCTTCTCTCTCACTTCTTCAGCAGTCATTTCTGCAAGGGGAAGGTGTGTCAGTCAAATCGATTATTGGCTACCAAGAATAATGTTCTGCTTACTTCCAATAGCCTTGGATTTCTGTTGATTAATCTGGCGAGCCAACCAGCTTGGTTCACTGCGGGACAGATTACCCTTTCCAAAGAAACCTCGTCGCCAGAGTATCATAGCATCCTTGGTATTTGAAATCCATACTGAACGAGATGGTGCATCGAGAATGCCTTCTAAATGAGGTTTTGAGATGCGTTGTGCAGAATACCCGAAAAGCCCTAAGCAGTCTGTGATGCATTTCCTAGGATACGGGATATCTGATGGAGCTTCAAGGAAGAGGGGGAGGGGGAATGCGTAGACCTTTTTATTGTCAGCATTTCGACGAGCCGCACCTTTCGCATTCCCTTGCTGGCGGCCTCTGCGATTGCTCATAGCTACGAACCTCCTTGCCTGGTGGCTCGGGTAAGCTAGTTCATTGACTCAACTGGAATTTTGAGTCGTGAAATATTGAAATAAGGTCACGTGCCCTTCAGGCTCCTCTACACTAGTGTAGAAAACGCGACGCGTTCAACCTTACTCTCGTTCCTCCATCATGTCTGACAGACGACGCGCAGAGATCGCAGAGAAGCGCAAAAAGCTCGAGGAGCTGCGTAAAATACGTGCAGAACGCCAAAGAGCTACCGCCGATGTACGTCATGCTACAATTCAGAGCAATACGTACGTTGAGGTTAACTTGATGAACATAGGCCGGTCCTTCGACATACCGCCGCAACGACGTCGATGACTTCGTAACATCCGTATTGGGCACTTCGCTTTCACGAGGTACCGATAGCGCCGGAGATTCAACGCCAATCTCGACGCCTGGTACTCCCGCTATTGCTAGGCCCCTTTCTCCCTCTAATCTGCGTGAAAGGACACCGCCTGGCGCGTCTGGACGTGCGAGCAGACAAAGCGATGTATTCAGTGATCGATTGAGCATGGGCACAACACTCGTCTCAACTACGGGTCCTGCAATGTCAGTCTCAGGAACGGAGAACGTTATTGAGAGGCATGTAGTTTTTAATTCAAATGTCTTGATATACGACTCATAATCCCAATTTAGGACCATGACTCCAAGATTAGTAGTTGACTTGGTAGATGTCGAACAGGATCTTTTTGATGTACCTCGAAAGGTCTGTCAGGGGGAAATGCGACCAACCTACCCACTTGGGAAGAATTTGGCTGATTTCTCCCTTGACAGGAACGTGTAACGTACGACAAAGATGTTCAAACCACTGAAATAACCAGCGAAGAGACTGGGCCAAATGAGGAAGAGATACGACAACGCATCTTACGAGAAAAAGAGGTCGAGGCTGAAAAACTTGCAAAGGAGCGGGAACTTGAAGAAGAGAATGAAAAGCTCGAGAAAGAAATCGAGCAAGAAATCCGAGGTAACTCTTTTCTACTTGTGGTCATGATGTAATACTAACAATACAGCAGAACTTACCGAGGAGGAGCGTGCAAGCATCTTCATTGCTCCCGAATTCTTGGATTTCGTGGACAAATCATCAAAGATTCTGCAGCGCGCATTAAATGATGGTTATGATTACATTCGTGATTACACTGTTGGTGCTGAAGCAGGGGGGTGAGGATACTTAGTTCGTATATAGTGAGGTATCTGACTTAAAATCATTGACAGAGACGAGTCAGAGGGTAAACGTGTCAAGCGTGTATGCACATTCTATGACGAGAGGTACGGGAAGAACAGGTCGATTACTGACCTGGACTGGTCACCGAAGGTCAGATCCTAAATGATTATTGATAGTATCAAACGCGATTGACATGGTCTTACGAACAGTACCCAGAACTAAGTGTAGCATCATATAACAAGAACCCTGCTGCTCTAAATGAGCCAGACGGTCTAGTCGCAATATGGAACTTGCATCTTCTCGAGAGGCCCGAGTTCATATTCCACTCGCAATCAGATGTACTGTCTGTTGCGTTTTCGCCATTCAACGCGAATCTCGTCTTTGGCGGAACTTATTCGGGCCAGATTCTTCTATGGGACACACGGAGCAAACACTTACCCGTATTGAAAACGCCTCTCAGTGCTGCAGGTCACACCCATCCCGTTTATGCGATGCAGATTGTAGGCACACAGAATGCACATAACCTTATTACAAGCAGTACAGATGGTTTGGTTTGTAGCTGGCTTGTAGATATGCTAGCTCAGCCACAGGTAAATGATTGTGATGTTCACTTGATACTAGCTTGCTGAGGAACATTTCTCCAAGGAAACTCTCGAGTTACAACATGCTGGACACAACAAGACCTCGGAAGTCGCAATTACTTGCCTTGACTTCCCAGACAACGAAACCACGACGTTTTTCACCGGCACTGAAGAAGGGAACGTGTACCAAGCCAATCGCTATGACAGGGCAGGGTCGAAAGCAGGCTTGAACCAGTACGACGTATATAGAGGCCACTCCGGTCCTGTCATGGGGTTGCATTTCCACCCATTACATGGACCGGTTGATTTTAGCGATCTATTCCTAACAGCAAGTGCGGATTGGACAGTCAAACTTTGGCGTGCGAGAAGTATCGCGAAGCCGAGCGCGCAACCACATACACTCGGGCCACTGTACAGCTTTGATGAGGCAGATGACTATGTGTACGACGTGAAGTGGCATCCCCAGCACCCGGCCTTATTTGGAGCAGTCGACGGAAGCGGGCGATTTGACTTATGGAACCTTAATATGGACACAGAGGTGTGCTTTGCTGGTATGTCTTGACTAATGAACATGCTTAATGAGATTTTCCTAGGTGCCTGTCGTGACCACACCTGTAGGCACGAATCGTGCGATTAACAAATTGAAGTGGGACTGCAAGGATGGCCGGCGAGCGGCATTGGGAGGGAGCGACGGGAAAATGTATATTTACGACATCGGCGACATGGCTATCCCACGGGAGACGGAGTGGACGGACTTGCAGCGTACCCTTGCTGCAATGCAGAGTGGGCATGCCGGCGGAGCTGGAGGACCTGGGGTTGTAGACGGCATTGTCGCTGGCCGATAAGCAGCCGTCAGTACACAAGCTTCATACACAGATACCAGTTTGTTACATTGTAGTGTAATGATTAGTATACCTAATATTGGCTCATCAGAGGCGTGAATGTTATATTACTGCTATGAATATCAACGGGCTTTGTAAGAAGTGCAGGAACGGGCGTCTTTTTCGTCGGCGTGAGACATGTCGGTATATAATCGTCTCAAAGTGGGAGGTCTGGTTCCGCTTCGTCGCGATCCCGTGTCCTATTTTGTGCCCACTCGCTGGAATTCTCTCGCGTCGACTATGCAGACCCTGCGGAATGGTGTTTTGCGGTAAGCAGTGCGGTTATATGCGATGCGTGTAAATTGCGGTCAGCCGACTGAGCGTGTACAGAAATAGTGCTCCCGGACAAATTTGTAGTAGGTCGCACTACAATGGAGATCTGCGGCGTTTCTCCAGTCGGACCTTCACCTCCCACTCGTCTCCTCTCCCTATTCAGTCTCGACTCAACCTTCAACGGCCATCTTCGCGTCCTCCATTCACCATTTGTTCGCGCTCCATGGCCTCTCAAGCAAAGTTTAAGCAGGCAAGCTTTGCCGTTTTATCTTGCTTTTGTGCAACGTTTACTCACTTTGTCGGCATTTCGGATCGGATATTCTTAGGAACCTCACAAGTGAGTAATGCTACGTTCCTGCGAGATCACCTTTGCTCAACGTGTCATTTTGCAGGCTTTTGGTGTAAGTTAAGTGCTTTCTTCAAGGAAACACGCTAAATGACTAGGCAATATCTGAAGTATACCCGGTCCGATCGAAGTCTCCGATGAGGTATGGACTGTACGGCTTTCTGAGGTATTCACAATCTAAATGGACACTAAGGTTCTTTATGCCAATGCACACCCCTCGATGAGCCATGTCTCTCCGGATTTTATTCCGGTGCTCGGGGACTGCATTAGGATGCTGAGGCAAGTAAATCCATCTGTGTATTCACCATTATATCAAAACATGATTTTCGCCTTGTGAATTCAGGGAGGTCCTATTCGCACCAACAGGCCAACCGTTCTTGATTGCAGGATCTGGGACACTCGGGTGGGATCAGGTACGCGTCGTTCACGCGTTATTTCGTTTTCAGTGATGAATGTGGCGTTTATATGCGCATAGGTTGCGTCTAATCTCGTAGAACCTGGAGAAGCATGCTTAGTTCTTAACACTGGGTATTTCGGTGATAGCTTCGCAGACTGGTAAGCTTTTGTGTTGTTCTTACAAAACAATTGATGTTAATTGGTTGTTGTGGACATCTGTTCATGCACCAAGCCTCCAAACATATGGTGCTGTCATTGACCAAGTAGTTGCTCCTCTGGGTGAGGCTATCTCCAAGAGCGCTGTAGAAGAAGCCCTGTCAAAGAAGAAATACAAGCTTGTCACCCTCACACATGTCGACACGTCAACCGGTGTGCTCAGTGACGCGAAGATGATTAGCGAGACCGTGAAACGAATCTCTCCGGAGACTCTTGTACGCCGCCCAGCCAGCAGCTGAAACATCATGTAGCTTCTGATCACAACTTTGCAGGTCATCTTGGACGGCGTATGTTCTGTCGCTTCAGAAGAGATTCGACAAGAAGAATGGAACATTGACGTGGTCATGTCGGCTACGCAGAAGGGCCTTGGTGTACCGCCAGGTCTAAGCGTGCTTTGCGCTAGCAAGCAAGCAATCCAGGTCTTTGAGAGCCGAAAGACACCTGTTACAAGCTACTATGCGAGCTGGAAGCGGTATGTTACACCTCTTGTGCCGCACTTTGGTTTTCTCCATTCCTGTTTCTTACTCGTGAAACTAAATGTGTCTTCTAGCTGGCTGCCAATTATGCGCGCGTATGAAGCGGGCCAGGCAGCGTACTTTGCTACACCGCCTGTGAACTTGGTTTACGCTCTCAATACCTCGTTAACGAGTATCACAAAGTCGGCACCGTCACTAACAGAACGGTTTGCCGTTCACAAGGAACAAGCTATCCGATTCAGGAAGACCATTGAGGGGCTTGGGCTACGACAATTAGCTAAGTACCCGGGGCAGCAAGCAAACGGCATGACTGCTGTAAGCTTTCAACTCTTATTATACATTTCAAATTACGGGAGTGTTGAGATGAACTATAGGTATATTATCCTGAGGGTTTGTCGGCATCGGACATCCTTCCCCGAATTGGTGCAAAGGGTGTTGTCGTCGCAGGTGGACTACACAAAGACGTCAAAGGTACGAGCATGTGAAATTGCTAGCCTTTTTTCTAGGGGTATGCTAACGTCATCTGCAGATAAGTACTTTAGAGTTGGGTTCGTAGTAATTATCATTGCTTCTCTTTTGTATCGCTCACCATTCTCAATTGTTCAGACACATGGGAATCTCCGTCGTAGATAAGTCGCGAGGAGACATGGACCGCCTAATGTCCGCAGTCAAAGAGGCCATTGCGGAGGCATACGTTGCGAAGGGCATAGCAAACGGGATGGCAAATGGGACCGGACATGTGTAAGCCTAAGTAACAATTCATTAAAGCCGCATCAATTATTTTAGTATGGTCCGGCGGAACAAGAGAGTCCCTTTTCTAACGTATAGATCTGTCTTATATATTTCTTTCGTCCGGACCGTAAATCGCATGCAAAATGTATAACAATGGATGGGCACGTTAATCTCGATGATACATTCAACTGTATTTGAATACGTGTGCGTTTTCAAACGTTGCGACTCGTGCTCCCGCGAACCTATACAACGCTTATCTTGAAACGGGTCGGCGTTTAGCGGATACAGTGCGAATAGAGCTAGATTATAGAACGGAAACGGGATAGGCGGGGTTCCGGGCGGAATGATATTCCTGGCCTGGTACCTCGAGGATGGGCATGTGAAAAAGAAGTAGGTGGGGGGAGGAGAAAAGCAGGGAAGGGCTAGAGGATGTAGAGCCCGTCAATTGTCTTTGGTTTCTAGTTATTGGAACACTGTTTTGGTTAGGATGTGGATTATGGGCTTGGTGTGGGTTGTGTGCCAAAAATCCCCATTGTAGTATTAATTTGTCGGATGGGAATTTTGTGCAATAGAACTAGGAAAGCGTTTTGGTTAAATATTGCTTAAAGATGGAACTCGAATACATCTCGCCGATTTTCATCGATACAAATTGTGTAAAGCGTATCAAGCGTACTTGAGAGGAAACAAGTCGACTTGAAGTCTGTATCACATGGCCTATTCACAGAAAAAAAAAGGGAAGTTTGGGCGGAGCCAGAAACTGTCATCTCCGACACAATGTAAATTACTAAGACTCCTCTGTTCTTTCCTGACGAGAACTACTGGGCTAAGCTATTGTTATTTATAATACACACAGCATACTTAAGGATTCACAAGACCGAAACCGGCATCGATACCAATTTCCTGTCCTTGCACATATGCTGATGCATCGGACGCTAGATACACAGCTAGAGCAGCAATTTCTTCCTCTCTATGATTCCTCGTCAGTACAATTAACCAAGGATTAACGAGTTACAAAATCTCACTTTCCCGGCCTCCTCAGTGGGTTTGGCTGTAATGCACCGAGAAAATTCGTCTGCATAGCCTGCTTGAGGTTTTCTTCCGTTGAGGTCATCTCAGATGAGAATGTTCCAGGTGAAATAGCATTAACGCGAATGGGAATCCTCCTGAGTGACATATCAGTAGCGAACATGGTAGTCAGGTGCCCAACAGCCGCTTTCGTGCAATCGTAAGCATGCTGTAAATAGTCATTCAGTTATCGATATAGTGTTATTGCGGCACATTAATAAATATATTTACGTAGCACCAGTGCATCCTTGAATGTTTGAAAACGCTCGTGATATTAATCACGCTCGCCATTCGACCCTCTTTGCTTTGGGCGCTTTTAGCAAGTAGGCCGAGAAAGGCTGTCGTGACGAAGAATACTGAAGCAACATTCGTATGATGTACGGCATCCCAATGATCGGCGCCCTGGTCGAAGAGTTCTCGCCCATACGTCGCTGTCTCTTCAGTATTTAGAGCAGCAGTGTGGTTGTTCGACCACGTGCCGCTATATATAGGGCCGGAAGTCCCAGCGCTGCAAGATAGGAATTCTTTAGTCTTTCGTTGTTTATCACAATGCACGAAGAAAGCTAACTTATTGATCAATACGTCGAGCCTGCCGTCTGCTTGTTCAATCAATTTTTCGGCATTACTGATGCTCTGTTTGTCGTCAACGTCCATCTGGATCCTGAATATTGTTTTACTTAAAAATTAATTCCGATACAAGAATACGCGCAGTCTCACGGGATAAGTTGCCCCGAACCCTCGAACCGGTGTTCTGCAGCGCTCTTCCTCAGCACTTCCAGACGCCTTCCGGTGATGTACACCTTCGCTCCATTGCTGGCGAGACCCTTTGCCATCATTAGTCCTCTACGGTAGAAGCATAAATTAATTGAGTGATGGAATTAATAATAATGCCACTTACATCCCAGTACCGCCTCCAGTCACCAATGCTATCTTCCCAGTAAGGTCAAATTGGTTCATGATCTCCAAGTAAATACTAATGTCGCTGATGGGAATCCGGGTTCTTAATGAAATATAACGAGACACTGAAAGAGGGGTAAATTTATATGTCCGATGCGAGGACCTGTTTGTCAGATATGTCTCGGTAGCCGAAGGCTGAGAAGCCCCATGGAGAAAAAGTCCGTGTCGGAGGAAGATAAGCAACTTGCGGGGTCATGCACGCAGACACATAACGGTTAGCGAACAATAGACCGTCAGGCTTGGATTATTTATGTTTGTCGAAGCGCACCAAGCGCTTTGAAGTTTCAGTAATACATTTGTAAGACTGCAAGTGACCCAATATCGGTTTTTGCGTCTTCAATACGTCGAAAATAGAAACTCTCGACACATGTTCTACGTGTATCGACCGGAGCATAGTCATGGGTTTACTAAAGATATCCCGCCATCAATGGTGATCTCCTGGCCGGTGACGTACTCCGATACATCCGAGGCAAGGTACACTGCCAATGAAACCATTTCTTCCTCTCTATTAAAATTTAATTCATGAGCTTTCCCTCAAACAGTGCCACAAGTAGTGAAAATATTGTACCTTCCTATGCGTTTCATCGGATGAGGTTTCCCTGACCCAAAGAAATCTGTCTCCACTAGGCTCTGAAGCCATTCCGCTGATGGGGAAAATTCTGACATGAATGGCCCTGGAGCAATAGCATTCACACGAATGGGAGCTCGCTTGAGCGACATGTCAGTCGCGAGCAGTCTGGTAAGATGGGATGAAGCCGCTTTGAAGCTATCATATGCGTACTGTTCATCAGGGCAAATTTATTAATGAGTTCGATGTCCAACAACGGAATACTTACATATCCCCAATTTAGCTTCGTGTGTGCAAAGATGCTCGTGATATTAATTACGCTCGCCGTCCTGCCTTCTCTACCTTCCGTACTCTTTCCGAGTAGACCGAGAAAAGCCATCGTGACGAAGAACACCGACATGACATCTGTACGGGCTACGGTATCCCATTCGTCAGAAGTCTGGTTGAACAGCTGTTCGCCGTACGCCGCAAGAGTCTGGTTATCCGGTACCGAACCTGGCTCTACTGGCCACTTGCCGTGGAAACCGGGCCCAGAAACGCCAGCACTGCGTAATCGCGCCTTGAGTCCTTTAAATATAGTGACTACGAAGGAATGCTCCTACTTGTTGACGAGTACGTCGAGCTTTCCATCGGCCTCTTCAATGTGTCTGACGATCTCTTTGATACTCTGCTTGTCATTCACATCCATACGGATTCTACACGTTAAGTCAGGACTAGTTCCTTCAGAAACAACAAGAGCGTACGGAATAAGACAGCCAACGTCTTTAAGATGCTGCTCCTTCGCCGCTTTCTCTACTACGTCCAGTCGCCTCCCTGAGATGTAGACCTTCGCGCCCTTGTTAGCGAATCCTTTGGCTATCATCAAACCTCTGCATTTGCAATTGTGAGTCGGCGTAGACACGCGTTGAGAAAAGTTCACTTCCATGCCTGTTCCGCCTCCGGTTACCAGCGCTACCTTTCCAGCAAGGTCAACAGGAATAGCCATCCTAGGACCTCCATTAGACGTCGTCGACATTCTTGTCCAAATCTGCAAGACTTTTGAGTAACGTATATCGTGCTATTTTGTAAAGACGTCGCGGGTTACAAGGGAATTACTTGAACGCCGTAGCCAAATGCAGGTTCAGGTACTCATACTGAAAGGGATGTTACTGACACCGAGGTATGGGAATGCAGTTCATTGTTTCAGTGGCGTTCGCTTTGCGGGAAGACTTTGTGAATACAACGGACACATTTTGCTTACAATGCAGATGCAGACAGGGTTTTGATCTCTGGCACAAGCGGGTTCGAGCTCATTGAGTTAATAACAGCGCTTGGGTCTCACAAATCCAGCGCCAACCAAGGCCTTGAAATCCGATTCAACGAGCAATCCCAATACGTCACAGCAATTAGTACTTAGCGAGGTCGGTTGCGATGTAACTTAGAACTAAAGAATGATCATATTATTAGTCGAGGAAGAGGAATATACATAAACCGTAATGCATAAACAAAGTCCACAAAAGGTATCATCAGAAAGTGCCAAAGCCAGTGACATGCTAATTAAAGAACGGATTAGTACCTGTTTCATTCTTTCAGAAGTTAGGTAGCTTAACGACGTACAGAAGGAATTCCAGTCTGCATAGGTGGCATGCCTGTGCCGTTCATCATCATTGGCGGAGGCCCTTGTGGAGGATATCCATTGCCCTGTGTCAGCAATAGTCTGTTGCCGAATCCACCCGGAGCAATGATCGTCGCCTCTTCCTCCGCCTGCTCCTTCTTGGTGTTCTTTAAGGCAAGTTCCTGAACCTGCTTCTCCAACGCGGCAATCTTCGTGACCAGCGTACGTTGCGATTGGATTTTGTAAGGCATAAAGAAGTCGTTGAGTCCGTGTTGCCATGATAGCTCCTCAACGAAGTCAGAATTGAGGAGGTCAAAGCACATGTACAACATTGCCGCGAAGCACTCCCTGTTTCCGATATCGACAAAGTAGGACAACAGCTCCTCGGTGACCTCCTTGTCACCAGAGTAAGCTGCCGTTTGCATCGCATCCTTGAACAACTTGTCCTGCTTCGATAACGAGATGGATTCTTCCCATTTTCCATTTTTCTGGTAGGGAACCACATATCATCAGCAGTTGAGAATGGTAAATGGACAGATTAACTGACCTTGTACAAGTGAGCTGCCAATCTACGGAATTCTAGGAGCTCGTGCTTCTCTAGACGTTTCGCAAGTTGGATGTTATTGAAATTGTCAAAGCTGTCTATCGAGTCCCGAAGAGTCTTGTAATCTTCCTCCTCGATCAGGAGATCGTTGTAAGCATCATTGACAGCTTCGACGTTGAGCTGATGTGGTAGTTGGGTAAGAATACTCTGAAATCGAAATAAAGTACAAAGTAGCCACTTACATTTTGCACAGCGATCAAGTATGGTTTAATGAGAGGGACATTGTCGCTCCGTTGGAAGATGCGCACTACGCGAGTATGCTCTATCCGTGGTGACAGGACCGTTAATAGGTCATTAAGCAACATCGGTTGCTCTTGTAGATAGAATGACAGAGATTTGTAGTAACTGTAGGACACATTAGTATGAACCAACGATAGGAAATTATTCAACTCACATCTCGACGTTCGCAACGCGCACGATTACGTCCTTGAACTGGTTGTGCTCCCATGCGTCCGCTGAACGCTCCATCATGGCAAGAGCAGCATTATCCTGAAGGATAAATCAATAGCCCGTTCTTAATAAATGCACGCAGGTTTAACTTACAAATTCATCGTACTTCACGTACAGATAGACCAACTCGGGCCAAAGATGAGCTTTCTCTGCTGCCCTAATGACCTTCGGAATATTGATACGTGAGACAAAGAGTTTGAGATGTTCCATAACTAACAGGTGGAAAGTCAATACATAGATATCTCCCTTAAACAAGAAGACAACATACGCTTTTCCGGTCGGTATTTGCTGTACAAAATTGCGAGCTCTGTGAAAATACCCATCTGACCGGCATCGCAGTTTCAGTCGATAGACCAGCCTCATGCCATTGCCGGACTCACATGTGCGCGTTCCAAGCTCAAAGCAGCCTCCATCAATGCAAGTACCTCATCAAAGTATCCATGTCGTTCATAAGTTTGAAGAATGCCAGGTAATTCCTCCTAAAAAGTGGATGAGAAATCTGGACAGCAAAATTGTTTAGTCAAAAGTACGTACTGCATGCACAACGATGTTGAGGCCACAAATTTGTGCCAATCGGAACTCCCGTTTCTCAATACAAGCCGCGTGCACCTGTTTCCACACCCTTGACAATTGTTAGTACATGACAAGAAATAAGTCACGGAGTACTTACTGTGTGTTGCCAGCTTTGCGCGCGCTCTCGACAGCAGCTTGATTTTCTCCAAGGTAGATGAGAGTTGTCGCCAACCGAGCCCAGTTTGAGATACTCGTGAAGAGCAATTTCGCCGCTTGATAGAGCTCGTCATTGAAACACTTCTCACCAACCTCAAGGATGTCGGCCACGTTAGTCATGGACAGGAAGTCTTCCATGTCATGTAGACGATCCGTCTTCGCGTATGCATGCGCGAGTTCGGTATCAATCTTTGGTTCACGCAGAGTCTTGCGCGCCATCTGCAAGTAGCGCACGAGATCATCGTACTTGTCGGCGCGGGTAGCGATCTCGATAACTTCCAAGAAGTTTGAAGGGTCCTCAGCCTTGATGTACGAATCTATCGCAAGCAACTATCAGTAGACGTTTCCGCTACAGGATGCTTGAATTACCGATTGAGTCCTTGACACGGATACCGTCAAGCTGGGCCTTCGCCAAACGACTCCAGACTTCCGGCCTATTGACTTTTGTTGCGTACTCGAGACCGCGATCAATACTGACGATGTGTTCTACGAGGACATTCATAGCGTTTGCGTGTTGTTCATATTTCTTGAAGATCATGAATGCCTCTTCATAAAGACCGTGGTCAATCGCAATCTTAGCAATCTCCGCAATGTCGTAGTTCTCCAGTTTGTTGATATAATTAACGACTTTACCCCTGTCTGCACGGATAGCGGTGAGCATCAAGAGATTCTGCAAGTTTCTATTGTCACTGAAGGGCGACGGCTCAAGGATGATCTTCTCCAGGAGTTCAATTAGTTCGATAGGAAGATCCGCCGATATGAAGGCCTTGACGGTTACAGAAACATCGTCAGGATCCGTACACTCGGGAAGGGCCGTCGCGATGATCTGATATGAAGATTAGTCTTGAAGCACATAGGACTACATTGATGAACAGACCTGGTCAATCAGCTGGCGACGATGGACATTATCAGGAACCAGGACCTGTTGCCAGAGTTCGAGCTGACGCCTCTTGACAAGATAACGAGACTGCTGCTTGAACATTGAGTTGTCGTTCGTAATGGCAATGAGCTCATCATCGCAAAAGCCTTTGGCGTATGCGATATATGCGAGATACGGATCTCTCTTCTCACAGAATTTACCGACAACCAGGGGCTCGTAAAGCTGAAAAGATATATATCAATTAGCAGCAGATTAAAATCAAGTGTATAGCCTACATTGTTATCCTTCAAGAATTGCTCGGGGTTGTTATTACTATCAATGTAGATCTTCGCGATGGCGTTATAGACCGCGGCATCTTGACTGCCTTGCTGAACGCGTGTTTCAAGCCAGGGCAGAATTAGTTTAAGCCTGTTGCGCGACTCGACTTCTTGTACCAGCTCGTCAATAGGGAAATTGCCCGTGATAGATGCGAGCAGGTTCTTGATAGTTGTTTCGTCGCAGTCAACATCAAGCAAACCTGCGACAACTTGCGGCGTGCGTGCTGAATTGACTTGCTGGACGTATACCTCGATAAACTTCGTAAGCCCGTTCTGGTACAAATAGAGAACGAGATCGTGGACGAAGTCGAAACGGTCGCAAACAATGATAAGGGGTAATTGATCCTGTAGCCGAGCCTCTTTGAGGAAATTTTTGACTTTCTCCGGGTTGTAGTAGTTGCTCTCTCGGCAGATACGTTCGACTTCGCGAATCTGACCAGTCCGGGTTGCGGCTTGGATGTATTTGAAGTGAACTTCCGGATCTTGGCTGAGGTTCACTACGGAACCCAAGTAGTAATAAAGACCTTCGAAGCTCTTGAATGATTCGAACATCTCGATGAGCTTGACGGGGCCAAGGATGTCAGAGTACTTGGTCGCAATCTGCACCACAACCTGAAGGTTTTGTCGGATATTAACTCGAAGCATCTCTTGCAGACACGTCATTGACTGCTCGGTGGTAAGCTTGCTGAAGTATTCGACAAGCCACTATTTAAAAATGGTCAGAATTGAACTTATGTGTAAATAAATGCGCACGCACGTCTGGCTGTAGTACGTTAGTGTGGACGATGGCACGCTTGATGTCATTGATATCTTCGTAGTGCTCCAAAGCTCTCTGCAAGAGGCCAGCACGCTCGCACAGGTTCGCAATCCTCGGCTTATCATAATAAGTAAACATCTCGTTTCCGAGGATGGCATCGGCAACTTGAGGTGCGTGGATGAGGTTCATCTCAAGCAGCCTCGTCTGTAGGTGACCTTGCTCAGGCTTGTTCTCTTTCAGGGCATCAAGAAGGAAGGAAGTCGCCGGTTGAATCATGTTCTGAGACATGAAAATGTCGACGACCTAATGCAGGACTTCAGTATACAAATCAGTGCAAATAATACAATGGCTTACTCTGTCAATATCAACCAACGGCCCATTTTCATCATTGACCAGTTGAGATGCAAACTCGGCACCCTTGTCCGGATTGGTCCTCATTATATGCTGCAAAAGCGCTGTGTAATCCGGAGTGTATCCAACCTTCTTCGAATACAGAACAATTTTATCTGTCTGTCCTGTCTCAGCGAAGCAGGCCACAACTTTATTCGGGACATTGGCACGCAGGTAAACGCTAAGGGCGAGGGTCATGTCGTGAAGGCGAACGATGTCACCAAGCTCCTCACTGCATGTGAGTTTGTTCTCCTTAAGCCATTTCTCTAGCAGCTGCTTTCGACCTTGTTGTAGGACAGGCCGCGCAAGCTCAAGAGACTCGAGTTGGTTCAGCTCGCCTTTTTCTAGGAGAATACCGAAATATTGCAGGATAGGAGATAGCCCTCCTGGAGGGGCCGGTGCAGTCTTGAACGCATCGATGGTCTGAGATGTTCGTAAAATTCCACGAGGAGAGTTTGCAGCAATCTTTGCCGCCTCGTTGAACTGGCCGCTTTGGAAGAGGGCCTGGTACTGCTTTATGTACAGGTCGTCAGCACCGGGCAAGTTGGCCCGGCTTGCAAGTTTGAAAGCAAGTTCCGTGTTGTTCAATGTACCAAGGATGTAAGGAATGATTGCACCTTCGTCAACACTGACACTGAGTACCTGACCCTTCCGGTTCACACCAATAATACCGTTCGTTGCTTCATGTTCCGCGGTAACGAAAATTGTCTCGCCGCTAATACGGTTCATGTAGACGCAGGCGCCGGACTCAAGATCGTAGAGATGAATGAAGCCAAACTTGGTGACCAGGAATACGATGCCATGCTTTTTAGAAACTTGCATAGCCACGGGGAAGTCATTCGTAGCCTCAGGAGGGAAAAATACATCAACAGCCTTCTTTGAGAAGACAGGATCGGCTGCTTGATGATCAATCTCGACGACGTGAAGCTGGAAGAATGTCTGAGTAAGCTGTTCTAATTCAATGTTTGGCTTGCTATACCTTGGCACCTGTAGCAGTCCTCACAGCGAACGTGAAGAGCTTGGTAGGGAATTGATGACCATCAAGCTTCAGTTCCGCGAAAGCAGCGGCATGACCCTCGATAGGTTGGCTGACCGACCGCTCGATACTGTACAGTTGCATCGCACCTTTAACCTTGAACGCAGACGGATTGGTCGTGTTCCCAGCGATCCCGACAAGCACCATCCATTTTCCGTCTCCGGAAATGCGATAGTTGATTATTTGCGCTCCGGCGAGTGTTGCGTGCCTGTCGAAAATTTTCGTTGGCGGAGACGTCTGGTCGGAAATCGACCAGTGGTAGACCGCTGTATCTGTGACCATTCCAATGATCGAGTCCGTCACCCACTTCCAGAACACAATGTCCTCGTTATTGACATGAGACTTGACCTTCTGCTTCGTCTCTATGTTGAAAATCTGTAGGGTTCGAGCGGCTACAGGTACAGAACCAGATCTCTCAGTTCAGTAGAATCATATGCGAAGTGACAAGGTGCGACATACATTTTAGAGCGAGAATCTTCTTGTTTGGGTGCATGATAGCAGAATCCGCAGTGATAGGTCGTCGGAGGACATTGTTCGCGTCTGCAAGGTCGACGATAACAACCTGGTTCTGCTCGTTGACTTTTTCGCGCACGCAAATGAAGTGGTCACTCTCAAGCGTTAAGGTCTATTGGATACAGAGTCAGTAAAACCGTGCTACTGCACGAAACATGAGCGCTACTTCGGAGACTGACCTGGAAGGAGATGGAGGCTGGCTGGACACCAATGCTAGAAAGCTGAAGATGTTCACAAAACGTGATGGGCTTCGTCGCGGCCATTCTGGCTGGAATGGATGCCTGACTGGCAGCGTTGACGAAGGCTTTTGAAGGAAGTACAAAACGAAAGTGGTCAACGGGCAAACGACCGTGTCGCGCTGTCTACGTATGCTGCTACAACAAGCAATAACTTCTCACGTTTATCGCTCTCCTTTCCACTCACTAGTTTCACTTTTCACTTTTCAACGTGCAATTAGGCTATTAATTTCGCTAGAAGTCCGCGTAATGCGCATTATTACATGAGTAGTAAGTCTAGACATGCTTCACTCTTCCGCTAAGGCCAGTGCCTGTTCAATATCATCATCCATGGCCAACGTTGCAGGAGGCGGATTGTTTCCGTAGTATATTCGCTGAATTACAATAGCTGGATTAAAAGTAAGCCGAGCCTGATACACACCAGTGTTTTGCTTCTGCCACTCACCGCAGTCGATAGAGAGCTGAAAAATTGCGCAAACTTTAAACTGCAGGGGAGAACCCTGAAGGAAGAAGTAGACCGTTCTGCGAAATTAAGCAACCTTTGGTGATAATTAATGGCACATAAAGTGGCTTACTTAAAGGCGTCACCAGCAAACCATCCAAGTAGAGTTGAAGCACGGAAACCATACAATGACTTTTGCTTTTGATTGCTAATGATTTCTTAGCAATCTTTCCAAATGTAAAAATCCCCGACATACCTAAGAAATTGCGGAATCGGGAGTGTACTCTCAAGACCTAGGGCAGCAAATCCGAGAATAGTGATGAATATTTCCGACCGGCCGAATATTAAGAAGAGGATAGCCTGTACTAAGCTACAGCAAATTTAGTAATACATTGGGTCTTTAGCTCCCAATACAGCTGTTAGGATATAAGAGTCCACACACATCATTCCAGCCAAGAATTCGATGTGTTGTGCATAAGTCGGCCATTGCCAGAATGAGAATGGTCGAGACGAGATTCCCATATTCTCCGGACTGAGCCGTGGACGATAGAGCAAGCAAATATATAGCAATGCAAGCTGATGGAACCGTCAGTCAGCATGCTTCGACTGCAATATGCAATTAAATATATACCTGAGCTAATATCATTAAGATAGATTGGACGAGTAGTGCAAATTCAAAGCGATTCCCGAGCCAGAAGAACAAACGCGTGATATTTGCTATAAGCCTTCCAGTCATGTATATTAGTGTTCCTCATAATGCTGGAGATCTCAGAACGTACAGTACGCCACAGACATCACGCGAAAACCCCGTCGAGTCTCTGCCGGACAGTAAGAGGAGAGAAGAGACAAATCTAGAATCGCGAACGTACTTCTTTCGCACTATAGAAATTGTCTGGTCCGCATAGACGAGCGGTGGACCGACCGCCATTCCAATCGAAGAAGCCACGCTTACCCATCCTGGAAACATGACAGACCAGAGGTAATGGGTGATGAAAGCAGAAGATACGTCGCAGCACCGGCGCGTGCTAAGATGACGAGGCTGCACGTGTCGTCATCGCGTCGCGTTTCGGTCTTGCCCGCGACAATCCATCTCACCTCAGCTGTTCAATGGAAACGTATTACGCAAGGTATAAGAGATATTGTCTTTGGCACTGTTGAAACAGATAGTAGAAAATACGGTTGTGCTTCAAAAGGGAAATGATTGCGATGACGGGAATCAGTTCAAATAAAGAGATGGAAGCATGAGTAACGTAAAGTGGTGAAACTTTTAAGAATAACTGAGAAGGTTGCACACAACCTTCTTGGTGCGACTGTGCGCGTCTCGTAGACCTGTGGCACAGGCTGCTTTGAGGTGTGCAATCATTCGGACACTTCCTCTCTTAGCCGGTACGGCACCCTAAGTTTGGCAATACACATGACAAGATTCAGCAAGAAGCAATCCCCTTTAAGTATTTGCAGAGTATCCGCACAATCACTTTGATATTATCCAGTAGGAAATCGTACCAAAGACTATGAATGCGAGCATCAATGCACAGTGACCGCTCATAGTGCGGAACTGACGGAAACAATAAGCGAAGTTATCCTCGGTATTGCATTATCATCACTACATATCGGTATCGTAGAAGTTGATTAACAGGTATACAGAAGCAGAAACCCAGAATACATGCTGTAAAGAAAATAGAACGTTCACTACTGAGTACAGTAAGTAAGATGTGACCAAATAATAGCGACCATGATAGAAAACCTATTGACCTGTAAAAATCAAGGACTAACTTGAAAGGCATAATGTCCTGTTGAGCCACAGGTAAAGTGAGAAAAGTAAATGAAGCCACAGAAAGGAGGTGCGCTGCCCATGATTTAAGCGTACCCGCCACAAAAATCTAAGAATAGGGAAAGAAGACAAAGCAGATTGATAGCTAAGAAAGACCACCTGAATATTAGCAGATAACGCATCCCCCTCCATGAGTTTTCGAGCGAGCACTTATGGAGACACGTGCTGCTTCATAGAACACCTCAGTAACACCGCGATTATGCTTCGCACTGCATTCTACACACGCGGCAATCCAAAGACCGTGAGGAACTGCGGACGAGATACTAATATTAAGCATACTTACCAAGGTATCGGGAAGCTCTTATCCGTCGTGCGACCTGAAGACCCTCCTCGTACTGCACTGGATGAGCCCCATATCTTGCTAAGCGCTCCGTCACGTTTCGATCGTCTCTCAAATCGCATTTCAAAGCTAGAAACCACTCAAGTAAATGAGACAGCCAGTGACTAACTAAAGATTAGGCATACCAACAAGGACAAGCTGGAAGTTGGCAACTGTTAATAGCTGTGGTTGAATATACGGCAATGAACAAGCACCTTTACACCCGGACAGTATTCCAAGATTTCTTCTATCCACTGTGGATATGCAATAATCAGCTATACATTAAGTGTTATTAAAGGGTCTGTTCTGACCTTTGCCTCAACGTTTTCTAATGACGTCGGATTGTCCACCTTTGCTACATGAGAATTCAAAGGCTTCCGTGAATGTTGGAAGGCCAAATCTCACCGAGAAACATATAAGGATAACATGCGTCTCTGCGTAACTTAAAGACCGCAGTCGGTCGAATTCTTCTTGACCTGTGTCGCGTGGTACACTCGTGTCAGACCCATTGCAGACCAATTGTTCTCACGTGGAGTCTACCCACCCGCTGTGTCCCATAAGCTCATTTCGATGAGCTGTTCATCGACATATAGGTCCTGCACATAGTTCTCAAAGACAGTAGGTTCGCTAAGGCCACCGAGAGAAGTTAGGGCTCATATAGTTCCATAAAAACAAGAAGACGCACTAGACCTGTGTAAAGAACCCCCGTGTAAACACGTTCAGTAGTGACGTCTTGCCTAGAAGCGAGATTTTCGGTAAGTAAAAGTCGGTTCCTATCTTCAGGGATTAACATGCCACAAGCACCATCCCCAACAACAACAGCTTTCCTTTGTATCTGATCGTCGTACGATACGTCAGCCGATCGCTTTCAGGAAGTAGAAAACGAAGGTTGAACGCACCGGCTTGCTCCGCGAAAAGGAAGCTCCAACTGAGGATTCACCACACAACGACGACATAAGAGAGTTCGGTAAGGAGTACTTGAGAGAGAGAGAGAGAATTAAAGTCGGATGGCCCACAGGGAGGTGTGGTCGCTCCTAAGCTGTTCAATTCATCTGGCTTAAGCAGGCAGAGGCTGTGCCTATACATCACGTGGCTATGACGCGTCAGGAATAGTCTTGCCCACGACGGAGTTCTATAATTTGAATTTTCCCCTTCTCTTCGATTAACTCCTATACGCTAGACTTATGGGTTCCATGTTACACTGTCTGTAAAGTAGTGAAAACTTGCCCATTTGAAAAATTACGGTTTGTATTATTATTTGAATATCTCATGGCCCATGGTCCAGACTCTAATTATTAAGAGTTTAACAGACAGGACCTGCTGAGGATAGGTATCCTTCCCGTTACCTCTTAAATCTGTGATGCTGTGATGTGATGTGCCTTTGTAGTACACCGTACTTTGACGGTGTAAACATGAACCGACAGGAGATGTATGTCATGCTGCTACTCCTTTTCGGTTTGACCATTACAGCCTAAGGGAAATGGCCGTCTGACAAGACTCGATGAAGTAACTCAGTCTCGGTTTCATGTGGATCTGCTCGGTCAAACGAAAGGTATACGCGTCTGTAGTGGGAGTATTTTCTGTATCTTTGACAAGCATTTAGACATCTTGAACGTTGGACTCCGAATGTTTCATGGTGTTACATTCCGAACTCTGCAGTCATTACATTGAGATAGCATAGTACAAATGCACGGAAAACATGAGACCAGCAATAGTGGATACTGTACAGTAAACTCCCGTAAAACATCGTAAAGATATCTGTGGCATAAGAAAAAGGTGTATTCTCGCGCTTCCACTCTCAACCATTCTTAAGTATTGCGAGGATCTTCGGAACTTGAAGTCCTATCAGTCAACAAGTTCAGTAAGGTACAATATAAGAAACAGGAGAATACAGGGACTGACCGTATACTGGACGACCCTTCCCAAAGATAGCGGTTGCCTTGAGATACTCCTTCCCTTCTTCAATCCTCTTCAAGCGTTCGATATTTTCTGGGGTCTTTGGAGCTTTTCTTGCGCGGATGACTTCTCTAACGAACAGTGATGCGAGTGTCATCCCGGTGGTCTGATTTCAAATCAATAATTCCGGTCTTCATGAGAAGAGGATCGAGCACAACATACTCCAAGCACTGGATCCAACAGTCCTACGTCCACACCAGCCCTGGGTACCCGTGAAATGTGCCAAGCCGATTCAAGGCATATATCTGACTCGGCCTGATTGCCTTCCCCTTCCTCTGTCCATACTTCGTGCAGTACAATGACCGAAGTGTGTGCAAGACCATGTGCAACGTAGACTGTTCTACGGTCATCGGATGACATGATTTGGTCCTGCAAATTTTCCACGGGAGGCAGAGACGCAATAAAATTGAACAGAAAATCCGAGAAAGCCCGCATGTCCCTTTCGGTGCTCTGTCGTGTCGGAGAATTAGGACTACCTATTGACAGAACCATTGGCAAAATTGTAACTGGATACTAAGATCCACAGAGATTATATTACGTACTTGCTTTCCAGGCCATGACAAGTTTCGCTACGCGTTCATATATTGCGGAAACCTTAACTCGTAAAGCGGCAAACGAAGTGTCATCTACACCAGGTGCAGGTGGTTCGCCAGACAGAAATCGTTGTATTGTTCTGTTACCCTGGGCAAACGAGGGCGTGCTGGAATTCATATCGGCCTAAACGCCATGTAGGTGGGTCAGACGGACCGTATGCGTGTAGAATGAGTTGACTCACTAATTCGTAATCTTGCATGTCCCATGGCCAAGGCGTGTCAATTTGCGTTCCATGGGCGGGGTCATCGGACATGATGCATGGATTGCCGACTACACTCCAACATCGATCAATATTATATACCGCCCAAAACAGATTTACCCGTTCCCCGTACTCAACACATGTCTTGACAGGTGGTAGAGTCTGAGCGATCAAACCAAAAGGCGAACCGACGCCAGGTTGAAGTGATTGCTGTGCAGCTCCGCAGGACGAAGGAGACATGCGGTGGAAGCCATAGCTCACTGCCAGCGAGACAGCAGCGTTTGCGTGATATCGGCCCTCCAAATGACGACCATGTGTGAAGAAGTACTGTGCAATGAGGACTTCTGCTTGCATTACATGCAAGACTCTCGTCGGAAACGTAGGCTGAAATAATATAGAATAAGTGTTGAAACTTAATGTAAATAGGGTTGTTATACATCACTAAAGTCACCTAATCCACCCCCAACAATATTTTGGAGTGAGCCTATTGCTCGTTTCAAGTAGACATTCTCGTGGGATTGCAAGGTCGGTTCCAATGAGAGCCGGAGTGCCCAGAGGTAAATAGCATTCATAAGGCCAGGATGAGGATATGAGGGGTGTGTCGAGGGTTCTGCGAGTGATTTAAGAAATCGCTTGACATTCAGCGAAAAGCCTAATTGGTGTGAATTCGGGAGAAAGAGGCGTATTCTAAGAAGTGTCATGAAAAATGCTGCAGTGACGTTTAAGAACGAAAAGTAACTTACAGCATGTTAGCAATTTCCTGTGGTGGCTCATCAAGCTCCCACCATGGCCATTCAGCATCGGGTTGTGAGCCTCCAGATTGGGGGCTCGATGAACTAGAAGTAGGCTCTGTTATTGGATATGGTTGATCACTCATAGTAGGTTTGACTTCGCCTTCAGAAGAGTCAGAAAAGCTGGGGCTCATCACCACGTCGTCCACAGCAGAAGCTGATTCGGCACAGTACGGTTTGTGAAGCGGAATAGCCGGTCCCGACACTGTGATAGCAGGTAGCTTCTCAAGCTCTTTGACGCGAGCCTGCAGTCGAGCCAGTGTCTCTTCCAGTATTTGTGTCCGCGTCGGTCCTGTGGCATCGTCTGTATATTCGCAGTCATCTATTCGGTTCCTTCTGCTGCACTGCGTGCAGATCGGGCGCAGGCCATCACATCTCTGGGGGGGGGAGGGGGAGGGGAGATGTCAAGCGTTGTGTATGAATGCGAGTGCACCGGAACACAATACACACCATTTTCCTACGTCTTCAGGAGCATCAGCCACATACTCAGTTTCAAAGACAATAACATGATTCATACCTGCAGCCTAAGCAAGCTTTTCCGCGTTGAAGAGCTTCATGCGCGCTGCTGGCTATCCTGTTTGAGCCAAAAAGCCTTGCATCGTCGCTCGTTACGACTATAAATGTGTCTCCCTTCATAACCCGTACGTTTCGCATGAGTGCTTCTGCGCTGGATTGAAGTGCGGGTAAGCTAGGAATGTAGTACAATGTAGTGCATGATGCAGACCTTGACAGAAGCGAAGCAAACGCGTCAGGTATTCACCTCGACGAAACGTTCTTTAATTATGCAGAAACCTCGTTATGTCCACTTCCGAATGTTAGATTTAGTGGAGTAGTAGTATGGGTATGAGGTGGTATGGTGTATGACAAAGAACCTCGCCAATGTCCAGAATCTCAAAAGTACAGGAGGGAAACCGGAATTAAGATCTGAGATGACTGCCTCGGTATGCGAGGATAACGTTGTCTTTCGGCCCGCCTGCTGTTTGCCTGAGGACTGTACTAAAGCCGTTTCTTAAGCGTTCCAGGAGACTTACGAGAACTGTCTGACCGATTGCGATCGCTAGGGTCCGATAAGCGGGAGCTGATCCGGACGCTTCAATCACGGTACAGTATATGCTCGCCGTCAACGCCGAGCGCGAGAAGTTCCCGAAAGTCAAGATGGAGGCAGAAGGTGAAAAGAGTGCGAACCTGTGTGGAGACTGATCCTCAAGATCAGCACTAAAACTGATCGAGAGATTTACAATACAGACATTTTTCGGAGGCAAATTCGGGCATTTTTACAGCAACTTGGTCTGATTCAAGTGACCGATGTAAGTATGCATTACAGGGCCAGCTAAATATCTACTTTCGAAAAGAAAGGTCCAAATAAAGGAATGAAAATCAGCGAAAGATGACAAAATCTACATGAAAAGGGCCTGCTACAATTACGTAAAAGGCGGCAAGCTCCACATTCTGCAAGAGATTTAACGAAAAATATCTATTATTCTAAACAAAGCCACGAGAATCGTAGAGCAAGCAACATTAATTCTATATCTTGATTCCAAAAAATGCACATTGACTTCGTTGATAATCCTGGTTAGCTAGTTAAATCAACTTTGGGTAAGTCATAAATAACAATTTTAATTCATAAATACGGATACGTACCATGCTGGAACAGACAAAGGGATTCTAACAGTTGTCTAGGTGTACATTTGTTAGCACCCCATATATACTTAATTAAAGGCCAAACAGGATAAGAGGTTACTTACGGCTAGACCCTGAAACATAAACAAAGGAGTCCATTAGCCAATTGCCCTTTACAGAGTCATATATTGTAGATGGACTTACGGAAAGGCTCGTTTCTTTGTACTTAACGCTCATGTCCGCGGCGGTAATCCTCATAGCCTCGATAGCTTCGTCAAGAGTCACTCGATAGATCCCGTCACTCGCCATTGAGAGCTGCGCCGCTGTTACCGCCTTCACCGCGCCTAGACTGTTCCTTTCCTAAGAAGGTGCGCTTCGCGTAAGCCGACAGGAATGAAAGGGGTTTACAATTGTTTTCATACGATGCATGGAACCTGGACTAGACCGTCAATGGGGTCACAGGTAAGGCCAAGATTGTGTTCTTCACGGAGTAGAGGAAGCCAATCATTAAACTTCCCAAGTGTTGACAGAATATATAAAGAACGCTCATACCTATGCCGATCTCCGCTGCCTGAAAGTAGCGAGTGTCAATTTATGAGGCCTTGTACCGAAGAATAAGGTCAAAGTTAGAGAAAGCGTACCTGTAGGACCGTTTCTGGCGAGGCTGATCAAGAGAAGACTCTTAGGTTAGTATTCAATCCATGTCGCCGAGACAGGATAACAATAGTAGAATAGAATAGCTGTTCTTACCTCCCATACACGCTGCAAAGCCAGCGCTAGCCATTGAACACGCCACTGTGTTAGATTGAATTTAGATCCATCGAGAAAATTTTCTCCTTCTCTACAGCATTGAAGCAGCACGCACCTCCAACTTCTGCCTGGCAACCACCTTCCGCGGCTGAAATGGTGCTTCCACGCTTGAATAGCATACCAATGGCCTGAAGGTTCACAGAGCATATGCAAAGTCAGATATTTTTGCACATCGAAGCATGCAATGGAGAGCTTACGGATGCTGTCAGCAGAAATGTCACTATACTCTTTTCGGGATCGTCGCTGATAAACTAACGGAGAATGCGCATTGTTGGTGACAATCCAGAGTGATATGATGCGATATAGATATTTCATCTTCTTACCTCCACGATATATTTCAGAACAGCAGGGATAACCCCCGCTGCACCGTTCGTTGGGGAGGTCACGATTCTCCCGCCGCTGGCGTTCACTTCATTTACCGCAATCGCATAGCATGAGAGAAAATCAATCGCGGGGAAGAGTGTTTTCCGCTTTCGAAGATGTATGCCCGACGAATAAGCCCCCTTACCGACATTACTCTAGTTTCTTAAGACTACGCACCGGTGGCATCGGTAAAACAGGGTGGTCAAATGACCCGACCACACGTGTCGGGCGCGGCGCCGTTATCCGTTCACTACGAGGTCGAGGTCGACTTCCTGATTCTTGGTCCCCGCCAGATACGTTATAACCGCTTGGCGCATCGAGTACCCCAGAAGCCGCGCTTCCCCCGGAAATGGCGGGCAGTGAACCTCCTGAAGATATACCTGGATAGAATCTGGTTAAGCCAATCAGTATCTATCGAATCAAAAGGGTTAATCGAGGTTGTCAAATTTTCTCTTTCACGAACCCTCGCATAAGTCGTCTATACAGCATCGGTGCTCGGCGACGCAATCCTAGCCGGCCCGGAAGCACTGTCTCATTGGTGGCGACACCGCTGCGGATGCAATCGTCCATGACAGACCATATACGCATAAGCTGTGCGAGATATAGGATAAGGCATAAGCCAATTTGAATCACGGCAACTTACCTTTTCGTAAATAACATCATGTGGATGAAAGTAGCGCTCATTATCGTAAACTATCTGTGCTATAGTCATCTGAGAGGTTAATTCATTAGTCCACATTCTATCTCGCCAAGGATACATAAGCGTACATTGTGCTTTTTGGTAAGGGCAAGAAGACTGTCGCCAGAATGGAACGCATAGGGAGGAAGCGAGGGATCGGAGGAAGTGTCATGTTCATGTTGAGCGAGTCGAGCTGGATCAACTTTGTGTTTGTCGACTCCCTTGTAGAATAAGTTCTCGTCCACTGTTGAGCGGAGTCTAGCGAGTCAATAATATGGTACCGAAAAATCCTAAATTTCAAACCTTTTGTTTTCTCATTCACAACAAATCCACCACCGACACTGGAAACAGGTTAGACAATACGTCCCAGATATAGGATATTGTGATCAGACCTAAAATACTCATTAGTAGCTAATAGCGCGCCGCCTGCGTCGAAAACCGAAAAGCGCATGCCGTTTGGATGGGTTTTGAGCACCTGATCCCAGCGCCAAAGCATATCGCGATCCATGTCATACACGATGCGATGCCTGCCGCCCAGAACAAGATGCTTATTTTCCAGAATATCCTTGTACCTTGACGGAATGGTTCCCGTGTCTACCGTCTCCGGATCAGACCCTGTACATTGTATTATGCTTCTGAGTTTGGCTCCAGTCAAAATCTATGGGCATACGATACCTTCGAGCCCAAGAAGAATTGCTTGTGGAGTGTGATGTCTGTTCATAGCATTATTTTAATTGAGTAAATATCATCCCAACGGAGCGTGAAGTCGAACGCACCCCTTCCCTACATCGTAATCAGCGATGTGTCAACAATCAGCACTTGCATGCCCATCCATCATATAAGACTGACCTGTCGCAGCCAGAGAACCGTACCTATAGAAGTTTAGCTTGTGGAGCAGACTTCAGACAGCATGCTTATACGCACAGCACGATCTTCACTGTTTTAACCTTGTGCAATAGCCCAAGTTCTTCGAGGTCGTTGATGAAAATGTTTGCAGCACGCATAGGACCAACGGTGTGTGAACTGCTTGGCCCGACTGCAAAGCTATCATTCAACAGGCTTTGAATGCTGAGCTTAGAAGAGCCAACGCACCGCCGATACTGAATAAATCGAAGGTTGAGATAACTGCATGTTCGTGTTCAGATCGTTCCGAAGTCGCACCAGCTACCCCGTTCTTCTCGTCCTCCTCTGATACACCTTTATCACCCTGCTCCCTCCCTTTTTGCACCTTGAGGGCAGAGGAAGCTCGAGCTGTTGTTGAGAAGTACGTTCCCGAGAACTTGTGAATTCTCAAGACTCGGCGGTGCTGTCTCGTATTCAGAACACGACGCAAAGAGCTTGCAGCCGTGCAGCGAACTGGAACGGAGGCTAATAACATTTTCTAAGCCCCCAAGATTCCAAGGTGCTCTTTAGGCAGAGATAGATAGCGACAAAAATGGCGCAGATGCCCTACAGATATCCAGAAATCACAGCCTCTCTTGAGCTACGTTATGACCTCAGACCTGAGCAAAAATCAGAGGAAAGAGTCAATGCTATAGTTCTCTTATTACCATACAACAAGTCAAACGTACTTCGAGGAGAGGAGACATACGAATGTATTGTGCGGCCTTAAGGACTGAATACGATGACTTCATCAACACAAATGCTGGAAAGGATAATATTACATAATGCAACGTGGTTTTGACTTTCAACCTTCAAAGAGCCAGTGAACGATGAGGCATTTGATGCCTCTCTGAAATGGTCAAAACTGATTCCAATGAAGAGTTGCTCGCTGGTATCATTGCTGTGTACAGTATGCTCAAGGTAGAAGGAAAGAATAACGGCTGCAGTCACTAAAAATGCTGCCATTGAAACTCATTCTTGGTCCCAATAAAAAGCGCGCGAATTAGAATACATATTCTTTTAATGTGAAAAGTACACGTGTATGGAACAGGAGAGATGGTACAAGGACCGGGGCGCGACCGTGGATGAAGAAGGATGCTTTTGCCTTTACTGTCTCTTCACAACGTGGAAAGCCGAAGAAAGTTTTAGAGGAACTGAGGTTGCGAGAACCCAAGGCTGTCAGAGCATGCATCTGAGGCGAAGAGCGTGTGTCATCGGGCTCCCGTGTGCTTGTCTTCTCGGATCAATAGAAGCAGAACAGTTATGTACGGCCACGAGTAATGGCTGGGACTCTTCCAGACCAACGCTGGCACCTGTATGTAAACGATATCGATATCACGGTCCATGTAGATTCCTATACAAACAAGAGTGCGGATCGCTTTTTCTTCTTCGGAGATAGTTAGGTGCAGAACAAATACGGGGATAACCTCTCACACGACACTGGTCGTCAAGAGCTCGAGAAGCGCGAAGCAACCTTGAAACGAAGGAGGGCGGAGAGTGCGGCGCAAGAAGTCGGGCGCTAACTCACCTGAGGCCAGGCTGCATGAGTGTATGGAGGTGTTGTTTTTTGCAGTCTCCAAAGAAAACTGCGAAGACGAGCCGATTTGAAAGATAAAGACCTAAAATGCAAGTGCATTAGTGTGCACAAAACCTTTTCGGAAGCTAATCACGAAGCCAAGCTCTTGATGACTGAACACAACCATAATCGAAAGAAGTAAGTACGTGTAGCCGGAAAGCGGAAGCGTTTGCAATACGAGAAAAAAGGATGTGATTCGAACTGGTAGCGAATGCAGGCATTGAATCGACGCCTCGATACCGTGCTAGTCTTACAGAAGAACTATCAAATCATGATGCGGATGCAAGAGAAACCTGGGGTCGAGCGCAACATGATGGGATACGGGAACGGCGATTGAGAGGGGGATCTGATGGGCTGTCCCAACATTGCAAAAAATTGACATGAAAGTTACCGAGTCAACGCTTCATTCAATAGAGTTTGCAGCATGTACGAGAAGATCTTCATACAGTTGAGCCTGATCATCCTGGATTTTTAAGCCACAAACAAGTTTCCACGAGAAGCGCTCGCATTTGCCCTGGCCTACGTTACAAAGAGCGCTGATTGACGATGAGGTCGGCCGACACGGCCAGTGGGTAGCAACGGTGGAGGCGCAAATCCACACCTCGGCACATTCCCGCTTCCCTGTTCACTGAAGCTGGGTGGCGTCAGACTAGCGGTTGGGTATCGCTCTTTCTTCGAATATCAGCATTACTCCGGAATGCGGTAGACTAACGGGATATCGTATTATTATTAAAAAAATAATTTCAAATGAGAGAGGAGCTCAATACGTAGTGCTATTGGCCGCTCCAGCCACTGACAGCGGAACATGCAGGTTAGGGATTGGGCTAGAAGGGCTCTAATAAGCAATTACAAGCGAGATAAGATCTGTCACAGCGTGACATGGCCCGGTCCGTTACGCTTCCTCTGTCGAGTTGCGACGCCGCTTGACCTCTCACGTTTCTTGCTCCTCGTCCACCCCAGCCTTTCACTCTCCCGTCGTCGCCGTGCGCGACGCTTTTCGCTATGGACCCCGCCGTCGCTGCGCGTCTAGCGGCATCTCCATCCGCGAACACCTCTCGCTCTCACCCGGGCTCCTCGCCCTCTACAATGCGCCTGGTCCACTCCGGGTCAGCTACAGGTCTCAACGGCGAAGACGTAATTACCAACTCAGCTGTCACCGTCGAACAGGCACTTGCGGCGCATGCATCTACTCCAGACCCGGTGCGCGCCGCGCTCGACTCCGTCCTCCAAGAGCGCAACACCCTTAGTGCTCAGAACTCCCAGCTCTGGAACCACCTCAAAAAGCAGCGAAACAATTATCAATTAGCCGTGGGCGATGTGAAGCGGATTCGTGCAGAAAGAGATGCTCTTCGCGCTAAGCTTGCAAAATATGAGCATCCCTCCGGAGGAGAGCACTTTGACGACAAGCGGCAGCGACCATCTACAAGTAATAGTCCCGCCGAATCGAATGTGGACACCAAAGGGGTCGCCTCTCCAGAGTCCGGTCATCACCATTATCCAATTCCCAAGTCTAAGGTTTCAAGGCACCACTCGGAGGACAGGCCGGGTACGTCGTCTTCAGTCCTTTAATACTTCGATAGTGTTCGTGCCATTAACCCAGCCTGATATGACAGGACCATCAAGAAAGCGCTCTGCATCGCGTGATCAACATACACAATCATCGTCATCATCATCTCATATGAACGCTCGAGAGACGTCTAAGGGACATCATAGAGAGAGAAGCAATACCCACCCTGAGTTCACGACACCCACTTCGATAAATGGAAGTGAACCTCCCACCTCACCTTCATCCCCTATCGAGGTCCATTATTCTTCAGGACATGAGCGAGATGGGAACGGCTCGACGTCGCGAAATCCACAACATAGTACTTCCCCTCCTCCACTGGTGATTCCGACGCGGTCAGAGTCGCTTCCCTCTGGCTCCTCGACCTCCATGTCCGATGCTTCTCCCTCTCATCGTGTAGTTGTAAATGGAGAGGTTAAAGTAGTTGAGGATCCGCTAAGCACAGCAAAACCATCAGTTTCGAAGGTTTTCATCCCCGCTGTCAGTCCACCCACGGATCATCCTCCTGAAAATACAGTTCCGACGAATCAGCCACCGGATTCTCGTGTTTTCACCTCAGATGGGAAAGGTGGTAGCGCGGCGACAAGCTCTTCTTCAGTTAATCTTACACCAAATTATTTGACGGCGGGCTCGGCTCGCAAAGCTTCCCGGGAAAGCAGAATCAGTCTTCCGGACGAAGCAAAACATTATTATGCAAATTTGGCGGATTCTCCTCTGGCTTCGCCTCACGTCGGTGGACCTACAGATGGATGGAATTACACGAAACGGCCTACCAATGGCGAATCTTCCCTTGCTCAAGTTCCCGAAGAAGGTGATAGCCGGGGTAATGAATCTGCGAGTCCGCGACCATTTCTTGAACTTGATACCACAGATGACAGTGAAAGTGAACATCGGGCTAGCGGAGACGCTCGAACGCGCGAGACAGATTCTGAGCTGGATCCTGAGGGTGCAGAAGGAAATGAATATAGATACATTCCTAATCGGGCGGAGTCACCGGCTCATTCAGAGTCAGGTCAAGTGCCCAAAGCGCGCGGCGCAAAGACTACAGCTGACCAGTTCCCGTTGCCTCCATCTACGTACAACATACCTCCACCTCAGTCACCCACTCAGCTTCAAAGCGCGAACGGAGTAGGAGGAGGAAAGACAGCCACATCAATTGCCTCGGGGTCCTCGCTTATGTCCTCATCAAATACTTTAGCGCTGGATGTGGGGTCACGACGCACGCACGACAAGATAGACTCCTTCATTCTGCCCACCAGCCAGCCGGCGGCCACGTTCCGTCAGATGCCTCTTCTTGACACCGATTTGAAGACATCAACTGTGGAGGTAGTTGGCAGCCATATACGGGCGAACGATAAGGGGAAGGAGGTGCTGAGCTTCGTGATCGCGATTCACGTTGTAGGAAAGGAGTCGTGGCAGGTGCGTGTTATTCATATGAAGTGTGCATTTTCCTCATGTATCTGACATCGTTTCATCCTGCACATTTCACTACATTAGATTGAGAAGTTCTACTCGGATGTGCTAGCCCTTGATAGCCGGTTGCGTACAAGGTGTAGTCGAGCTACCTTGAAGAAACTCGAGCCCCTCCCAGACAACAAACTCTTCAAAGATCACGCCCCTGCAAAAGTTGATCAGCGTAAAAGGATGTTACAGGCATACTTGCAGTCTGTTATGAAGCTGCCGATCAAAGATAAAAACGAGATCATTGTGTTCTTTTCCTCGGACGTCGTTCGTGAACGTTCTCCGGTCACAAGGAGCGGATACAAAGAAGGTTATTTGACAAAAAGGGGCAAGAATTTTGGAGGCTGGAAGACTCGTTACTTTGTTTTGCAAGGGCCGGTTCTTGAATATTATGAAAATGTACGTATATTGATTTTACAAGGACGTGCACTGGAATTCATTGTTTGCAGCGAGGAGGCGCGCATCTCGGATCTATTCAGATCGCAGGTGCACAGATCGGAAGACAGCAGAGAGCTGGGGGCAAAGGCGATTTGGACGATGAAAACGAATTCCGACACGCGTTCTTGATAATCGAGCAGAAACGCGGTCCAGCAGGTCAAAATACACGACATGTTTTGTGCGCAGAAAGCGATCAAGAGCGCGACGCTTGGGTAGAGGTCCTGGTACGATATGTCATGGGATCGTACAACGAAGACGAGAAATCAACGGTAAGCTCGACGAGCCCTGTGACGAACTCAGTCCAGAACGGCATCATCCAGCCGCGTACCTCGATGAGCTCACTTAACCATAATGATTCTACTCCAACAACGAGACGCGTTGTTTCGAAGGATCAGATACAAAAGAGCAATGTAATGCCCATACCCATTTCACAGTTGGCGGTGGATGGCTCAACGGCGAAGTTCTTCCAAAGTTTCGGCCCTGCAAGCCCCACCAAATCACCTGCCGACAAGGGATCAGTATCAAGCATACCATTTCTTGATAGCTCCGGAAAGAGCTCTCTTGACCGTGTCAGTGCTGAAGATTCCCAGCAATCAAGCTCGTTACCTATCACTTCGAGCCTCTCGGAAGCCACGCCAACGCTCGCTTCGATTGGCGAACGTTCAATTTCCGAGTTGGGTCACTACCCGGACCTACAGACAACGGACAAACACGCCATGTCTGCCGATCCTATGCGTCCTCAGGATCGCACTCGTGCATCATACTATCCCACCCTGGCCCCAGTTGCTCCTTCGCCGACAGATCGCCCATCTTCACCCGAGAAAGGTAGTCCTGCAGCAGCATCACCATCACAGCCCAAGGATGATGTTGGTAGACTAAGCAAGATCTCCGGCCCTCTGAATGGTGTACCAATTCCTGCTGGATATAAATTTGGTAGCAAAGAGCCGGTTCCTGATCAGCAACCCTCCAGTGATCGTGAGAGGAAGGCCAGGTCTCGTGCCTTTTGGCGGTGGACATCTGGTAAGTACCAACGACAATTTCAATAGTTCATGGTACCCATACTTTCACGTGTATTAGCTAACGACAAGGCCGCCAATGCACCGACCTTTCAACCTCGCGCTGTCTTCGGTGTACCGCTGGAGGATTCATTGGCTGTCAGTCAGATTGCAAATCTTCCTGCTATTGTTTTCCGGTCTATCCAATATCTGGAAGCCAACAAGGCCGATCAGGAAGAAGGCATTTATCGTTTAAGTGGGAGCTCTGCTGTGATTAAGAATTTGAAGGATAGGTTCAACGCAGGTAAGTAACTTCTTCCGAAACTAGATTATACACACTAAAGCCTTCTTTGTCAGAGGGGGATGTGGACCTACTAACTTCGGACGTAAGGGACCCCCACGCAATTGCGGGGCTCCTGAAGACCTTCCTTCGAGAACTACCTTCGAGCCTCCTCACCCGTGAACTGCACATGCGTTTCCTTGCTGTCATGGGTACGTGTATATCACTTTCTTGAAGCACTCTGGACTGATCTTGGGATAGATTTCGTTGACACTCAAGAACGCATCAGAGAGCTACAAGAGCTTGTCTCACAGCTACCGCTTGCAAATTACAGCCTATTACGTGCATTAACAGCTCATTTAATTCTTATCGTGCAGAATTCAAATATAAACAAAATGACGATGAGGAACGTGGGCATCGTATTTAGTCCCACCCTTGGTGTTCCAGCGGGAGTTTTCAGCTTAATGTTGGGCGAATTCAATCGTGTGTTCAATGTTAATGGTGAAGGTTCCGATTCATCGGTGGACGAAGAGGATACTACCAAGCCAGCGCCTCAACGTCTGTCTGGAGGCCTGAGTCGTCGTAATAGCAAGCGGTACTCCGATGCTGCCGCCGATCAGCTTCTTGGACTGTCAGGTAGAACACTGCCAAGTACGTTTCTGCCTTCCTTCTTTTAGTTTGCTAGTCACTCATATCTTCTCAGCTACGACAGAGGACCAATCTGACGACGGTGACGACCTATCTGTGCATGACCAAGATGAGAGCGACACAACTACAGAGGCAGACGCGGAGACAGAAGGATCCGTTCGGGTTGGTTCGCCAGCCATACAATATCAAGAACAAGTACATCCACCACCAGAGGAATCAGAGGTTGCAACGCCAAACAAATCACACGCTTCGTTTGTTGCCGCGTCCAGAGGCCTAAACCTCAACCTAACCGGCTCAACGACAAAGGCGGATCGGCGACGGAGCCGTATTCCGCAAGGACTGCCGTCGTCACCTCGGCCATCAGGTGCTGGTTCCCCTCTTCATACACCGACTTTCGGGACGCAATCGGACTCCTCCCCTCAGCTCGTTCCTCGATGATATCTTATCAGCACTCTTTCATGATCAACTATGTATTTTTTTCTTTTTTTTGTCCTTCCACATTTCACATTGTTGTTTGGGACCCTTTTCATGGATGTCAACATCCTTCTCAACGGCATTATGCCAAGTCAGGCTTTACTTGTTTATCGTGACTACTACCTTGGTTTTTCCTGTGTTTTTGTACTGTTTAGTGTTCTGTTTTGTTTCCCATTCGATTCCCTTCTGGTTAGTGAAGTATACCCTCAGCAGGTCTTGTAGACTATGTATATTCGTGATATCATTGTTTGTGAGAATTTCTGCGAATGAATTTCGGGAATAGCATTGACGTCGCTGACTCAGAACTGCACACTCTCTTCATCTTTCCAGTGTCCAAAATCTTGCCATGGATGGTTCATGAAGCTATCTAGGCGAACTTAAGCGTACACCACCTTTCTAATCGTTGACTGATCTGTTATACCGTTGCTCATATGCTCATATGCGTAAATCCGATTGAAGCACATGGGCAACAGTCGGGAGCTGGCGTACAATCTATCAGAAAGCAAGTGTACTAGCCTGTCTCACCTCGAACAACTGAAGAGTCATGTTTCTCCCTATGTGTCGTCAATAATGGATTGGTATGGAACACCGATGACGGACCAGGGTTACAAGTCTCGGAATCCGGATCGCGTCTTGTGTCATCACCAACGGCCCAGAGCACATCAGCATCTAGGCATTGGCTTACAAGTCGACAATCCGATGTACTAGATCTGGATGTCCGACTCGGTGAATGTGCAGGTTTGCTTTGGGAATCACGCATCGCACGGACTTATCCAGGTATTATACATTCTATAGAATGAAGCGAGCTGTTGTGTGTTACATTTACGCAGTCTTGCGTCACTTCAGTGTTGACCCTGTGCTTTGCGAGGTATATATATAGTCTGAACGAGGGTGTTTGTCTTGCATTGAGCTACAACTCAGTTCCTGAACGTCTCTCCTAAGCTTAACTTACACTCAGTTCTACCCAATCCGACATGTCTGGATACAAGACATTTGCTGTTGCTGGAGCAGGGAATCTAGGCAAATTTGTAGTCGAGGAGCTCCTCAGTAAAAAGAATAGCGGGGTAATATCTTCAGTTATTCTCCTGACACGCAATGTGAGTTGAATCCACATGAATTATATTCCGCGGTTTTATTGACATCCTGGACAGGCAGACGAACGTAACGAACTAGTTGCAAAGGGAGCTAAGCCAGTCGTAATCGATTATAATTCCCTACCTTCAATCCAGTCTGCTCTTTCTGGTGTCGATGTCGTCATTTCGACGCTTCCCCCCGTCGCTAACCAAGACGATCTCGCCGTTGGTGCTAAGGCCGCCGGAGTAAAACTCTTCGTGCCCTCCGAATTCGGGAACGTAACGGATGGATTTACTGAAGGAGTTTGGGGTAAGAAAGACGCACTAAAGAAGAAACTTAGGGAGGAGATCAAGTTGCCCTATGCCGCGTTCTACAATGGGCCGTTTACCGATTATATCTTCCAGAAGTAAGTCGTGATAATCCAGACGCTTATGGCCAATACTGAGACTGTGCAGGGGAGGTGTTGCCGAGAAGTCCGGGTTTGATTTTGTTAATGGAAAGATAACGATTCCGGGCTCTGGCACGACAGAAATATCCTGGACCACCCTACGTGATGTCGCCAGATTTGTCGCACATGTGCTCACCGCACTTCCGAAGAATAAGATTGAGGGGCGTCACTTCCGTATTGAAGGTGATAGAGCCGTAAGCAAACGTTGTCCATCTTCAAATCAAGTTACTAAATGAAACTTACTTTGGAAATCTACAGAACTATAACCAGATCGTTGACGCTTGGAAGGCACGTACAGGGAAGGATATAACAGTCACTTATCGCCCACGCTCGGAGTTGGAGAGTGCCGTTGCGAAAAACCCGCAGGACTTTGTCTCTTTCCTCTTCTTGCAGTGGGATAAAGGAAACGGTGTTGCTGGGAAGCCAGAGGAGCTGGACAACAAGGAATTCCCGGATTGGAAACCTCAGAAGGTCGTAGATGTTCTTGTCGACATTTACGGGCAGTGAGCATCAAAAGGGTATCCTTGTGTATTGTATGTAGTGCATGTGCGTTACTATCACTGGTGAATTGTAGTTTGCTATGCTTGAATATAGCCGCAGATGGTCGAAAGGAACCAACTCATCCTGAGTGCTTTGAAAGCATTCCTTAATAGAGATCATTATTGTTAACCATAGAAAGTTGCGAAAGAGCTCACCCTTACTTATCATTAAACCATGGCAATTAAAACTAGAATATACATACAATGTAATTCGTCCGGCGGTGACGAACTCCAGGGTCTAGAGCAGTCGCAGAGGGAACCAACTCGGTAAACAATACTTATTCCTAGGTTTGGTTTCCTTGGGCAAGATCACGGTGGGATTGGGGTAACAACGCTTGTAAGACAACACTCATGATGTGGACACTAATGGAAACTGAATTGGTGCTCGGCGACCGTTATTAAGGAATATCAAATGCGTGATTTTCTTCACCAACTAATTCTAATCTGTAAATAAAGGCTCATCAGAATCAGAAGTGTATTAAGGTAACAGAGGTACGAACTAGATGGTGATGAAATGATGAATGAAGTGAGAGAGTCTTAAAAAAAAAGAGCGCAGGAGCATGAATTGAGTACAGCCCTGACGAGATCACACCTCACGCCATGAAATGTTCAGTCCGGACTCGCTTCTGATTTCTTCCTTCTGTTACCGTCCTCGACAGGCAACGGAAAAAAGCTCTGGACTCCCATATTTCCGCGGACTAGTAAATAGACCCAAAAAACGTCGAAGGTGACATGGGATTCAGACAAGCCGTGGTCCTTGCCAGCGTTTGCTTCGCGTTTGGTGAGTAGACGACTTTGGTCTTAACGCGAAACGAATTTCACATTCGTCTGGGCCATTATTGTCCTACTTTTTCTGATACTAGATCTTGCTTATTCCAGGAATACTTTTCGTGTGCTTCACGGTTGACCACAAGCTACTATTTGGGGAGTTGACTGAACAGACCGTTGATGACGGTTTTTTCTTCTACACGACGTTTTACAATGCTCCGCCGGTAATACGAGTATGTGAACCCTCTCACAGCGCCGAGGCTACGGAAACTCGACTCTCAAAAGGGAGAAGCGTTACTGACACATAGCCTTGCCACGTTTAGGCACTTTTGCACAGTGTAGTGGGTATAGGGGTGCTGGGTTTAATTGCGAAACTACACAAATGGGATGATACGGCAATGTTCTTCGATGGGAGTTCGTTAGGTGCGTTTTTCCGCTCATTCCAGCCCTTTTCGTTAACCCTGATTCTTTATCTTGCTTCTTTCTTTGTGCCCCAGCGGCGTATGTGTTCGCCATCGGGGTTTATATTTCCGTATCGATTCCTTCGCTTCGTACAATCGTGGACCCCGTCGTTGACGTTGATACGCGCGAGGACCGCATCGAGGCCATGCGTGTTCTAGCTGCAGGTAACACTATCATTATGGTATTACTGGGCGCCGTGCTCTGTCTCCAGGTGAATCGTCATTTTGTATTTTGTATTTCGTTCCCACATTATATCGTTCTGTCATGCTTGCCTTTGAAGCCGAAGGCTGCATGGAAGTTTTCCTCTTTATCCTCGGGCTTCTTAGGATAAATATACGGACATTCTCTTGCGTGTATCTCATTCACGACATCCCTTACCATGAACTCGGGTTGTGTTGCTGTGAAATATACGGGTTGCTAACTTCTGATTACATTTACAGGGCGGAGAGGAGTACTCAAGACGCTTTGAGGCGAAAGAAATCGCAAAATGGACCGAGAAAGAGAAGGCAAAGACGGTCGAGACCGCGGCAGAAAAGAAGGAACAATAATGACACACAGCCCGTGATATTTCTCATGAACCTAACTAGTACTGTAGCTATCATCTTTCTAGTCGAGTGCCTTCAAGCGGAAGGTATTGATATTGATATCAATAAATACTCGTATTTATTGATTTCTGGGTTGAAAATTCTTCCGAAATTTGTGGCTGTTGCATGTGGTAATAAGTTGCTGAGTCACACGCGTGTCTATGACCGCGGCGCTGGAATCTCATTTCGTTTCCTCGAATCCTTCGTCAATGTCGATGGACATGTGTTTTAATGTCTTCTGATTCTGACCTCGTCGTTGCTGAGCTCCTTCGATGGTGTAGTGAAGAGTTCTGATTTTAGTTACTATCAGATCTTCTTGATTTTATTTAATTCTTTAGATTACATAATCACTTTCTTCATGTAGTTAGTTCTTTCCTATTTGGAATGGAGAGAGGAGTTTTGACCAGAGCCCACGACGACACTAGAGGGAACAAGCCCACCAAAACCTTGCCTCTCATTTTGGAGCCCACTGCAAGGGGTGGTGCCTCTGTTCTAAGGTGTCTGGGTTGATTTTGTCTTGATCTTGGCCTCGAGGGCCTTGCCTAGCTTGTTTTGAATCGAACCGACCGTTTTGACGCACGAGAAGCACGATGACGTGGCCGCCAAGAAGAGGATCAAGAGAAGCACCGTACTTCAACGGCAGCAAGCTTGAGGAACTTCTGCGGTTCTTTGAAGACATCAAGATGTTAGCTGCCGACTTCCAGAAGGATGCCGAGTGGATGTGCAAGCAAGTGACGTACTATGCAGCAATGAGCTGTAGCAGTTTGTGGGCTACCGTGCCTGAGTTGAAGAAGAAAGGAGCATGCGATTGGAGCATTGTGAAAGAGGAGATCAGAAAGCTCTATCTGGAGCTGATCAATGGTCAATGCTACACAAGAGCCAATATCACACAACTAGTTGATGTGCAGAGTGAGAAGGAAATGATGGTGCAGACAGAGTTTGGCCACTACTACTGTGAGTTCCAGGTGCAAGCAGAGTACTTGAAGGAGCAAGGGAAGATGTCAGCACACAAGTTAGACTGTGAGTTCTGGAGAGGGATCAGAGGGATGCTGAGGACAAACCTGACACAATGACTGGAGATTCTCTATGTGGACAAGGATGTGAGCAAGCTGTTCAAATTTGCTAATGTAGTCAGGCTAGCAGACCATGTTCTTCTAGCAGGGCAGACAGAGGCAGGCTGAGACTAGACAGTAATGTTGCTAAAGGAGAAGCTAGAGAAAGAAGCAGGAGACAAGTATGCAAAGATTGTGAGGAAGCTTGAAGAGTTACAAGCCCAGGTCAACAAAGTAAGCAAGTCCAGGAAGATGCTGATGAATCAAGCATGCAAAACTGACCAATCTGCCAATTCTGTGAAATCCAACCTGAAGCACAAGAGGACCTGCAACTTTTACAGAAAGCAAGGACATTTTGTACATGACTGTAGGACTGTGAGCAAGTACACTCAGAGGGGGAAGTGTATGAGGTTGGGGCAGAAGATTGTGTTGATGAGTAGGGCATTCGTGCCAGCCAGTGTAGAGGGAGCAACATTGAAGGAGTGTATAGACTGATACTACAAAGACAAGCCTGTGTTCACAGTAGGCACAATTGATGAAGCAAAAGATAGGTTGAATGCAAGTGAGGGAGAAAAGCACAAAGCTGTTCTTGGAGTGGATTTGGATGCAGAGGTGACAAGGTTGGAGGAACACTTGAGGGATGTGAAGAGACAAAGAGAGGAGGCAAGGACTATGAAGGCTAACACAAAGCCAGTCAAAGTCAGACTGAAGCAAAGCACCAAGTTGAGCAAGATCATCAAGCAGGTCTTAGACTGGATGATGGACAGTGTTGTCATGTTGACACACTACAAGTTGTTTGCAATAGCTCCAGAGCTCAAGTGCCAGTATGCAGCTAAGCTTATGAGGACGACTCAGATGCATGACAAAATGCTGAACAAGGCCAGAAGTGGACCTACAAAGGCAGAGGAGGAAGAGACAAGTGAGGAAGCAAGGACTGACAGTAGAGAAGATCAGCACACAGGTACAAGCATTGTATGCAAGGACAACAAAGCACAGTCAAGCCTAGCAGCAGAGCCAAGAACGAGTGGATTGTGTAGGAAAGTAGTGGATTATGTTGGATTGAGTCAGATTCAAGCTAGAGAATGAGAACAAGAGTGGAGCAGAGGAGCAAGTGTGGCAAACAAGGCTGGAAGTGTACCAGCAAGGACAAGGGAGAATAGTGTGATGGATGAGCAGCAGAGGCTGTTGTGAAGGGCAGTGGCAAGCCAGATGAACAAGGTTGGAAGTGCATCTGTAAGGATCAAGTGCTGAGACAATGAGAATCAGTCAAGCCCAGTGAGAATACTGAGCACAAGCAGATTATGTAGGAGGACGTTAGAAGCTGTTGGATCAGAGCAGTGTTGAGTGAGGGAGTGTTGGATAGGCACCCCAGTCAGCAACAACAAGGCCAGAAGTGTACCAGTCAGGCTAGCAACAGTAAAGCTGAACAACAAATTGGAGACTGAGAGCTTACTGGACCAGGGAGCTGTTATGAACATGATGTGCAAAGACGTTTGGAAATGCTTGGGAGTACCAAAGGAGTGAGTGCAGACGAACCTCAGGCCAGCAAATGCAGGATCAATTACAATTGAAGGTGTCATTCCAAGACTCAAGGTGTCAGTAGGTGGAATATCAATAGTAATACTGGTTCATGTAGTGAAGGACACAATGTTCAACATGATAATCAGGAGGCTGTTCTTCGTGTTAACTGAGTGCAAGACAAAGGATTTCAAGGATGGTAATCAGATTTTGACCTTGACAGACCCAGCAGATCAGAACCAGAAGTGTCAGGTTGAGACCCAAGCAGCTGTTGGATGAAACCCACTACTCACTACTACTATCATCTATGTTGGAGTTGGAGAGGATTGGTCTGGCAAGCCTTTGGCCTTGGTACAGGTTACATTCTCTTTACTCTAACATTCCCTTATACCCCTTTCTTTTATGGACACTCATTCTTACTTGAGACTCACACTCTTTGTTTCTTTATCTTACTTTGATTGATACCTTTTATTCTTACTCACACTCCTTATACTTACCCTTCATTATTGCTTCTTAAAGCAAGTGACTGAGGACAGTCACTATTTAAAGCTTGGGGAGGTGAAGAGTTCTGATTTTAGTTACTATCAGATCTTCTTGATTTTATTTAATTCTTTAGATTACATAATCACTTTCTTCATGTAGTTAGTTCTTTCCTATTTGGAATGGACAGAGAGAGTTTTGACCAGAGCCCACGACAACACTAGAGGGAACAAGCCCACCAAAACCTTGCCTCTCAGTAGTGCACACGACGTCCGAATTGACGAGAGAATACGCGTCGTCCGCGGAAAAGACGGCCACATCTCAGTGCTCGCACGCGACGCGTTCATCGAGCGCCGGGCTACACGTACGTCCAAACTCTGGCTGCTACGTTGAAGGATACACCGCTCATACCGCATGTACATATGAATTTCAACATGCGACCGCAATTTTCGTCTTCTGTCATTTCACACTTTTGATGCTTCTTGCCATAGTGGTCATCATTCCAAAGTCAGCCATTTTGTCCATCAGGAACTGTCTGCTCGCCGAACACATTCCGCAAGTGATCTTTGGGACAGAAGCACAGCTTGGTCTAGCTTTGGGGCTCTTCGGTGAAATGTGATTGTCAATTTCACTTTCTCCTTAACTCCTTTCTTGTTCCTCCATCCAGTTTTGGATCCGGTCATATCATCTCTACGCATCGTACCCTGGACTGATACATTCATCTAATTCTTCTATTTCCCTCTTCTGGCCGGCCTGTGTCTACCCCTTACTGATCCCTATCGCAGATTGAGGGGGCATTCATCGCCATGGTCCAGCTACCTGCAATCACTACCAAAACTTGTCAACATCGCATTATTTTGGGATGAAAACAACGAAGACGAGAAAGTCGCCCTAAAATGGATTGAGGGTACTATGGCCGAAGTAGAGCGGTCAACTCATACGCTTTTGACGGCGTCTGGCTTGCATAACAAGTTCAAGCGCACACAAACGGTGAGGCTTGACTTTTTGGCACTTTCACCGAGACAGCTTCCGTCTTTAGCACTAAAGACCTCCGTACCCTCTTTCGCTACTGATGACATTGAGCTTCTTCATTTTATAACCCTTCTTCAAAACCCTCGTTTCTCATTAGGGGTTGTATTAGTGTTTAACTGCCTTCTTTGCTAATTGGTATCCATTTATAATTTTCACAGGATCTTCTTTCGTATTATGAGTTCACCGCTCTCCCTGCGCTTGCGAAAGTAAAATTGGATGAGAATGCAACCCTTGAAGGTTTCCAACATGCGTTTGCGCTGGTATCCTCCCGCTCGTTCATTGTTGACGCCTATCATGGCCTTGCGATGGTACCCATAGCCGATGCGTACGTCCCTCATACCTTCTCCCGTTAAATTTTATGTCTTCTCGTTTGTCCCTCCGTCTTCCCACACAGATTGCCAAAGCCTATCCATTTTCATTCGTGAGAATTGAATAGCTAAAAACATTAACCCCGTTCTCCGCCTGTACATTATACTTTGATGGACTGCCGTAACTGATCAGGCTTTTTAGTTTCAATCATAGCTCGGAAAACCATGTCCACCTCGAGGTGCGCGGGCAAGCTTCCAAAGTGTTCGTTCCACCGTGCTGACTGTGCTCCCTCCTTTTGGTACAACTATATGCCGTCTCTGCAGAGTGATCACGAAGTTTGCCGTGTTTGCGGGTCTCTCAAACAGTGTCCACATGATATCGAAGACGAAGGCAGCGATGAATCCGTCACTCTGCTGAAAGACCAAGGTTTAAATGACTTGAACGACCTGGAGAATACATGTGAGATGGTGACAAATGATTTCGTTCCTCCTTTCTCAGAAGTATTCAACACCTACGGTGAACATTTAACAAATGCACAACTCCTTGTGCGATATGGATTTATTCTCGATATTAACGAGAACGATGTCTTGCTATGGAATGCACGACAACTATGCAGCTTCATGGACTCTTTTGTCTCCAGATCGAGTAGGGGCAGTGAAATTTGCTCTGATGAGCAACCGGCATCTAAAGATCGTGATCGGAGAAGGTATGATATCTTCGTGGAACAAACGTTGAAAACCGCAGGTAGAGTGGGCGAGCGCGAGCGTCAACGCGCCCCGGGTTCTCGGTTCAGCGATGGCAAAACAGTTTCGCGCACAGAAAATACTGACCCAGGCGACGACGATCCAGTCACTGGAGTGGACCAGGTCATTCTAGAACGTCTTCAAGAAGTTGTTGAGCTATACGCTCCCGGAGACACTATCTTGAGTGACTCAGACTTGGTCTTCTTCCCTAACGCTCGAGATGGGACACGTCACAATGACTTTGATAGGGGAGATGCAAACCTGACATTACAAAATCGTCCCGCACTCGAAGCTCGTTCTTGTAACTCTGATGGCAACTTAGAAGCTTGCAGAAGAAGCTTCGATATTCATAAACAGGTGAGCTATGTCCGTTCTTTATCCACTCAATTCTACATTTTCTCGTACACTTCCCGTATATTTTGCACCACGAATGAAATCTATTCTACAGTCGAATGACCTTCTCCAAAACCGTTCTGCACAGCCAGACGGTTACAAAACGCGCAACGGCCGCACTATTTTAACGGCTGCCCCTGCCGTCCTAAGTCTAGGCTGGCCTGTAGCCTGGAATTACCAGACTTGTATTTTATTGATTTCATCAGCTGCCTGACCAGCTACGCACGCGACTGTTTGACAGTTAGACTAGGGCAACAAATATTATTACAAAACGCCAGGAGAATTAAGGTTCGACGAATGGTGGAACCCAGTCAACTTCCAGCCAATTCATCGGCGGCGTGGAGGCAAGATGCTGCATTCAGGGAGCGATTGTGTCTGGAGTAGACTTTGACTGCGGCTACTCCCGAGAAGCACTGAGCTTCGCGTCTTGCAAACACTTAGCTCCGAGTATTGAATTGGTCACCTGGCTTTTGAGCTTGTTTCCTATTGAATTACGACGCGTTCCTGACTACGCCTCAAGGTTACGCATCTCTTGGTCCTCCCAGGATCTGCACATCGCTTTTGTCTTTTCGGATTCTTTCCATGCCCACGATCTTCGCTATCATAACGCAATGTTTACAATTGATTTCTGAATCTACAGAGATATCGTCCACAGAATGGACACCAACCGCTATACTTCGTTCTGGACAGCGAAGCAAAAATTTCGCACCATTTATGGTTGTTTTGTGTTTTATTTGCATTGCATGAGGAGCGGCTCCGCTCTGCGTGTACGGATGTTGATTCGGATCCACAATCCCGCATGGAATACATTCAACATTTGCCGAGAAGGGATGGAGCTGAAAGATGCGCCACCCTAGAGACTACGTTTTCATACTCATCCCAGAATGAATGGCGGCACGCCGGCAAAACCCCTGCTGAATATGATTCAAAACAAATAAGGCTGATGACAAGTGTCGAGGAGGATCTTGCGCTTCTGTGGAGTATTGCATGCGTTCAGAATAAACTGGGGCATTTGGGTTCGGAGATTAATGCTGGGATAGGTTTACAACACTTCAGCCGGGTAGGACGAATCCATTCGTGGGTACCATCATCGGAAGACTCTGCGATGAAGATCGAGCAAGCGTCGCGCGTTACACTACCCAACCTGATTGCTGAAGATTTGTCAAGTTCTTCCTCCCCATTGGCCTCATCCTTGCTGGACAGGAACCCAATTCAATTCGGTATAGTCGTTTTATATTTGCACACTCAGACTGTTGACTCATTGTTTACGTCTTATTGTCACTGCGCTTCGCGTGTTGCGACGCCGCTGGAAACCTCCGCGTTTCTCCGCCATCCTGTTCCTGCGTGACATTCTAATCCAGGGGCTCCAGAAGAGACTTTGTCCAGAAGCAGTGCGGTGCACCGAAGAGAGATACATCCTAGCGGAGTGCCAAAACGCACAAGATCAAGGACTTCCAGTACGTCTTCCTCGGTTCAGACCAGTGTATTGCCTGCGCGAATCCGCATAAGAAGAAGCGGACATGATGGTGATGTGAAAAATCATACTGATACTGAAGAGCAAGAAGAAGCTGTCAAAGATACACATGAAAATACAAGCAATGTCAGCTTTGAGGTGAGTAATCAGTGACCTGGAGTCTGGCTCATGTGTTTGATGCTTCGTGGACCAGTTTCTAACGTGATGCCTTTGCATAGACGAAATTAGGACAATTCAGAGAACCTTTTCACGTCGAGAGCCAACAGGACCGAAGACAAGGCGTCGCTTTGCTGTCCAGTCTACTTTGTGATTACGGCGCTGCATCTGATGCCGAATCAGACGATGCAACACACGCTTATAACAGTCCTTATGCTCAACCCTCATCGGCGGTCGACGGTGGCTGTCAAGCGGAAAACCAAGGCGAAGAATGCCCGACCTCGCAAGAACGTGGCCAAATATCAGAACAGCTGGCTAATTGTCCTGAAAAGGAAACCGATATGTCTGGCTTTCGTGATCGACAGTGAGTACGCTCCAGCCAAGACTAATGCTCTACCGTTTCTGCATCTGTCTTGTACTGACTCGGAGGACGTTGACAGCGCCGAAGCCGGCTCGAAGCGTTCTATTTCTGACCTCGCAACGGCTGCTGACGCGAAATTGCAGAATGATCCGAAGGAGCGTGACACCGATTCTGCCTTCTGCGACGCGTCGGTCGTACAACTGATCGCGTCAACGGCACGTGTCGTGTCCGCATTGTGCGAGACGCGTTATCGTGGCATGGCGCATTCCAATCTGAGCGTCGCAGAGCTCGGCGAGGTCGTTGATGTACGTATTTTAATTCATTTTCTGCTTGTTTCTGTTCTTTCCATTTCATTTCAAACCTAAGGGCAAGAAAGGGCCTAGATGCATGATATTCGCAAGTGAAAACTATGTTCTAGGCTTTTTCAAGTCTTCTCGTTCTTAAAAATTCGCACTGTCTGCCTCATGCTATTTTGTCCACGGCCGCTTTGTTGCCGCCGGCCGACACAACGTTCGACTGCCTGACGCCACAGAAGCAATCGCTTGATTGCTTGATGGATTGCCACAGATGCACTTGAGGATTGGATCGATGATCTCTCTTACGACGTGCGAGAGGTGATACCTTTGTAAACGAAGTTGGCAACGGTGGGAGTGCGAACAAGATCGGCGCCGCCGTACCAGTCATCGACAGCGCAGCATGTGATGCTAGTGATTTTCTTCTCTCTTCGTATCATTCTCGGTATCCATACTCAGCTTCCTTTCATCATTAATTTTGGAAATTCTTATATTACTTGGGTTTACTGATCTACTTTTGTTCCCCTTTGGTTATTCACAGGCAATCCCGCCTGAAATGACACAGGCGCGTATGGCGGCACAGCTTGCACTATCAGAACGCACACGTCTCGAAGCATGTATTGCTGCGTGGCATGAGATTAGTCCTGCAGTATCCCGAATGGGGCTTAGCGAACTAGCTCCAAAGAAGTAGAGGTAAATTTTTGAGCTTCCGGGCGTGCAAGACGACTGCCAGCGCGCACGTCGGGTTTCGGCATCCGGAAAGTGGAGAAAGGCGGGATTTGTTGATGTGCGGGCGAGACTTCTTATGTTTGTGTGGTTCTGTGAAAAAGAAGGGTTAAACATTAAGGGTGCGCACCCCGACTGCAGAGAAACAGTCAGGTGTCACCGATCTACGGTGCCAACTCTAGCCCATCGTCTATACATCTACGTTGAGGCCACGGACTTTACTCGATCGCACCATGTATAGTAGCCTACAAGAGCCCACCCAAACTTCACTATATGGCGAGACCCCGCTTCATAGATTAAACGTCCTAGGAAGTTGGCACTAATGAATACTGTCAGAGCACCCTGTTTCCGCTACTATACACGTTTAATACTGATGGACAATTTGCATATTATCATCCACCACACACACTTCACCAATCGCAAATCGCGATGACGTTCACACATACGAAGAGTTTCGTATCCAAAACGCGACCGAATATCACTGTCGGAGAGAAGTTTATCCCAAGAGTATTAAAGGATATTATCCGCTTCCTTCCTTCAAATTATATTTTTCCGCCTTTGCATGATCTATCGTCGATTGCATCATACGGCGCCTGATAGACCTAGTCCCCTGATATACTACGAGGCGCTTGCTGACAGCGAAGTGTCAAACAAGCATTCCTCTTGCCACTTCAAAACAACATTATGATTCGGTTTTCGCAATCATCCGGCAGTAATCAAATTCCTAGAGCTGACCCGTCCTGTTCTTAGGAACCGATCCGAATCCGATTGTTAGAAGTTGTAGCCCATTCAAATCGAACTATTCAATAGAGCTTGGTCAGTGATTTGAGTCCCCTCTGTTACTAGTTTTTCTCATGGTTTAAATTTGATATTAGAACTTGATCGAAGGGGGGATCTCCGGTTGAGTATATGTATGTATCCCGCGTTAATATTAATGTGTTAACTTTGGCAGCTGGAATGAGGAGAACTAGTACTGTGTGTTTGATATGGAATAAGTGCATTATCTTACTTACGTCTTCCTTTGCTTGGGCACTCGGGTGCTGGGGTATTGCAAGTTCTCAAGACATGCGCAGTGTAATGTAGTTGGGGATTACGATCGTGCTTACGCAGTCCCGCAATCCCCGCCTGCTGCTGTATTTAGATCTCGGGAAGGCAAGGCGCCACTGACGGCTGAGAGCTATACATTATTTCCATCGTGTATTCCCTGTTATTTATCTGTTATGTTCGTAAATTTGTTGCTGCGGAGGGGATTGAGTGGTGGGTGTGTAAATAGGCCTGAAAGACGTCCTTACTGAGTGTCCTTTCCTGCGGAGGAGAGTAGCACAACGGCCTTGACTTAGGAGTACCCACTGTGCATGTATGTACTGACTGAGGCAAGGTGAGTGTAATTCGGCATATTCCATCACAGCCACTAACGCTCATTTGCGCGCTTAAGGGTATCGCACATAACAGATTGATCATGATACTCTACTGCTCTTCTTTGATTTCAATGTCAAATCTAATCTTCTGGACTGCGATTGGAAATCAGTTTGCATCTATCTTGTCAGGATTCTTTCAGTCTCTCCTGGAGACAGTTTGATAACTCTGATAACTACAGTACTCATCGACGGCGACGAATCTGAGGCAAAGCCCCATAACCGATATTTTTATCTTCCAATCCGTGTATATACTATACATGCTTCTCGGATTGGCTATGAAACAGACACTAATTTTCCTGCTTATAGATATATAGTCATTTATACTGAGTAAAGAGGCGAACTCGGAGGACGTTGGCTTGGGAATGTCGTTTTATTATCAATAACATTCCTCCGTTCGTCCGACCGTCTTTCATTCGCTGATACGATACAAATGATTTCGTGGCGCCTTCCAATCCCCTGCCGGGTTCTGCTTAACACGCGATTCTTCGCATTTACGAAGCGAATGGCTCCGTGCCTACGCGTCCTTCTCCCCTTCTCCCGCGCAATCGAAACAGACGATCAAAAATGATCAAGTTTGGCTGTGCTGCGCAAAGAAATGCATTCATTTGCTGGATCCCCAACTTGCATTATTAGTATTTCCATTTGATATACGGACTTTGATTGATACACCTTCTATGCCAAGTGAGGGTATTGTGCTCTTAAGCTTCTCCCGTCCTATACTAAAACTTTCCTTCTTCTGAGACATTTAAAGAGGGGGGGAAGAAGCTGAGGGGAAGCGAGGCGCTTCAATGCACCCCTGCACATCAAAGACAGGTCACAGTATGAATCAGTTACACAGTTTAGCTGCTTCCAACAAATAGGTATTGAATTGAAGAAGAAGAAGTGCAGAGAAAAGGGCGCAGGGAATGATCGAAAAGAAAATCCAAACACAATCGACAAGCAACGAACACGAGATCTCGGTATACGCTTCTCCCGCTCTCCCTTTAGGCCAAGTACCGCTCCCGCTCCCGTACGGATTACACACGTTGTCGAGACTAAGCGAGCCCTGTGTTGCCCCGAAGCCCGAGACGGCCTCGACCTCGACTTGGCACAGAATGGAAATACAATAGGAATTTTTTTAATTGAATTAGATCTGCTGGACTGCGTGCGCGTCGCTCGAGAGGCTCCTTCTCCATCCCGCCATCTCCATCACGCGAACACGAGCGGACGGTTGCGCGGTCACCGTCGCGCCGGCGGCATTAATAATGGCCATTCAATTCCTCTCTATCTATCGTCCAACATGCATTCTAGCACTGGGTTCTTTTGCTTGGCTCTGTGCTTTTTTCCCTGCTTTGCTGGCCCGGGTTCTTGGTCTTTGGGCTCTCGTGTCGCCAGCGCGTTGAGACGTGATTAGAGACCCCGAACTGATATTCCCCTGCCGTTCTATTGCCTTGCATTTGGAGTGTATCCTTACCCTTACAGACGGATTGACTAAAAGAGATGAGATAACTTGAATATTCATTATGAATACTGATGTGGTCGTCAATATGGATTCGGGTAAGTACTAGTGTATTGAGCTCTTGTCTCGGAACCAGATCTACACCTGATCATGATCAGGTCGGTTTCACTCGCACTAGTCTCAGTTACACTCACTCGTACCTACAAAGCAATGTAGATCTAGGCTCTAGGCTCTCCCTCAAAATGGAATAATAAATATGAATTTACCTATCCACCTCCTGAGATTTTCTCTCTTAATAAATCTGGACGAAATTGACACAGCATATACATATCATCTCGTTTCATTTTTATTTTGCAGTGCAGTTAATATTTTCGCGTTGTTGTATGATTTGAACTGTAATACTTCGCCTAGTCGTATTCTTGTGTTACTGTCAGTCGTCATGCCACGACAAAGCGAAACATGTCAGAACCATCAATATTGGATTTCGTGCATGATCAATATCGGTGGTGTTAAGCAAATAAACAAAACCATCTACGTCTACATCAATAAATGCACTTTATAAACTCACCACAGAAACTCTCCGCTTTATATTACTATACAACAGGCCGGGTCACGGATTCGCACAATCCCGCACGCCTGTGGACGGTGGCGGCGGTCGGAAATCCAGATCTTTCAGTCACCGGTTCTCAACTTATTATACAGTTGTTTTATTTATAGCCCACCAACCAAAGCTAGCTAGCTAGTTGATTGATTTGGCAAGTATCCCATGTCCATCTCGACGTATGTATGATTTAAGATCAGACACAGGCAAGCGAATAGCCTTAAATGCTCAGTCGAGATACTAGGACTAAGAGGCTCGTGATTCTAATTTCTATTTGTATTTCAGTAACCTGGGTCCTGATGTACATTTGAACGACAACGATTATCGCTGCTTTGTACTTTCCTTTCCCTTCGAAATAAATTATCGCATATACGCATTGAACAGTATATACAATTATTACAATAGTATCCAAGGTAGCATTGATATATACTGGAACAAGGCCAACGAGACTTGAATCAGAAAGCCAGGAAGAAAGAGATCAAACACTAGGAATTCAGTGTATCCAGTCGTCCAATGACCAACAAGAGAGGAAGGCACAAGCAACAAACGGATAAAGAGCAGGATAAATCCGAAACACACAACGAGCGTATGAATCGAGCAGTGAGAAAAAAATCCAGGGGTTCGAGGATGAAATGAAAAGGGAAAAGAAGTAATCAGCCAGGCTTCCCGAAGCATAGCAAAATCCCAGAAGACTCGTGAAGAGAACAAGGGAAAGAGGGACCAAGGAATGTCCAATAGTAAAAATAACTTCATGTATAGACTCGGACGACCCACGACGATTAGTTCAAGTAACTTTCGGGTTCTCATCACTTGACCCGAATCCATGTATAGACATGCGGACATGTACACTCAAACATCCGATTTCAAATGTCATCCGAAAACAAACAGGCACACGGAGATTAACGAAGGAAGACAGACAAACATACATTATTAACATATAATCATACAGCCATCTACTCAATAACGACCCAATAATAGCCAGTACCTCTCTTCTCTCGAACTCGAAACACATGAAAGAAACTACAGAAACACAAGGCCATATATACACCCGGTGGCGTCCAACGACTCAAAGATGGTAGCGCGGGGGTAGGGCGTGGGTACGAAATAAGGAAGGTGAGAGGGCGCGGAGGGGCGGCGGGGATGGAACATTAGAAGGCGCGTGGAAGGCGGACGGGCAATTTCAGTTTCTCCGACACACACATCAGAGTTACACATAGAAAAGCAATGAACGAGGGTGTCCCCGTATCACCATCACTCGTCCTCAAAGAGACTGGGGTGCATCCTATATTTAGGACAGAAGGACTCTCGGAAAGGTGTGGTGGCGGCGCGGGGGTGGTGAATAAAAATGAGTGTGTAAGGTGTAAGATGTGCATAACATTGTATTGGGGACGCGGAGAAGGTATAATAAGTAGATTCAGTGGAGGAAGACAGGGTTGCGTTACTGAAGCGTCGAAGAGTCGAAGAGTGATGGAGAAGAGACGCGAGAAGAGAGAACTGGACCTATGTTCTGTGGAGAAATTTTTTCATGCTTGCTTGCCTGCACGGAGAACATGTATGAATAGCGACAAAAGACACAGAAGGAGAGATAGCTCGAGGCCAAGCTGGGCCAAGACACGTTTGGCGGAGGTCAAAGGGCCGTCGGCGGAAGCACAAGACATTCACGTTCGTCAGCTTGGATAGTCACAACAACAGGCAGTCACGTCGAAAGAAAGGACTCAATTGATGAAGCGAGGGAGAGAAGGTACAAGTCCTTGGAGGAAAGTTGCACCCGGGTGACAGGGCAGAAGCGTGTGAGATCCCAACAAAAAGAATAGAAGGAAGTTGCGAATGCAAGGTTAGGGTGGAAGGTTGGAAAGGGCAGGGAAGCGCTGGACCCAAAGAATGCAGCAACAGCAGGGCGAACAGATAATACAGAAGAGAATTTGGCTCAATAACGAACTGTAAGCTGAACTTGATATTGCGAAGGTCGAGGTTGCGTAAGTGTGTGCTTGATTGGGATGCATGCGAGCTTGAATATCCTCACTGGATGGGAGAGGGTGGGCGATTGAATGGAATAGGCGAAGAGAGGGAGATGCACGGACATTAAGACTCAGCTACCGCTAGTTTCCGGTCGCCATCAGCGGCCAGCGGCGGAATATGAAGTTATGAAGTGGAATGAGCACCGAAGCGGGTGAACTTCTGTCGATGGATCATGGATCATTCGTACAATCGTGGAGATGGGGAACCGTGCCAGGGACGTGGACATCGGCATGAGATGTGCATTGCATCCTTGTTCGTGGCTTTGCCGAAATAAGCGTTCTATCCCTCCCTGTCTTGAGAAAGGCGATGGGATATCGTGCGATGAGAAGACATTGTCGAGAGGACCAACAGGAGTGTCGTTGACGGCGATGGCGGTGATGGGAGCGGGGCGAGTACAAGTGCAAAAAGACGCGAAGAACGGTCGAGAACGCAGCGCTGTTACTGAGCTGGTGGACACAGAGAGTTGCGTTTGGAATTGACACGGGCCTTGGGCTTCTTGTGTTCGCACTCGATTTAGATCAGAGTGCGCCGCCGTACACGCACGCAGACGGCGTCCAAGGGTGCTGTCTGTCGAAAACGTAGTGTACTGTATGTGATTCAAGGAATTCACGCTAGACAATCACATCCGTATTCCGACATCAAGGGCGCGAGTGGAACGAGGACAATGAAAGAGAGTGTCGCGGAGGCGGGATGCTAGGATGGCAACAAGTCGACGGATAATTCTCACAGGCTGTTAGAGACAGAGTATTCGCGGATGACGATCAGTTGAGCCCGTGGACACTGGACAGGACTCTATTTCGAAATTCATTTTTTCTATTTTGCGTGTTGTGTGGGTGACTCAGAGAGATGTGTCGAACAAGGAGAGGAAAGTGTGATCCACGGGGCATAAGGAGGGCGTGTGTGTCCGCGGGCAAGGCAAGGCAAGGGGGAAAGCAAGCGAGAGAAAGTGACTACGCGAAGCCTGCCATGTTTGGGAATGGGATGTAGCAGTTGTTGTAGACCCCATAAGAGGATGTGGCGGGGTTAGGAGGAAACGCGAAGGAAAATAGAGTTCACATTTCAGGGTCCTCTCAGGGTCCACTTGCCATTTCTCGCTGAAGCTGGGCGAGCCATCTTGCCGGTCTGGATCTCAGATCCGCTTCTTGAACCTGCTCTCTATCCCATTCATTCAAATTCGCGTCTCTCCACCACTCTCCCTTCCTCCCCTTAAGTACGGCCTGTCTCTCCATCCTCAACCGTTCCTCACCTTCGCTCGCCTCATTCTTCAAGGGCGACACCGTACTCTTCATCTCCGCGATTTCCTTCCACCTTTCCTCACTTGAATTCATGATGGACGCAATGGACGTAGATTGGTGCTTGACCTGCAACAAACAGACAACAGTGAGCTCCCTTCCCTCGCCATCTCATCCGTCCTCCGGTCTAACTTGCTTTCGTCCCTTTGCAGCATGGCAAGCCATACTGCTCCAAGACGTGCAAGATGCGTGCCGCCGAGGCCGCCGACGCAGTCGCGGGCGAGTTTGCTTACAATTCCGACGACGCTTCCTCCTCTTCCGATGTCCTCCGCGAACCTTTCCTCGTCAACAACCCGCACCACCCGCGCACGTCTCCGAGGCGGCATACTCACCCCTCTGCATCCGCTATGTGCCACGACAATGCCTCGTCGAGGCGCTCTCGTACATATCATCACGCCCCACAACAGCAGTTCCTCGATGATGAGATCGCTGCCCTCTCGAGATGGCCGGGCTACAACGACGCAGGCATCCGTGCTTGGGCGAGTGCGATTCCAGCAGGCTCTGCCTCTGTCGAGTCACCAAGCATCGGCCCATCCTCCGCCTGTGCACGACCAGACTTCCCACTGTCCCGCCAACGTCCAGCAGGACCTGCACTGTGCACCGATTCGACGCAGCCGCAACGCGCCAGCGTGCGCTCATCCTCCCCCATCTCCCTTCCATCTCCGCGTGCTGGCGATGCTCAATCCTACGCGAGCTACAGCAGGAGCAGCTACTCCCTCGTCAGTGCCCTCACTGAGTCGATCCACACACCCGACTCAGCACGCCCTCACACCAAGGCCCGTGTCCACACGGGTAACGGCTCTGGCAGGCCAGGAGTCTTTGAAGGTATCGCCCGCCGCTTCCGCTCGTGGGGTTCGGGAACCGGGGCACCTCCCCTTCTAAAGCATGACGCGCCTGCCGAAATTTTCATGCAGACGACCACGACCACTGTGCCTGCCTCGCCCTCTCCTTCATCACCCACTTCGCCTCTTCGGCGCTCAAACACGACGAAGTCGAATTCGAAGGGTTCTGCCTCAGGATTTACCGTTCGCGCTGAAGACGACTTCAAGCGAGAGCCTGCTGTGTTCGACCTGCGTCTTCCACTCGTAGGAGCACGCTCTCCTCTTGCGATCGGAGATGCTGAGTTGAAGGAATCACTTACATTACGGGGTGCTGGAGAACAGCAGAAGCGTGGAGTGTGGATCACGGGACGCGAGAAGGCAGACAAGGGATGGGCAGGTTTTGGCCCAGCCCACTATGAGAAAAACTACCGACCAATTGTCCTGTTCAGCGATGATGAGCGTAACGATCGCGAGCGCGAGTTCAGAGAGCACGAGGCGTGGAGAGCTAGGGGCCGCAAGCCTGTTAGGCGTTGAATGCGTGTTTGCAGCCGACGCGATCTAATGCGATTGTTGAACTGAGGCACTTCAGCAAAATCTATTTCACGATTTCCGACTACATAGAGTTTCCTCTCGACGACGACTCCTTCCGACTTGTTTCTCTGCACGCGCCGATACATACAGCACTTAGACGGGCCTTGGCCACTTTCCCTTACTCGCATCTCATTGATCTCCACCACATACCACCGGGAATAGGAGCCGGAAAAAAATGCCACTTTTCACGATCTTCTATCGCACATTCATCCCATCTCCAGCTGGTCACTTCTTCCATGCTACCTGGACGCCACTGACGACAGGTCCGGAAGGCGAAGCGCAGCAGTTTCACGGTGTCTCGTATGGAACACACGGATATACTCGTTGATGGATTGACTTGGAGATGATTCATTGATTGATCTCTTGAAGTCAAATTTTGGAGAGCTGGAAATAACGGTCGTTTCGTTCCGTGAACCGTACTCGACGTTGCGCTCCGCAAATGTCTCTTCGGAGTCGACCAAGTTCCTGTCTATTCCGACACCGATTCCGACGTGTTCCCACTGTCCCTTCTCGATCTCCCTTACACTTGCTTCCCTCCCCTTGTTTTTCTCCCCAGAGTCATTTTCCCATGCATATGCCCCCTTGCACATCAAAAATTTGGCTTTTGTTCACCCATTTGATCACGCTTGATTTTTGACGTTTTTGAAATTCCATCTTTTTATTTTCTTTTCAATTACCTTTTGACTTGGCGAAGGCGATGACGACGACGGAAGTCCTGATTCTTCTTCTCCTGCCTTGTTTTACATTCCTCTCCTCTCTACGCGGCCCATCGACACATTATCGACCCTACGCACCGACCTAAACGTCGTCCTCTCGCCTTGACGCCAAGTCAATTTTTCTTCTCTATCCCATCTCAACCTTATTCACTTACTACCTACAAAAATTCACCAGCCACCAAAAACACCAGCGGACTCGATTATTACTCCTTTTTCGCTTGTGCTTGTACAATTATTGTACTAACGTATCAGTTCCTTTTCTCTCTCTTTCTCATTCCCACTCTGGCGATGATACTGTCTTCGTCGCCCACTCTCCGCACTCTGCATAGGCTGCATGCCTTGATATCCCTTGTATTCTGCATTTCATATCACATCATACAATCCCAATCCCAATCCCATCCCACTGCAATATCAGTTCGTATATACATGTCTCTCGCTCAATCTGTTCTCCTCTTGCATCATCTCTCTCTCAACAACACATCACTCCACTCGTTTTCCATAGTTTAGTTTAGTTTCCCTCATGTTGTTTACTGTCTACCGCATAGAATTTCATTTACTACTACTATTGCCTCGGCTTTTGATACTGAATACCAAAATATCGAACGTGCGTGAATACAGAGTAATAAGGGAGCGGGATCGAAAAAGTTTATGGGAGAATAGTCAATCGTGCATAAAGCGACCGACGGATGTTTTTCCTAATGTTCGACGGAGACGACTTTCGAAGACATGTAAAAATAAAACGTAGATAGAACAGACGCTCGGCGTTTAGCCCGTTTCTTATCCGCATTCCGCTCTCTCGAGTTCGATGATTCTTCCGTGAAGTCGCATCAATTTCCGTTCTGTTTCCCTTCCCGTTTACAACGTTGGGAAGAAAGTCTTCCTTCCTTCCGTAGCTGCCTTTAATGTTCTCAATGCTCTACACGGCACACTATGAGTTCATAATATAAATTAATAGATCGTTGTTATTCATCTAGGTGAGTGGATTTCTGATCTGCGCAATGCCCTAGAACGTTGTTCTTCATTAATATTAAATATACATGAAAAGGGAGCAATTCAACCTGTCCATCGATTGTGATCAGAGGAAGATTAAATATTTTGTATGAAGGGACTAGCGTATCCCAGCTCAATATTCAATTCAATTGTGATTTGTACCCGCGAGACGCCTGAGCGAGGTACCTGCACCCAGCCGACGATAAGCTTCGTAAATTTAATAGAAAAGCGAAGAAGAAGAGTGCGTTAAAACGGACACATAACGCAAACACGAGCGCAGGCGCCAGAAGCAGAAGCCGGCAAATGCCCTGACAAGAGACAAGAGGAACTGTCTGGTCTGGTTCTTGATGCTATTGTTGTGTCATTGTTTGTGATGCTGTGATGCGGGAAGGTGAAGTTAGTGCAAGGTTGATGGTTTTGAGGGTTTTGAGGTATTGAAGTGTCGCTTTGGGTGAATAGGATTCGAGGGAGGGTGTCAGAGTGGATTGCATTGGATTTGTTAAAGAAAACGGGTGTACGTACGCATAATAGACGGAGGACGGTGGTGGCGTATTTCTGAGGAAGGATGACATGTATGTCGCCGTCATTCGAACTCTTGAATTTGCACCCTATTCCGTCTCGCAACAGAAGAATGCTCACATTTGTCCACACCACTGTCTAATGTGTAACATTGTCAAAGCTCTAAATGCGATCGGTTTCAGACTGAGAAGTCAGGAATCCTCACCTGCAAGGAACGTTGCCAACAGAGTTTTTCCAGTGGCGGTTCTCAGACCTCGCATCTCTCCGCTATTCTTTGAAGTTCTTTCAGTCTGATTGGCTTCTATTCAACATGATGAAGGTCTTGTGATTATTATCTCCTCTGTGGCGGTTGCATCCATAGAAGGCATCCAATCTCTCGCGTCGGTTCGGAATCGGTGTCAAATGCACGACTTTATTTTACTTTGAAAATTCAAGTCGTTGAAGTCTCCGAACCACGGGCACCGCGGGTCTGCATCCGCCGCCGCTCACCGCCGGAGGGAACGATAGTATTTTCCGTCAACAGAGAGGGGACAGAAAGATGGTAAAAGCTGAGAATATTACGCGGGATATTGCGATTCGGAACCGAGAGACTTCCCGCCCGCGGCTTTCAAAGTGGGTAGGCGCGTAACTTGTTGACTGACTCATTGTCGACTGCGGGTAAAAGACTCGTTTTTGTCCGAAGCTCTCTTTGTTCTCACCTGCTCGTCTGTTTAGCGCTCTATCGTACAGCCATTTTTTCTGATTTCTGATTCTGATTTTGCAGTTGGGTACGGCGGACTTGTTCCTCCAAGCCGCAAGGCTCGCAACTTCCCGAGGTCGTCGTACACAGCACGTGCACTAGCGACTGTCTGCAATTTATCTCATCGTCCAACGTCATGCTGTCCCTTGGCAAATGGGCATTTCGACTTTTCTAGAACTAGTGCTAGCAATTCTCCAGTGTTTTTAAATCGGTTGCCGTCTGATATGCTACTACTTGCTTACAGATGAGCATGTGTACGACTGAGTAACGTGCGACAGGCAGGTCAACGTAGTGCATTCCACAGATTCCACACCACAGCAGTATGTCATGGGAACTTGTTATATTGTTTGGTAAGCTATATAAAAAATAACTTACAGTATGCAGACTTGGGTTAATATTGATTAATTTTTCAAGTTGTACCTGTATATTCGATCGCTGGATGAACTTCGTTCCGGACCTCGATCTGTGTAACTTGTTTACTCTCCTTCCAGATACTCCGAGATCACCTCCGACAGCTGGCATATATCTAGAGTGGACAATTAGATTCTGGACTGGTGTAGACAATCTAGACGCAAGGAAAACTGTTCAAGATGGGTCCGTACTGCAGTGTCTCAGATCCACTGCAAAGTCTACCCCGCACACACGTTTCCCCACCTGCAGCATTCTATGCTGCGGCGCCGTGCTGTCGCACAGTTTTATTTTCCCGCATACAATTTAGCCTTTGCAATCCTAACATTCAGGACTGGATTGCAATCTGTTTGATCTCGGCAAACGTCTCTTGACTTCCAGATTTCAGAGACGGTAGCAGATACATGTCTGTGCTCTTGTGTTCTCCGTGCTCTACCCCGCACTACCACACAGTTTGTACCCTGAGACAAAAGATGCCAGATTTCATTGCGTTGTAGTGCATCTCCACATCTCCACAAATCTGAACCGCACAAGATCACAGCGGACACGAATGCAGTGGTATGACGAAGCACAGTACATTCTGCACATACCACAGTGCATTATTACACATCCGAACGCATAGATACGTGCTTGCTCTCATCATGATCATCTTGTCAGGTACGTGTAGCATATGGCTTCAACATTACTACATATTAACCCCACCAGCCCAGATCTACACTAACCAGACCAGAGCTGTGCTTTTTTTTCTCCATTCTTGAGCGCACGCTTTTTCCGGCGATCTCTGTGTGTCCCATGATCGACAGTCGGTCCTTCCTTCTTCCCCCTATTCCAATTCTTCCGACCTGTGGTGTGGTGCCTTTAACGTCGAATGAGTGATGAGTTCAGATTGTACCTTACTAACTGGGGTAACTCTGGGGTTTGACTGCGTGTTTGCTGGTGTTTACTTCCAATAGCTCGAGCATTCGAATTTCACACTGAGGTTTCCCGACCTCTGAACTTCAGCTAGTACTGGACCTCGATATACTTCCCGCGCGCTAGAGTCCTCAACGCCTCAATGGAAGAACAACCTCGAATTGGACCTGCATACAATTCAATTCTGGGGATTTGTGACGCACAAAGGACGCGAAGAATGTGGTTCTTACGATCTTCCCAATAGCATGCTTCTTTCAACAGATATTGATTTTGAGCGGAGAATTTGCAAAGAAAGGGATGACCTCAGCACTTGAGCTTCTCCCTCGATTCAGGGCAGACATTTCAGTTTGTAAGGTAAAGTTCAAGGTAAGGCAAAGGACGCATGTCCTTCCGCGCGACGCATATGCGGACTTGACCGGCCAGGAGAAGCTCAATCGCATCCATCGCACTCTACAGGGTAAACGGCTACTAATACTACGCTTTAGACACGTACACCGTTCGTCATCTACGAAGATGATCGAAATATTAGTCCCCCTTTTCTTCCTGCGGGCGGGGACGACAACGCGCAAGTCGGCGGCGGCCTTACTGCGTTTGGTCGTGGTAAGCCTACAATGCCCGAATGCCGTTTCTTTTCTATCCGAATTCAAGGCCGTTGTGTCCGTCGTTATATTCCTTACCCTTATTATAACGCCACCGCGAGTTGATCCGTTATCATCCATATCTTCCGTCCAGCTTCTCCGAACGTCTTCATTGCCTCATGGGGTGGCTTTCATATATTTTGTATTGCATATCCGTCACTTCGAACCTCTACTTCTTTGCGGGCAGAAATGATGTTGGGCCACATGAATATTTATAATATGCATTTACGCAAGTCTGAGCCCGACTTCCCGCCGCACTCTCCGTTACGGCGCCCGGACGAAGAAAAGGCAAAGTGATGCAGAATTTGGTTGGGGTGAAGTGGAGATGAGTTTGGTGCTTTCGTCATGCATAACGCAAAGCTTTTTGTGCCCCGTTAATTAAGACACGACATGGATGTATGTACATTAATTAATGACCTATTAGTAAATCGCCTGTATACAAGATGAGGTGTGCCGTGCTGAATGCATAATCCAGGTGGGCTTCCCTGATATTCAACAGAGTTGATAATATTTGTGCTAACACTTGACGTTACTTACTTCCAAGAACTTTTCACTGAAGTTCTCGGGTTCGGGCTTTAGGTGTATGCATCCCGTTTCCGTCGTCACCACTCAGGCACGCTATCCGATGTGCAGTTTACTCACACTCTCCGTGATCCGTTATTTCCATACGGGACCAAGTAAATTACATTCTTTTCAACCGTGGTTTTACCCGCGTAATTTGTTTGGCGACATTTCAAACTTGTCGTGTGATGATGGCTGCAGCAACAACAAGACAGAGTATTGAATTACACCTTTTCGTGTTACAAGGAAGCCTTGACAGCGAGGGAAACGTGCCCGGATGTCCCTAGCTAGGGTTTTCTCAGAAATACTTATTCGGCGGGAGAACAAAGTTCAATTCATACAGGCAGGACTGGTATTGATGTGAACGGGAGTGATTGAACGTTAAGAACAACTGGAACTCTTGGCATAAGAAGACCTTGTCTTATCTCCTTCCTCCGTTAAAGACGTATCCAGAAATTTCCTGGCTGCTTACACGGGTGTCAAAAATTCCAGAGCTACATATAAACAATGGACGGCAGTATCTCCTTTGAAATCGCATTATCGATACGCGAAGAAATGAGCGTTATTAATACCAAGACTCATGGGTAAGCCGTGTCTCCAGACAGCAGGTCTTGCCTGAGCGCGAAGCTCAGCGAATTTGAATTTCATTCCTAAACGGACGACACCCCTTGCGGCAATGCAAGTTGGTGAGGGTGCCCCTCAGCACTCACGTCACACTAACCTCACTGTACTTCGCCGGCGGCTTCAAAAGGAAGGCGAGAGCAACGTGAACTGAAACGACCGA